TTACAAGAATTTCTTTATCTTTTTCTTTTCGTTTTTTTTCTTCAAGAGTATCAAATTCATCAAGATATTTGAATTTATAATATAACATTTTATTATATCGTTTTTTGAATTATATCTTTTATTTAACAAAACAAATAATTTTAATAAAAGATTTAACAATTTCAATATCTAATTTATCGATTTATCGATTAAAACTTTTCCAATTATACTCTCAAAGAATTTTATAATCTTAATCATTTTCTAAATAAAACTTAACATTATATAAAACAGAATTTTATATATATTCCAAATAATATAAATAATATTTATTAGAAAGATCCTTAATACAACAATAATTCTTCTATCAATAATAAAAACAAGGAATTATCTTAATACTAATAGAATCGATAATTGTAACTAAATATATACATTCCTTTTTCTTTTTTTGAATTAAATTATTAAAGAAATCAGAATTGTTTATAATAGAAAAAGAAAGATAGATAAAATATAAAAAAAGAAAAAATACTAATTACTAAATGAAACCTGAAGGATTATAAACAATTGAAACAATATTTAACTAAAAAAGGAATAATATTACAATTTATAATTAAAATAAAGATATATTAAAGAACAATAATCAATATATCTATATAAACTTAAACTTTATCAAAAAGCAAAACGATTTATATACAAATTTATATAATAATCGCTTTATATAATCTCCTCACTTTTAACAAGCTCGAATATATAATCTGATTCTAATTATATAATAAAAAGCTTTAGAAACTTCGAAAACTTCTAGAGCTCCAAAAGCTTTTTGAAGTTTTAAAATTTTACAAAACTTCTTTATATTCATTAATATATAATCAAAATAGTTTTATAATTTAAGAGCTTTATATTCAACTTAATTATCAATTAATTTACCTATATTCCAATTAATCTAATAATATATTTATCTTTGAATAGATAATCAATGATTATTAGTCTTAATCTATAATTACTAATTATATGAAATCCTAAGGCAGCCGCTGTCTCAACCAGATCATTACAGTGAGATCCTACTGAAAAAGTAAATAATATAAAATTAAAATATACTCAATATCAACTTATATTGTAAAAGTGATAGATCGAGAATTGGAAAAGAAAGTTGAATTAGATTATATTGTAATATATTATTTATTAAAAAAACAAGGTTTATAATGATTTTGAGATTAATATTATATAAGTTCAAATGTATATATATAGAAGATTGATTATTATAAAAAGGAAAAATAAAAACTCTTCTTTTATATCTAACTACAAGAGGTTATATAATTGACTGGTTAAAAACCTCTATGTATCTGACCTATAATTCCAAATTTCTCACAATATCATCTCATCTCATCTTATCATCATGATGAATTCGTAATCAACTATCCATAACATCTTCCCCTCCGTTGTTCTCTTACACTTATTAGTCTTAAGGACATTTCTCGAGATAGATCCCGATGAGTACTCAAAATGACTTGCCGTGTTTATCCTAGAAAATCATCTATATCTTCAAGAGTAAGATATTCTCAGGAAAGTTTTGATATACAAATCGGGTCATCCCCTACCATTGAACCACACCCTCTTCCTTCTTATCCCCAAATCTCAATACTCCATGTTTCCTCCTCTCCCCTAACCATCTATCAATCCAAATCTTCATTCGCTTTCTTCCAATCTCAGTACCAACATTTACAGTTGGAACCACCTTCTCAATTCTCAATCCCATCACAAACATAGTCAACTCTCTAAAGCTACTATGTTCAGAATACGGTACTCCAAAACATTGTGCTTCCTTCGTACTTCCCCTCTGTGGTATTAACTCCCCCATATCATATTCTGATCTCCAATTTGCAGCATTTAGAATAGTATGAATTGGTGGGGAATCCACAAAACGAGAATTCGGTGGCCTATAACTCCAACCACTTGGTCGAAATCCTACGACACGTGTGAAATGAGGTTTATAGCCAGTGAGATAGTCCTGTAAAGTTTCAGGCCGTAGTTCCATAAGCATCTGCATATGGATTTGTGCTTCTCGAGGATCTGATGTCAACCGACTGGTAAGTTCAGGATCTCCTAATGCCGCACATATGCGCATTTTTCCTGGGACTGCGTAAATTTTACAATCTAGAGCCCGGGCAATACCAAGAACAATGCGTTCTTTACCAATGCTATAGGTACCACAGACAACAAGAAGGCGACCACGAGTCTTCTTCTTGTTCTCGGAAGAAGTGTCTAGAGTGTTGGAATCTCTCGTCTCGGTAGAAACAGATTTGATAAACTTTGTCATTTTGGCTCCAGCTCGTTCCCTCTTGACTGTTTCCCATGCATCACTCTCTTCTGCATTTTCTTTGCTAAGACTGACACACATATCTGCGCAAGCCTTCACAACATCATCTTGTGACGGAAATGAGTATTTAGGATTGAGGTATGTGGTATCAAGATAACAGACATCAATCTTTTGCTGTTTACTCTTTCCACTAACCGTATCAACAACGTTGGGCATCAGAAGAGGATGAGCAATATGCGCTGGGCAAGCACGAAAATCACCACAGTGCAGAATGCGTTGAACTTTAGGATATTGACCACGGCTGGTAATCTTCTCGAAGAGAAAAAGAGAGCTTCCGGGACAATGATTTGCAGGAATCATTGTCACTGAAACGCCCTGAGTATTAGGCACTTCAATCTTGTCGTCGAAGTCGATAGATACAACCCATTTCGGATCCACTTTAAGTTGTTGTTTGACGAGATTTCCAGTGACTTTGCTGCAATATATAGGACCATGTGACCAAGTAGACGTTAAACCAATGTAATGATCGCTATGGAAATGGCTCAAAAAGTAAGCATTACAACCTTTAACCGCACCATATCTAAATGCATCAACGCAGATGAACAAGCCAGGCATGATCTTGTAAAATGGGCAAGTCCTCAGATGTGCTGGCTTCCCTCGAGACGACTTTTCTTTATCTGCAGCATTCGCCCAAGCAGCGTCTTCTGCGTGCCCTGACATGATCTTGGAGAAGGCGGATCCTCCTTCGCTATCGAGGTCGATAGGATTCGCCTGCCCTGGTCTTGGAACTGCTGATTTCCTAGCAAAACGGTTTCTGGCAATGTCGGGCATGGTCAATTTTGTTTCGTTAGATTCTGATTTGACCTTTGCTTTGATCTTCGTTGGTAGTGGAATGGGTTTCCCGTCTAAACACGCATTAACATGCATCGAGGCTTCATCAGACGTGATACTACTCAGGTTCGCATCGCACAAGGGGCAAGTAGATACATCTCCTTCTCCTTCTCCTTCATTACTGTTGAATTTATCATCATCATCAAAACCATTGAATGAATCTTCGTCATCCTGTACTCCATCGACTGCTTCTAGATCGTTTTGCCCTTCCATCCATTTCCGCTCCAGGAATTCTTCGCCATCAAGATCCTCATCAGGGAAGTCACCCATATCCTCAAAGTCTGCCCATGCATCTGCACTTGTACTTTGATGCTTTAAAGCTGGAACTTCTGGAATCCGACTGCCCTTTATTTTGCGGTTTCCTTTCCTCTTGTCCTTAGAATCAACCTTTGTTGAACTTTTCGATGTCTCTTGCTCATCGTACTCGGATTCCGACTCTACTTTTCCTTTGCTCTTGCTGTCGAAGTACTTAGACTCCTTCAACGTTTCTTGTCCCTCATCTTCGGATAATGACATGGTCCTTGCGCTCCTTGGTTGCAATGCCTCCCATTTCGCTTGAGCTCTCGCAACAGGAACTCTCTTCTTAAGCTTGAAAACACTGCCCTCCAAAGGTAGAACTGTTTCAGTAGATGGTTTGATGGCAGTATTCCTGATAACTGATTCCTTCCTGATATCCAATTCTGCAATGCCATTTTTCAAAGAATCTTCCGTCTGGATTTCTTCTCTACGTGTTTGCGCTTGAATATGATGCCCAGTCTTGAGGTCTTCCATAAAGTCTTCATCGCTCTCGGAGTCATCTAGAAACGGTCCCGATCGACGCGGTACTTTGATTACGAGGTCCGCCTTTTCAGTTGGCAAAGGGCTTTCGGCTGGAGGAGGGGTACATGGCTCGGTCGGTATCGAGGGTGCGGTGAGATTTTCTTCGGAATCTTCGATTCTGGGGTTCTCTGAAAGTTTGCGCTTCTTGATCGATCCTTCGGCCTCATTGTAGCGTCCATTGATTAATTCGTCACTAGCTCCATACAAATCGTCGCCTTCTATGTCTGGACTAGGTTTGCGAGGAGGGAGCTGTGGTACAGCGCCAGGTATCTGGCCTACAAAGAGAGAATCATCGTCTTTAAGTGGATTCTCCACTTTCTTAAAGAAATCCAGAATATTGCCATTGGCCCTCGCTGGTGTTTTTGTCGTCGCACTCTTTTTGACCAGTTGCTTGCTAAAAGCAGAAACAATGGTATTTGACTTAGGTCGTGGAGTAGTTGGTTTGTTTGTGTTTCGAGGGGCCATTGTAATGGCCTGTCGAGGAATCGAAAGCGTACCGGCTGGCGTAGGAGGTCTACCTGTGGAAGGTTTCGGTGGAGAGCCTGTAGATTTAGTTGAGTCTTCTCGGGGGTTTCGAAACATATTAATTTACGTGATGTATTACAGCTGTGTGAAGCGTTTGCCATCAATGTAGCTTGATCGTTTGTTTATCAAGATGAAGGATCAATGGTAAGGCGGAAGATATTTGTCTTAATCATTGAAGATAAGGCAGTCCTGAGTCGGTTTTAAATTATTGCCATAAATAGTCTGGAGGTTATTGACAGATGAATTGAACTTATAAAAGTATTTTGAAGGTTTATGGAGAGTCAGAAGTGGTTCACGGAAAGTCCAATCTAATAAGTGGATGATGCTGATAGACACGGGAAAAAGCGCGGAGGTTCACGTTATCACCTGACAAACTTTTAAACTTATGAGGAGGGGCAGAATACGCTTTTATGTCTGTTTGAAAACACCTACTTTTGAATAACATACTCATTTTATCTGGTTTTGAAAGCCTCGAACATTTGGGGCAGATTTTGGATTTTGGATTTTTTTTTCATACACTTTATGGCAATTCATGGCCACGAATTGCCAAATTTGTTTCCCGTATTGGCTTCCCATAAAGCCTCCATAACTTAAGTGTCGGTGGACTATTGCGGTGCCCTCTGCTGTTCTTCATGCCCATTCCCTCCACTGTTATCCATAAAGTATATCCTTCGTGAAGGAGTGTATCATCCTAATTACTATCTTCAGGTTTGAGTTTATGCCTTCATTTTCCTTTCGACGCCTGCTGTGCAGCCTCTCTCCTTGTAGCTATAATGATAATTAGCCTATGTATGCAGTGTGCTGCCACTTTGTGAAGGACCCACCATCTTCCAAAAGTGTTGTATCAACCGCGCCACCAGGAAGATGTACGTATCTAACGACACTTCCTCTTATGAAAACATTCTTGACCGATGACTATGCGCGCATTATCAGTACCACAAATATTCGAAATATCTAGTCCATCGCATTCCAGTGCATTGCTTCCGCACAATCTGAACTACTGACCAGATGTGGATATTTCAGCTCCTCCACTACTTGTATGTCATCCAGCTTGATATTCAGGTATTGATCGACCGATTTTAGTATGCCTTTGATTTGAATATCGTTCTTAAGCTCGACCGTAACTTCAGAATCCACCAAGGTCTTGAAGAAGCTATTTGTAGAGGATATTCGTTAGCTGCTGTGGCCGGATAACTTGTTATGGAATCGCACACACCTGAAGAATAGCATCTTGCTAGACTTATCGATGATAAATAAGTCTTGACGTTGCAGAGTCCTTGTAGAATGCGGAAGCACAAAAATGGAGTTGATCACTGTAAAGTGACAATGTCGGAATCTTTATGCCTTAGGTTAGCAGAATGTTGAATTGGGCACGGTCCAGAACCTCAAGTTCACCCCACCTCACCTCACCTCACCTCACCGGGAGCTATCTACCCGTAGCATCAACGACAAGAATGAAAATATGACATTGATATTCTCAGCTCACTGTGTAGATGGTTCATCTTGCAATCATAATCCCAAATACTCAAACACCATTCCATCACCGTTCATTTTCATTCTTCCTGGTCTTTGCAGCATTTTATATACAGTTTATACGACAGCCACCAAAGCCTTCTGTCTTGTCTCCTAGCTCAACAAACCGGATGGAGATTCATATGTTCTGCATCAGTGATTGAGTTTTGCCTCCATGGATGTTCATTATCTTGTCCCTCCAGAGTCACCGCTCTAGTCCGAGCAACGCTCCAGGAAAGCCGATGAAAGCCATGGAAAATATTACGTTGCTAATTTTTCGAATGCCAAATTTTATCCTTGAGCTCCTTCTTCGTCCCTTTAATAAGAAATGGAGACGGTTCACGTCTATATCGTTGCCTTCTATGACAAGAAGCTTGAATAATGATGCATCACAAGGAGTATTTTGTGACGACGAGATCTCTAATAATTTCACTCTTCACATAGCGTAGTAATCGTGATTTTAATTATACATGTTGGTTGATACAAATATACGCCTATATTGCGTTCATGCTTATAACTCCCTGTCCCTCTCCCCGCCTTGACTACCTTGACCTATCCTTTCTAAAAATTCACCCATCCACTCTTTCTTTCCACTTTCCGTCTCATAAAACTCTTTCCCATACCATGCCCAACATTCATCATTAACAGCATCACCATTACATTCCTTCTCACCCTTCTGAACTACATCCACCTTCGGCCAGACTCCCAACCGCGCACCCATGCTTTCATCCAGGAAATTGTCCATCAAAAGTTGCACGACACGTTTACGGACGACGTCGTATTCAATTCCAGACTTTAAGAAGACGGATTGTAGGTATGAAGTACCATCTTGCTTGAAGAAAGAATTTTGGATTTGAGGCGATTTCAACAGGCCACTCAGAGCTGCTATTTGAGATTTGAGAGAGGAAGGTGACGTGTTAGAGGCTGATAGCTTTTTCTTGAGTGCAGGAATAAGACTCAATCCTTTTTCGCGAAGGGCAGGACAAGTGGGTGCCATGACGGCATCGTGGAACAAAGACAGGGAGGCGACGGCAGTGGGATTATTCTGTAGAGAACTAGAGAGGATTGCAGACGCTGAATGATCACTGCCATCTTCGGATAAAGACTCCTTGGCCATGAGACATATTAGGGCGGAAACTGCCGCCTCATCAGCCATGAGTTCCGATCCGTAGTAAATGTCGTGTGATAGCTCTGAAAGAGAGGTCAGCGCTGCATTGAGGGATGCATCTTCTCCTTTCAATGAGGTAAGAGAAGTCCGGAATGATTCAAAGTCAGATGATGAGGGCGGTGGGGGTTGTATCTTCCCATGGCCACTGAAAGCCGGGGGGCTCGAGGATGGTTGCGCTTCTTCCGAGGATTTCACTTCAACATCTTCGATCACGACCATGGCTTGTTCCGTAGGAATATCAAGTTCCAGCGTGACATCATCACCTTCCATTGGAATATTGAGACGAGCTTCTTTCAGACCGGAAGATATGTTTAGCCGAACATGAAGCCCTGGTGGAATATCTTGCCCAGGCCTAATAATTTGGAAGTCTCTCGTTGGTTGAAAAATACGCGGGTAACATTCTGCTTGGTTTTCAGTAGGGCATATAAGCTCTGTATCTGCAGATGGTGATGCTGCTGGGTCTGCTGAGAATGCCCTCGCAAATATAGGGAGACTGAGCCATGCTAGGCTCAGTATACTGCGTAATTGCAAGTTAACCATTTTGAGGTTGTGGATGAATGTGATGTATAAATCGAGTACAAGAATGCTCTCTTCCTAGATTCGTCCTTCAATCTGCTACAACTGATAAGATTCGTTTGGCTTTTCTTCTGAGCCGCCTCAGATTTCTCCTTTGCCTTTCTGCCAGGTCGAGGTCCTTGCAGGCTTTATCGAAGGCTTGCAAGTCAAATGGTTGAATTCTTCCTTCTTTTTGGCTCTGTTTATCGACTAACCACTGATCCAAAATCCAAGGATAATTTTCGAAGCACGCTTCTCCCTCCCAACTCGAACGTAGAAGAGGACAATCTTTCCACTTCACAAGATACCAAATGTGGTTGTTCTTCCCCACTATTTCGGTGAGTATCTTCTCCGGGGGTCGCTCTTCAGAATCACTTTCTAATGAAGCAAGAGATTCTGTCGAAGTTGAATCTTCTTCTCCACTCTCTAAAGCTAAAGCATCAATATGAACCAGTTGATCTGCTGGGTTATTTGTAGTCATCATAAGGACAAGTGGCATCCAGATAAGTACAGATTTACTCATTCATTTCGCTCGGCGAGCTGGCAGAATTCACTTGCCTTCCGAGGTTGGCGGCGGTCAATGAGTTATAATTGCCTGAGGTTCTGTTAGTCAGCAAAGGTCAAACAAGTGGAGGCTATCCAAACATGCCGGCTTCCCAAGAATGACATATTGAAAATCAATTGATACGCAACAAAATGTTTGCCCTCAGGAGAAAGGCGGTTCAATCTGCCGACCGAGTTGGAAAAGTAACTACTCGAGTTTCGCGACGATGGGCATCTGCAGAGCATGGAAAGGCTGGTCATGATTCCCACCATTCCGCTGGATCAAGTACAGAACATGGGCATCATGGTCCAAAAAACGAGTCGTTCGGAGTGAGCTTGGAATATTCCATTTGTAAATTCTATTACTAATGAACATATAGAATGGGTTCTTTGTTGTTCTCGCGGCTATCCCCATCTCGATCGGAGTGTATCAATACGCCCAACCATCTGCCGATGGAACTCCCTCCGGCCTTACGAAGCTGATTGACAGCTATTCATACTACACGGAGAAATGGGCCGCGAGAAATGCCCTACACGTTTCTATGCTCGAACAGGCTGCTTTCGACCGCAACCTTTTTCAGAGTGATACAGGCAGTGCGCATGTCAATCTAAGATTCCCCGAGTTGGTCTTCACATCCCCTTTACCTTCGCTCAAGGGCTAATTCCCCTATAGACAATTTAATACAGGATCCCCTTGGAACGTACCAGCAGGTCATAGAGCTAGAGACATGGAACAGTTGGTAGCGCATTATGAGAAGTTCAACAAGGAAAACGAAGATAAGAAGCGTTGAAGACCGAATTACAAAAATACCCGTACATATCGCTTTAAAGGGAGTCTCTCATTGTATAAAGTTTACCTATATTTATGGTTGCCAAGTTGGTGATCAAATTCTGTGCAATCATGAGATCATAATTACACCCGGCGGCCGAGTGGGACGTTATGTTTTGAGCGCAGCCATATTACGTTGCAGAAGCTTACCGGAATTCCTGAAGAAGGCGTAAGAGCCCGTGAACTAGAGCCAGTCTTGGTTGTCGAAGCCGCTTCTTCCATAATGCTATATACATGAGAGCAGAACATATTGATTCTCAGTGAACTCCAGATCCTAGACTGTTTCCCAAACGCCACCAATACAGTATGTTGCTACCGCAACTTTTTCATTCCCCTTGAATCCTACTACTCAGATTTCTGTTCCTCCCTAGTCCCACCATAAGCAAGGCCCTAATCCAACCTCTTCCATCGAAGCTACTATCTTATAAGGTGATTCAACTACTCGTGATTCCTCATTGTCATCTTGCTTGTCGGGTCCCAATGGTGCTTGATCATTCCATTGCTCAGAATCCACCCGAAATCGCACTGTTTCCTGGTTATCGAAGAAAAGTTGTGTACCGTCTTCGGTCTGCCAGACAAAGACTTGCTCGTTATGGTCACTGGATGATGATTAATAGCCGGGTGTGGAGAAGGAAAGGAGGAAGCAGACTTACAAGTGTGAACCATCTGGTAGCATTTTTGCGGGAACGAAAATTTCATCGAAGAAATGAGTACGAACTTAATGCCGTCAGTAGAGCTTAAGATAACTGGCATATCATATGTAAACTAACCTCTAATACCACTCTCAATGGAGCTACTGATTCTCCCTGTCATAATTTCAAATTTGAACGGTCTAAATACAACAATTCGGAATTCAACTGCTAAGTGGTTAGCAAAACATAAAGGCTGTGATGATTTCCAGGAACCATGTACCATTGACATTCACAAGACCATCACCATGTCCAATCAGACCTTCCGAAGCCGAGAGCAGATCATAGAAGCATATACAGAGACCAATCTTTTGAATCACTTTGTTGGCATATTTAAGATTGATATTATCCTCAATTGCTTGACTAGCATTCTTTCCCAAATCTTGAGGCGCGATTTGGACTAAATCGGCAATTTTGGTCTTTCGAAAATGAATGTTAGAGTTGGAATCTTATTCCCTAATCTAGGAAGGAAGGAAGTACTCACGAGAATGAACATGATGATATACCTAGGTATCTCGTGACCTGGTTTTTTGGGTTACTTTCTGAGCTACCTAGGTACCTATAGTATATAGCCAGGTAGGGAAAGTATTGCTTTTCCTTCTCGTGTGCCTTGCTCCTCCCCAAATATCTTTTTCTCTTATGGACGGCTGATTCTCCAGCAAGCCACCAACTGACGTGACTTTAACTTCAAGGAGAAAAAAAGGATAGAGAATAGAGAATAAAATAGAAGAATTAGGAGGATTCGAATGACTTGAGTAGATTCCTTGCTTCTTCTGATATTCACTTTTCTGAGCTTATCTTATTGAACAGAATGGAGTGATAACCAAAATTCAACTTTGATCTATAATGGATCTTTAAAAGTCCAAGTAAATTTGTTTCGTTTTTGTTCCTTCCCAAATCTGTACCGCTTTAACTTTATTCTGGAAACCCTTTTCTCTAAGGTTATCATCAACAACACCGAGAATTTATCTAGTAAGGAGGTATGCTACTATTTCTTCTTCACCAGACAGTTTTTCCAATTTTCATAAGATCTTTTCCCTCCCAGTTCAAAACTGTCAAGTCATACAAGGTTCAAAATCAATAAATCGATCAAGGAACTTACATAAGCCGAACGAATTATTCAAGATTGGGAGACTTTCTATTGGCTAAAGTGGTGCGACAATTTCCACACTAAATATCCTCCGGCCAAATCATGGCTGCGCAAGGCAAGGCTTTCTTTTCCATCTTTTGCTTCATCCTCCTTTTCCAACCACTAATTATTATTTCATCGCGCGATTGGTTTTCATCAATTAACATACCGCTATACCAGTCTCATATACTGCACTTGCGAATCCCTCTAACCAACACGGTGCACCCAATATCCAACCATCAGCACAAAGCGGTTTGCGACAACCTTTAAACGCCCCTTCCTATCCAGTGCCTTTAGCTGCTCCGTACAGCAAGCCCAATATTGTCGGGGATTTCCAACATCGCCCCCCACATCAACACATCCACTCTAAGGCCAAAGAAGCAGCGCTATCGTGGAATCACTACGGTCAACCCAATATTCCCGTTCCTGCGCGATTTCCAAACTCTCAACATCCTATAAGTCGAGACATTCAACAAGATCATCAACTCACCGAATTCACGACACATCAAACACTTACACAAAACGCTTTGCAACCTCAAGCCGCCCAGGTCACAATGGCTGGTACGCAGCAGTATAACTTTCCACCTCCTCCACCTCCTCCCTCCGGGCCGCCGGCTGTAGGGTATCCCCAACAAAATCCTCAGTACGGATATCAACAACCTCCCCCATATCAGCAGACGCGCAATAACGGTCCCCCAAGAGGTGGTGGAAGAGGCGGTCATACTGGTCCTCCTCACCCACATCAAAATGGTTACAATGGTCCACAAGGCCCTCCGCAGATACAGGGCCCGCCAAGCGATCAATACAATCCGCATAATCCGGCACCTTACATAGGACCACCAAACGGTTCTCAAGGTCCTGGCCATAACGGTCCACCCAATAATTACCCTCAGCAATGGCAACAACAAGGTCAGCATGGCCCGCCTCAGCATAATCACGGTCCGCCTCAACAAGCGCACCAGCCACCCCCTCAGGTTCCTCTTCCTGCTCAGAACTACCATCCTAATTATGCTCCACAAGGCTTCAATCAAGCACCACCACAGTATGGTCCACAGCAATCTGCACCATTTCAACAACCTTATGGACCACCTTCCCAGCAACCACATCATGGTGGTCCACCCCAACAATGGCAAGGTCCACCTCAGGGACAACCTCAGTTCAACAATAACCATAGAGGCCGCGGTCGCGGTGGCTTCAATAATGGCCGTGGAGGTCATGAAGCACCTCTCATGGGGCCTCCGATCCGCATGGGATTTGAGAACGAACGTGGAGATCATATGGCTCAAGCGGGCACTGGTTTCCCTACTCCTCACTATTCCAATCATCACACCCCCCCTGCTCCGTTTTCTCAGCCAACCTATCAAGCGTATCCCCCACAAAACTTTCCTAATGGAGGTCATGGTGGACAGCGTCCACCACATGATTCTCATTCTTTCAACTCGAGCTCTAATCGGGGCAGAGGAAATGGGAACTTTAGAGGTAGAGGTCGCGATAATTTTCAATTTCGCGGCCGCGACAACAATCGTTCTTTCAATGGCAATTCACAATCTCCTCCGATGCATTTAAAGCCTGCAGGTGCAGGGGACAATGCGAAGAAGAATAAGAAGAAGCGCAGAACAAATACCCTTGGCTTGACACCGAACGGTGTAGACCATGAAGATAGCGATGATGAAATTGACGATGTTGATGAAGAAGCCCGTTTGGTCACTTTGCTTGGTCCCGACACTCCACAGTATGTTTTTGCAGGCGCAGAAGATTAGTTCTTCTTGTTCTATCGCTAATCAATTTTAGGTTACCTGCAGATCTCGTGGCATGGCTCGCTGAGCGTAAAAATCGCTTCCCTACGAAAGCTCGTAGAGAAGCTGCTGCTGAGGAGCTTCGCTTGAAACGTGAGCAGAATAAGAACAATAGGTTCAAGAGAGAGCCTGAAACAAAGGTCGTCAAAAAGGATGATGGAGAAACCAAACTCGAGAAACAGCAACGCAAGGCCGAGAAACTCAGATTAGAACTTGAGAAGGCTGAACGTAAGATCAAACAGGAGATGTCCGGTGGAAAACGCAAGCGTGAAAACGGCGACGAGGGTGACGAAGACCGTGGTCAAGTGAGTGATGATGATTCTGATTCATCCAGTTCCGACTCAGGGAAGCCGGAGGCAATGTCGTCGCGAAGCAATGGTCATAATGGTATTGTACATGCACGAGCACCACCAACAAAAGCTCAGCTTCAACGTCACTGCAAGTACTATTCTACTGGTGGCACCTGCGGCAAGAAGGGCAAGTGTCGCTTCGTTCACGATCTGGACGTCCGTAACCAAGCTTTGCGAGAGAAGGAGTTGAACGGTGGTAAAATGACCATTGCGCAACGTCTCATTCTCAACGATACCGCCAAGGATGATTTGACCATCTTGAAGTCTATCAAGTACCTCAAGGAGAAGGGTTTGATGCCAGAGTCGTCCTCTGTTAGTGCACCACCAGCAGAGGAAACCGAACCCAAAACTGAGGAGAACGATTACGCCGACGCGCCCGAATATGGAGAGGTCTAATCTTGCTTGTGAAAGTGTTTTTTCTGAATCTAATCGATTCCAAGCTGTCACACATCATGAACACTCAGCATATCTCTCAATTTGCTCTCTCGATATGTTTGGTAGCCACTGATGGCGGAGCAGATTGAATATCAGGGACAAGATGTTATTTAATGCGTTTGACCTATTCACGTTCATCAATTTCTACTGACGATACGCGAGTACTCATCGAAAGTCTGATAACTCAAACTTTATCCTTGATAGTCTATCTTTTGCAGTTCTTGCTTTGTATTTCAATTTAATGGGTTGGAGAGGAAGTAAGGGAGCGCTGAGGAGGGTGTTCTTTTCCGTCTTGTACACTTCTACAATTCTTCGAGGCTATGCTTCATTGGTTTCCAGATTTTTCTTTACTCGCGCTAGCTTTTCCTTGTATTAGTTACACTTCACTTCAGAAAAGCAAACACATTTTCATATTATGAAACTTTCTATCAGATTTTATCAAGATCCATTACTTGTCATTCTTGTGCGAGTTTCATGCCGACGAGCCAGAGCATGAGTTCCATGGCAAGTTTGCTGAAAGTCTACCAAACTGAATGTAATATAGTTTCCGTGGTATTGTGGAAAGGCGGATGTGTCAGTAGGCACCAACTTAATTAATTAGGCTAGAATACGAGTTCCCAAATCAATCTACTCGTTATGATTGAGTGAAGAGGCTTCAATTGAACAAGATACCAATACTCTTGTGGATGTATAATCATGGATGTTTAGGGATATAACGCCGTGGTTTAGGTAACGAGCCAAGTATGGCTGTTTTTTCGTCGTCTCATAAACCACTCATATAATACTCATCCTCATGAATAATGTCATCAACGAATGCACAGACTCCTGAGACGAACATCTGAAGGTAAGATTATATAAGAATCACCTCAAAATTCAAAGATTTCTTGGAATTTGAAACTAAAAATACTCATAAGACTTGATTATATTTTTAAAGATATTTTAAATGTTTAAGAATTAATTTTTCTTATTCTTTATAATTATAATTGAAATTTTGATATATATATATAATTGATTTTATTAAATACTATGTTTTTGAAAAGTCTTTGAATTATAATATAATTTGGAAATTCACAATTTCGGGGTGATTTCATGGGGTTTCCACATTTGTCTCACGGGTTACAGCACCCACTGGTGTATCTTTTCAGAATGGATATTCCTTATCTCTGTACTAAGGACGTGTTTAATGAGATGGACAAATCAGTCCAGCAAAGTAGATAATGGAACACTATTCACATAAATTGCATATGGTTTCCAAACCAGTAAAATAGGAACAGTTGTCCATTTTGGTGTCTTGTGGTGCCAGCCCCTCTTTGCCCTTCAGAAGTTGAGGGGCCTTGCGGGGGCCGCCACACATGTAAAATACTATCATCATTACCGGTTCCTGACACGAAATTCCGGTAGCTAACTACCCGAATCCCGTCCATACCCGATTTTATTGGTCAAATTTTTGCGCTGGTATAGCGGGGTTCTACTCCGCACTGGGTGTTCCTCGGCTTTGGGTGAATAGTCTCGCATGACTACTCTATAAATGTAGAGAGAGCTCTCTCGAGCTCTCTTGCTAAAATATCTTGCGCTTTAAATTCGATATTCGTTGTTCTTTCATGTTGACTCTGTCTCCGTGACATAGGTCTAATATTAAAAAAGTCGATCCCGACACGCCGTCGAGTTTAATTGTTCAGCTTTGTACTTTAAATTTTCCGCAAGTATATATTGTACTAAGAACTCTTCATATACTAGATTTCTCAACCTTGTGGAATCTTCTCACGGAATTACTCTTAAATCTAGAAGCTCGAAAATCACACACGACCTATTTTTAAAAATACATCATGGCAGCGCCATCAACCGAGGGTTATAAACCCGAATGGCTCGAGGTAACTATATACTCCCACCTCCCTCCCATCTCTATACATAAATTCACACATCCCGCAGCTCGAGAAAGCCCTTGGAGCTCGTCCCCTCCTCACAGGCACTGCAGCAGAAATCACACAGCAATTCAGCGGACTAATCCACACCCTCGCCGCACAAGCCGGAGCGCCCGATCCTTCCGTCCAAACTCGCGAATCCTCCGCCGATGGAATCCCAGTTCGCATCTATACCCCTTCAAATACATCTGCCGAGAATCCTCTTCCTCTAGGTGTATATTATCACGGCGGAGGCTATTGCGTCGGGGATCTCGATTCGGAGGATTCCTGGTGTCGGTATATCGCGAAGAGTGTTCCGTGTATACTCGTTTCGGTGGATTATAGATTAGGTCCTCAATATAAAATGCCAGTTATGTTAGATGATAGTCTCAAGGCTTTTGAATGGGTATGTTCACTGTGGTACTTCCATTTCCACTTTTTTCCTTCTTTTCCCATTCTTGATTTCCATATATATTCCCTAAGCTCACGCTATCCCACTCACTCACTCTCTCTCTCACATCACTCACTCACTAACCCCCACTCAAGGCGCGAAACCACACCTCAGAACTAAACGCCAACCCCGCGCAAATCTTCACCATCGGCGGCTCAGCAGGCGGCTGTCTAGCCCTAACCGTAGCAAACGATCTCATCGCGGCAGGTAAAAAAGACCACATCCAAGGTATCGTAGCCATGGTCCCCGTAACCGCACATCCATCTTCCATTACCGCCGCTTATAGCAAACACTATAAATCGTACGAGGAAAATGCAGTTGGAGTTCCCATTCTGGATCGTAAGACTATGTATACATTTTTTGAGGCTGTCGATGTGGATCCCCATGATGAGAGACTTTGTACGTTTTTCTATTTTTTCTCCATCTAGGTTTTGGTTATATGCATCTACATCCATCTTTGTGACTTTTTATAAAATTATATATATATATATATAGAAAGAGAAAAAACAAAAACTAACATCCGATCAATCTTAGTTGTAACGCTTTCAAAGCATCTCGATAAATTCCCTCCTACGTATATTGCTACGTGTGGAAAAGATCCTTTAAGGGACGATGGTAAGGTCTTGGAAATAATTTTGAAGGAGAAGGGGGTTCAGACAAAGAGTGATCATTATGACGGTGTACCACATTATTTTTGGGTATTTCCCGGTATCAAGGGTGGAGTTGAATTTTTGGACAATGTTTGTGATGGGGTGAAATTCGTTTTGGGTATTTAGGTTATTGGATGGTTGTTCTCACGCCAGGGATTCTTTTATTATACATCTGCTTCACACAGGTTTTTGTAGAAATGCAAGTCTAGTCTGTGTGTTGTGAAGATATCAATTTTTATCTATCTCCCCGACCCTCAAATAAGGAAACCCATGAATTCGGATCAAGCTAAGAGATGTATGTAACGTTATCCAATCATCTAGACGTAAGATTTGAGATCGAGAGGTATTTAAGAAGATGCCCCAACGCCAGCGCCCATGCATTTGCAATCCATATGCATATGCGATTCCTGAAAAAAGCAAAACCTAATCTAGGACTCGTGTAAAGTGTAATTTTCCAAGCCATTGGAGATTTTGGGCCAAACGACGGCTTTCTCCAAAGCTTGCAAAACATCTGCTTTTAAATCCTCTGCATCTTCAACTCCGCAACTGATACGGACTAAATCGTCATACACACCAATTGCCTCTCTGTGAGCCTTGGGAATGCCAGCATGTGTCATGCTGCTTGGCACTTCTATCAAACTCTCGACTCCTCCCAAACTTTCTGCCAATGTGAAGATGTTTGTCATTTGACAGAATTTTTCAGCTGCAGCGGAACCTCCCTTGATACGGAAGGAAAGCATGCCACCTCCCATACCGTCTCTGTGTTGCTTGAGAGCAATTTTGCGGTGCGGGTGGGAGTCCAAGCCAGGGTAGTTGACAGCGATGACATGTGGTGAGCTTTCCAATGTTTTGGCTACCACTGTCGCATTAACTGTGGCTTCTCGAGCTCGGAGATGCAATGTCTTCAAACCACGGTGAGCGAGCCAGCTGTCAAATGCTGAAGGTATGCATCCAATGGCATTTTGCAAGAAGCCTAATCTCTCCTTCATAGCGTCTGAGTTGAAAGCGGCTACTCCCATCACCACATCGGAGTGTCCATTGATGTATTTAGTGACAGAGTGAACGACAATATCAGCTCCGTGGTCCAAGGGCTGTTGAACGTAAGGACTCATGAAAGTATTGTCAACCACAACCATGATGCCATGTTCGTGTGCCGCTGTTGCCACCGCTCTAATATCCACAAGGCGCAGAGTAGGGTTACTGGGAGTTTCGATCCAGATGAGTTTTGTCTCTGGTGTAATATGATCCACAACATCCACCTCGATCTCTGGCGTAAATGTAACCTTCACACCATGAGCCTTAGCTACCTGTGTGAAATATCTGTGGGTTCCACCATAGACGTCCGAGACCGAAATAACATGCGAACCAGCGGCTAAGGACTGCAAAATGGTAGCCGTGGTAGCAGAGCCGGAAGAGAAAGCTAGGGCGTATTTCGCGTGTTCGAGAGCTGCGACAGCCTGCTCGAAATTATCACGATTGGGATTGGAGCTTCTGCTGTATTCATATGCACCAACGGGTTTTCCGACGGCGGTTTGCGCAAATGTTGTAGAGAGGGAGATGGCTTCGATGACGGCGCCAGTGACGGGATCATGAGGGGATCCAGCATGAACTGCCAGAGTACCAAATCGATGGACTGGCGAAGGAGCTCGCGGAGGAGTTTCAATGGGATGATCGAAGTTTGGAATAGTCATTATGAGGAGTAGGGCGGGTGGTAATTTCACGGGCGGATTTTCTTTTTCTTCTCTCCAAACACTTTTTTTTTTGCACTGATAGGAGAGGAGAAAATATGCGAAAAGTTTGATGATAGTTTGTCACGAAATATAGAAAAAATGGTTGCGGGGAAGTGTAGACTTATATTCTTCTCCTTCACTAATATTAGAGGTAGAAAATATGCAGGTGTCTCTTGGTTATGGATCAAATTGGTAATAATGTGAGATGGTTTGAATGTCGTGACGGGGTAAACCTTATTTGTAAGAACAAAGGCGGTAAATATAGATTCTAGATCCGCAACTAAAGCACGCCATTCCTCTTATGGAGCAAAGGGATCTCTAGCAATATCTGATGTTAAGTAAGAATAGGCAGGAGGAACGTATGATATGTCATCTGGCTGCTTATTTGCATGTTGGTAGGCTGAGGGAGGTGACGAAATGGAGATGATATGAAGACGTCATGACAAAGAGCTATTGTGCTTTTGAGAGTGTTTAACCTCTGATAATTAATTGGTGGAACTACTGGGCGTCCTTTTGGTCGTTGGAGTCGAAACATAGGAGACGGTGCAGGTTGTTACTTGAATGTAAATAGTGAGAACTGGAATACTGGGTTAGATGTAGATGTGAGATCTTTTAGTAGGTATCCAGATGTCGATAAGTAACGATAAGATACCCGCACTTAAACCCGTCCAGCCGGAAATAGCCGGAAAACTCTTATCGATTAGACACTGTTTGCTTACCGAAGACTTGAGGTAACCTCACGAACCCAAAATGTCGGCGCACTTTTCATCCGTGGTCCGTGATCCGTGATTGAAAACGTTGTTGTGGGTCTGGATCAGGATGGCTGAGATGCTGACTAACACTGGGAAAGACCTCCGTGAGAAAAGTATTTGATTCGTTGAATGAGTAACCAGGATGCCACAAATAACTCAACTTCCGATGTTCCGAACTCCGATTCGTAACTATCCTAGTACTCAAAAACAGTCTCGATGGTAAACAAATCAATGCGAATCGAAACACTAAGGGATGAAATTTGAACTTATCAATTAGATACCTCTGACCAACATATATCACGCAAAAGAGATTCAAATTTCTATCTCCACTCCATGTATTAGGCACAGCCCTTTTCAATATGAACATTTACCAAAAGAGTCAACCTGCTCGCCACCTTTGATATAACTTGTATTTGTCCCCTGGCAGTGCAACACAATGCCACCGAGAAGATCGCATAAGAAATCCAAAGCCGGATGTCAAAGATGCAAGCATAGGAAGATCAAGGTAGCCAGTCATTGTTAATAGTATCATAAGATGTCATGAGCATGTGCTAATTTTGAGTCAGTGTGATGAAAAACATCCCTTGTGTGGAAATTGCAAAAAGCATGGTCCGTATATCTTCACTAGAGAGCAGAATACATGTTGATGTTGACTATTAGGCGTTTCCTGTGACTTTGCCGACAACCCATCGTCACCTGACTCACCAGCCTTCCAACCTCCAACGCTATCTCACCAAACTTCAGATGAATCCGTGGCCCATGTATCTTCACCAGCTTCTACCAATTCTTCGATAATGCCATTCTATCGATCCCCTACGCAGATGATCAGAGGCCATAGTAATTCAGTACATGATCGATCACTTGAGCTCAGGCTTATGCACCATTATACGGCAGCGACTTCGAAAACTCTATCTAATGATGAAAGTCAGGACGTTGCTTGGTCTGTCGACGTACCGTCACTCGCTTATGATTCTCCATTTTTGATGGATGCTATTCTTGCTGTATCTGCTCTACATTTACGTATATTACAACCCGATGATCGAAGTCTTGTACGTGCTTCACATAGTTATATGGCATCGGCGCTTGCTCAATATTCTTCTCTGTTGAACAGAGGTCTGTCCGAGAGCAATGCAGAAGCTCTTTTTTGTACAGCTGCTCTCATTGCTTTCCAAGCATCGGCATCCCGTTGTGTCGAGAATGGAATTGATGGTGATTCTGATAGTGGTTATGTCTTTCCACTCGCTTGGTTTCATTCTTTTCAAGGGGTGAAGACAGTCGTCATAACTTCCTGGCAATGGTTGCGGAATTCCGAGAAAATATTTCCTATCATCAATGGGCAGCCTCCATTAGTACTGGATCTTGATCCTGATCGCCGAGCTTTCTTTGCTTATTTACTCGAAGGTACCGAAGACGAATCAAGGTCAAATGATGCTTACATAAATGCGGATACGAAGCGGGCATACGAACATGCCGTTGCAATGCTAAACTGGGCCCATCAAAACCAGAGAGCTCGAATTCTTGGTTTTGCGGCCACCGTATCGCGCCGTTATATTGAGCTATTGAAGGAACAGGATCCTCGTGCTTTAGTCATTTCTGCATGTTTCTTTGCTATGACACGCATCGTTGATGAAATTTGGTGGCTCCAAGGTGTCGCTAAGAGAGAAGTAACTGGAATTTTTAGCTTGTTACCGGAAGAGTGGTGGCCTAAGATGGATTGGCCGATGAAGATTTCACATTTTGAGGGAAATCTGGATGAGAATACTTGGGGTTCTTGTTGGCATTCTGAGGGCACGCCAAAACGAGAAGAAGGCTTCAATGGCAATCTTATCTCGCATATTGATATGTTGGCACAAATTTTGAACCAAACCGCACCGCCACCAGATTGAAATAATTCATATCTAAATTGTAAGATTGCAAGCGCAGGAATGGGAAATCCCTTTGATCAATTCCGGATCATTGCGGTTATCGAAGTGTTGGGATTGGGATAACAGTCACTCACTGGAAAAGAAGCACTTACGCTATTATGCATGCTTCCTCCTGGGCTATCGGGAGCACTCAAGGCATATATACACGGCTAAATAACACAGCCGACTGTTGATGCTGATGATGATGTACAGTACGAGCTATCAAGCTCCAAATCTTTCAGGTTTTAATGTGTAATCAATATGTAATACAAATTCATGTATGGGCGCATGAAGCACAAGGGATGATTCTATTAATAAGTAAGAAATCTTGAGATTATATTCGCATAATTTTTGTCCCTCTTTTCTTTTTAAAGTTTGTGAATCTCATGGGAATAAATGCAAACTCTTCTTCCCTCTCAGAGTCATATAGCTCTGCTGTTGGAGATATGATAGATATCACCTCGAGCTCCTTATATTCCAGATTCATCACTGCAGCAGCAGCAGCGGTGATTAATCACTTCTTGTATTTTAGTTGAATCCACTATAAATGAATAGATGGATGAATAAATAAATTAACGAACTAAAACATTCTCGTCTCGAGCTCTTCTTTGCGCTTTGAAGGCCTTGATATAGAGTAATTATATCTCACTCCCATCGCACCCGCTCAATGTGATAATGATATCCGCTTCCCCCTTTGTAAAAAAATAAATTTGGGTTCAAATTCATTTCTTTGGTCTGTTAGATTCAAGAGATTGGGATTTATGGATTTATGAATTAAGGGTTAAGGATTAAGGGATTAAGGGATGTTGATTTGTTGAGGCAAGATTATGAGGTGTGTATTTATGTGTGTTTGTATGTGTTTAGGGTTATTTTTGGAGATGTGGGTGTGGATTGTAGGTTGTGGTTTGCGGGTTTTGAAGGGGGGGGAGAGAAATGAATAGGAAGGGAGAAGGAGAAGGAGGAGAAGGAGGAGAAGGAGGAGAAGGAGGAGAAGGAGGAAAAGGGATTTGTATATATGTATATATATTATAACAAACGAATAAATGCATAGAATCTAGGCCCCATCTTCTTCTATCACATGAATAACATCATACAAATAAATATATATACATCTATACACATCTATAAACGATAATACCCTCTCTGCTAAATCCAAAACTTAAGATAGAAATACTGAAAATACAGGACAAGCTGCTCCACAACCACAAAGAAGATTTTAGCGGTCCCTCCTTGTGGCTATCAAGAGAGGAAGTTTTGAAGACGCGAATAGTGGACCGGCCAGGAAGACCTGAATCATCTTAAATAGTATTTCCGTGGGACAATGTATATTTTTGATACACCGGTTTAGCTCTCAGATTCGTGGTTATACATATATGTAGATGTATATGTATGGAATTGTAAGTAGGTGGAATTTACAATCATTGTAAAGAGAGAAATTGTGTACTTCCTTTTTGGATAATATATGTCTAGAAAAGAAAACACTGACATACTGCATCTTATTGTCACCGACTGCTGCTACCTGGATTGAAGTCATGATAGTGATATTGTAGCATGTATTACACAACAGCCCTCAAATTCAATGGAGGAGATTCATAAAATTAAAAGTATTAGGTAAAGAGTTCATATACACGCTTCCGGCATCCCTCATTACAATATGACCTTCTAATATCCATAAAGGCTATGAACGTATGAAAAGCAAAAGACAACCAGCGTGGTAAAGGAGCAAAGCAGCCTTAAGGTATGTTACGCCTGCAATGCCTGTGTATCTCATCTTCACCCCCCAAACTCCAAATCGCTAAAATCAATCCATAGCATTCCTGAAGCAAGTACCCATCCGTATCAATCCCTGAAAAACACAGCTAATATCCCTGAAGGATTTATCATCTTCTGGACTTGGCCATAGCTGCAAGCCTTGCTCGCTTTTCAGCTTTCTCCTTCTTGAGTCTGTTCTCCTCGGCAAGTGCCTCAGCATCTTCCTTCCTTGCAATAGCAGCTGCCATTTCTTCTTCTTCATCAACTTCAAATGTTGCCGCTTCCATATCAGAGGATACATCAGATGCATAGTCATCCTCCTCAATATCCTCCTCCATATCGTCCTCGTCCTCATCAGTGGCGTAGTAGCGATCAAGATTCTTTCTACCATTTTTATATCTGTCGTTACCTCCACTACGAGAGGAATATGAAGATGCAGCAGGTTTGGAAGTAGTTACACCACCGCCTGGTCTTGGGCGAGCAGTTCCAGTGTATCCAGTTGTCGCTGTTGCAGCCTTTTTAACCTTCTTCTCAACAGCTGGAGGTGGAGCCTTGGCGGACTTCATGCCATTTAAACCACTTTGAACATTCCGACCTGAAACCTGGCTAGACTTCTGAAATTTAGAATCCGGTTCCAGTCCCTTTTGAATTGTCTTCCCTTTTTGCGTCCTTGCTTTATCCATCTCTCGTTTGGGCGGTGCTTTCTCGATTGATTTGTGTCTAATTACTCCAACCTGTCCCATAGAAGCCTGAGCGGCTTTCCCTCGTGCCAGAATCTCCTGAAATGACCCTTTCTTAGGAGGTTTTGAAGATTCGGTGGAAGAAGGTGGAGGAGTTGGTTGTCCGTTCTTGAATGTAGTGTTGGCGGTGTTAGCCGAGCGCGGAGCCGGTTTTCGTGTGTTTGTGTCAATCCTCATCCTGCCCATACTTGTATCAACAGCTGTAGGACGCTGCGTTTGGGTGATTGGTCTCGATGTAGGCACAGTATTTGGCTTTTGCAGTTTATCAACCGGCTTCCTCAAATCATCGTTTGCTTTTCGCTTTGGCGGGAGAGTGGCGGTCGGCATCGTCATCGTTGGGTTTGGCCCCCCGGAAATCTGGGCAAGAAGATCACCGATCTTGATCAAGTCAGTATAGAGATAATCTAGAGTGTAGAAAATGAGCAAGAATGGACGTACCGGCATGTTGAAAGATATGCTTGTGATACTTTGAAAATGCGAAGAAAGAAGAAGATCAAAGAATAATGAACAACTCAACCGCTGATCGCGTGGATTTCTCACTTCTTGTATTGCATCAGCACCTGTAAGTTGATAAATATAATGCTAACAGCAGGAATAGAATTTTGACGGTCGCGGGATCGCAAACAACTGCGCTTCTCAAGGAAATCCTGTATGTGTGTTATTCCTGTAAGTTGTTGTTCAGGCACTGAATGAAAAGCAAACGGCGGCTTTAAGTTCAATTCCATGTCACGTGATTGGATGTACAGGAATAGCTTAGTGCGAATCCAATTGCCCACACAAGAAACTTTTTGATTTTAATCGAAATCGAGATCCACAATCGAAACTTTTACAAACCTCAAAACTCTCAGAACTTGAAATTTCAGTCTCCGTCTATTGCGGTTAAATCGATTGATATACCTGTTCTTCAAACGAAAAAAATAAATGTAAGAACTTGTTCATGCTGCATACCACAGCATTTATTCGTGGCTGAAATCATCATTTGAAATCATTGACTGACAACATTTGCGCATAGCATTCAAAATGAAGTACCTCGCAGCTTACCTCCTCCTCACCATCGGTGGAAAGGCCTCTCCTTCCGCTAAGGACGTCACCACCGTTCTCGAGTCCGTCGGAATCGAGATCGACCAAGAGCGTCTCGACACCCTCATCAAGGAGCTTGACGGAAAGGACATCAACGAGGTTGGCACAATCAAGAATATGCACACATGTAACGGTAGCTGACATAGAAACTAGTTGATTGCTGAGGGTTCATCCAAGTTGGCATCCGTTCCATCTGGTGGTGCCGGTGGTGCTGCCCCAGCTGCTGGTGGTGCTGCCGCTTCCGGTGGTGCTGCTGCTGAGGAGAAGGCCGAGGAGAAGGCTGAGGGTATGTTCTATCCTATCACATAATCTGCATACCTACTAACGCCATAAATAGAGAAGGAAGAGTCCGACGAGGACATGGGTTTCGGTCTTTTCGATTAAGCAATCAACTGGCATATCCACGAACTCGATGCTCTCGACCCGCCGGAATATCATTTCGACACTTCTGGGGGAATTCGTGCAGGCTTGGCCTGTTATCTGTATGCAATATGGGTAGAGGGATTGATTTTCACCAATATCCCCATGACAAAAATTTATTCATGCAAACTAGAGCAATAAAGACGTGATTCTTCAATTATTATCATCTTTCAACAGATGGGTATCCATGAAAATATATAAGTGCAATTGAAATGACTGAATACGTTTATATCTGCAGTAAATCGCTTGGAAACAAGTGCTGGAAGCCTTCTAATACGTCTCGCGTGAATGCGTGAATGAACGAGCTTACGCAAGTTGATCCCTCCATTTTCCGGAGAGAAGCCGCGCAAGACCCTGATGTCCAACTCAATTATAACGGTTGAAGGCCAATCAAGCCTAGACTATTCTTCAGCCCTCCAATGCCCCTGCATACTGATCATTACTGTACAGTAGAGAAGGACAAGGCTGAGAGGTTTTCATAATCATTTGCCCTATTTTAGCGCCAAACTTTAAGCGAGAGTGGAATTTGCAAAATTCCTGCCTGAACAATTCCATCACGACAACTCCATCCTTTCGACAACTTTCGAAAAGCACCCAACCGTAAAGATGGCCGACGAAGAATATGTGAGCAATCAATTAATTTTTCCTGCGATTATTTGGATCGTAAAATATCTCTGCAAATGTTGCGGAGTTGACTTCAATGAAATAGAAGGCTAATAATTTCATCAATTTAAACAGGATGCCCAAAAGGCTGCCGAGATCAAGGCAAAGAGAGCATTCCGCAAGTTTTCCTACCGTGGAATCGACCTCGACCAGTATGCCTACCTTAATAAATCCACAACATGAATATCAAAGGGGATCTCACAGTAGCTAACCCTCATATTCTTCGAATAGACTCCTCGACCTCTCCTCCGACCAACTTCGCGATGTTGTCCACGCTCGTGCTCGCCGTAGGTTCAACCGCGGTTTGAAGCGCAAGCCTATGGGTCTCATCAAGAAGCTCCGCAAGGCCAAGCAAGAGGCTAAGCCAAACGAGAAGCCTGATTTAGTCAAGACTCACTTGAGAGACATGATCGTTGTCCCAGAAATGATTGGCAGCGTCATCGGTATCTACTCCGGAAAGGAGTTCAACCAAGTCGAAATCAAGCCTGAGATGGTTGGTCACTACTTGGCCGAATTCTCTATCTCTTAGTAAGTTAACCTCAAACTCATTCTTCCCGTATTCTTGAAGAAATTTCCATACTGATTTTGTAACAGCCGACCAGTCAAGCACGGAAGGCCCGGTATCGGTGCCACTCACTCTTCCCGTTTCATTCCCCTCAAGTAAATTATTGGGATACATTTACTTTGTATCATTTGGGTTATCAAGGATGGATGGATCAAACATTTGCATGGGATTGTATGGCGAATAGGCCTAGAACACCAACCTGCTTCTTGACTACGGTCGGAAGACAGCTATGACAGATAGCATGCAATAGGCCAATATGACAATAACGTCAAGAACACATCGTCCCTCCTACGCTCCCCGTGAAACCCACTTCCGTTCCTTTGCCTGACTTTGAGGAATTCCCAAATAGTGGTCGAAAGCTCAATTGTGGCCTATTGTTTTCCCTGGATATGAACCTTTTGTCTTGAATGAGGCGGCACGACATCCACGCTCACCCGTCTGCTCAAACGATCCATGATTGTGGAGCATTTTCACTTACACGAAATCAGGTGCTTGTAGATCCAAGAAACCACATCTATAAATCCTGAAAAAACGACTACGATCTCTTCCATTCACATGTACATTCCCACTTCCTCCAATTCCGAAGCCTATACCGAATGCACTCCTCCATGGTAGAGTTCTCATCTCTACAATCTTTCGCATAACGAGTCCTTGAGACTTTTCTCTAAATCTCAGTATTTATCATGCAAGCACGTCCGTTCTTTTTCGAATTTGTTCCCCTTTTTTCCCTTTGTCTTGATTCTCTTATTCTGCTTCCCTTGTCGCTGCTCTCCTTGATCCAAAAACAATTCATTTCATGAGTGTATTTGTGCGTGGTAGCATAGAAGTGTTAGACTTGTTCCTACAAGGTTGAGGCGAATGATGCATACCAATACTTCAGACAATGATGTGTGCGAGTGCCATGAGAATAGTGGATGTAGAATTATTGGAGAATTTCTTTAATTCTATTCTTTGGTTTGAAAGGGTATTACATACATATACTCGCGATTACGCTTTTTGTGCACCGGAGCAAACACCACCGCCGCCGCATTATCTGCTGTGATATTAGACCATGGTGTGGTGAAAGTGAGATCTGAAAGGAAAGAAGGACAACTAGTTGAATGTTCATTCCCGAAAGACCGGTGAGGAAATCAAGTGATAGCTCATGACCGAGATTATTTCAAAAGTCTGAAGTCACAGGTTATTCATAGACAGCAATAGAATATAACCGTGAAGACCTATTCCCAATCTCAGTCACTTCAGCCCGCAACAAAATTTGGCTAAAACCACAGCAAATATCACGATAGATCTAGCTTACACCCTAGAAAAGTCAGCCCGATAGCTTTCCAGATCATCTCATCCGCTTACATCAATGGTTAGTATCCTCAATTTAATAGCTGCGGCATTCTTCACACCTGTGCTTGTCTCTGTATCATGCTGAGCAACTTGTCAAATGATTTCATGTCAGTAATGGTGCTCCAACAACCCACGGGTAGTATCTCATCTCTAGTAACCCTCACGTTTCTATCATTTCTCAAAATGCTGAGAAGATACTTCGAAAAGTTCCCAGCAATTCCAAGGAAAAATTATCAGGCAATCCTAGTCAAACTTCTTCTCATCAAACGTCAGTCTTACTCTCAATAACCGTTATTTGACTATTAAATAATTTCAAATGTCGTTGAAGTGCTTAAATCATCTTCAACATTTCATAGCTCCAGAAACGCCGAATTGTTGTCACGGTTTTGTTTCTCTACTATTTAACTTTCGTGTTGATTTCTAGCCCGAATGTAAGTGGCCTTGAGGTCGTCAACATTACCTGCCTTTTCACAGAAACCTTATGCATTGAATTTCATTTCTTGAACGACGTTGTCATTTTCCTGTCTACCCGTCTGATAATAAGAGATAAAAGAAGAAATTTTCCTCGGACACTTGCCCTAATGCTGATCAATTCCTCAAATGTTCGAATTTCTCACTGAAAGTGCTGTTTCGGATGTCGGCCTGTTGATGTGGTCTTCTATTTTTCTAACTTAATTCAGCTCTTTAGGTCATAGGTAACGTATTTCGCTCTAGACATGAAAGTGATAAAAGATCCTGATCTTCATGTGCGGCCTTTCTAGTCACTCTAGCTTCAGATTTCGTACCGTCAATGACACATGACACAGATATAGAGCTGCTCAATTGCGAGGATATTCCTTTCTAGAACATCATTGTTAGAAGTCAAATCAGTGTTGCTTGAGCTATCGAATCCTCTGTAAGTTCATCTATTTCGTCATCTTCTTCATTCCCTTGAGTGAACCTCTTTTCGAGCTGCATTGTTTTGTCTGTGATCAGTATGAGTTTTTTAGGGTTTGACCTGGATATGCCGTTCTTAGTCATCTACTGCAAAATGTAGTCCCTGTCCCTGTTCCTCGTCCTTCTATCGGAAGACTAGGGAATCTAAATTGATGCAGTGAAAATTTTAGTTTTGCGGACCGCGGCAAGACAGGGGAGAAGCTTCCTTCTCCTTCATGTGCCAGCCACGATGAGGATTTATTGCAGTGAGTATCAGCATTAAACAGGCTGAGGGACGAAGTTTTAGACAGCTCAAATCCTCTGTGCATATGAAGGCGCCCGATTTGGTCTCTGTAATATCGATTTCCATTTGCGGCCTCGAGATAGAGGATCGTGAGCTCGGCACAATACCGAAGTCATTATGAAGAATTGCTGGCCACTGTTCGGAGGTTACACCACGTATGGGATACGGAACGCCAAATACACTTGGATTTGAATGTGTGGCTGGAGGTGAGCCGTGCAATCTCAAATGGGCTCCTACTTCTGCTGAAATTGCAACTGTATTACCATCCACATTGGAGGTTGTTATCTGTAGCTCGGATTAGCATTCGGCTCCCTTGCATAATGTTCGGGCCAGCTGATAGTGGAGGTTCTAAGATGAAAGCAATATTAAATAGGGCAGTCAGAGATGAAACTGACTGCTCTTTTCACCTCGACGATGTCCCCTATGGTCTCGCTCTGATCTTGGCACTCTTTAAGGCAAAGGCAAAGGGATTGAACCATTCTTAAAGAGGTTGAATGTCGGCATTGACTTAGGATTCAAAATCACTGTTAACCTTGTCACTGAAGTGACTTTTTATTGGTAGATACAGAACACAAGTATCATGAGGCGGATATTGTCCGCCGCCGACATAAGGGTCTTCTTCTCCTCTTCATTTCTTCATCTGCGGGATCTCAATTGGGTCATCTCTCCTGGGATTCCACAGCGAGCCGATTGTTAACTGGGCTTGGTATGGGGCTCATTTGCTAAGATTGTAGCAGTACATTAGTAAAAGTTATTGATCTCCACCTCGGCCTTGTACTCGATATCCATATCAGATTATATGGACTCATCCCATTCACAGGTCTTCCTGATAAAAGAACTGAGCGCTAGTAAATAATATTTTACATGCCCATTCATAGAACTAAAGTTGAATATCACACCAGTAGCATGAGCATCCACCAATGTATAGGTATTCTAATCACATAGACTGAATGTTGCGAATTTGATAGATACGATAAGTTAGTGAAAGTGCTTCCCCTGATCTATACCGGTAAGACTTGAATCTCATATCTCAAAAAACTTCCACGCTTCCAATTTCGACGGTAGAGCTTTGAAGTCTTTTTCATTTTGTTTCGGAGAATGATGATCGATCTAACACGAACTGCTTTATTATATATGTTGGGGTGGACGTTCTCGGGATAGACCAATAAACCCACGAACATTCTCCGAGAACCTGGTTGTGATAAATGATTTGAGCATCTGTGACGTTCTATGATCGTCGTTGGTAAAGTAGATAGATATCCGAGCCCTTGATTGTTTCCTGCTTGGAAGTACGGGAAAATGTGATACCATAACAATTATGGACAACTAAATCGTTTCCTTACCAGCTTCTGCGAGACTCTTATCTTGAAAACTAGTGCCCTGCACTACATCTGACGAAAATAGGAGACGAGCACCCTGGGAAGTATAGTTAGCGAGAGATCGATTATAAATTCACATATTTCCCAACTAGATCATTCTGTCCTTACCTGCAGTGACCTTTACCCTATAATCCTATCCAAAGTCTATAGCCCTTCTCTTTTTTTTAAAAAAAAACAAGGTGTCACAAATCTTTGATAAGGTTAACTAACCAAGCTCATCCCAAAAAAAAGCTCGAGTCATATGCAGATCCGTCGCTTGCAGCTACAAATGTCACAGATAGTGCACATGGCTTCATCTAATTTAAACTTTTATCATTATCCGTTCTATAGAAATTGCAAGTGAGCGGTGATATAAGAGTCATTTTTATATATTCCAAGTTTACTTTGAACATATATACTAGATTATCAGTAAAAAATCTTCCAACTCGACCTTATATATATATAGTTATTATTTAAATTTGTACTTTCTAACTTCCAATCAAAATCAATACGGATATTCCGTTTAATTAAAAGGTAATAATATTGTAACTCATCTATCTATCTATCTCCGACTTCCAGTCTTCTAGCCTCCTAATCCATCAGCAACCTCATAATCAACCGCTCCATTTCGCACTGTCTCTGCTGCTATATATATGGTGCCGTATCCACGGGCCGGGCTGAGCTCAATTTCTGTGTCCTTGAGCAAACTGCTATTTTTTTTTTACCTTTGATATCCTTTTAATTTTAGTTAATCTATGTTTTGATAATCTATCCATCTTACCCAATCGATTAACTTTTCTTATTATTATTATTATTATTATTAATAATATTATTTTTTCCTTCTTCTTTTTTTTAAAAAAGAAACCAAAGTTGAAGCTAGATAACTAGCGACCTAGTACCTATACAAGACTTACGATTCTATAAACAAACACAAGCCGTAAGATATTCCCGCAATTAACGAAACTTTTGTTGTCTGCCTGTCTGTCTGCTAGGAAGGTAGATAGGTAGGTATATATATTGTAAAAGTGGTAGGTCGAGATACATACATCCCGATAGCACACTGTAAGGGAGAATTAGAAGAGAAAGCTGATTAGATCACATCGTAATACATCACTGATAGAGAAAACAGGGTTCATAATGGTTTGGGGGTTAAGGCTATGTGGAGTCAAATGTATATATATAAAAGATTGATTGTTATAAAAAGAAAAAGCAGGAGCTCTCCTTTTATATCTAATTATAGGAGGTCATATAATGGACTAATTAAAAACCCCTATATATTTGGCCTATAATTCCAACTTTCTCACAATATATCTAGATAGATACACTAAAAGGAATACAGGGTGATTGTTTAATATTTACTATTTAACCTACATTTGTAATCTTATAAATATAGCATATTAGCCCAACATGGTGCGGTGTGTTCATACTCGTGCGATTGAATCTATGGATTTTTTTAGTTTCAAGAACCGATCCACCGTCCGACAGAACATTGTTATGAGGTAGGATACAGTACGTACCAGGACTCTTATGGCATTGCTGTTGGATTTGCTAAGAGCTACAATCTCTTATGGCAGGTACCTGTATCGGCGCACGATGTGGTAATCTTACAAAAATCACAATTACTTCGATTTGTTATAGTTGGGACGAGGACCGTGAAATCACATCTTTATTATTAAAGTCTAAGTATCTCATTCCATCCACGGCATGCAAGCCAGAGTGATGGTGTGAGCAAATATATATAGCCAACTTTTCCAAATACCGTACATTACGCTGGGGGAATCTCCCAAACCACATAACGAAACCTAAACGCCATAGAAGGACTGAAACATCAATCGATGTCCATCTACTTCTCCCTCGTAATTTCATCGCTCGTAGTTTCAGATGTATTCTCTACGCGAGTCGGCGCGCGAGTTCGTCTAGGACTGTTGTCGGAACGGAAGTATTGGTGAATTTCTTGGCTCCAATCATCATCGTAGGTTGCAATATCTTCCTCATTCTTGCCTTTCTCAGTTTGCTTGAGTTCCCATTCTTGGCGCATTTCGAGAATCTTGTCTCCGGCATCCAACTTGGGGTCATAGCTTTTACCAGCCTTCATCCATCTCTCCCACATCGACAAGTGTGCTGGGTGGATAGCAATACCATGATACTCGGACTCCCTACCAGCTCTGATATATTTCCATCTTCTTTCTTGCTCTTTGAGATCGAGACCAGTGGTGTCTGGAAGGAAGACAAATGTTAAGAGCATGCCGGCGAGGCCGAACCATGGAACGATGTAGAACTTTTGCTGAGTTGTAATAAAGTTGTAAAGAACTGATGCAAACAAAGCACCTAATTTGCCAACAGCTGCTGAGAATCCATGTGCAGAGGCGCGGATAGGTGTTGGGAAAACTTCCGCAGCGACGAGGAAGGTAACACTGTTTGGACCGAATTGGTTGAAGAACGACGACAAGAAGTACATGGCCTGAAAGGACTTGATACCAGCGATGCTAGTATATTTGGCGTAGTGGAAAGCTGGGACAACAAAGAGAATGAAATCTAAAGCGAATCCAACTTGCTGCATCCACTTTCGTCCATAGAGTTTGTTGTCGATGAGAAACGACGCGCAATAATAGCCGGCAAGAGATACCCCGACGTTACACAAGTTCCACAACCACCCTTCCATGATTGATGTTGAACCTGGCGAGATGACTTTGATGAATTGAGATTGGAACAGTTTGTTGCCGTAAAAGAAGACATCGTTGCAAAACCAGGCTCCGGCTGTAGCAACCAAGCGTCCTGAGAAATGTTTAACCGTCAAGCTAAGAGATTCTTTGTCGTATCCAGTAACATTCGTCTTCTTTTTGGCGAGGTCCAGTGTTTTGGAGATGAGAGGCATCTTATACATTCGGTAATAGACAAGCCACAGAGTGCCGACGGCAGGAATGGCGAATGAGACTCGGAAAATCCATTGTGCTGAAACTGTGGAATAAGGTGGGTTTCCACTTCCGTGATGGAAAATGAGAAGTAAAAGGATGAGAATGGCTTGGTTGAAGAATTGACCCCAACCTTGCATCAAGAAGGCCATGGTGACTTTTCGCCCACGATGCAGACGGTCCATTTTAGTTGTTCGACGATTTGGTGCCGTGGCACTTTCCATAGCAGCAGTGGCTGTCATCGGATATTCGCCACCTACACCGATACCGTAGAAGAACAATGACCAGGCGTAGCAAATAACCCAGCCGTTGAGAGTTGTGCCCCAGGAAGCGATGAGCATGATGAGACCAAGGAACATAATGACGGCATCTTGAATCAAACCCCAACGACGACCGATCTTATCACCCAAGTATCCGACGAGGATTTGACCAACAATGATACCAATAATTTCCAGATACGTGACGGCATAGGTCCACTGCTCATTACAAACTTTAAAAGTCTTCCAACAGTGTGGCCAGACAGCCGAGAAAAGGGGGGACAAGTTTCCGATAGAGAAAAGAACATATCTGGAAACATCATTAGCGTGCAAAAATACAAATCATAAAAATCGTCTTACCCTTCAAGACCCAAGCCTGCACCAGGGAGGACAGCATTGCTAAAGTACCAACTGACTGGACTAAGGGGATCTTTCTTCATCATCGACCAAATTGTTCTTAACTCTTCCTTCGCATCGGCTCCTTCAGTTCTGGTAATGAAGGAGATTTTGTCTTTGAATTTGAGATCCGCCCAGTACACGTGCTCTGCTGTGAAAATGTCATCAGGGTACAGAATTTCGTTAAAAACAGCCTCATCAGTTCCCATATCATATATCGAGACATGATCATCACCCGTTTCCGGACCATGAGGGAGACCAATTATGCCCATGTTGGTAGGGTTGTGGTGTTGATGGGTATGAATAGGATTCGCCATTTGGATAAATGACGAGAGGTACCTCGAAAATCGAGAAGCTGAGGAATTTGACGACAAAAGCCCTTATTGCTGAGGCAATGAAGGGGGAATGAAGAGATTTGGCGATGAGGAGAGAGGGAGTAAAAGGGAAAGATTGGGGAAGAGGGGAGGAGATGGAATAAATAAGGAAATTCCATTAATCATTAATCATCGACTACTGTAGCTGTAAGCACCTGAGCTAACTTTTCTTTCCTCGGGGTTTGTTTTTTTAATACTACGGTAGTCCATGCATACTATTCTAGCTAGATTAGCATGAAGAAAAATTGGACCAGAGGAGGCAGGAGTTCTCCGAGGTGGGGCATCACACCTTGAGGCGGGGCAGGTGGGAGGGATTGGAGACCGAGGAAGATCCATGTAGACTTAGATTAGATTGGTTTAGTGCGGAGGATATTGATTTTCATCGGCTCAGTTTTGTTAGTCGTCGACCAGGTATGCACTATTTGCTAATTGTATGGCTGGGGCGGGCGGTAGCGAACATTCTTTGCATTTCGACACATATGTTACGTAGGCACCACATGTTACGAGAATCAGATCTGATGGGTTGATAACGTTGATCTTGTTTTTCTATTTTTCTATTTTTCTACTTTTCTACTTTTCTATTTCATTCTTCATATTTATGAAAATTGGAAATTGGAAATAAGTCGGGATGAGATGAGGAATGAAAGACAAGCTTCATGAAGAATATTAGATGACCTACCGACTGGGAAACGATCCATGTACTACGTAACCTATCAGTAAATGGTTCGTAAGGCATCTATCTATCTTGTGGAATACTAACTGATCTTATCTCAATAATTTCTGGCCGGACCAATTACCCCGCCCATCCTTCTCAAGCCAACGGTTTCGGTCACAGATGCAGTCGCTAACTGTTGATCTAGACTGTGTGCTGTAGACTATCGCCTCTCAGATACCACTTTACAGTTGTTTCGTTTTAAATTATGATCCATGGTGTGTGCATGCAGCATAGTCTAGGAACCGGCGAAACTTTTATCGAGTCTTGCCATACCAAATTCCGAAATATTGGATAGCAGATATAAAATTGCAAAGGCTATTAGAGTTAACGCATAGCACTGTGATACACTGATACCCTCTGGCTGTTGACACTAGGTGATGTCCCCCACTCTGGACTTGGTTCCAACATCCAAAGGATAATTTGGATATCCGGGGTCAGTCGATGTAGCTCTTTCCAGGGTCGCCTGCTCCAGAACATGATTATCCAATATCATTTCACGGAATGGCTTTCCATGGGTCGCCTCATTGTAAAATTGTTTGCCGTGCGTCCTGTTAAGATTGAAAACGGAATGTCTCCTCCACTTAGCTGCTGTATCGGGGTTCTATCGTTCATATTGTGACTATCCCCCACTGAGGAGCATCAAAGAAACATGTGCGGGTGCCCCAGATAGTTTGTTTTATCTCACTTCGCGATGGTCTTTTTGATATCATGGAGTATGTCCCCTCAACCACTGCAAGCTCTCCAAGCCGGCACATTTCGTCCGAATACTCTTGTAATGAATTTTTCAAATGTGTGGCAACAATAAATGCATAAAAGCAACTTGGCGGACTTCATCCAAGACTCGCGTTCAATGTTTTTGGTGAGCCCCCTTCATTTGTTCAAAGATGAGGTTGCAATGGACCAATAGAGTGGCGAGAAGGCAACACGTTTTCATCTTTCAACCTTTCGCAGGGTTTTGGGATTTTGGATTAAGCGTTGGCTCTAGCGGCGAGGCGAGGTGGGGCCGATGGATCCACATGAATGCAGGTTCTGGGAATATCGGTGAGGCTGTAAACCCCTGGTGTTCATACGGCGACCGATTGTGTTTTTCATGCAGTTTGATATTTTCAGAGCACAACATAGCACAACATCGCCCAACATCGCCCATCGAGAGTCCAAAGATGAGTAGATCATCATCCATCACATAAAATTGGACTGCCTATACACAACTCTACTAACGGGGGCTATCCCTCCTAATCGGTTTATTCTCGCTTAGGCAATTCTGCCTGAACAATGCTTCCCGCGTGCGTTGGCCTCGAAACGAGAGACATCCACCAGAAGTAAATACTTCGCTCCCATCTCAAATTGTGTCTTACTGTATGACGAGGGTGGATGTGATGCCAGCGCCATCGAGTACGCCCGAGTGTCCCGACAGCGCGGTTCCTTCCTTCCCTTCCGTGATGATCTGCACCATCATTTCACCACTGCGATTGTAGCACGTTTTGACATTCTTGGCGATGAATGGCCAAGATCAAGCCATGGGTAAGGCTGGACGGGAAGGATGTGGATGCCTATCACACTCATTTGGCTCAAACGGGGAGGATGTATTCCTAAGACCGGCGTGACCGAGATCAAGAAGGAAGAATTTGCATGAGACCCCGGCAAATTGAGCGGCCATGCCAAATCCATTATCACTTGATGAGACGAATGTTTTTTTACTGTGCCGCTTGAAGCCAAGTCCGGCCACCTTATGCACTCACCTCACGTTCACAGTTCTGCTAAGAGATGCAGATTGGAAGACCTACGTGCATTGCATGGCGATCAAGTACATGCACATCGTTGCAATGCTGTACATTAGTTTGATGTATTGGAATCTATTCTCCGTAGACTAATATTTGGATCACGTTTGTGTGCTTGGATTGAGCCACAGATGTCAGGTGCTCGTTGAAATAGGTATGTATATGGTCACGTCAAATGACTGAAGTATCCTAAAAATCCGTGCCGCGTTGCATCCGGATGTCTCGGCTGGTGAGTCTCTGTTGCCTTCGCACAACTCGATTGTGCTCTGCTTTTGTCCTTGATTGATAAATCGATGCTGTCGTCTGTGAACTTTCAAATCATTTCGAAAGTTGGCGCTTCCTCCTGGTAAGTGTCTGCCGGCCAACATTCTAAACAAGCTGGAGACTTCTTGGGGATTCCCAAGTGTGAGTGATACATCCCATCATCATTTTTATCCCAACACGATGGCAGGACAAATTCATAAAGACGCGTTTGAAGTGATGGACGCTGTTGACGAAATTTCATTAGATATTCGACCGAATCGCATTGGCAAATGTAAAGGCCTTTTATAAATGTAATTCGCTGAACAAAGCATGGAATTTTGTTTGCGTGCGACGATATGTTCCTTTCATGGCTACAGCAGTGTAGGAAACATGAACATAGCGTCTCTCGCAGAGAGATGCGAGCGAAAGGGTGAAAATATTCTCAATAATTTTACTAAGAATGTTCAGTTGAGTTCCATCGACTAAATACGGCCTGTATGTTCGAACAGCAGTATGGGGGAATCTTCCAAATGATAACGATAGAGCTGCGACAAAGTGTGGAAATGTGCTACTTCTTTGGAGATCACGCGCACTTTGACAGCGCTGGGGAAACATCACCAAAGGAGTGCTACGAGCACCCATATCCATATTTTTTCTTACGACACTCTTGAGGTTGACTTATAGTTATTCCTGCTGTTTACCCGCTCTCGACTGAGTAACCTCACTTTCAGAGCAACAGGCAGAAATCACATTGCGTCAATACCACTTTCCGGCCATCGCAATGCTATACTCTTATAGCTACGTAGATAAAAGATAGTAAAACTATCCATGCTATGACGAGTTTTCATTACTCTATACTTGCACTGTATGCATATGCTGGATATCTACCTATATGCATGTCTTTTTGAAAGTGGAAGTAGAGAGAGCTATGCAATAAGGACTACATATCTTATCTCTGGTAAGGTGTATAATCTAGTACATGAAGCCATATCTCTGTTGGAAAAAGCTGGTGATAAATTGTAGGTCAAAACTGGCTCTCCTGTTTATTAAATGTACGCCAAATGGGTTGCCCTCTCGCTAGCTTCATTTCCTATTATCTATGGATGGACATTGGCCTGGCTGGCTCACTGTCATGACTGAATTCATACTTACTGTGAGTATTAACTCATCGCTTGCCAAGTCCTGTTACATCTATGTCTGTTGACGGCGCTTCACCCTTTCTTTGCTCCTTTATTTCGTCGGTACGTGGCAACTAACACAAGAATGATGTTGCAATGGCTTGGATGCAAGATTCTGTACAGCTTGGTGACAAATTCAGATTGATGAGCCATAATCATGAAAAGTAGAAATCAAAATCATACGTATACGTGATTTCATCACATACCTTTCACCGCACTCCTCACTTGCGATGTTGGATATTCACAGAGGTGAACTTCAATATGATAGAATTGGATACTGATTAGGTCCTATATAATATTGAATAACCGCAGGACAAGCAGCTTGATCTGCCTCTGCTCGTAGTGGTGAGCGTAATGCAGTGATCCGATTCTGCGCTTTCATCCTACCAGGCACCAAAGAAAGAGCCTTGACAGCTAAGCACCGGTGATGGATAAATATCCGATATTTGGGGCCGTCTGGTGGTCAATCCAAAACATTAGTGTTTATACTGTGGTTAGATGTTTTGATATTTTTGATCGAGCATAACATTCATAAGATATGGCAGGAAAATGGCATATAGTTTAAAATCTAAACTCCCTTGGATTGTAGTAGAATTTATTTTGCTCCATTGTAAGCTATTTCAGGGAACCCCATAACCCTAAGCAGGCGACGTAGAAGACGGCGTTTAGCACATTAATGAGGGCGTAGAATAAAATTGACTTAGAGTTAAAGCTGAGAGTTGGACCATGAGCTTAAAAGGCTTGAGTTTCCTCCGAACGGATGGAAATTTCATCTCCAAGTGCGTCCATATGTGTTTGTTGATGAAAGTCAGAGAGAGGTATATCTCATCCTGTCGTAGTACAAAGATCGGTGGAATACTTATCTTTGGCTATTTCGAAGCAGGTCATAAGTTTGATTCTCGCTAGAGTCTAATGCAGTATTAAAACATGTCTGGAGATACCTAGTAACAAGGGGGATAACCTGCTGTTACCAAGGGAACTTAAGGAGTTGATGGTTTTATTTTCGGCAAATGCTGTTTTCCGATTCTTGGGGAGAATGGGTTAAATACTCAAAAATATGACAGAACACGACTTGTGTCTCTGGATCTGACGGATTGGCCCCTTGAGACCAAACCTTAGAGAAAAACCGTCGTCTCCGAGACCGAAGACGCAAGTGGGAGAAGAGGAAAAAAAGAAATGGTGCATGAGGGCGAAAGATATCATGAAGATGCCGCTAGCTAACAACAGTGTTGCGGGTCAGGAGAGGAACGAGATGATAGCTGCAAGTTAGGTGATGAGATTCCTCACAGGTCGAAATTGACCTCAAATCTCGACTTTGTTCATTGTTCGCAGTTATTCCAATTTTCCAAACTAATTGAATCTTTTGAATTCATCAATTCTTAGAAAAGAATCCCACATTTCCTTAGTATCAGACCACACTAGAGACTGATTGGAAGCTGGTTGGCGATTAATAAAGGCAGTTGATAATCTCATCAAAATATCAGGTCCTCAATGCTGTCGTTGTGGACTTTTCACTGGTATACCATAAACGTTTAATGATTTTGAAAATCTTGATTTCAGGCAGCTTTTCTGACTTCTATAACGGCTCTTCTGACCCCATCGGACTCTTCCCTGATCTGTTCTACTAGAGCTCCCTTCGACATAACATCTTCGATGAAATCTTCTATTGAACCACCGACCCCGAAATACACCTTCTTAGCTCCTATCAATGCCCTCTTATTTGGCCCTGTGCTCAACTCCAGCAATGCCATCAATGTCTCAGCGAAAGCTTTCAAAGCAACAGGAGAGTAAATGGTCTCTGCTCCTATGATGATTGTGTTCTCGCACGATACATGCAACTTATCGTTGACTAAAGTTACAAAACCCTGGGACCAAGCACCTGAGAAAAATGATAAGTTAATATTACGGGAATTCAGCGCAGAGATGAACTCCGAGATAAGTGCTTCGTCGATATCGAGTTCACCTTCTGCTTCCCATGACTCGGACTTTGTGACTTGTGCCCAGGAAAGAAGTATATTAGGTAAGGTGACGAGCTGTAGGACTGTAGGATTGTAGTCTGCAAGTCCAAGCTCTAATCCCGGAACGGATGAGGTTTCGTTTCCGAGAAACCATTGGAAGACTGCTAGAGATGGAAGGGCAGTTCCACAGCCGAGCTATCATTGTCATTAGTATAATTACACTTGATATTTGTCCACACCAGAAGTCCCATCAACACAATACACACCTCCAAAACTCTTCTCCTACCCTCACCCATAGCCACCCTCCCGCTAAGGACCTTAACCAAATCCACCGAACTTTCCCAGCTTTTGAATCCTCCCTCATAAACACCAGTCTTCACATCATCATTTCCTAATCCTAATAAGCTTTCCCCATTTCCCTCATCCTCAGCCATCAACTGCGTTCTAACGTCCCATAACTCCCTCCTTGGAATTCCTATCTCCTTGCCACTATCCAATTTGATAATCAACGTAGAATAAGCAATCTGAGATGGTAGTGTTTTCAGTAAATCTTCTAACGCGTGATAGGTTGGAGGTAAAAGAGGCTGTCCTGCTACTGGAAATGCCCCGCTGGATTTTCGTGGTGCTAGGGTGCCGGTCTCTGCGGCATGGTTAGAGACAGATGGAAACACGTTCTGGGTTGAATCTATTTCTATATCATCGCCGGCGAATGAGAAGCTGAAGCCCGACATCTTCAAATCTGGAATAGGATAATGTGGACGTGGAAAGAAAAACCCTAAGTCGTTTCCTGGAAAAATAATCGTGAAAATTGGGCATCACGTGCGCCGCATCTTTTTGAAATGATGTCCCGCACTTTTGGAGGAGGAAATTGTGATGTCTGGAGCCAGGTTGACTCCAAGTCGTAGCAAGTCACAAACGGGTAATCACACAATGTAGATAAAGCATTCTTCAACATAAATACAGACAAATTACATGTACATGTAATCGTATTCATAATTTGTCAATCAAGGCTGTTCTGAATGCTGCAATTCTCAGGTATTTTATTCACCGATACTCCTGTCGACATTATTCTGATTACAATGATTTAAGCTTACTTTGAGCCTCGCTTCTTCCACTCTGCACCTCTGTTCGACGACCTTGTTCTGGGTTTACTCTTTTTCTTTCCGCCGCCTTTTCCTCCTAACTTTAAATCCTTTGGCTTGCCCTTGCTCGCGCTGGCTCTGTAACCCTCAAAGACAAAGCTCTCAGGTGCTTTTATGCCAGCCATCCCGCTCTTGGCTTCTCCACTTCCACCAGCCTGTTTGTCTCCTCTGATACCCAAAGTGGTATCATTAGCCCCCGTTTTCTTGAACTTCGCACCACCCGCTTTTCCTAATAGTTTGGTAGCTCTGCCCTGCAACGAGGCTTGATTTGGATCAACCTTCGGATTATAAATCTGGGATGACTTTGACGATTTCGGTTGACGAGCGGTAGGTCGGGAAGAGACTTGCTTGTGTTGGGCTTTGGCGCGAACGACACGAAGAACCCGAGGAAGCATCGGTGGATACTTTTTTTCGTTGAAAAGTAGGGCAGCCTCAACTGCATTTACGTCCTGTTTTCCTACGTTAATAAGAGTTCAAATGTTGGTAGACCATAGGAGAGTAACCTTAAATTGAACATAAGCGAATCCCTTTCCAACACGAGTTTTTTCATCACGAATAACTCGTACACTCTCTACTTCACCAGCTTTTCCAAATTGTCTCCACAGACCTTCTTCAACATCAGAGGGTATTTTTGACCGTTTTCGACTGTTCTCCCCATCTTGTTCAAGAAGAGATTCATCATCTACAAAGCCAAGATTACCGACGAAGACACATCGGCGATGATCGGTTTTCGCAGGATGTGCCACACCATCTACACGAAGATGGCGATCTAGGACCATAGTTCCGTTGAGCTTCTTGACGGCCTCTCTGGCAGCAAATGCTGTAGAGTAGACGACATACGCATTTGTGCTCTTCGTGGTAGCAGTCATGATATCCTTTTTAGCAAAGGCGGCTTTCTTTGGTAGTGCAGCAGTGGCGTATGCGGTTGACCGGAAGCGTAGGGTTTCTAATTTATGGGATGGTTTGCCCGACGGAGGAGGAGGAAGATCATTAATGAAAGAGGATAGATGGGACATAAGGATCTTTTTGTCGGCTTTAGAAGAGATAGTAGAACTTGCTACGTTTCCAAGGAAAATAGTGCGAGATGCCTTTTCAAGCTCGGCCGCGTCTTTATCCGCTACGAGGGATTCATGTAAAGGAACATCAGATGGTGTTTTTCTTTCGAGACCTTTCGCCTCGGAACCAGACTCTTCTGCATCGCTCTCAGCTCCAGCCTCGTCATCAGATTCAGCATCTTCCATCTCCTCATCAGAATCGCCTTCCTCCATACCTCCCTCCACAACCGGATTTTGCTTCTCAGCTAACTTCTGCCGTTTCAGTCGTCTTTCGGCTTGGCGTTCTTCCTCTTCCTTTTCCTCTTCCCTTGCCAGCTTCTCAAGGTATTTCCCTTCAAGGTCCGGCTCATCGTTCTTCCTTTTACGTTTTCGTTCCGGTTTGTCGTTTTTGGCTTTGATGAATTTATCCAATTCGGGTGTCTCGTCATCTACTTCGTTGGAACTCTCATCCTCAGCTGTGAGACCCGATATTTCGGCATCCTCAAGGTCGCCGTCAATGCTACTTAACTCATCGTCATCCTCATCTATTTTAAGATCTTCATCGTCCTCAACATCGTCAGAACCCTCAGATGTTTCTGCTTCTTGCGTTTCCACATTCTTTCGAGGCGCAGGTGGTGCTTCCTGATATCTTGATTTTGGAGGGGCTTGCACTGGGCCAGCCTACTGTTGATCAGTAAACATGCGCGACACCAGAATTTCGAGACTTACACTGGACGCGAATAGCAAGGCTAGAGTAGGGTCGACAGCCTTGCTTTCTGTGAGAAATGATTTACCGGCGGATTCTTTGCCATTGGTACTATCTTTCCGGCTCCGTTTACCCATTACGATTAAGATGTCAGTCGTTTTGAGATAATTGATGTAAAATGCTATCTGGTGCTCTTTCAAAATGTTAAGATATCGGGCTCAAGTTAAAAAAATAAAAAAGTTGCAGCTTGCAGGGATCACAGAATTAATACTGCCACCCAGCTCCGGCGACCGCCTTTGATAACCGAAGTTCTACCGTCCACAGCGCCATGATTCTATTCTAATGCTTTGGTTTGCGACAAGGTAATACATGAATATCACAATAAGTTTAAGCAATACTTGATTAACACTCAAAATGAGCGGCAAAGCTCAGCTTGAGATGTCGGTTGACCCCATCATACCTGACGAAGCTTCTATTGACGACGAGCTCAGTGATGTCGAGCTGGAAGAAGATCGTTCCAGCAGTTTGAGTGAAATTGAAGACAAAGATGCCGAGCAAGAACACGAGGATGATGCTGAAGTCTCAGACGAGCTCAGTAACCCTTCTGAAGATGATGATTCTGAAGCAGAGACAGAGCGACTGGAAGTATCGCCGCACAAGCTAAGAGTACAAAGGAATCTGGTTCTTAATTCCCATAATAGCACCGATTCGCAGGAGCGCAGCCCAAGCAAACTACACAATCAGATTATGGCACACGAGGCAGAAGAAGACGAAGACGACGCCGATCCATTATCCGACGACGATGTATCCATTGCCAACGATAGCTCTAAAAGTTCTCGCCATGACGATGCCGAGATGGATCACAATGCGGAGACAGCTGCTACTTCTTTGGAAGATGCTGCGGGCGAAGGAAAGAGGGCATTATCGACGTCTGAAATTGATTCAAAAAAGCGCAAGCGATCGATAATGGGCAGTGGCGGACTCGACGATGATTTTGACGAACCTTTGCCAAAGCGGACGGGGGCTATAGTCGATCAAGGCGATGACTATGCTATCGAGGATGATTTACCCGTAGAAGAAGATTTATCAAATACAATAAGCGGCAACATTTCAGGCGAAGAAGGCGATGGACCACAGGAGCAGGCACTCGTCGATGCGACAGAGGCAATACTTCCCGATTACGAAATTGCCGAAACCGCTAGCATACCGACGTCACCCAAAAGGCGAGGACGGAAGAAGAAAAAGGCTTTGGAAAATGGCACAAACATGGAGGACGAATTAGATGGTTTGCAGAACGGCATGTTGATCAATGGCGAAGATGGTACAAGGAATGGTGAAGAGGGCCATGTAGAAAATGAAGAAGATGAAGAGGCAGATCTCATATCGAAGACGGAGGAAGAATGTGAGTTTGTTATGCAGCAAGTAAAATTCGAAGATGTGCAGCTTGTTCTAACAGAGATTTGAACAGTGGAGAAAAAGATGAGCGCTTTTGATCAATTAGGTGGTATCGAGAAGAATTTCTCAGTCTTCAGAGACAGGTGAGATTGCATTATTCTCATTTTTTCGTTTGCTAATATGATCGTAGACTGTATGATGAACGTCTCGAGCAGATAAATCGAGAGGAGGCTATGCTCCGACAAGACAATCCCACGCACCCGGATCTTCTAGCGATGATGAGCGCCGTGGAGGCACGGAGAAACGAGAGGATTCGTGTCGCTGAGAGACTACGTGAATATGAGCTGCAGACTCTTAAAACCTATGCTGTTGCGAGAAGGAGTCAGATTCTGGTTCAATATCGACAAGAAGCGAGAGAGATTCGGGAAAGTAAGATGGAGCAACTTGGTAAACAATGGTACGAGATACAGCATGATAGAAGGAATTACTCTACCGGAGTACCTGAGTACACTCTGAACTATCCTACGCGGAGATCGCAACAAGTCCAGAATCAGGTAGCATATTCCAACGAAGTTTCTATTCTTTCGGGTATCGCAAAACATGTCGGATTTCCAGCTGCTCCATCCATGGCCCAAGCAACACCTGCCGAGCTCGAAGAGGACTTCGAGAAGATGGGAGTAAGTGCATTATTTTAAAGTCATGGTCAGGATTTAGTCCAAAAAGAGATATTTTGTCAAGAGAGGGACAAGCTGACGGAGCTTCTTCATAGCGGACTACAAATGTGCATCAACCTGCAGCATTACCTCTGCAGGAATTAGCGGCCTTGCGGACAGCAGGATCGACATCACGATTCAGACCAGCCGAAGAACAATTCATTGAACAAACACCCTGGGCAAATCCGCAGCATCCTTCCCACGTCCATTTAATACAGCGTCAAACATCAGCACAGCATACCCCAAGAACCACGAGTCCGTTGTCCCAAATTCAAGTACAACCCCGACGACATTCTCATCAACAAGGCGGCCCTATATCTGGAACGTTTTCGAGTGTGTCGACATCAGTCCTACAACATTCGAATGGATACATGGTTTCTGGTGGAAGAGTTTCCCCACACAACCCATTTTCCAATACTTCACACCCGCATAAGATCTTACCGTCGCCATTAGGCAGTCGACAGCCATCGTTGTCGCCAAAGCAAACCAGACCTCCTCATATACCATTACACATTTCTAACGAGCAACAAAGCAATCAGGCTTCACAGATAGCCAGCAATCAAACCCATCAGACACCACGAGCCGGACTTCACGATGTGGTCCGAGAGATGGTTCGTGAATCTCCCCCTACAGAGATTGTGTCCAAACGCGAATTGGTTGGTCGCTTTTGATTGAATTTTATGACTACGAAGGCGCAAATACAAGGTTGAAGGTGCATGGCGGGAGTTACGGAAGAAAAGCATCTTGTTTGGTTCGGCGTTTAGGGATAGTATGGTATGATTCCCTTTGAGCGATATTGCAATCACTCTACATTCATCTGTATTTTTAACGTATTTCTACAAACCTACAAACTCGAATTTCATGAAAATTCGAAGAGTTTCCTTTCATCCAAACGCCTGCCTCTGAATCTATACTAATCATTGCATCCACTGGCGATCTCATGACGTTATTTAACTCAATCTTTCTCATTGTAAAGTCGCCTTTCCCATATATGTAGAGCCTGGCCCGCAAGAGCCGCTACTGATCCCAGTCATATCTTCTCAATTGAGTCAAGAATCTCGTTTGGTTGGTGCCGCTGGTACCTTGACATCTTCAAAATCGTCTTGAGATACTGCTCGAATAGTGAAAGCAACTGTAGACAATTATTACTGTGAGCTAGTTCAAATGCTCCCGCAGATACTTACAAACTCCAAGAGCGAATGCGAAAATGCCAGCGCCTGTCAAGGCATTCTTCACAAGATATGGTCTTCGAGCTCGGATGAGAGCGGCAGACTGTTTGTAGTTCTTATCGTAATATGAGGACTTGGGGACTCTATAATAGGTTCTTTGTTAGTATGAACAACCCAACTATTGGGAGTTGAATCATGAACTTACAACGGCATTGTGAATTTGATCTTTGTGATTTGAAGTGATCAATGGCGCCACTTTCCCAAGAGAAATACAAACAATAAAGTTTATGAGCTCCAGCCTTATCGATAAGGCTACCTTGAAATACGAAACCAGGGCCGCTTTGCAAGATTTCGAGCTTGAGGTTGGTTACTGCTGCTGTAATAATATCTATCGCGCAAGCTTAAAAAGAGTCGCGTTCTACCTTCGAACATCGCATCAAAGAAACACAATTCATCTGTTAACTTTGATTCTTTCAACAACAGCAACGCAGAATGGTTTGGAGTCAATTTTACTGCACACTCAACGAATCGATTTAGTGGATATCAGTGTAGTCCTTTCTCACATGCAGCTTGTACATTACAATCAATCAATCCATCGTAGTTCATATTCGACTTCTTTCCCCACAGCTCTGAAGCTTATCCTCCTGTCATCATCATGGCTACCTTGACTGTTGAACAACAAATCAATCAACTAAATGATGCCCGGAAACTTGTGCTCTCAGATGCCAACTATTACACTCAGATCATTCAAGGAATATTACCAATTATTGGACCGACGGCGAGGGTAGAATTAAGAAGATGGGGTGCAGATTTCCTAGCCGAGACCTTTTCAAGTCCAACCATACCTTCATCGCAGAAAGAAACTCTGAGCTTGGTCGTACTTGATACTTTGAAGGATATGATTGAGAATCCGCACGAAGATAGTGCAGTGGTTAAGAGTATTGTGCAAACAGCAGCTAGCATATACCCGCTTGTCGTTCGATGGATGTATGTTAATTTCTGTATCTCTACTAGCTTATGACTATGACTGGACTTGACCATTCGAATACCTTCCCCATCTGCATATTGTTGGATAGTGTCAAGCAAATGGCAATCAAAGATGGTCCTAACCTGTGTGCCTAAATAGTATTAACAATCCTTACGACATACCAACCTGGGATCGCATGGTCGCAATTAAGGCTAGAATACTTCGAATGTGGGATACCGCGAAGCCTGGAATAAGAATATGCTGCATAAAGTTTGCGCAGAGGGTTGTTTTGGTACAAACAACAGGCGCTGATGCAGATTCTAGAGTATGAAAGACACCTGGTATTCCTAAAAAACCATGATACTAATGTTATTTTTGCTTCAGCGCGGTGATCCCCTGCAGGTGTCGTTGTCTATGGTACCTCCAAACCATACTCTTCTTCCCCCGCGAAACCTTGAAGCCGAAGCGTCGGGCCTGCTTGATAGACTTCTGAGCGTCTTCCAGGAAAATTCTAGGTATGTTGATTCTATTCAAGACTTCTCTTACCTCCACCCCTTCGAAACTGACATTTCTAGCGATGCTGTACTTGTTGATGCAACTTTGAATTCCCTTTCCATCTTAATTCGAGCCCGTCCCCATATTGCAAATAAAATTTTGAATGTTCTATTAAACTTCAATCCTCTGAAACTTGCCAATTCTCCAATGACCCCCAAATTGCGCGTTATGGTTAAATCTATGGAAAAGACTACTAGATCGCTACTCAACCATATCAGCAAGCGGTATGTTCCTCTGTCCCTATATGAGTATGTAAGCTGATGGTCATAGGGACCCCCATAATCCTCTCAACGGGCGAATCCAGCAATATGTTGAAAGAATGATGCGCTCCAAAACAGAAATATTTGATGAGGCAAATAGAAAGCGTGGACCTCCAGAACCGGTGGACGGTCTAGATCCCGCCAAACGACAAAAGCTCGGTGCGCAAGTTACATCTCCAGCTCCGAGTAGACTCCATATACCACCATTAGCACCAGGAAATCACACAGTTGCCGAGCTTTTTACAATCACAACCGATGAAGCTCTGAAAGGATTTGATGTTGCACTACTATCAGAGGATCTAGTTGTTAAGATTGGCATAACAATCCTGCAGAAGATAGATACTGACACCCTTGAACAAGCTATCAGTGTAAGTTTTGCAAGTTCAATGAAATATCTGTACAAATACTTATCTGGCAAGTAGGGTGTGAAAGATAGGCTTCAAGCTCTCTCTGAGCCTAAAGCCGAGGAAATCAATGCCGAAACAGCTCCCTTGGGCGTAGAAGAAGATGATGATGACTACGAACCTGATTTCTACAATGCCGAGGACACGGAACAAATTTTGAACAAATTAGATAGTTCACCGCCCGAGGAGCTTAAAGTGGATATCGAAAAGGTTACCAATGTGGCCCTTGGACCGTTCACATTGCCGCCCCCTCCGTCCTTAAATGCCGAGGAGGTGGCGCTGGTTGGTCAAGGTACCGTTTCTCGAGTTTTCGGTGTTATGCAGACTTTAGATGAACCTGTCGCAAGAAAGGCAAAGGCTGGCATTAATAGGCTGGCAGCTAGTGCGTATGACCGAGATGCGTGGATTACTATCATTACACGCTTAGCAACACGCGCTGGGGCGGGTCTCGAAGAACCCTTAGACGCTGTCAAAATGGAATCACCAGATGTTGAACGATTATCATTAAGTAACACTATACGGCAATCTCTTCTTGTATACATTCTCGAAGATTTCCGAAAACGAATCGACATTGCAGTTGCTTGGTTGTGCGAAGAATGGTACAATGACAAAGTACAAATGAAGCTTGGAGACGGTTCAGCAGTGCTGCATTACGAAAAATGGACACTCAAGGTATTAGATGGAATTTCCATCTATCTTGATGCGAAAGATAAAGTTTTGACTAGGTTTTTGAGCGAGATTCCCGGATTGAGCCTAGAGGTGTTGAACAAGATCAAAGGGCTTTGCAAAGATCCCACGATGGTCAATTTATCGCTTACCAGTCTTCTTTATTTGGTCATGATGCGACCACCGGTCCGAGAATTGGCACTTGATGCTGTGGAAGATATTTGGAATACATGTAAGAGTTCATTCCTGGTTAAACTGTAGCCATACTAACAACTTTAAAAGATGAGAATGCGAAGCCGATTGCCGCCAAATATCTCAAAAAATGGCGGCCGGGATTTGAGGAGCGGTTACTCAAAAGCGATGAAGAAACGAAATCAAATGGCATGATTGTCAGTGCTTAACTGCACGAATAAGCTGGGATTGAACCTAATTTCAATGGACATGTCCTACTTGTATTTTAGCAGTCCTCACATTTCAGCATTAATCGGCGTATAAAGGAAATTTCATAGGACATGAATTAGGACGGAGATCAAAAAAGAAGGCCAAGTAGGTACACAACTGTATCATCTGGGGTTTTTCCTGGGAGGCAGAAACAGATACAGCGGTACATATCTTGCTCGAGTTAGCACCTGGATCATACTTTTTAGTACGATATCTATAATCGATACATAAAATACCATCTAAGATTACTTTTTCTGGCGGAATGATTGTGTGGTGAAATTTGTGTTAACCCCGGATAACCCCTCTACCACCTAACATACATTCTATTCTCTTATATGCGTCGCTTTTACGTATCGGCACCAATGATCCTTAAGAAGCTGTGCTTGTTTGCTTGTCCTGTAGAAGGAGTAGAAGGAAGAATATGCCTATAGATTGGGGGCAAAGGTGGAAGGGAGAAGGGGGAGGAAGCAAAAGTTGAGTCTTGGATATCGGTTTCGTTGTTGGAAATGCAGATGTAAATTTAATTTTAAATTTAGACTTAAACTTAATGGGAATATGGATGAGGGGGTCGGATTGAGTTGTAGTGAATAGTGTAGTGACTAAATAATTATAGTATTGTTAAGTTTGTGGGGTTTTAATGATTAATGGATGGTGAACAATATCTACTCTGTAAACTGCTTGTTACGAGATAAGATTATATAGATTGCTGGAGTATGGTGTTGGTTTTGTGCACTTCCCATATAGAGTGAGAGTAAGAGCGGGGTGAGGGGAGGGAGTTAAAGGGTGTTGAATGGAATTAAAGTTAGATGGAGGAGGAGGTAGTGCCGCATGCATATCGAAGATTGTTGTGTGGTTGTGTGTATACAGCGAAGTGTAAGTTCATTACTTATATTGTTAATGATGATATTGCTATTTTGTGTTATTTAGTTAGCTAGTTTTATAGGAGTTGATATGATTAATAACTCTGTGAGATCATACTACTGTAGCAAATATGAAGATCTTATTCTTATCCTCTCCTATCCTCTTCTACTGCATTATTTTGTTTTGTCTATGCACATCCTAGGTCGTGTAGATGACGATGGCGATGGCGACTGGGATTCAACTACGACAGCGCGGTGCATAAGGCGAGTGAATGATAGCTGACAATGCAGCGCTCGCGTGCAGTGTCAATCCTCATCTGGAACACGGATCACCTATTGCTGATGGAAAAGAATATTGATGCAATTTTGGGCCTCTTACTCTGTGTTCGGGACTTGGTAGGACATGGAGGGAGGAAGGGACCGATGGGTATGGCTGAGAAGAGACGATTAAAACTAGAGACTCCACTACCCCGGATGATAATGCAATGGCGAGAAGAACGAGGAATTGATTCATGCATGGAAGTGTTTTGTTCCCAGAAGGGATGTATAGGTCGCTTCACTGACGAGTTCAAGGTTTCGATTAGAACCTGTAGATTGGTGTGTTCAGATGACTCGTTCCATGCTTGAAACTACTGGTCACCTCTTGAAAGATTAGCTAAAAGTATTCAAACTGAACTCTGCTGGGTATCACTGCTCTTCATTGCAGTGTCAGAATACAAAATAAACAAAAAAATGTTTCCAAAAAATTGCCACTTGCCTCGTGTCCAAACGTATCACTGGGCACTAGTTGACTAGCAATACAATGGAGAGTATCATCTCTTTAAGAAATCGCATCGCCACCTCCAGTAAATATGAACTGGACTAGTACGACAGATCCGAGAATCCTATACTAATTGTGTTGGCCATATCGATCCATATCCCGTGCGGCTTAAACCGACTGGTATGACTGCATCTCCTAGAACAAGAACAACAGGAATGTTTGACCAAGCGACATTTGTTTTTTGGAGACGCATAAGCTGAGACTAGATGATCTATCCACCCCTCTCACTGGATTATCTCATCTCAATACTGCAGGAGCAGTGCTTAGAACTACAGCTAATCATACACAATCGTGTTCGCCTCCTTATACGCTTTTAACAAAATAATTACCGACGGTTGTAGGTTTTGTGTGCTCGAACCTGGAGAATCGAGACCTTCGATAGTCCAGCGTTGATAGACTCAGCATTTGTTAAGGATAGGAAATTGGCTTACATAGGCGTAGTTCACACTCCATAGTCTCTTGAATTTTAAATAGGAAAAATGATTGTTCTCCCCGCGGTTGAGCCACGATTGCCCGAATTATACATTAGCCTCAACGTCTACAGGCGCGCATACTGGTGTGTGAGTACATTAAGGAGAGTCGAGCATCCCAGCACCAGAGCAGCCAAGGACTAGAGCGTGTCACAAGGGGGCTGGGCGCGGAAACTCTTTGTATCAAGCGTCTTGTTGGATGCATGGAAGGGTTAGGGCAAAATACTTCATTTATCAAGCGCATATGCGGCTGCTTAAAAGATCTTGGGCTCATTTTTCAAAATCCAAAACATCATGAACCGTAAGATCCCCGAACAGAACATCAAGGGGATGCCCTTCACGACGGTACATTGGCAGCTTTCGCAAGCTTTTACCTTGGCCTCGATTTTGGCGTCCAAGAGCTTAACGGACAATGATTCTTCTTCTGCAGATTATGCACCCATTGGAGAGGGGGAGAACCTCTCGTTGTAACCAATTAAGCTCAAGCAATAGTCCAGGCGCAGGATGATAGAGTCGAACCCACCTCGCTCGTATAGTCTGAAATCATTGTATCTGCGAACTTCATGCTGGTGCGGAAGAACAAGAGACCGAATAAAAACAAAGGAACGGCAAATAAATAGCGAAGTAGCAAGATGCATCTTAAAATAATATCGACTGTCTTGTAAATGCCATGTTTAGGATATTTATGCCCCCTAGGCAAACAAATGAAGCATCCAAATTTCCGGTTTGATGCGTGTGGAAAATATTCGAAAATACCGATGCCCAGGAGAAACCCCTTTTCGGATGATATAAATATTTATTTCATGCTCAAAATTGTAGTAGAACTAGGACAATTCCAGTGACTTCATTTCACAAGCTTTCCTATCGAAATGATGTGATATAAGGGTGCCTGCATCCTCTGAATGACTATTCTCTGGATTGTAAAGTAAAATCTGGGGCGCATAAAGATGTTTCGGGAGGCGCTGAATATCTGACGTCTTCAATCTGTGGGCTTTGAATACTTCCCAATTGAACTCATTGAAGAGGGAATGTAAGACTTCAAGAAGATTGGACGGAAAAGCGGAAGAGAAGGTAAAGGTCGACGCAGAGTGAGAGTGACAGCTTGACTCTGAATCTTTGAAAGGAGTATTTGCACGGTATGTAAATGAGTAGGAGGAAAATAAATGGATGGGGTTATTCGTTAAGGAAAGGTCTGTTAGATCTGCTCTAGCGGATTTACCGGAGAAACACCCTGGTTGTTGAAGCTTGCGGAAAGAAAAAGCATAAGACGATTATCGAATCTTCATATAATGCGAAATGGATCCTCATATGATTAACATCTATTTATTCAAAACGGTAGCTTTTAATGCTTAGTTAGGATTGGGATAGGCGAATGGATATACAGCAGGCCGAAATTGATAAGCAGGGAACTCTTAATTTCACCCAGTACCTGCTCTAATAGATATCTAAAAATCTAAAATCTAATAGATATCTATTACTTGTCACATCTGGCGAAGACGTCGAAAATCCAACGGAAATGTTTGTTATTAGTCTTGGAACAACTAACTGACCGACTTCACTGGCAGTGTGATTAACTACTCGGGGTATGTAGAGGACTCCCTCCGTAAGGTCACCGATACTTACCCAACCTATTATCCCGTAGATATATCAAGATAACCTTTTCGCTCCACTTCACCGTCTACTGACGTATAGATACGTATAGTCGATCAGTCTGCTCCATACCTACCTACACAGGAACATCCGAACCCCTTACCGGCATTGACAGTAGACCGTTTTAATGCTGGGACTTGTCCAGTTCGTTGCTCGGCCAGCCAAATTCATTGGATGAGACGTTGCATGATAAATCCATAATCCTCCCATACAGGGTTCCGCTATCTTGTAAACTCAATAGGAACTTCCGAGAAAAACATACTAGCAACCCCCAAAAACAACTACATCGTCTTGTATGTATCATAATTAATACCTAGCAATACTTAACCGGGACCTCATTCTGCCCATCATTCAATCTTCATTCTATTTATACCCCCCCACGAAAGAAAAAGACGACACCGGTAGCTTTGTTTTCGTTACACAAAGAGCATAAAACAACTCATGGAAGTCGTGTATTGCTTGATAGGGTTATCCTAGATTTGAAAAGGAGAAATGAGCAATGTCAACTCTAGCAGAAACTCCTCCTTCGGATTCATCTTTCAGACGAGTCCAAGTTCATACCGATTCTGCAAGTATAGGTAAGCTTACATTTCTGATTATAATCCATGAGATTCTTTCGCAAAGGCATCATGATCTGCGCCTTAAATTTCAATGAAGAATTGGAGTTGCAGGAAAACATTAACATACATTGGTCTGTCTCTTTGGTCAATCAATCGTTCGTCTTTATCCGAAACTCCCCTCATTTACTGAATGAATATTTACGAAACCCAGTGCGATCTTGAACAATGACTAACCAGCCTCTTTACCAGATTCCAAATCCTGCCACGTTAATAAGACACAAAACACTCCTACACATGCCCCCCTCACCATACTCTCTTCCAGCGCAATGAATATGCCTCACCTGAATACGGATCCCTCTCTGCTCAAATCCTCAACGGGCACAATTAGATCTGTACCCTCCGATGACTCTCGACTTAATGCGAATTCTCAGGACGATAGCCCGACGGCGCAATTTCCATCACAGAACGACTCCAATATACCCATAACTCCAAGAAAAAGTAGCTATAATTCTATAAATGGCCCAAAATCTCCCCTTGGTCGACAGAATCCGCCAGCGCTAGGCATGACGAACGGAGTTGTCAGAAGCATATCTACTGAATTCGGCTCTACCAAATACTCAAGCAGCAATGTTCATGTTGTAGGAGAAAGCCTTGCGAATGATGGTGAAGATTTTAACTCTGCTATTGGAAAGGCAAGCTTGGGAAAGTCAGGAAGAGTGATAGAGCGTTTGACCAAGGAAAATGACATGCTGAAGCGTGATGTCAAGATTGAGAGGCTGAGAGCAGAAGAGGCTCTCGATCAGGCTAGACTAGCCGAGAGCAGATTCGCCCAGGAGAATGAGGAATGGGAACGGAAGTTACGTGATGCTGCTTTGAATTCAACTGTCCTGAAGAGGAGAGAACGACAACTCGCGGATGCCAAAGAAAAAATAGAAGCAGAACGACTCAAGGCCGAGAAAGCTACTGAGAGTGAGCTCTTTTGGAAAAGTGAAATGGAGAAAATAGAGAAGGAATGCAAAGCGAAGGTCGAAGAGGCTCAGAGCCGAGCCGAGCTATACGAAGGAAGAAACAACGTGATGACCAACCATTGGAAGGACCAAGAAAAGCAAGCCAATCAAACCGTGACGAAGCTGGAAAAGGAAATCAAAATAATCGTAAAAGAAAGGAGGGCTGATGATGAGAAAATTACCATGCTAAAACGCCTCGCGGAGCAACAAGCGGATCAACTAAAAGCACTACAGAAAGAAAAAGATGACGTTGATCGGAAGTATGAGGAGTATAAGACAGAGAAAGAGCAGTCCCTCGCGGATATCAAAGAGAATGCTACGAAGCAGGAGAAGGCCAACGAGGAAATCATGGTGGAGACGCAGAAAGTTCTTGGGGAGCTGAAGTGGGCTCTGAATGTCAAGAAGTATGTGAAAGGAGCTGAATAAAGAGCTCGAATATCTATCCTGAGTACTTGGATTCGCCGATTTCACTGGTTCGAACTACTATTTTTCCCGCTTGGATCTTTTAATTTCGACACACATCAATCACTTGCTTTCAAAATACAGTACATTCCAACATCCCCTGAGCGCTCTAGCGACCCCGGAGACTGCATTCCATTGTCAGGATACTGTTGTATGTTCTGCGCTTTTGTACATTAGACACTATGGTTTTGGTATCTCGGGTTGAAACTTGGGCCAAGAAGCCCAAGGTGTTAAGGAGTTTCTTTCTTGTGTTTACTTGGGTCTAAGCACTGTACATTGGGGCAAACACTGGGAAGTTCATGAGAGTTAGATTTGCCTGGGTTATTGGTGATGATTGAATGAACTAGATTTATTTTTGTTGGTTTTACTGTGCAAATTTTGCTTTAAATCTCTTTGATCACAGTCTGACGCAAAAGTAAAATGTAATACCCTTGATCTTTCTATCTCCAATAGTGGTTACTTTTCTACCTTTTACGCACGCTGCAATGGTAGGCAGCAGAAGTGTGAAGCCAGTTGCAGGCTCCGAAACATGCAAGTACCCGTGTGGCCGGGTGCTGAGCAAACAGCCGAGTTAATTGAGATGATATAAACCTCCTTCACTTTTGCTGTTCGGCCGATAAGCGTTCTGTGGTTTTTGTCGTAGGGCTTCAAGGTTGTTTTACTAGCTCCTTTTCTGATATTTACTTCCTTCCTTCCTTCCTCGTTTACCAAACTCTTTCCATTGCCCATCGCAAATTATCTCCACGCGACCACATAACAACAACAACAATAACAACAACAACAAGTCCTCTTGAATGCTTTCTATCTTCAAGATCTCAGCTGCGTGCATTTGATACTGCATTCAACTTCCTTCTCTTGTCCCTTATTCAACAACTTATCGGGACTGTGGTATAAGTGAGAAAAAGTTAACGTCTGCCGTTAAAGGTCATCTCTCAAAGATGAGCGCAGATATCCAGAGGAACGATGCGCGCGGCTCGTCCGCTACTGCTGCTACTGATCCCTTGTTCGATACTGGTGACCTGGGAAATCTTGCCAAAGGTAGAATTTCAACAGTTATTATTGCCTCCGAATGGCACTTCAAGCCAGGAGGGGTTATGGAAGTTGAGAAACGTTTCGCGGAGAAACGAGACCGAATGCGTGCTGTAGGTGTCCGTCATTTTGATTCGTGTGGTAGTACTCTCTTATAGTATGGTTCATCATCCTTCCCAAGCCTGTGAAAGCTCTTTCCATGTAGCAGTTAGTTTTTTGGGTCTCTTTGAAGGACTGGCTTTTTATATCTTCACATTCCCAGAGCCCGCGCAGATTTTATGCCACATTGCTTCACGTATATCTACGTATTCTCTTACATTCAAACACTACTGCCAATAAAATTTAAAGGATAACCACTGAAGCTAAACTAGGACGGTTATATTCAATGGCGCGACCAAGATCACCATTTCCTGCTCTTCTCGGAAAGACATCTCGTGCCTCTTTTAGAAGAATTACATCAGATCACGAGAGCGATAATTGTACAGGAGGGTGGCGATAGGGAACCTGATTCGGAAGATGATAATGACGATGACGAAGGTGATACATATAGCGACTTATCAACAGAGGTGTGCTATCCGATCTCTATCTTTCATTGCAATAAAGGCTGACATTTCCCTAGTTCCAGAGCAAATTGATCGCGAAAGTGACCAACTACGAACTATTTCGGCACACACGCCCACCCAACCCAGATAATGATGAGGAATTTTATCCAGACATCGTCAAGAACTTTGACTATCGTGACATCTGGAGTTACCCCCCAGAAATATTGATGGACAAAATCTTGAAACTGGCCATTGTTCAAGAGCTGGAAGCCATGACGGACAGCAAAATTGTCAAGTCACCCAGCCAATCGAAGGTTTATATCGGGTCAGACAGGAATGGCAGTGTTGATTTGGTAATCGTTAAACTCGAAAATATTGCGAAGTACAGTGTGAGTGAAAAACTTAAGCTCTTTCATTTCATCAAACTTTTTTTAAGCTAACTATCTACGTAGTTGACGCATACCTCTTTCGATCACATCTTCTATACGGAGGAGGTAGAATCGTGCAAATTTATTATTAAAGCATTTCCTGAGATCAAAAAGAAATTTCTTGAAACTACTCTTTTGGAACGAGTCATTTTCCCTAAATATCTGTCTGAAAGACTCACAGTTCGAGCCTGTCTATGGAACACGGCCAAAGTGACGTATATCCCGTTTAAGATCGCTAAGCATACTCCAGCAGTAGCCAGTCCAGGAACACAAGCCGCTGCAACAAAACCATGGGCCGGGTTTGTTTGGAAGCTTCGAGGGACTCCGGGAGATGATCCTGTGAAATATTTCCCGAGTGGATATGCAAAAGAAATCAAGAGACAAGAAGATGAAGAGGGGCAGCCGGAAGATAAAGCTGCTAGCTCGGCGCACGTTGATATTGAGGGCTGGGTGGCAAATGCGACAACCACTGCCGATCCTTCGCAGGGACTGAACGGTGGCGGTTGGGGAGGCATTGTTGAGACGCCTCACAATTCCTTAGCTCGCCTGGCCATGGCTTCGGAACCGGACGCGAATTCCAACGTTAATACGAGTACTGAAAGATTGAAGGATTTCATTCACCAAGAGACGAGAACCAAGCCGGACAAGCCTCTCACTCCTGTAGAATGCTCAAGCACACCAGCTGAGTCGGAGACGAACCTATTGGACGGTGAGTTACATATCATGACCAAAACTAAGTCTTGTGCTAATTGAAACATAGGGCAGTTGTCGCTACAAGTGGGAATAGACGAGCATGGTGTGTTGCAGTCAAGCCTTCTTGATTCTGCACTTGATGCAGAACTGATAAATTCTGATTGGGACGCATTGAGACACAACGCCTCGGAGGGTGCACTAATTGATGTTAGTTCAAGTCCCACAAGATCACCCAATTTGAAAATATTCGATATGGCAGACAGTTCTAATGCTTGGGGGACTCGTCAATTTACGGCATTAGAACCACCAGCATCATCGTCTTTATGGTCGCTTGGCCAGCCACAGCTTCCATCCGAAGAGCTTGAAGGTCTTATGACTACGGTATCTCCATCGATGGCGGATTTAGCATTCAATTCTGGTAATGACTTATCTAATTTAATTGACTCTTCCTATTCACCAAGATTATCTGGTAGTTCTAGACCTACTTTGATGTCTCTCAACAATCGGCAAAGATTGCCCTCTCCGCAAAGCTTGGGGCTTTCAGAGTCAGAGACACTTCGCGAAAATAGATTACAACTGCCTCGGCGTCAACATGAGGATGAAACGAGTACTCGAGTTTTTCACAAGACCATGAATCAAAAGGCATCGCCTAGCAATAAAGAAGTATCGAAGCTGAGGACTGTGGCAAGACCGCAAGAGTCTTTCCTGAAAGATGTCGAAGGAATGTTTGGTGCTTTAATGACGCAAGTGAGAGGTTTTCGTGGCGAAGTCAAGGCACATATAGACTTTGGTAAAATCTTGCTAGGGAACCTCCCCGTAAAGATCGTTTCTAAAGAACAGAACATCAAGCCATATGATGAGCCTTTTATCATTAGGCATTTGTGCCCACCACCCGAGATGAATGTCAGGATTGGAGATGGCCCTGAGCTTTTCTTCACTGATATATTAACCACGTTAGAAGCCGACACCACGTTTCTCTCTAATCTCAAAAACAGAGAGGGTGCTCGCCTCTGGTCCGAAAATTGTTCGGAGTGGAAGGTTACGTATGAGTTTATGTGCGAAGAAATACGCACTGAAAATTTATTCACCATTGAAATCGATTCAGAGACCTTCGATACTCACATTGTAGTGTTGAGGAAGTTTGGGGAAATCTATGTGCATGGTACAATGCGCCACTGGGATTTAAAACTTACAGTAGATGGGATTGAAGATGAGGAAGAAATTCGCAATAGTTTGCCTGGCTACAATAATCTAGCTACAGAAATTCAGCGAAACCTTTATATTCCGTAAGTTTGAAAGTGTCACCACTTAAGCATTTGAACTAATGTCCAACGTTTTAGTCCTGGAAATGAGAGACCGAATCACTCTTTCAAACTCCCGAAACAGATCACGGACGAATTTGAAATCTATCATCTTAAGATCCGCAAGACTAGAACGTTCAACAGTTTGGATGGAAGTTCTAAGTTGCATATCACAGAGGTTGATAAATCCTGTGGACACAAATTGTCGGTCAAAAATCAAGAAATCGTGGTCTACATTTTCCCTGAGGAGAAAAAAGATCACAACATGGAGAGGAACTCGGAGGAAGTTTCTAGTTACTCTGAAGAGAAGAAAGATCTCAGCATGGAAACCAATTGGCAAGAAGTTTCTATCACATCTGTTCCGATGAACAACCTCCTTCAACAAAATATGAAACTCGAGCTTGGTGAAGAAGTACAATGGACAATCCAGGATCTGGCAGTAAAAAATGTTTCCAACAGCTTCATCAAACCCGCATGTACCATGCTCGTGCAGATGGATGGTGTCGGCTTTTACAACGACGGTCAAGATCTCAAGACTTAGACATGGACCTCATGTCGCTGCAACATAATACTGAACATCACTGATAAAACATTGCTTTCTCATAGCTTCAAGAGACACATGCGTGGTTTGCTGCGTCCAGAAAGGGAATGATGGGTGTTGGATTGTTTGGAGTCAAAGATGACGGCATTCTATTAGAACAAGTGGGGATATTAGCTATTATTTCCATCTTCGTTGAGATTTTTCTTGGGATTTTATATTCATTGATGCGGCTGTAATATAAGCAAAACAAAGTCATCATAAATATCCCACGGTTGTTTATGCATTGAAAATTCGCAATTCTCCTCATCCACAAGGCAAAAGTAGCGCCCCGAGTGAATAAGTTGATGTACACTTCAAATGTATGTCGTCGATAGTAGCGGCAAATTAGAAAGCCACTTCTTATACCTTTACATTCGTGTATAGACATAGCCAATTAAGCCGAAAATGAGATGATCATGAAATACATAATGAATCATGTATATTGACCCAATTGCAATCATTTGAATTGAAGTAAATTAATCATTTGGGCTGTTGTAAAAAGGAATTATAGATTATGATTGACCTACGTCATCGTGAAAGAGCGTCCCCCATTACATATGCATCTTTTGACCTCTTCATTCTTCAACATTCAATTCCCCTACCAACTCGACTCCAAATTTTGACACTCATAAACGACAACATACCCTCTATCAAGCTATTCACGAAAGAAATTCCCCCTACCTAGGTATATCTCGAAAATCAAATGTCCGACGATAATCCAGCCATGTCGAAGACGACTAGAGATCTTCTAATGAAGGTTAGAAAGATTGTGCCGCCAATGCTCAGTAAATTCCACAAAGGTATATCCCGATGATTCGGTACAGCTACGTTTAATTGACATGTCTAAGGGCAAATGGGTAGAGTGGCGGTTATTGGTGGTAGTGAGGACTATACTGGCGCACCATATTTTTCTGCAATGGCCAGTGCAAGACTAGGCGCGGATATGGTATGAATTTCCACCGATTTGTCTTTATGATACTTGTATTTAGCTAACATGCAGATATACAGAGTCATGTCATCTGCGAGCCCCAGGCCGCACAGGTTATTAAAACGTACTCGCCAAATTTAATGGTTCATCCATTAATGCGACAATCGTCCCATGCGAAGATGACAGAAACAGCTGGTTCAATTGCTCAAAATGTTATTGATATGCTGCCGCGATTACACGTCATAGTTGTAGGACCCGGATTGGGACGCGATAAATTAATGCAGGATACGTGTGTGAAGGTTCTTCAAGCTGCGCGGGAAAATAATATGCCGTTTGTTCTCGATGCCGATGGTTTGCAGCTGGCTTCGTCGAGACCGGACCTGATTCAGGGATATAGGGAGTGTATATTGACGCCGAATGTTGTGGAGTTTGGTAGGCTGTGTAGGAATAAGGGGATTGATGTTGAAGAGTTGAATGCGGGGGAGGGTGCGGAGAAGTTGGCTAGGGCCTTTGGTGGTGTCACGATTGTGCGGAAGGGTCCGCAGGATTATATTTCTAATGGGGATAAGACGTATGTTAGTGATATTCAGGGGGGGTTGAAGAGGAGTGGTGGACAAGGTGATACGTTGACTGGAAGTTTGGCGACGTTTCTAGGATGGAGAAAGGCTTATTTGGATAAATTATGGGATCATGAGGGAGATATTGATGAGATTGAGTCATTGGCTTTAGCAGCTTTTGGAGGTAGTAGTATAACAAGAGTAAGCACCTTCTTCTTTTCTTTCCCCTTCGAACGACGTTGACAAGTACTAATTTTCGATAGGAATGTTCGAGGCTAGCCTTCGCCAAGAAGGGTAGGAGTTTACAAGCTAGTGATTTGACTGAAGAAGTATACGCCGCATTTACAAATCTTCTTGATCCTGATGATTCGGCTGCTAAGTTGTAGATTAATACTTAGATAATACACACCTACATACCTAGTACTTTCAATCTTGAAGTAAGATTATATCTATCCATCATGCCCTACCTATATACTGCATATCTAATGCCGTTACCAACCACGCATATACCATGCTAGAACAGAGAACCGAGATTTACCTATAAGTAAGATTACTTCACGCGTCCTGGATAGTCTATCTCCCAAAACCTCCAGAACTTCGTTCCTTTGTTTTAGCTACCGTTATCCTTAACCTCAATGCAATAGCGAACTAGTACCCCAAAAAAATGAAGCTAATTTCTAGACGTGCAACGAAAGGTCAGCTTCAGGCTGGGTTCGACGGTAGCTGGATGCGAGGTCGTTGTGTGTATGTCTAGGTTAGTTGGTAGGTTGATAGGTAAGATAGTAGATCTTCTTACTGCATATTCGAGATGAGGGGCTGGGAGTTGGGAGGCTTGGCCTTGGGATGTGGAGATATTTTTGAGCTTGGGGGGAAATGCTGAAATAAGGCTGGCTGTCTTATGCTGTGGGTGTTTTGTGGATGTTTTCCGGGTGGTGCTTGGATTGTGATTTTTGGGTTGTTAGGGTGGGTAGGTATTAGATAGGTACTAGGTACTAGGTATGTATATATGTTTTGGTTTGTATGGTCTTGTTTGGTTTTTGGTAGGTAGGAAGGAAGGAAGGAGGAAAAGCCAATCGGATGTCTTCCTTCCAATGTGATGAAACTTTGCTGGGATGGATGGATGTATGGGCTGATTCCGGGGGTAGGTCAGGTAGATAGCAGTAGCCTTGGGGATTTTCTTGGGTTTTGTAGATGCATTGGGGGATGGAAGGATGGGTTTATTTATTAGCTGGAGCTGGACAATATGGAGTACTAGTAAGCTATGGATGGATATTACTAGCTAACAGGCATACTAGCTGGGTGTATTGTCTTGCTCAGGTTTACAGTCTATTACTCTGTAAATTAAACATCCTCGCAGTTGAAATATTTGATCCCACCGCCTTATTTAGGGAAGGGTTTCAGTGCGATGAGTTAAGTGATTGAAATCTGTAACATTTTTGTTGTTGTTGTTGGAAGGAATTCTATATATATATTTAAATAATTTAAATAAAAATAAAAATAATAAACATCGACAGTATTAATAACAGTATTAGTATTAATATTTATTTTTAAATTTTTATTATTAAATTATTTATTATTATATTATTATTTATTATTTTTATTACTGATTCTTATTCTTGCTTCTCACTTCTCATTTCTTATTGTCATTATCATTATCATTATCATTATCATCATTCATCTATTCATCTATTCATCTATTCATCTATTCATCTACCCCCATCAAAAAATAAACAAGATTTTAAAATCCTAACCCTACAATTCATACCCAAGATTAATCATAAGAAGATAGGTATATTACCTGCCTACTAGCTATAGTTAGGTACATAAATCAACATCGACAACGCCGTTTCTCCCTTACCTACTAGCTCTCTCCATGGCCCAGTTGCTGGCAAGAGCCTGCATTTAGATCGGGTGATGGAATTGGTTGGGGACCCGGGTTTTATATATGAGGGGACTTGGAAGGGTGGAAGTGGGAATTTGGGATTGGGGATTTGTGTTGGAGTAATGTGTTGGGGTATTCACTTATTTGGGGGTTTGAAGGTTTGAGGATTCACTCATTATTGAAGAGGGGTGGGTAGATGGATAGATGTTGGATGATAGATTAGTTGATGGCTGGCCCTTTGTTTTTTTTTATTCTGTTTTTTGAAAGAGGACTTATTGGATGTTGGATAAGATTATTGTATATTGTATATTGTTTTATATTAATATAGTGTGTGTTATAAATATACTTAAATTTATCTAATTTATTATTATCAAATTGATAATGTTAACAATTTATTAAATTATGAAATTATGTTTGAACATATATAAGCAGTTTGGACGGTGATTAAAATGTGAAAGAGTTTTTGACATTGGCACATAGTATCTCTTTCATATGATCTCTCTGACAAGCTGACAAGCGGGAAAGAGTAGGTTGTTGACCCGAGACATATTACACACAGGCCACAACATACATCTAGTAACCAATAGGAAACTACCATCAAATATGGGATGTATGTGGAGGAAATAACCTACCCCGCGAATCTTATCTTACCCCTCTCTACCTCCGGCACCACTTTATATGCGTACGGAATGTATTCATCTAATTAATCTACCATTGCACTACCCATCCTTACAACATCATCACCTATTCTATTCCTAATCTCATCCCAACCATGACGTCCCTCCTCAAACCCTTTCACCAGGGCACATCAGCCATCTGCACAATACCCAGAACCAAAATCCGCATTAATCCGCATCATGTCAGAATGGCAAGCAGTACTGCAGTAACGAGAGACTATGGAAAAAGAACGGCAATTGTTACTGGATCCGCGAGGGGAATGTAGGATTCGAATTCCTACCATTGTGAAAATTATCAATGGGTTAACTTAAGTAATAGAGGTAAAGCCATCGCGATTAGATTAGCTGAAGATGGTTTCGATGTTTGCATTAATGATATTTCGGCAAATCAAAAGGGTATTGATGAGGTTGGTTTCTCGGCTGGCGGAATCTTCCTTTTTTTTTATAATAGGAGAATAGGAGAGAATAGTATACTAATATGATTAAAGACGGTGAAAGAGATACAGAATCTGGGACGAGCATCATACGGTCACGTAGCAGATGTTTCTAAACGTGTCGAAGTGGAAGGTTTGGTCGAAGCGTCAGTTAGGAATCTGGGGAGTTTGAATGTCATGGTTGCGAATGCTGGGATTGCGCAAGTCAAATCACTTTTATCGCTCTCTGAAGATGAGGTTCGGAGAATGTTCGATGTGAATGTTTTTGGTGTTTTCAATTGTTATAGCGCCGCTGCCAAACAAATGATTAAACAGGGTGGAGGTGGAAAGATAATAGGTGCTGCTAGGTATGTTCAGCTGAAGAGGAATCCCCGCGTGGTTTATTGATTATTTTTATAGTATTGTTGCTTTTAAACCATTTGCCATGCTCTCACACTACAGTGCTTCGAAGTTCGCCGTAAGAGGCTTCACTCAAGCATTTGCTACGGAAATGGCAGAACATCAGATTACTGTTAATGGTTATGCACCTGGGATAGTGGGGACAGCCATGTGGGATTTGATAGATGAGGAGCTTGGGAAGACAAAAGGTGTTGAGAAGGGAACGACTATCAAGAAGTATACTGATGAACTTATCTTGTTGGGAAGAACGAGTGTTCCTACAGACGTATCGAAATGTGTTAGTTATTTGGCGAGTCCTGATAGTGATTATATGACGGGACAGACTTTGATTATTGATGGTGGAATCATTATGAATTAATACCTTTGTAGTAATTAATCTGCGCATTGCTTGTTTTCTGGAAAAATGAATAAGTATTTACCTTTGATCATGATCCAGCTCACTCTTCTTCGAACTTCTTCCAAGTGAGACTTCTCCGAATCCCAGTTCTATATATCCCAAATATATTTGTAAAAAAACATTCTTATAATATCAATTTGTACACAAATCATAATTGAATCATATCGCTGAATAAAAATTAGAAAATAAAACCATAAAATTATATAAAACCACTTTATGAATAGGGACGATAAAACTTTTTGAGAGGTTGAAAAAACTCTAAGAACACCTACTTGCACTTACTTATATTGTGAGAAAGTTGGAATTATAGACCAAATACATAGAGGTTTTTAACTAATCAATTATATAACCTTCTGTAATTAGATATAAAAGAAGAGTTTTTTTTTTTTTTACAATAATTAACTTTCTATATATATATATTTGAATTTATATAATATCAACTTTAAAACTATTATGAACTTTGTTTTCTTTATAAATGATGTATTACAATATAATCTAATTCAACTTTCTTTTTCAATTCCCTCTTTACAACGTGCTATCGGGACGCACGTATCTCGACCTACTACTTTTACAATATCCACAGAACAACAATATTCTCTTTGAATGAATCATATTCATGATAATAAATCGGATGTTACTACTTGTTACAAGAGGATGATTCTATTGACTCAAAAGCAAGCTTCCAAAGATCACTATTCGTAGGTATTCATAGATAGACCTCTTGGCTTCGATAATTTTGAGCACTATACTAATCTGTTGCCTACTATAAGAAAAGGAACATAGTAATATAACACAACACAATACAACATTCAACACATCATATCCATTCCCAAAACTGAATATCTGAATAATCATCTAGATCTCTAGAGATTTCCAGATTTTTATCTTTCTTCGATTTTTAATCTTTGATCTTTTAATATAAAGTTTCATTCATACTTCAAGCAGGATTTAATTTAACTTTAGCTTTATTAGCCATTACTTCCCAGGCTTAGGAGTCGGGAGAGAAGATATACTAAATATACCTAGGTATTTAACCTATATCATAGAATCTCCATCCAAGCCATCTCCTCAAACCACAGCGCCGGTGCAAAATCAAATCAAGTTACTACCTAACTACCGAAACCATAAAAAAATGAAGTGGTTCAAAGTAGAATTCATAACTGATGAAAATGGGGTATATAATAAAGATCATAAGAGAAAATATATCACTACCACCTCTTCAAGAACAAATCGGGATTAAAAGCAAACTGAAAGGCATAACTGAGAGAAAATAGAAAAGGGAAGAACAGGTTTTGTTGATGGGGTTTGGGATTAGGAATACATTGGTAGAATATATAGGAGCGGATGAGGATTGCGGGAATGGAAATGAAAATGGGAGAGGAAAAGGAAGAGGAAGAGGAGAATTTCTCTGTGTGAAGCCGAGTCCGTTGAGGAAGTGTTGGACTTTTGTTTCAAGAGGCGGAGGGATGGGATGAGTGAGATGGGAATTCCAAGAATGAGAGAATGGATGATGGAATTATAGAGAATATCGTCTGTATATACAAGAGGAAGTTAGGGATAAAACATACGGCAGTGAAAGAAAAGAGGAATAAGATAACTTCTATAATAAGTAGACAAGGTGCAGAAATGAAATAAACAAGTACACAGCGCAGGAGATAAAGATAAAGATAAAGATTTAGCCCATTTCCAGCTCTGTCTTTTTTCATTTGAATCTGATCTACCTAGATACCTAATGTGATATATATATATAAGATCTACCAAGCAATAAAACATCAAAGCTCAAAAATCTCTCCAAACTGAAACTAATAACCTTAATAACACCACACCTTAGTTTCTTTTGAGCTGTCTAAAATACATTAAATTAAAAGAATTCAGATTGTAATCTTGTAATAATTAATATAAAGAGTAATTAATGTCTATGAAACCATTCCGAGTAGACCGGCGAATAAATACTTATTCCTAGAACTGTAGGATTTGTTCCTGAGAATCTTGTATACCTCACTAGAGGTATTATCTCCACGCGATTTTTATCATTTAACATAATATGACAGGGAGGTACTACTACCAAGCACTCCTGTAAACAAGAATGCTTCTGAATATTCTCTGGGACGAAATGTGTGCATTTAGACGATATATCAAAGCCTCGTTCTGGGACTAAAGTGCCCAGATGATATATGGTGAAATTTAAGGATTAGATATGGAAGAGAGAAAGTATAATAATGTTGCTGGAACATTCTTCAAGTAAGTAAGCCCGTTGCTTCTCGAAATTTGCAAACGCAACTAAAGGAATGAACAATCATATTCAGGTGCCAGAAAATAAAGGTTGTAGTAGATTAATGAGCTCAATCCTCAATCACTCAGAAGTTAGCAGTAAAAGTGCCAGTCAACCCTTTACCGCTCAAAGGTCGCCAAAATTCTTCCAAACATCTCGGCCATCTTCCAACACCTCATTCCCCTCAATCCTCTTCCTGCCCTTCTAATACCCTCCATCACTTCCTCCTTTTCCTGAGGCCCTAATCCCGTCCTTAACTCCTTATAAACCCAGCAAACCAATCCTCCCGTAAAAAGACACAACGCAATCTCATAACTTGCTTCTTCCGATCTCCTGCCGCCCAGTCCCATGGTACCTAGTACTCCATCCACACCATTCTCGTCTCGTATGCGAATGCACTCATAGGATAGGTTGAGCATTCCGTACACATGTTTCATTGTGCCACTTACAATATCTGAATTGGCCCAATACCGTAGATTGACTGCTGCGAATTCACAATCTTGACGGCTCGAAGATCGACCTGCCATTAAGTGGACATCACTGAGGCTTACATCCAAACTGACATATCCCAGAGCGCAGAGCAACCTCCCAGCTATGGAATGTTCACCAGAACTTCCTCCATAGCATTCGTTCCATGAATCTAATGCATCAATTAACCATTTTCTTTTGCTCAAAAGTCCAGCGCCTATGTCTAATGCGTGATTTCCCGCTGTGCCCATTAATCCGGTAGGATTTAACATAGATACCGATGAACGCCAGTCAAATATAAGAGTATGTATACCATATAGAACAAGGTTTTTTCCGAACACTGTAGTCGAGATAAAAGGTGGAGGAGGCTTAGTCCATTTATGGAGAAGGATACCGTTCAAGGCCTGGAGATAATACGTTGCAGGTGGAATTTCAGCTGGTCCCAAAAGGATCTTCCAGGCCTGTGGTGATGGCGCTTCCCAATGTTGTTCTGGGCATGGGAAGGCACAATTTGTGGTTTCAGCTCTACTTATATATGGCTGAACATTAAATAGGCTAGCATATTGGCAGTCGAGGATCTTTCCAAATGTTAGTGGGGAAAACAATCAAGAATCGAAGAAGCATACATAAATGGATAACCCAAGCCTCTTTCTTTTCTCAGTCTCTATCCAAGAAAACCATTCAATTTCCTGTGGCGAACTCCTAGGTAGCGAGCTCGGATCGAGCTGTACTCTAGAAATTGGTCTACAATCTAGCAAACGCGCTCGTCGACTAGCTGTTATCAGGATACCCCTCACACCCTCTGCAAATTCAAACATTTTCTTACTGCCTCCCCAAGCTCCAGCGACTAAAAGGTTAAATAAGCTGAAAATGTTGTCAAGAATTCGGAGCTGAAAAAAAGTTAGCATGGATCGTCAGCTCCGGAGGGCTGACTGACGTGTTTTTCTTCAATTTCATGCAATCTCATGCTCGCTACTCTTCCACGATTATGGAACAGTCGCAAAAAGAGACCGCGATCTGCCCTCGAATAGCATGAACCTAGAAACATCATCGATGACACTAAAAGGGGAGAACTGGCGAAAATATCGAAAGTTGGGATGTGGGTAATAGGAAATCGGGGGTGAACATGTTTAAAATAAAGCCGAAGAAAGTAATCCAGCACTTCCGATGGCGGAAATGTAGAAATATTTATTTGCACATAAACCGTGTCACCTGATTGAGCAGGAAGCTCAATCTGTAGCATGCCTAGTAAGGTCGATCGTAACACATCGTTAACTTTTTGCCTTGGACCTATTGTGAATCCACACGACATAGCTTCTTGAGCAACCGCATACCATGATTCTGGACCTAGTTTAGGAATAACCCTTGGGCCCCATTTGGGTGGACTTTCTAGTCTACTGACTTTATCCGGCCAATCTTCCTCGTCTCCTTCGGCATCCAAATCACTCGATTGACCAGGGGCATCGGACTTGACAAAGCCAAAACCAAAGTCGAAATCAATATTGCTCAAAGGATCTTGGCTGAAGCAGTCCAATGTCCAAGATATGTCGGCGTCATATGATCCCATGTAGATACTTGGATTATCATTATAAAGCATAAAACCATCCCATGCATTGGGATTGAAATTTTCTGGAGCATGGAATGAGTTATCAGGAGGGAGTGGTGCCAAAGCAGCTTCAACAAGGCTTGAGAGACCTTGGGACTGAGTCGAAGGTGAGCGTGAATCAGAATATAATGCCTCCTGAATAGGTGGTAAGCTGTCGTGAGGAACCGCCTGACATCGCATACTAGGCGGTAGCGTAGATACAAACTCAATACTAGACTTCTCATCATGATGGACAAGATTGGAAATGGGCTGAGGTTCAGATGCAACAGGCGACACGGAATTGTTTATCACGTGAGATCTTGAAGAACCAGCACGTTTATCTGGGCCATCATGTATTCGACGATGCCGACTCAATAAATCACTTCTCGTAAATCTCTTCTTACAAATCGGACAGGCAAATTTGCCCACCACATCATCTGATTTGGTAGAGGTGATTAGCACGTGACTAGTATTAAACTTGACGTTTCCGCAAGTTGCTAAAAATTGAACGGAGTCTAAAAGTGGAAATAGAATGTGGAAAAGAGAGCAAAGGAACACACGAGATGTAGATACGAGTACTCACGATTTGCTTGATGTCTAGTTAAATTCTCAATCCTACTAAAGTTCTTTGGACATTGGGGACATTGAAATCGGTTTCCACTTGCTACCGACTTAGCCGGGGGCGCTCCTTTCGGACTTCCTCTCGTGGAGCTTGCTGAAGATGTAGTATTTTCTGGAGTTTCGGCAGTATTATTGATCAATTTTGCATTGGAGGCGATATCAGATGAAGCAGGTGGATGATCATTATCCATAATTACACAATTATCTCATAGATGATAGGACTGGATCCGCGATATCCGCATCTGTATCGTTCTCGGGTCTCTCGGTTTTCTCGGTATCGTGTCTCGGTCCTGTCGTTATCGATCGTATGATATATCGAATTCACGTCCAGATGGTCATACCTAATAAAGGATAAAGGTGGACGGCAAGGACGGAAACTTATGAATGGCAGACGGTGAATGGGCGGGTCTGTTGGATGTATGTGGTGGACGTTGTTGTTGACGAAGATGTGGGTTGGGCGCTGGAATTTCAGTATTGGCTGATAGTGGTGACCGGAAGTGGACGGAAAATATCCGGTAAATCTTTCAACCTCATACCCTAAAATACTATAAATAATTAAGGGAAAGAATTGCAAAATCAGTGTCGATTGGTGGTCACAGGCCAAAGCCAAGTCATTTCTCCATTTATCTATAATGAAATGTACAATTGGAGACTCCATTTATGATATCTTCGATACCCAGTATCTTTAGCAATCATCTCAAGCTACACGGTGCTTTATGCTTTCCGCTTTCTCTTTTCAGCTGCTATTTGCGACTCTCATGACTGCGCCTTAGCTTTCCAGTCCTCATGAGCTTTCTTCTGCCTCTCCCAATCCTTCTTCAATTTTTTCAATGCACTCTTCGGTACATCTTCTCCATCTTTCGTCTTCGTTGGCATACCATCAACATCCCATGCACTAAATCTATCATCCTTGAACATATCCACTGGACTGAGTTTGGCCTTCTCGAGCCTCTCTTGCTCCAGCCTTTCTCTGGCGAGTTTGGCGGCTTCTTTTTGTGCTGCCTTTTCTCTTTCCTTAGCCACTTTCTCTTCCTTTTGTGCTAAAAGTTCTTCTTTTGGAATGAACTTAATGAGCGAACCCTGATCATCAGGCCTATCGTCAAGATATACTCCAAGATTCGTGAGATCATTATCACGAATGCGATCGGACAACGATAAGATTTGTTTCTTGTGTTCGGAACCTGGTGCTACTCGTCTCAGCTCATCTCTAGTCTTCGCAATGACACGTATGTATGGTAAAGCAAGAGCTTCTTGATCCTTTGTTCCCGAAGATACGATCGTAGAAAATTCGTTATCAACATCTGTCGCGAGTAATCTATCGAGGGTTTCTGAATGTAAAGACAAGCCCTCAATTTCTCGCTTGACTTGTTTGAATACCTCAGAATACGGTGCCACAATCTGCTCAGGGGTGTGGTTGCTGTTCACGGGGGTATTAGCCCAGCCAAGTCCATCGTATGGCGCTGTTGCATTCGCATCCAGGCCAAAGATGCCAAGAATCTTGGTTATCCATCGAGCGATTTTCTCAAGTCCCTGAATATCAAGGTCATTCTTGTGCGAGCCAATATGAACGTTTGATTCTTTAATTAGCTCTTGTAAAATAAGCATTGCTCGTGGTGTATCGAAGGATTCTGTGAGGGCGGTCTGAAGGTCTGCTTGTGCCTTGTCTAATGCTATTTGCAATTCTGGATGAACTGAAAGAGACTCTAAGTCTTCACCCGATCTGGAATTTCCAGCCTCAATTATGAGAGATTTGACATTGACAAAGAAGTTGTTCACTGTAGCTTCCCATGCGTCCGCCATTAGCCTCATATCTGGAGAAATTTCGACGCCATCGTTCCATCTCCCCATCAAGAACACTATCCTCATTGACCTTGGAGTGTAGTCTGTAGCCAGCGCATCACGAATTGTCTGGAAGTTCTTGAGAGACTTTGACATCTTTGATCCTGCAATAGAAAGATGTCCCATATGCAAAAAGTAATTCACCCACTCATGTGGGCCATGCTCGTGTTCGCAGAAATATGCCTCACTTTGTGCCAATTCGTTATCATGGTGAGGAAATGCAAGATCAATACCACCAGAGTGAATATCCATCTTTGACCCCAAAATATCCGATGCCATGACGGAGCACTCAATGTGCCATCCAGGTCTACCTTCACCCCAGGGACTTGGCCAGCTTGGCTCTCCTGCCTTTGACTTTTTCCAAAGAGCAAAGTCTCCTGCCCCTCGCTTACCACCCAAATTCTTGGATAGCGATCCTTCTCCTTCCTCTTGCAAGGCTTTATCGTTTCTACTCTCTGGTCGCAGTCGCGCATAAGGATTGCCGGCCTTCTCGAAAGCTGCAATATCAAAGTAAACAGATCCATCTGACTCATACGCAAATCCTTTTTGAATAATCTTCTCGACAAAGGTAGCGATCTTTGGTACATAGGTAGTGACTCGAGTAATGACATTTGGCCGTAAAACATTCAATGCATCCATATCTTCCATGAATTGATCCTCCCAGTATTGTGTCACGTTAGTGAAAATTGTATGGTCTTTTGCATCTATCGAATCTTTATACAGAGAATCGAGGTATGGAAGGAGGATCTCGTCTGCTCCGCCAAAAATTTTGTCCTGCTGTATTGCTTGCGCTGCAGAGGAAAGATTGCTGATGTGCATCTTCATCTTAGCTTCCGCATCTCCTGATTTCCCTTCGCCAGTCAAAGTTCCACCAGCCAATACCTTTCCATATGCCGTATCTCTTCTTTCGGCATAGTTGCTAGGCGTAAGTGGATTGCCATCTTTCAACAATTCGGGTAAATTTGCGGTTGCGTAGGACTGGAAAGCTTCTGCCGCTAATTTTGCGAGTTCAGATTCGGTATACGCTTTCGATTTCTCCAATTCCAATAGCTTTTGTCTTCTGGCTTTGAGGATAATCTGTCAAGGTCATCAGTGAAATACCCCGCCATCCCAAATTCAGCCCATCCTACCTTGTCATCCACGTCTGTAATGTTCATAACGAATTTCAGATCAAAACCAAAATAATCTCTCATAATTCTTCGTATGATATCAGTAGAAACATAATTCCTAGCATGTCCCAGATGCGAGTGATCGTATACTGTCGGTCCGCAGACATACCAAGAAACCTTTCCCTTCTCAATGGGAACAAATGGAACTGGACCCCCAGGCTTCAAAGAGTTGTGAACCTTCAATTGATCCATCTTTAAGAATTTATTTGTCGTAAACTTTCGAATTGTAAGCACATGAATACGAGAATTAGAGAAAGTAGAAAATCTTAGAGAGCGTAAATGAAGAAACATTCAGTCATGAAATATTATGAAGATAACTATTGAGTCACCTCTTTGTGTGATAATTGCATGATTCGTTGAATATTAGGCTGAAAATAAATTCAACGTGAAGCTAGGTGTCCTTCAGCCTTACAGAGGTTGCGACTCAGCCTTGTCCATTTTTAAAATTATTTCTTTCGGGGAAGGGAGAAACTCTAGAACTTCTTCATCACAAATACAACAATTAGCCATAATGAGTACCAAAAGATCGCCCTTCCTCTACCCTGGAGCAATCTCGTCTTCAGATCAATTGGCAATATTACATTTAAAACGGGACCTCCAAACTCCAACAATTCTGAAGAGCACTGATGAAAAGGATGAAGGATACGCGGAGGGAAAGGTAACCAACACTCGGTTTGGATCTTTTCCGCATACCACTTTAATTGGAATACCATGGGGAACTCAAGTACTTGCATCAAAAGTCGACACTGGATCTAGAGGACGCAGAGGTGATAAGAAACGGAAACGAGATGATGTTGAAACTGCCGATACGCCTCAAGCCGCGGAACTCATTACAGAAAATGCGGAAGATAGGTCCTCAACGCCTACCAGCGCAACGAAGGAGGTGGCGGAAGCAGTAGCTGCTGGAAGCGGATTCATACACTTCCTACCACCTACGCCAGAAAACTGGACCAATTCATTACCACATCGAACGCAAGTTGTATACACGCCTGATTACAGTTATATTTTACATCGTATACGCGCAAGACCTGGAACTAGTTTAATCGAAGCGGGAGCTGGTAGTGGATCTTTCACACACGCATCGACAAGAGCTGTATTTAGCGGATATCCTGATAAACATACAACAAAGAAGCGCAAGTTGGGGAAGGTCTGGAGTTTCGAATTTCATGAACCGAGACACGCAAAACTGGTTGAGGAATTAGAAGAGCATGGGTTAGATAAACTTGTAGAGATTACACATCGAGATGTATGTGAAGGAGGGTTTCTGGTGGATGGAAAAAGTCCAAAGGCCGAATCTATATTTCTGGATTTACCTGCTCCATGGTTGGCACTTCCTCACCTCACTAGGTCTCCTCCGCCTCCTATTAAGAACCCCAACGGCGAGCTGGCACCATCGAGGCCCATTTCAGAACCATTCGTTTCCGCTCTGAATCCCGAAGCACCAGTCCATCTATGTACCTTCTCTCCCTGTATCGAACAAGTCCAACGAACCATATCCGTCATGCGACAACTTGGCTGGGTTGATATTGAAATGGTAGAATTATCTGCAAAGCGCTTTGAGATTCGTAGGGAGAGAATAGGTATCGATAATGGAGTGCAAAGAGGCCTCCAAACTTCGCCAGCCAATGTTGAAGAAGCCGTTGCTCGATTATTAGAAGTTGAAACTGGGCATCAAAGTTTCCACAAGAAAGGCGATGCCCCAGGCAAAATGCCAAGACAGAATCCAAATACAAGGGATACATTGATAAAGAGCTTGGTTGAGGGCAAGATTTATAAGGAAGGAAAATTAATACATAAGACAGAGCCAGAAGTCAGGACTCACACTTCGTATCTGGTCTTTGCGGTGTTACCGAAGGAGTGGAGCGAAGAGGATGAGAAGAAAGCCAGAGAGAAGTGGGAGGTAAACTTCAATGGCGAACCGGAGGTCAATGCAACGAAACAGAGTGAATTGCCGATGAGTAAAAGGCAAATGAAGAAAGCAGCGAGAGCCAGTCATGTCAAACCTGCCACTGCTGCTGCTCCGCTAGTCGGCGATGGAACGGCAATTGTAGATGGAGCAAATGGATTGATCAAAGAGGAGACTGAAACAAATGTTGAAGGCTAGGCTACAGATAGGACATAAAGAATATTCTGAGCTCTACCTCCTAGTTTACCCGCATAATTTCACTTACGCCCCTCCTACACCCCATAGCGGATGAGTTGGTCATGTGAAAAAAAGGTTGCGTATGCCTAAATTCTTCTAGCAGAGAAATTCAATGGAAGAATAACTTGAAACTCCGCCCAACTATATATACTTTTCTTACCCAGCCCGTTTTAACATCGAAGTCTACCGATCAAGATTGCCTGCAATATAGGAAGTGACGTTTCCCACATTTTGACAAAAAGGGCATACATAAAGTATGCACCTCTCAAAGTCTCTTCTTCACATAAAGGCCTCAGTTGCTAGTTTGTGTAGTTCGTGATGAAATATGTAGAAACTACCATGCATCAGCTAGTTGGCGAGCGAGAAGTACCTTTGTATCAGGCCCAATAAACGAGAGTGTAAATTTTTCGTTACTCTCTACTGACTGATCAAAGGACCAACCTCTAGCGGGGTTCAAGAAGTCTTATTCGCCGAAGCAGCGAATTGTCTCTCCTTGTCACGATTTGGCGTTCTGGTAGTACCTTTTGAATGAGATTTTGAGATGACAAAAATAGAAACAAGAAGAATCTTTTCTACCTGCCATTCTAACATTAAATTGCGATGTCCTATTGGAGATATATTCCCCGATAAGTGATATGTCTAAGTAATCTGTCGAGCACTGCGCTGTTTGTCAGACATTTCAGGTTTGGTCAGACAACAGATGGATGGTTTATGTAAAGCATGGATGAGTAGTGAGTATGTTGAATCTTATCCAGCGTTTGTACTCCGCGATTCAGTAGAGTGAGTAGCCAGTAGATTTACTTCAAGCGAGTAAGTTAGAAGCCAACAGTGGCTATACTTTATCTATCCCAGAGTATTAACAGTAGCTCCGTGTATCTAATACTTTATCAGATAATGAATACCAATGAATTTAAACAGAATCTTAAGTTCCGAAAGCTTGAAATAGATACCAGACCATGATTATTAGACTTTGGTGCACCAGTCCATTGTTAAGCGAGGCCTAGACCAATCAGAGAACAATACAGTCCTGACCTAGCTATCATCTGTCTAGCATCTTGGGACTACTTTTCAAGCTAGCGATATACGAAGACCTGTTGACTATACAGCTGATTCAGATATGCAACATAACAGAAGGTATATATGATGGTCATATGATATTCTACTATGATTCACTGGAGGAGGATGAATGAATGAAGCACATCAGATGACAAGTAGCTAAGCTTTTAGAAGTTCCGTTGCACGTCGACAATGCGCCATGTTATTCTATTAGCCGGCGAGTAATTCGAATAAATCAGCATTTTATTACATTGAATGTCTCAGACCAACGCGCCGTACCTAAAAACTACAGCTGAAACCTTTCAGATGTGCAGCAGGGCTTAAATATGGAAGGCTTGGGTGCCATATAATAGGTAGTTCAAGATAAAATTCACCTATAAAGCAAATGAAGCACATCAGACGACATCTAATTAGACTTGTAAGAAGTTTTGTTGCACATCTGATGCGTATTGTTTATTGTTTATTCCCCCTGGACCACTTGAAGCCCTAACTAAATGATTATATAATAATTCAGATATGCAGCGAAGCTTTAGAAAGAGATATAGGTTTGTCTTTCGATGTCTATGCATAATTCACTCGGGGGCGATGTGTGTATCATCATCTGGTATTCTTTTTGTATGACTCATTTCATTCATCTGAGTTTAATAAAGCATTGACACGTATGGACCCCAAATTCTCCTGAAAGTTTATAACGGAAGAACGGAAAAAGCATCACAAAAATGAGAGTAACAGCAGCGGCAGTGACTTCCCACCCACCAAATCCCAGCTCACTCAAAACCTCTGTGTGAATGATCATACAGTGTAAGATGCGAGCGGAGCGAAAACAACTAGTATGGAAGTCCCTGCGATCGTGTACAAACTATAAAATAGGATTTGGATTCCTTCAACCAGGTCGATAACGACTTCCTGTTCTAGCAGTGACAATAGACGAGCACAAACTCTGAACAGCCCTTTCGGCATCGTTCCTGCCTTTGAACTAAGATTTCTGATATATAGTCGAGCATTCTCATCCTGGATCCAATTTTTCTTCCCTTCTTTTGCAAACAATCTCGATAATATATAATTTTCATCTTAAGGATAGCTATATTCTTTGAGCGGATCACCAAGCAATATTTGTTAAGATCGAGACCAAGATCAACAGCGATTTGCCTTTAATACATCAATGTAGGTTCCTCCTAGAAGGGCTATCATAACTCTCTTACTAACGTCAATTGTAGTAAGAATCTGTAAGATTACCAAGTTCCAACAACAAAACATTGAGAATTATCATCTTCATCTTATCATTCCTATTCCTCCATCTCGCCAGTCAGTTACACCAAATTACCAAATCTGTCCTCGCATTAAAATTGGCAACAGTGCTCCGAAAAGTGCGTCGCCGGCATAGGCCGATTCCCTTTCGTCGCCGCGTTACCACAGTTCCGCCAATTGCGCCCGCTCCGATTGCCCCTTCTCCGTCGGCCTCCTTCTTGATTCAAGTTGTTGTAAGTCCATTCGGATGTTTGGATCCATCTCCCAGTGCTGACCTAGATAGTTCAATGGCATTCGTAGAAGAATTGTAGCGGCAGGTTACGGCGCCTTGTTACTGCTCCGTAGAATGGCTGAACATATGGCTCTATTCAACTAAGGAATGGAGATTGTTTGTAGACTTTTCTTACTGGGTAATGTGAGACAAAGTTATTGCTCAAAAATCATCACACCATCAAGTTTTAACAGATCATACACTTTCCATTAATCAGTTAATCTTACATACTCTCATTCTCTATACTGGCTCTGCACTGTTCAGATAAATCAAAGACTTAGTGATCGTGCTGGCTTATTAATACTTCAATATGAGATTCTATTGAAGTTTAAAGAACATGCAAACATTCTATTTCTATATGCAACGAAAAATAATCTTCAAGTTTCAATGAGTAGTAACAAGATGTACTGTCCATAATCCCAACCAGGAATGGTCAGGCACTCCAGTAGTCTGAAGAGTTATGGATGGGCTTTGTGTTATTGTACACCCAAAATGAAAGAACAGCGACAGTCTTGATCCTGTGCGATCCGCCATTCTATATAAGCAAGAAAAATAATCGAAATTGGTAGACATACAATTTCATGAATATAATGAGTAAGGATTTGGATAAAAAGTGAAAGAAAGATAATTCCAGATAGTATAAGTCAGTCAACCGCAATCCCAATTATATGCCGGATCCCTCAAATCATATTCCCTAGGTGTAGTTCCCTCACTTGCCAGAAAGTTTGAAGCACTAATCACGAAGTGTAGAAGATAGATTTGAGCGGACTTATCGCGCCATTCTCTTCGATTACTAAGAGTGTCTAGGTACTTGGCAGCTTTAGTACATATCAACCCAATTGTCACAACTTGTCCTATACTCTCTGCTGAAAATAGTGGTTGTATCTGTCGTTACTGCGGTGAGCAGACATAGAAGCGTTCGAAGATTTGGCACCGGAAATGCTTTGCTCAGAGGACCCAGAAGCGAGAATGAGTTTTAGTCATCGGAAGTGGTCAATTTTACAATGCTCGTGTTTTTTCCATGTTGAATTCAACCCATCAGCAACGGTGCTTTTGCTCGAATGTAGCCACTACTGGACGACATACGGCTTGCTTAGTACTCTCGAGGCAGCGTGATGAAACTGCAGGTTACATTTGAAGCTGGAATCGTTAGTATATGAAAAAAGTTGTTTGCTTGAGCTGATGAGGAACACCATTTAATACGGCCCTCATTTTGGTCAGTATTGATGCTATGACAGGCTAGGCAAGAATTGAAATCTATCAGAGCACAAACATCTTGAAATACCATATCCATTTCCACATGAAGTCCTGGATAAAATAAAGCATCCTATAATTCGAACAAATTGAGCTCTCGCTTCGTTCTTGAATCTGCGAGGACAAATTCTCCCCGAGCAATTTTGCCTTGCCCTGCTGTTTCAAAATCTTCTCATGCACCAATCAATGAGGACCTATTGCAAGAGGAGAGGTCGCACCTTGCCGACACCTGCATAATCATTGCTGAAGATCGCATCAGGCTAGATCCTTGTACAGCACAACTATCTCCAAAATCAGTCGTCTCTTACAATAATGTCTGGAAGTAGACGAACGTTTCAACCAAAGCGAATATCTCTCTGTGTCGGATAATAAACTTTCCAAATGCCAGATTTATCTCGATTAACAGGTCGCGCTGGCCCTTTTGCATAGCATTGGCATGTCTTCGGCATGTCTTCGGCATGTCTTCGATTCAAACTCCTACAGCCCCGTTCAGTGTCGTGGGTCCAAGGAATTTGGGAATAAGAATCTCATAATCGAAGCATAGAAGCACCATTCTGATGAGCCTAACGTATGCCGCAATCTCCTTGCAAAACTTTCGACATTTCCCTTTTCGCTGGCGGCCATTTAATCCTCCGAAAGGTGTCCTTGTAAAGAGAAGCCGATCCGCCAGGCGCTAGGCCAAGATCTTTTCAAGTCCTAACAATTCTTGCATCAGGGCGTGGTAGGGGACGGTCGATCCCACGCTAGATTCGAGAGATTGTACAACATCGTAGATAACCTGGAGACCTGCTATAAAGTCACCAATAGAAAAATCAAAGGCATAAATCATCTCCGTGATGGGAAGGAGAGACTGAAAAGGAGACTGTTAAGGCCTGACTCCAGGTCAAGTGTGAAACAAGAGAGTTCCAGCTTGAATGTGAACAGAAAGAAAGTAAAAAATTATAGTCAAATGGTGTTCGTGAGCAAAAGCTTCCAGTATGGGTTTGTGAATCGAGGCCACAGAGCTCAAATCCTTCTTATATGGTGGTCTTCCACCAGACATAGTGAATTTTTAAGGGCTAGCTGCGACAGAATCTTAATAAGTAAAAAACTAGAAGGTTGAAGATAACTTTTGTATCCTTGGAATCACCCCTTTCGAGAGACACGCTTGCTAAATACGTTTGCTTGTATAGCTACTTGGTGTAGACAGAAGTACTGTGCACGCAAATCGATTACATCGACCAATAAACTACTTATTTGGAAGTTGACTCAATTTAGATATCCTAGGTACAAATCCCTCTGCCGTCATAACGTGGCACACCCATGATGATTATGAGCTGCATCTTGAAACCCGTCGTTCCTCAGTATCAAGCAACGAGCCGATTATAATGAATGGTATAGTAGCATACTATCTCGACGCAGTTATGCCAGTCCTTGAGCAAACTTAAAGTTTAATGGGTCTGAAATAACGGTATGAAAGAAAAACACCAACAGCATCTCGCGATAGTTATATTAATGTCTTCAGCGGAATTCGGTTGAGGTCATCTCGAGCTCGTTACTAGTGTGTATTCCTCAGGGTCTTCAGTCTGCTCTTGAGTGCAGATTAACTTTCTGGTCAATCGAATGAAATTCATTGTCCATAACATGACTCTAAAGAAATGTCATCTATCAAGCGTGACACCGGCAACGGACCCTGCGGACGACGCTAAAATAACCTTAAATTTAAGCTCATATTTAGCGCAATCCTGATAGCTCCAGATTTATACGTATAAGCTCCAATAACCAAGCTTCGTTCACACTCACTCACAATCCAACAAAAGCAATGTAATGTCTAGCCCTCAAGTCTGCCGCCTCGGTAGATCCCAACCAACAAATTTCTTCACCTCCTTCCCAACCCCCATCAAAACCACCCAATCCACTCGAATACCCCGCCGCTTTTTCACCTCCTCACACCTTCTCACCTCCGTCCCGCCAAAACCACCTCAAACCCCTATATCCGCAACCTCCTTCTCATCCTCACATTCCCGTCTCCAGTCTCGCTTGCAGACACTGCAATCCCGTCTACCCAAATTTCTGCATCCGTACACATCTCCTTTGCTTACTGCGCCAAAAACATACATTGTGTCTTTCCTCATTCTGCATGAAATAACAGCGATCGTACCGATTGTAATTCTGGCGGGAGGATTTCATTATACGGGGTGGTTACCGTCTGATCTGATACCTGATGGGAAATTGAAGGGGGCGCAGGCGAGGTTTGAGAGGTGGTTTGGGAGGAGGGGGTGGTTCGGTTATGGGAATGCGGAAGGGTCTATCAGTTTGGGGATAGATGATCCGAGTGGGGTTGGAAATGATGGACAGATGGTCAGGGAGAGGGAAGAAAGTAATACAAGCGGGAAGAGGATAGTGTTGGAGGTTGCGACGGCGTATGTGGTTACGAAGGTGTTGTTACCGGTTAGGATAGCGGTTTGTGTTTGGGGGACGCCATGGTTCGCGAAGGTTGTGGGTAGAATTGGAGGATTGGAAAGGGGAAGAGTGAAATGATTTGTCAATGTGGTGAGATAGTCATGATCACAAGGAGTAACACATGTTCGTGTTTGACTACATCTAGACAATAGAAGCTAATACAAATGGACTGAGATAATCCAATACTTTTTGGGGTGAGTGTTGCACTTTTCACGCGTACATACACAAGTTCAGAATCTGATTGACTTTTTATTCATATATGTATTTATTCACCATCTTCAGTAACTTTCTTTAGTTAAGGTTTTGGAGTCTTGGAGCAAGTGACATAATATCAAGTCTAATCTACTTCTCGTAAACCCAGTCGTGTTGAGCGGACTTCCATGAGAGAACCTCACCCTCCTTGAACCAGAGAGCAATCTCCTTCTTGGCGTTCTCGACGGAGTCGGAACCGTGGCAGACGTTGCGTCCGACATCGATGGCATAGTCACCACGGATGGTACCTGGAGCAGAGGCCAATGGGTTGGTGGCACCGAGGAGGGCTGAAGAGAAGAAGCTGTTAGAAAGAGAAAAAGTGGAGAAGATTGGTGGCGAGATCAAGAGTTTACTTACTACGGCCGGTCTTGACGGCATCACGTCCTTCCCAGACCATGGCGCAGATTGGGCCAGAGTTCATGTCTACACAGTGTTAGCTCCATGCTCAAAGTGTGGTAGATTGACAGATACATACAGTTGACGAGACCAGCAAAGAATGGCTTGTCGGAGAGATCAGCATCTAGTCAAGGGGTTAGTTTCAATGGTTCCATTTCCTAGCCAAGCTAAAGCACTCACAGTGCTTCTCGAGGTGCTCCTTTCCAGGGCTGCTGAGCTTGATGCCAGCAAGCTTGTAACTATTTTCCATGTCAACAAAGCTCAAAAGGTTCTTAAAAGAATGTAAACATACCCACGAGCCTCAAATCGGCTGATGATTGGGCCGACGAGTCCACGCTGAATTCGACTTTAGTCAGTACTCCATTCTTCCCTCTTCACTGAATAGTTTCCGCATACCTGGACACCATCTGGCTTGATGGCAATGAAGCTATTCAAGGCGGCAAATTAGTTTTCACGGCTAAAAATTGGTTTGTTGACGTGGGGTAAAGTTCCAAGAGACAACAAAACATCAAGAATGAGATGTTGATGGAATCAAAACTTACGTTTGTTCGTTAGACATGGTATCGTTATTTAATCTGGCAGCTTCTTCTCTGTGTTTTGCTGTTGCTCTTAAGAGTGCTTGGGTTTTAGGACTGACGCGATTCAAAATAGATTCGGGGGCTTCACTCATATTTTAAATTTTAGTTTGAGGTGTGTTGTTAGTGGGGTCTTTAGTAGGCGGGGTGTGCTTGACTTTCCGCTAGAAGAGAGGGGAAGGTACCTTGTTCGTCCAAAGGCCCTAAATATCAGGCTCAAAAACTTGTCTCGTTTTGATTCGCTCAATTACCTAATTTCCATTATTTGCTGGCACAAATTTCACCAACAGAAATATACGCACAGGTATTTTATACCCATCCCACTCGCTCGTCACACCCAGCCAAGGATAACAGGGGTTTTGGACTGATCGTCAATGGTGAGGTAGAACGAACAGGACAGCTTGGAAACTTAACGCAGAATTCCATTCTTCGTATCATTGTTTTGCTGTACAAAGATCTATCAAAGAATTTGGTAATTTTGTATAATCTGAATTGAGTGCAATTGATACATAGGTATTGCATGTCTTTTCAATTATGAAGTCGCCGTTAAACCTGTCCTCACAATGGACAGGATATTTAGTTCTGTTATCAACATTTGGCAGCTTGATTACACCAGCTGGTAAGTACTTCAAGAACAGCGTCGGGGAAAGTCACTAACCTATCAATAGTAACTGTTAAACATGAGAATTTCAAAACATGCAATCAATCTGGGTTTTGCAAACGAAATCGAGCATATGCCGATCATGCAACAGCAGTGGGAGATAACTGGAGCTTGCAAGCTCCGTATCGATTGAAGTCGGATTCACTAACCTGGAAGAATGGTCAACTACAAGGGACGATCCTCAAAATCTTAGATGATGGTGGTTCGGTCCGGTTACCGATTACCATTTCTTTCCTCGAGTCTGGGTCTGCGAGAGTTACGATTGATGAGGAGAAGCGCCAAAAGGGCGAAATTGAGTTGAGACATGACAGTAAAGCTAGAAAGGAACGTTATAATGAGGCTGCGAATTGGGCTATTGTTGGAGGCCTTACTCTGAGTAAGGATGCAGAATATAAGAAATATCCAGGAGTTTCATACATCACATATGGTCCGGAGGGCAAGTTCAAGGCGGAAGTTACACATGCTCCATTTGCGATCGACTTCAAGAGGAATGACGAGACACAAATCAAGTTCAACGAACGGGGATTGATGAATGTGGAGCATTGGAGACCAAAGATTGAGAAGCCAGAAAGGAAAGAAGGCGAAGAAGAAACAACTGAGGTTCAGACTGGTGAAGATGAAGGGACTTGGTGGGACGAATCTTTTGGTGGTAACACCGATTCGAAACCTAGAGGTCCTGAAAGTGTTGCTCTTGATATTACCTTCCCAGGGTATGAACATGTCTTTGGTATCCCAGAACATGCTGGACCCTTGTCATTGAAGCAAACTCGCGGTGGAGAGGGCAATCACAACGATCCTTATCGTCTATACAATGCCGATGTTTTCGAGTATATCATGGATAGTGAAATGACACTTTATGGAGCTATTCCTTTTATGCAAGCACATAGAGCTGCATCAACCGTTGGTGTCTTTTGGTTGAACGCAGCCGAAACCTGGATTGATATCATTAAGGAGAAAGCGTCTATCAACCCATTAAGTGGAAAAACTGATACCAAGACTCATTGGTTCTCGGAGAGTGGATTACTTGATGTTTTTGTATTCCTTGGACCAACGCCAAAAGATGTTACAAAAGCATATGGAGAACTTACTGGCTACACACAGCTCCCTCAAGAATTCTCAATTGCCTACCATCAATGCCGATGGAACTACGTTACAGATGAGGATGTCAAGGATGTTGACCGAAAAATGGACAAATTCCAAATCCCATATGATGTTATCTGGCTTGACATTGAGTACACTGACGGAAAGAAATATTTCACTTGGGACCCTCATACTTTTGGAAATCATGTTGAGATGTTGTCCCACTTGGATAAATCTGACCGAAAACTTGTTGCAATTATTGACCCTCATATCAAGAATGAAAATAATTATCCGGTCGTCGATGAACTGAAAAGTAAAGACTTGGCGGTTCACAACAAAGAGGGCAGTATCTACGAAGGCTGGTGTTGGCCAGGATCTTCCCACTGGGTTGATGCATTCAACCCCGCAGCAATCAAATGGTGGAAAACACTTTTCACCAAAGATGCTTGGAAGACATCCAACTTATTCATTTGGAATGATATGAACGAGCCATCGGTCTTCAACGGACCCGAAACCACTATGCCAAAAGATAATTTACATCACGGAAACTGGGAACATCGTGATGTCCACAACATCAACGGTATGACCTTCCACAATGCAACCTACGAAGCAATGGTCGAGCGAAAGAAGGGTGAACTCCGTCGCCCATTCGTCCTCACTCGTTCTTTCTATGCCGGAAGTCAGCGTCTTGGAGCTATGTGGACTGGTGATAATCAAGCCGACTGGGATCACCTTGCAGCCGCTTTCCCTATGATCCTTAACAATGGTATTGCCGGTTTCCCATTTGCTGGTGCAGATGTTGGTGGTTTCTTCGGTAACCCTGAAAAGGACCTCCTCACCCGTTGGTACCAAGCTGGTGCTTTCTACCCCTTTTTCCGTGGACACGCACATATCGATACCAGAAGACGTGAACCTTATCTTGCAGGTGAACCATACACCGGCATCATTACCCAGGCTCTGCGTCTCCGTTACGCCCTTCTCCCAGCATGGTATACCGCTTTCCACGAAGCTAGTACCGACGGAACTCCCATCATCAGACCTCATTACTTCGAATACCCTGAAGACGAATCCGGATTTTCTATCGACGATCAATTCTTCGTTGGTGGCACAGGCCTTCTAGCCAAACCCGTCGTGAAGGAAGGTGCCGAAAGTGTCGAGATTTACCTTCCAGATAACGAAGTCTACTACGATTACTTCGACTACTCTATCCATACCGGCGCTGGAAAAACGACCATCGCTGCTCCTCTCGAAAAAATTCCACTTCTCATGCAAGGTGGCCACATTATTCCACGCAAAGATCGTCCTCGCAGAAGCTCCGGACTAATGAAGTGGGATCCATACACGCTCGTCCTAGCACTCGACAAAAACGGCAAAGCTCAGGGAGAACTTTATGTCGATGATGGTGAGACATTCGATTACCAATCTGGTGCCTATATCCATCGTTCATTCACATTTGAAAATGGAAAGTTGAGCAGTAAGGACATCGGAACAAAGGGCAAGTTAACAGATAAATATTTGAAGAGTATGAAGAACGTAGGTGTTGAGAAGATTATCATTGTCGGTGCTCCTAAAGCGTGGAGTGGATTGGAGACAGTGAAGATTGGAAGTGCTACAGCAGAACTTTCGTATCACTCAGAAGAAGGAAAGAAGGCTGCATGGGCATTGGTTAGAGCGCCAAAGGTGGCTATTGGGGAGGACTTTGAATTGGAGTTTGCGGAAGCTGGGAAGACTGAGTTGTAGAAGGTTCTTTCGGGAACTGAAATGAAGAATTGTATATGGAAGGATTCCAGTGGATAGAGAAGTGTATTTGTATTGTGATCTAAAATACATAGCATTTTCTCGAGTGGATATCTACTTAGCCGTGCAAAAATGCAAAGTTTTAATCTTTCAATTTTTAAGTAAGCAGCAGCCCTTAAACTCCCACGCTTTTGAACATCCCCATAATCAAACCGCCAAAAGCAACCCTTCCGTCTTAACACCGCGCTCCATTGTCAATTTATCATCACTAAACTCCGTCGCATGGTTTCATACAGCATACATCTGTACCTATGTATAACGCCTCATCATCTGTTCTACTCTCGAGTAACAATTTACCGATTTACCAATTCCATAATCTTGTTCGCATTTTATTGTCGTAGGTGAGAAGTAATGTAGAAGGGGAGGGAAGGAAAGGGGAGGGAGAAAGATTATCTGGGAGCAGCGGGAGCAGGAGGAGTGGGAGGAAGATCTTCGCGGCCGTCTTGCCATGAGCTGCAGAATACGCATCGGAGTGCCTGGCGTTGTTAGAATTTTTGTTTTTGGACGGGATAGATTATGAAGGGGAATATGAGGGATTGGAAGAGGGGGGAAAGGAGATTGAGGGAGGAAAGGAGATTGGGGTGGAGGAGGGAAAAGGTAGAGATTTGAAAAGGGGATATCAAAGAGGAGGGAATGAAAGAGGGGGGGAAAGAAGAAGGGAACAAACCTTCTCGAAAATCTTCTTGCGGCAATATTTGCAGCGGACATTATGTTTGATTATAGCATTATCTTGGCTGAAATATTGGTAGAGAACGGCGATGCCGTATAGTGCGAGACCGACGCCTATGAAGTTTATTACGTTGTTTAGGAAAGAGCTGGGAGTCACATTAGTCTAGTTGGTGAGGGAAAAGAAAGGGTCGGGGGATGAAAATAGCTTGGAGCTCGAAAATGAGGTAGCGGAAATAGAGGAATGACGAAAGAAAGTGTAGAGGATAGAAAGAAGCAAATGGAACAACGCACCCCCAAGCCAAAACAATAGCCCCATCATCCAACGCCTGCTTCAGCGTGTTATATCCCGCCCCATACAAGAATTCAATACCCATCTGTACAACCACAGTACCATTTCCTTCCACGCCCTCGCCTACTCCACCGCCAATTTCAGTATGGTTGTGCAAAGTACCGCCATAGTGGGGACCAGGTCTCAGAACAGCGAATTTCTCATCCAAATTTTTGTTCAAAAATGGAAGTAGAGATAGCGGTGGAAGAAGAACGGATGACACCAGCGAGGTGATTAAAGTTGTGAAAGATTGCGCTATTCTGTATGTTTGTGAGTTTTTGAGGAAGATGGTCACATGTGGAGTGCGTTGGACACTAGGGAAATAGAAGTGATGGATTAGGATGAGAGGGAATGCGTACATCAAACCAATAGCAACGTGCAGAACATTATCATTGAATGCGAAATCGACAAATCCCTCCCAGAAGCTTGTAAGATGTCTGCGTGCAGCGTTGGTAGTGCGGAGGAGTGGTTCGCTTGCCGCTCGTGCATCGAAGTCGAGGGTTGGTCGAGGCATCGTGGGTGCTCCTTTTCCGGATTTTCAAAGTTTTGTTCTAGTAATATTTTGTAATTTCTGTAAAAGTAAAATAAGCAGACAAGGTAAAGATGATCAAAGAAGAGAAAGAAATGAATGTAGGAAAATGAAGAAGGAGTGAGTTCATCATTGCTGAGATGTACTTACAGGGGTACGTATCAATGACTGGCACGTGTGGGAATTAAAGTTATTGACAAGGATTATGATAAGGCGAGATAAGCGCCCCAGATTTATCGGATAAACCTTCGACCGATCTTGTATCAAAAATTAATTTTTTCGAAGTTGATGCGGCCGCTCAAGTTGACCCCTCATCGTCTTTCGCAAAAGTTTACTCTACAATCTCTTGAATTGAAGCATTAAAAATTGAGTCAAAATCTGTTACTCTCGCTAAAACGAATCGACAATCAAGAGAAATTGAAAATATGGCACCCAAATTTTCAGAGGACGAAATTGATGATTTGATATATTTTGCTCGTATTGGGGATAATGATGAATTCGAGAAATTGAGGGAGGAGTTATGTAAAAGGGAGGGATGTTCGACTGCCGAACTGCTAGAAACTGCAAGAGATAGCGAGAGTGGGAATGGTGTGCTACATATGTCTGCCGCCAATGGACATCACGGTAAGATTTTAAACTCTTCCTTCAAATCAAAGAAAGGAAACTAACTACTCATAAACAGAACTCCTCAGCCTCCTTATAAAATACCTTTCAAACCCGTCACCTCAGAACCCTCAAATGCTCAAAATACTCAACACGCAAAATGGCTCTGGAAACACACCCTTGCACTGGGCTGCTTTAAATGGACATTTGGAATGCGTAAAGAGCTTAATAGAAAATGGAGCAGATCCAACGATACAGAATCAAAAAGGACATGATGCGGTTTATGAAGCGGAGTTGGCGGATAAAACAGAGGTTGTGGATTGGGTTCTGAAAGAAGGAGGGGAGGGATTGGAAGAGGGTATTGCTGGGGATGAGGGTGCTGAGGGAGGAGAGGAGGATGAGAATATGGTGGAGGAAGGAACTGAGGTTGTAAATGTCGCGGAGGGAGAGGGAAAGCTGGAGGATGCGGTGAAGAATTTGGGCATTGGTGAGGATGTGAAGAAGTGAGAGAACAGAGTTGGAAGAAATGAATTCAACAGCGAGGGTTGTATACTGTTGGAAGCATCCCTCGCGACCGGGGCATGTTGGAGGATGGGCCTGAATTATTGCACGCCGGCAAAATTTAAATATGAGGTATGCCATAACGAGCTATTGTTGATTAGATGGTCGACTGTAAACCAGGGTTTGCGACCCCTAGCGTGGGATGACACTGCATATATACCCCGCATAACGGAGATGCAAAAGGCAGCATAGCATTTTCGAATACAATTATAAACACTTTACATTTCACTTCGTCCCTCCTGATCTTACCTTCAAGCAGAGCATTCGGACTAAGTGACGTATGCAGATGCACTTAAGGCTGTAAGACTAGTTACTTGCAGTGATTCCGCTGCTACCGGGCGGGAAAACTTCTACACCAAACGTCAACCTGCCCGGCTGGATTTCTCCCATTTTACATCAACACCGAATTTTCAAGAGTCCTATTCAACAAAAAAGCATCCCGTCATCCCTTCTCCTTTCATACATAAAATGAGATGCAGCTTTCGCGTTTCTCTATATCAACACATGAAAGCACCCTTTCAAATCTGTTATGCAGATTTGTTTAACGTGAAACTTTCTATATTTTTTATATATATTTTGAATTGTAGTGTTGTTAACTCTTCCTCGTACATTGCCGTCATTGTTTAGTCTTATGCTTTCTCGCTACAATGCTTTGTGGTATAATATTCGGGTACTAGTGGGAAGTTTGATTTGCTTAGTGTCTTGGATTGCTAGCAATGCTAGGATCCGGTGTTTTGATATATAGGTATTAGACATGTAGTGGTCAAGTGATAGAGATGATTTCAATGCTAGTCGTGAAATTCGGTGTCGATTAAGATCTTTGCGTTGTGGCGATGTAAGAGAGCCTAGATGAAGTTTTCATTTATTGGTAAGCAATCTTATTATCTGGATATGTTAGCTTTGTAAAGCCAGATCTTGTCCTTGGTTGCGAGATTGAGAACATATAAATTTAGAACATCAAACGTATTTCCATCTGAGAACTATAGCACATCACTCGCTAGATATCAGCGTATTGCATAACTATTCTTCAAAGTGAAGAAGGTCTATCTGATAATAATCAAAATTGCGCGTCTAATACCTTTTCCGTACTTCAAATCAAATCAATAGCATCCGACTAACATTAGTCTACATTGACTGAATCTTCATCCCCCTTATCAATATCATCACCATGATCACCTGCATCTAAAGATCTTGAGCGTCAGCTATTATAACTCGTGAGGTAAGCCCGTAAGCGAGGAAGTGTAGTCAAACTCACTCTTTTTTTCATCATCCAACCCGCTCTCACTACCATGATCATTTTCCTCAGCCTTCATTCTCGCAATACTTTCCTCTAGCATCTGCGCATGAGCATCAATACGGCTTCTTAGTTGATGATCAGTAAACATCGTGCGCTCCAATCGTTGTATCCGCTGAAGTTCCTCTCGCGTTGGTGTCCCTGAAGAATATTCGTCATTTCAACCTCAACAGGTGAGACAAAAGACCTAAGAATGATTGATACACATACCATATGCCCCAGAATTTCTTCTTCCACCCATATCTTCTGTATCACGAGTACTATCTTCAATCGACCGAAGATCTTCCCACCATCCTTCATCCTTCCATTGCTCCATCATGTCGCGACAGGAGAGCAAGATATCGTGAAGGAGGGGATTCGCGTCACGTTTGACTTTTTCATTAAGATAATTTAATTCGCTACTGATTCTAGTGAAAACTGCTTCGGGGGCAACGGTTGCGCTGACAACGCGGATGAGTGCTAGTTCTATTTCAAGAGCAAGACGAGAACGAGGTGTGAATACTTCAACCCCGTTAGTTAGACGAAGGGGTAAATTTATATGTATCTTGAGATGTTTAAGGGTATGGGAGATCGCCGAGGAAACGGGTTGGAAGATGACTTACCAACTCCTTTTGCAGCATTTTCAGCCCAGATTAATTGTAGTTTATCGATGAATGTATCAATTATCCCATCTACAATATCAGTAGCGGAAGGAGGAGAAGGAAGGCGATTGGGTAGTTCCGCCATTGTGGATGAGTGGATGTTTGAATAGAGGCACCGCAAAATAGAGATCAAGAGAGAGACGCAAAGTTATGAGGTTAATTATCCTTGTGTAAGAAAGTTTGAGGATTGGAGCTGGAAGACAGCTTTATAGCAGAGGACTTGAATGGCTACAAAGATTCCAAGGTGGTTCTGAAAGCACCTTGTTTTGCCCGCAGCTACCTGGCTATTGTGTGTATGAGCAGATGGAAGGATAGTGAATCCATTTTGAAATGTTACAGAAGTTAAATAAACAGTGATAAGATAACGTGTAGTGAATCAAAGAAATATAAGATGTTTGGTTTGGAAAAAAAAAAGCTGGTCATACAGCATGTATTGTCTGGTTTTTGTTTGGGTATCATTAGATTGTTTGTGTATCTAATCTCTTCTGGAACCACTTTTCTTAGAAATTCAGAGAAAATAAATAGCAAAAATTCATACTCTTATATCTCCTTGTTTCAGTCCTTTGAGGATGTATTTCATATCTGGATCCGTCTGGAATGATCATCTGATACACTATTGAAGATTTTTTCTTTTATGTTTTGTTCTTATACTATACATATTGATTAAGAGTTCTTGGGGGAAATTAAATGAAGGGAAAGGAAGAAGTTGTGTTTAAGATGTAATAAAATAAAACCAAAAAGACGATGAATGAAATTCCAATACTAGTTTCAAGTAGCTTTTGACTATTTTCTATTGATTGCAGCTTATATATGCCTAAAAGTATTTTTCAAAGTTAATGGATTACTCATATATCTAGACTTCAAAGGAAAGTTGTGGTTTTATGCATAGTAGCAGCAGACTTTGCATGATTATGGAAGTGGGTTGATGAGAAAGCAAATTGTCAATTGTCAAACATGGATTTTTGATCTATCCTGATGCATGTATATGAGGTCACTAAAGGAAATTGCCACAGGCTCATTATCAGTATCTTGTTTGGCCATTACTCCCAAAGGCTATTACAAGATCAATGAATTTCTTGAGGTGAAGATGAATAAGGAAAGATCAATTTTCCGAGATGAAAGGGGGTGAATGTATAGGCAAGAGTACATTGTATACACTCAAAATCAATGAAGACACAAAAAAAGTCAGATGCTAGATCAACACTATGTGTGACCTGGGACTACTATAATTCGGGAAGCAACGTTGCTTTAAAAGATCTCAGGATAAGAATCACTTAAATTCATCGCAAGCACGAAAAGAGTATATAAAAACAAGAGAAGAAGCTCTCCAGAGTCGGATGATAACATGTCAAATACTCTGGAAGCAACAATACTACTCTCCAGTCCTGCCAGTGGCTAGGATTTTGAAGTCATTGAAGAAGCTATCGACCAGTACTCAGAGTACCTGACCTCCAGAATGATCTTAGATCACGAAGCCTATCATTACTTGCTACTGCGCAACACCAGGAGAGCCATGAAAGAGAAGTAACAACTGTGTTATTCAGTAAAAAATGTACCATTGACCAAATTCAGCTTGAGTTTGCAACAACTAGGCCTGGGACATCAAAGACAGTGGACTTGCGAAAATGATATTCATTCAAAGATTGGCAAGAGAGATGTATCTAAGGTTCTGGAAAGGAAGAGGACTAGAAAGGAAATGAAGACCAGCTTGCGGACTTTATGAGATGAACGCTTTTGATAATGAAACTAACTCAGAATGATGTTGGACTAGGTATGTTAAGAGTCCAGGAAAAAAGCAGAGAAGACAGAATTCGATGGTTGCGTTGCTGACTAATTAATAAGTGACCTTGAAAATGTTGAGCCGGTAGTCCATTCTTATGCCCAATTCGTTTGGGACTTTACTTTTGCACCTATGATGCCCGACAATAATGTGGCCATGCTGCCAGAGATATCAAAAAATACCTAGTGATGATAGGCCGGTTGGGTATTACATCTGTCGCTGCATGCTGTTGGAGGGTGAATTTGTTCTGGCTCTTGTCAAAATATATGCAGACAGTTGTGATAGATCGCTTTATATGGTTTTCATTTAGGCTCTTTAATTTTCGCTTTTCTCTTCACCCTCTATGAAAATTGCATTCGCAGGGACCGGAGACCTTAACCAAAACAGATTTTCGCTGCAATATTTCAAGGGATATGCCTTACATCTAAAATCGAAAGTCACCAATATAACGAAACACGTATATCACGAACTCTTGTCTAAGGCTCGTGTCCTAGATATACTCAAAATTTGAAGCAAATTTCAAAGCAGTCAACTATTTCTCATTAATAGAATATGTTGTGGAGTATTGAAATGCGCTTCCCTCCAAATGTCAATACCAACGTCGCGATTCCGTTTAAATTGCGAAAGATTGGACGAAATTCAATAATTGGCCTTCCCTATCCAAACTCTGAAGTCGAGGTAATGCAATTAATGGCATTGCCTGCTGCGCATAACGAGCTGTGAGAACAATCTATCAAGAAAATCCTAGTACCGCAGTGGTTGTGGTAGTGATTTTGACGATGCCGCTTCTTTCTGTCTGCAAATGGGGTCTACTTTGAGCATTTGATCAATACATGCAAAAAATGCATCATTCAGGTTAAATCTTGGCTTACTGCATCTATCACATATTTAGCTGCCTCATCTTTCTTCAGCTTCTTACTCCATGCATCATTTACAACAAAATCATAGCGACTTTCAGCGTTTGCTACCGCTTCCTCGTATTTCAAAGTTGCCCCTTATTCATTGTCACATACTTGACAGAAGCCACCCCGAGATCCATAATCATTTCCTAGTGCGTTGAGATCTTCTCGGTTGTTGCAAAGTCTACCGTCTCGAGCCATACTCAAGATCTGTATGTCCAGATCGTCCATTTATTCGCAGGTCGATTAGTCAAGGGAAGCAAATAACCAGTGCACTGCAGTACAATAGATGAAACCTTACACAATATGCTCTGGGGTAGTATTCAGTAAAGGGTTTGGATTGATCTCACGCTTTCGTAGTACTGCTAGAAGTTGGCGATTGACGTAGGCAACTAGGAAACCTTTGGGAATTAAGCAAACAGATAAAACCATATCGCCCGAATAATTTGACAAGCAGAAGAGTATCGTTTGTGACAAGCTTTAGGCTATAAGTGGTGCTAATATTTTGCTTTTTATAGCCTCGACAGATCTGCCTTTTACTGTCTTTTGCCTTGAATCTTCACGCGTTTGCAATTTTGACGTAGCACAAAATCTGCGCAGTCGGCCGCAACAGTCTAGTCTAGACCATATTATATAGTTTTGGTGTAACCAATCTATTTCAGGCCTCCCAACTACTTGGGAATTTACAAAAACAGCTAGAATTTCGCGAGAGGAGGTTTAAGCCATCATGCATTCGTTACGGCTGATATAAAAATTATACCTAGCCTGAGGGCAATGAGGCTAATGATTATCCGACTGAAAGCGCTAATAAATTTTATTCCGTTTATACTAGCCCATGTATCAAAACCTCGTGAATTATTGTTGCAAATCTCAATATTTGGCACCATCCGTGCTGAAGCTAGAAATACCGAAGCTAACAGTGCCGAAATCATCAGATATGCAACAGTACGATAAATTCGAAGCTAGGAGTGAACGCTAACAGTAGAAGCTAAGCGCTTAGTTTTTCTGATACGCAATCGAATGACAAACCGAAGTCAATAGTAATGTCGTCATTAGTAATGTCGTCATAAAGCTCATTGAATTCACTTTTCTCATGGTTTCCATTCACATTTTCTTAATTAGGTATTTCTGACTTTCTCTTGAAGAAACACATTTCTTACTGGTTTGACGTTATGGTTTCAGATTGGGTGATGTCAGTGCTGTGATTATTAAGTTCAGTGGCATTGTCCTAATGCGGTAATATTGATCTCCTATTGTGGTAGCGAGAAAATACGCTTGATAATCTAGTTTTGGGTGCACGGACCATTATGAGATGTCATGCATCTCCCTATGTACCTGAGAACATCTATATAAACTCTTACTCAACTTTTGAAGTAAAAGCTTTCCTCTCATCATCACATCTCCTCTATTTCAATTCATCAATACCCTTACAATCACACTAAAAAATTTCTTGAATTCAACAATCATGGCCAACGAGACCGCTACGGATAAATCAAAGACTTACTTTCCTCTCGCTGGAGGAGCAAGCGATGGTTGGAGCAATGAAGAGGAAGCGACAGCCACATGCTTCTGTGGTGCTGTTCAACTATCTTTCGTAAGTCTAATTGCACAACTTCTTATCTTCCTAGAAGATACCCACCCTTCAATCACTCCTCTCGCTAGCTGGTTTCGGCGCTAATTCTACTCCTCAGCCAACACAAGGCTCTGGTTTAATCAGCACATTTGTCTGTCACTGCCATGACTGTCGCAAAATTACCGCTTCAATGTTCGCATCCAATTTCATCGTCGCCGATACACACATAAAGCATATTCGCGGGCGTGAAAATCTGAAAGTCTACAGTCAATCCCACACAATCGCCACGAAAAACACCATGGCAAATCATTTCTGTGGAACATGTGGTTCACTTATGTATCGTATCGGCTCAGGATTTCCGGGAGCCAGTATTTTGCGAATTGGAACCGTGGATGATTTTAATTTGCATGAGACGAAGTTGAAACCAAAGATGGAAGTCTTTACTGATGGGAGAGTGGCATGGTTGAAAGAGGTGGAGGGCGCGGCCCAGTTTCCAGATGGGAATGTATCATTTCGTTAATGCACCGCGTGGTAGTATGTGGATGATAGGAATGGACCTGGTTCATCATTTGAACTGGGAATGAGATTTTTACAAAGGAGCAAAGAGATATGAAGGCGTTTGAGACAGAAATAATCGGGAATAGATATATATGGTGTTAAGAAATTGAGCACCGTCGACTCTAAAACTTTGCGCATTCTTTCGTGATGATTATCGTCATCAATTATTTCCTCATTTTCTCGTGAAACAGAGAAATAGTACAATCAAGCAACTACATAGCGTTTGGAGTCCCGCTATCAATTAACATTCGGGATATTACTAATAAACACCGGCAATACCGCACAGTTATCTGCTTCAATTAGTTTTTGTTCCCCGAAATCCAAACCTGTGGTATGTAAACGAGAAACAATGCACCCAGCAACAGCCCCAAAAATCTCAAGTCTTTCTGCCTGTATTAAAAGCGGCAAAACAGCCAAAAACAAGAGTATGAAAATTAGTATCACGCCATTACTAACCGTATACGTGATATTGAGATTATAATGTTCTGTAAATCGGAATAGGACGAATACTAGGGGAATGAGAAGCAGGAGTAAAACGAATACGAGAAGATTAATTACAAATGTTTCACCCCCGGATTTGCTGTAATTAGTAGTGAGGATTTAGACCAGGGGTTTTTTGAAGAGCTGCTGATTGAAGTGGAAAAGAGGGACTTTTACACCTTTAAATGTATAGAGACTAATATCAACAAGTTGATGATCTCGAGGGAGTCTTCCAAAATACTTTTAAGTAAGATCTTATCAAACAACACCAAAAGGTTTTGAAGCAGAACCCGGAGAAGCACCTACAGACACAGACACAATAAACCTATTTCTTGCCGAGTTTGTCCATATTCATGACGATTTTAAATTCTCTTTTGATAGTGTACTATACTGGTGCACCGGAAATGCATGGTAAACTTATAGATAGCGAGGAGGATTAGCTTTAATTAACTGGGTAAGAAATAGAAAACTTGCCTAAGTGAAAGAAGAATATTGCTAAATGCACGAACAGATTAATATCCCGGATGAAGAAAATAATAACCTTAACTAACTACACGAGATTAGATTGTCTAGAGTTTCCCCAAACACAATATCCAAAGTACTCAAAGTGATGTTTTAATAATAATAATATTTGATTATTGAATTGCTGGCGAAATAGATCTCCGTGTTCGTGAGCGCGGGTTTTATCAAAAGAATATTTGAATACGTGGTGTTATACATATCTGCTAATTTACAAAGATCTACCACCAAAAACCCAGGACCCCGTTCCTTCACAACAGCGCTGATCTGGGCTAGCTTGCTTTGAAGAGATAATCCCTTTCAATCCCCGGGGAAAGTTCCAATACACATACATAAACTTGCGACAAAGCTCCCTCAAGCACCCGACTTTCCCCGACTCCAGGCGCCCAAGATTAACAGAACATAGTCTAACTAGTTCTTTGTGGGAGATTTGTCCCGTAATCTTACCTTACCTTACCTTACCTTACCTTACCATACCATACCATACCATACCATACCATACCCTAGGATAAACAAACAATCAAACAAAATGAATTAGAAACGCCAGTACCTAAGAAAAGAACACAGGAATCCAATTCGAAGCTCGGGATGAAAAACAATGGAAAATTAAAGATTAGGTAAGATTACCTTAAATCCATCTCGGATGGAAAAATTACCAAAAAAGATAATTAAAGAATTCAAGAAAGAAATATATCTCCAAAGTGATCAGGGGAGGGAATTTCATAGCATCTATAGTTTTGTGGATGGGTATGAAAACTTCTAGTTCTATGATGGAGATATTCGGGGGATGTGGTGAGCTATTGGCGAAACTATACAAAGAAACTTCTTGGTGACTTACTTGATTTTAAACGTCGATGTTGTAGAATTTTCACCCGCACGTCACAACAGTCACACCTATCAGCTACTGCGCAACAGGAATCCTCAATATCATCTGAAGAAAATAACATCAGTCACCCAGTCTACCTCCAAGTCTCGCGCCGAAAATGAGGTTTGATGTCGTCGGGAGGAGTGGAATGGATGAAGTTTCAAATAGTCAAATATTAAATCAATAATAAAAAATAGCATAAAACAAACTAAAAAAAAAAAATTATTATATATATATCTTTCCCACTCAATTAAAAGAGGGAAGATATTTTTATTTTATATTTATAATTTATAATCATCGCTTTCAATTTTCAAAATATAAAAGTCATTTACATAATATATAATATATCATCACTATTACTCAAGACTATACTTTTAAAGCTCAATAATCTCAATCTGAACCTTGGCCTTAGTCTTCTTCTATAGAATACAAAATACGGAAACATCTAATAACATCCAATACGCCAAATCTCCCAGAGCTACTATCATCACGTGGCAACCACCCATCAATTCTCGCTTGTCCCAAACCCCCTTTTCCTGTACATACGTAGCTCGCCCCTCAATTGATGTTCCACTTGACCCTAACTTTCCGCATCAATGCTTACCTAACTAGTTCTTTTTGCTAAAAGTAACTCCACTTCAAAGACGTGTTGCCACGACACGATATCATCATCATCCACTTTATTGCAAACCTTCTACCGGCACAATCATTCGTCCGATCATCCCACGATCCATTGAAAAAAAAAGTGATGTAATTTGTGGAGAAATGCCATTGCGATGCGAAATGAATTTTCGTGCAGATAAACACGGGTGAGAAGTTAAAGAGATGGATAGGTGGCACGGGGTAAACACACGCGGAGGGTTTTCATAGGTAACATGCGGGATTTCATGTTGTACAACGGGGCGGGATGTAAAATTGGTGTGGAGTGGGGATATGAGATGCTGAAGGGGTCCCGCAGGTACTGGGTTTTATCAGATCAAAACCTGTGGGGCTCAAGATATATGACCATGCCGAGTCAGTGTTTTGCGTGGTTTTTGATTGCTCGTGGCTGGAATTGTAGCTTAAGAATTATCTTTGAAACAGGTAACACGAAAATTAAAGTTTTGAGGTGTACTTAGTTAAGCGCAATACTTATCCGCGCAAATGAAAACATTTCGATTCATTTCAACGAATTGAGTTCATCTAAAGTCAATCATCTAAATACCAGGATATGAGGAGAGTTCAGTGTAGTCGGCAATTTGTACACCGACGAATCATTGATAAAATAGAGTTCGAGACAGTCATATTCGTCCCTTCGCACCGTATCCACTTTTCAAGATCTACACGACTTTTAAGGGACCACACTCGTGGATCGTACCGGCATCTAAGCCAACGATAGAGGAAAACTTCTCAGCAGAGTACACAGCCCTACAATACATGCAGACTCCATTCCCAGGAACACGGTCCAGCGGTAATCTAGTATGAAAATCCTCGATGTCTCGAAATTGTACGGTATCCCATCATATTATACTTATTCTTCGTAAGATTGATACTCTTAGCATTCGGTTGAAAATCGGTCGAATGAATATCAGATCGAATACAGAGCTTTTGATTCAAAAGAAAGTCTCATCCAATATCGTAGGAATATAAATAGTCCCCTTAAAAAGATATACCATTATACTATTTCAATTTATAAGTCAGTGTTATAAAATACAGAAATAGATGGAAATATAAACTGTTATATCGTTTTGATATTGCATTGAATATTTGTAGAATATTTGAAAAACTTATAATAATACAACCAAAGTAAAATTACAATCGACCTGATATATCCGACCGATTTTCAACCGAATTGCCAAGAGCCCGAATCTCTCGAGATTGTACGGTATATACATAGGAGACAAAAAGAATGTCGCCACCGCTAGACTAGAGAAGGAATTCACGCAACTGCCGAAGGAAGATACCGTATGGAGCCAATGTATTGACAAATTTGATGAATTGAGAGCAAAAACAACTGGCAGAAAGAAGAAAAATGGACGCCTAAAGAAAAGGGTCATAATTTTGGCCGCGTACTAGCGCAGAACATAGAGGGTATTGGATCTGATAACAGTATTCGATAGAGACTCGGAGAAACCCGAGCAACCCGAGAACATCCAAGAATCCATCAAAACCTATCCAATCCCAATTCCTGTAGTAAAATCAAAAGTCCAACCCAAAAAATTGGTAGAAACTCAAAATCGTTCGCTCATACTAGGTTCGAACGTCACCAAAGAAAGAAATCGCAAAATCACGCACCACTTTTGAAAGTGTGAGAGGATGAAATAACCGCCAAGCATAAAAATATATCAAGCAATATTCAAATGCCGCCAGGATGCACCAGCTGCATAAGGAGGCTGAAGCTAAGTCCGGGATTAAGAAAAAACCTATCTCAGTAAGTGAAAGGAAGATCAATGGATTCAACCCATCATTATTTCATCGGAGACAGCTCCGCGATAAGAATGTGATGATGGAATTGATGCGTGGGCTAATGAGGAGTTCAAATCGTTGGTGTTTCGATATTGTTTCTGATATTGAGGATGGATTGAGGGGGCCAGCAAGCAAGCGCCAATAACAAGATGGATGATGAGGGTTGGAATGAGGGGTATGAGGGGTGAGGGGTGAGGTGTGCAACGATTTTTCACACCGTGTGAGAAGGGATGGGATGCAGATGGGATTTGGGCATCAACAGGATCGTGTGTTTGAGGAGATGTGGTATTGATGATGGTGGCGTGTATTTTCTTGAAGGATGGAAGTGTGAAGCAAATATTGATTGTCGATGTACATAAGAGGGATGACAATGCATGAAGGGCGTTTACAGTACTGCGTATGTAATGTTGATGCACTAGGTAGGGTAGGTAAGGTAGCTCGCTGTCATTGAGAGAATTTACCCCTCATTTTTATTCATGCTGCTTTAAAGGGATCAAAATTTCAGATCTTGGGGCACTAGACTTGGCACTGATAGGTTGTGCCATCGCCTCTCCCGTTACCTTCCTCGGAAGGATAGCATGAAACCTGTGCAGTATAGCCGACGATGCATATAGGAAACTGTACCACCTCTATTTGTTTATACTTTGTAATAAGCATTCTTGGAGAGAGTAGCTCTTGTGTAGCTCACTCGCTCAATGGTTCGATTACCTAGTCCGAGCTTGGAAGAACTACCTAGTATGTATGATCCTCAAATCCTCGATATGCTCTCCCTTTATTATTAATATTCGAGCTTCCCCTCACGCACCGAGGTCGAATGAGCTTGCGCACGTAGCATTTATGCGCGCCAGCGTACGGACCGATTATGATTCCACAGACTATGAGTTAGAATTGGTCAATTCCTTCCTTGCCAAGAAGATATCTGCTACTGCTACTTCTACTAGTCCAGTCACAGCACCAGAGCCGCAGTCCGTCGAAAATTGCAATACAGAGTCCTTACGAAAAAAAAGAAAGAAAAAAGAAACATGCAACGTGTATCTAAGATTGAAGGAGGCAAGCGAGGAAACACGATCTAAAAGATCTCATCCCATTTGCCAAGTTTGATATTTTATCATGTTCCTGGAGATAGTTTGAGAGCTAAGGAACTGGTGCCCGAAGCGTCGGGTGTAGGTTTTTCGCGTGGATGATGATTTGAAAGCCTTAAAGATGCGATAATCTGTTGGCGTGTGATGGCAGTGCTATTTATTAGTGCGGCTTCTCAAAGTTTTGTATTCTTTGTTTTCTTTACGAGCTGAGGCTATTCTGGGACGATAGGTACGCTACCAACCCAAGAAGGGCAGTTTGATCGGTTATGATGTAAGGAGTATGATGTAAGGAGTGAAGTCATATGATTTCATTGATTGTCATTTTTGGTGAAGCTTGAACTGAATCTTGACAAGGTGTAAAAGGATGTCAAGGTATATGCTGGGCATTATAGATGTTTCTATCAAAATATACGGAAAGACATTTGGCAATAAAACAAGGCACAAATTATATCACCTAGGAACGAATTTGATATCGGAAGAATATAAGATCCATATCACAAAACTATCGATGTCTTGTCTTTCGTGCATATCACACGGTGAGTTCGCAAAACCAGCATGGGAAGAGGGGAAAGATAAGAATCTCTTGAATATCGATACTGGTCGCACCAAAAGCCCATCCATACCTTTACCGACCCTGATAACCCTGATCACTGAATAAAAATTCGATGCACGTTTTCGAAAACCTGGCTTTTAAGTGGAGGTGATGAATGGACAGGGGCTCCGGAATAGGTAGTATGTGCGTTAGAACTGCGTTAGGGGCTTGCGTTCAGACTTGATAGGGATGATGCTTTGGGATGGTCGCAGCGGGATGAAAAAATCCGTTACGTCAATGATGCGCGATCACGCTTTGGGATAGGTTGGATAGTGTTTGCCGGCGGCATGTGGACGAGGAAGCTTGAATGTTTGCATTGCAACTTTGGATTGTGAGTGGCTTTCTTGAAAGGTGGAGGGGAAACCAGTAGCGGAAGTGGGTGGATCTCTCGCAGAAAAAATGTTGTGTACAATAAAATTTTGAATAATAACAATAACATCTGAATGTTGAAAAGATGGGAGAGAAAAGATGCTGGTCGATAATATTGATAATGAATGTGAATATGTGCCTTGGCAATGTTTGAAAATCGTACCATGCCATGATGTGATGTTTGGAAAAATGTGACGTTTGAGAAGAGAGAAAATGGGATATACTCGAGTATCTGATAGTCAGTAAGTACTTAGTAAGTGATGGACTACCTGGGACAATGGGATGTAACCATCCATTGGAGGAAGCATCTGTAAGATCTTACCTTCCCCACGTCAAGTCAAGGGATGGATGATTCCAGCTGAATTGGGTTTGGACAAGAAGAAAAAGCACTCGCGGTAAACAACACCATGCCTTAAGTCAAGCAGTGTAACTTTGGAAGACATCTGGAGATCTCCGATGTACATATTACTTTAGCTACCTACCTTAGCATACCTCGAGTTAATTTAACATTCATCGCTCATCACTCATCATTCCTCGTTCATATTAAATGCAATGCACGTTGAGATACCTTGTGTGTGCCCTGTGTTGTGCTATAGCGACGGCAGCTACGAAAGGAACCCACAACCGGGAATTCATCAGAGGACCGCAAAATCCGTAGCAAAAGCTGAAATTACAGATACCGATACAGCGGAAAGATATCTCGGGACGTTTTATTCGGTTGAGACAACCACCACAACCATGACCAACAACCTTAACTAGGTAGGTACTATACGATTTTATGCACCGGGGATGAATAAACTGGTTTTTTCATGTCATGGTGAAAGCGCCCAAGGAGAATAGAGTAGATCATAGGAACAGAAATTAGAAGTACAGGACAAGGACAGAAGGGACCGAATGAAATTTATACAGGTATACAGAAACATACATGAGGAGGAAGAGGGTTTGAATGTCAGCACACTACCAGCAATCGTGAAAGCGAAGAAGTAATATATATGGTAATCAAATGAGAATCAAAATCATTCAAAATAGGTAGAAGAGGCGGGACGTGTTTGAGTTAGTTGAGTTGAGTTGTGTTTATTTATTTATTTATTTATTATTGCTTACTCTATCCTCTATTATCCATCCATAAATCCTTCCATTGATTTCTTCTCCAATACTTCATGGGATATCTTGTATTAGTAGCATCAGCATACTCTCATGACGATTCATGACTGTTGTCTTTTCAATTGCGTGAATATATATATATATATACATAGGTATATGCACAACAACTTGATCGCTTCAATTCCAACCTCTGGTCTTCTTTTCAAGTCCCTCATTCAAGTCCCTCATTCTAATTCATTATTCTGATTGATATTTCCAACTTTGAACTGGTGGACTAGCTGTGGAGTAGTATCCCCTCCACACATAGCATCCTCGCAAAGGCTTCAAACCCTTCAAACCCTTTATTATTGACAATAATTTGATTGGTAGGCTACAACGCACGTTTCCGAATGTTAAATCAAAATCAAAATTGAAATCAAAAACCAAATATCGGAACGGCTAATGACCTTAGCAGATATTTACTCCATTCTTGAAGGGGGTACTACCTACCTGGTTTAGCACTGAGAGTGGCACTGGCACAGTTCGCACGTTGATCTATCTGTCGTGTTGTTTGCATAAGTAGGTATACCCTCTTTTAAAGATAAAACTTCTTTCTTCAGAGTGCATCATCGTTGGGGGTGAAAGGCGCCTTCCCTGTAAGATACGGAGATATCACCATGCTGATACTCTAGCTTGGAGTTTAGATCTTGGTGGCTTTGTCGATAAGTACCCAGCTAGCACTTTTGACAATACGATCGATACACGCCGCTTTTCAATTCATCAATTCATCAATTCATCAATAATCTGCCAATCCGTCATCCATCAGTTCAATTCAATCACAGCCTTCTTTGGAGGCGCTAAAACAGCACGATACAAGCGATTGAATCATCAATCATTAATCCTTAATCCTTAATCCTTCATCACTCATCATTCATCATCCAACATTCATACCTGCTACCTACCGCTTGAGCTATCAGAACAAAAAGAAAGAGCTTCAAACTTAGTTCAAAGCAACACTGGCGCATGTACTACGAAATTACGAGTAGTGGGATAGAGAATATAACTTTAAGTTTCATACAACGCAGGTATTATTATTATTGGTTTTAAGCATTATTGCAGAGAATACCTTTCAAGGATTAAGCCAGGAAGTTTCCAAGAATACTGAGAACCCGTACCGTACGCAGGACCTACAAAGTGGTGACCATACCAGACCAGAACCATAAATCAGCAAGTGATATCTTACTAGGTAAACTTTTGGTATCTTTTAGCTTTATTGTAACTAACTATCTCCACTCCACTCCTTAGTCTCCCTACGCCTCATATACTTTTGTCCCAAAACTCCGGACACAATTATCCTTTCACGCCGTTCACATTGGCCTAAATACTCGCTCACTACTCCATACACTATCCTACACCACCTACCCACTAGATACCTAGGCACAACCTTAACGTGCCTAACTAGGGTTATCATTCACCGAAAGATACCCAAAAGGTACTAGAGAATCAAGTCAACTCAGGTCAACTCAGGTCAAACTCACTCAGTCGCTCACTCATTTACCTCATTGACTCATTTACCTGCTAGGTACTGGTACTTAGATACCTACCTATCTACCTAACCTACCTACCGGTACCATACACTTTCCCGATCATAATCCCTCTCAATCCTCCCTCACTTCACAAAAGTCTAACCCGTCCTCCCGCGTTTCCTACCTCCTCTTCCTACCATAAAATCCTGGATTCATCGCTCCTTGGCTCATTCAATTGAATCGGAAAAAAGACGATATAATAACAACTTCCTTCAACCTGTCTTTGTATTTTGCTTGTGGAAACAACATTGGGTATAGAACATCACAAACCCATCCACCCTTTCAACTCCAAACCTAAGAAAAAATTAAGTTGCTCCGCGCATACTCCGCGCATAACTCCGTACATCTTAAAATCAGCTAAAGGCGCTTTTCCAATCACCACATCATCCAATTCCACGCCAACTTCCAAAATTACGCATTACCTATCTCGAATTTTTTAAAGGCCTCAGATTGGAAGGGAACTAGCTACTCTTTTTTAGCCTCAAAGGAAAAAATAATTCCTTGATCTATAGCCTCGCAGAACACTCTAGCCACTGCAGCTTACTTGGAATATTCTCTCCTCTTAGGAGGCTTTCCTTTTTTTTGCGACCAATTAAATTCATCTCCTAACTGATTCCTCAACATCGTCCCCGCAGTCTCCAGTTCTCATCCATCAATATGATGGCCGATGTCCCTCAGAGGAAACCAATGCCACCTGGTTTCGGAACTTCTTCTGGTGCATCATACAACAATCATAGTCGAACTCGTACTACTTCTTCCACTACCTTCCCTTCCATCAATTACCCTCCTCAACATCCACAAAATCTTTACCCCGGAAATATGCAGATAAGCGGATTTTCTTCGAGGAGAACTCCCTCCACGGGTACTTTTTCAACGACTGCCAGTAGTGGTGGTAATGGACCTGTGCCAAATCGAAATTCTCAAGACCTGAGGCGATCCACCTCTTCACGGTCGGGAAATATGCAACCACAAGGTTATGTGGCTCTAATGCGAAAACAAAAGGCGACTGTTTGGTGTGATAGATCGCAACGTGAGGATCCACGATTAATAGCTCAACAAAAGGCTGCAAAGGAGAGAGCGGCGGCGGCAGTTCTTGGAGGACCTTTACAAGGGAGAATATCTACAGGCGGAACAAATAGTCTTGTCGGAAGTAATAGGGTTACAGCAAAAATAAGACATCATGGGAAGGCTGGATTGGTAGGATATAGTCCTGGAGATCTCGTTGGAGGTGTAGTTGGTGTGCCAATGAGATTGAGTGCGAGTGAGGTGGAAGGTGGGGATAGTGATGATGATGGGGATAGCGGAGGAATTCTATACCATCGAAGAACTGGTAGTGGACGCAGTAGTGTTGGAAGTGGCAGAAGAGGTCTCACATATTCACGACAATCCGGTGCAAGTTCAACTGCTGGCAGATGGAGTTCAGGTCATACACCACCTAGTGAAAGAGAAAGACGGGAATCGATTGCGGCCGAGGCTGGGGAAACTCCTGTACCAATTGGCCATCCAAAAGCTAGAGATTACTTTGAGGGAGGCGATGGGACGAGAAGTGCAGGGGGGAGCATTAGCAGTGGAGAACGGGCGGATGGTATTGCGGATCTAAACTCGGGTGACGCCGCCAGGTTAGCAAGTAACAGCTTGCTTAAATCATCCATGACACGAGAAAAGAGCGTCAAGAATCCCGACGAATTAAGAAGAAGGGGAAGTGTTGACGAGCGAACAACAACCATGACTCTAGGTGCTGGTCGACTATTTATCGCCAACCCAGATCATTCGGATAGTGATTAAAAAGCAAGACGGAAATGAAGAATGCATTTGCCGGTTGAGAGAAGCACAAGACAACAAAAGACCTGCGATTAGGAGAGGGGATACCTTTAGACGGTGGAATTCACATCACATCACATCATGATGAAAATAACATTACCTTGGAGCAAAGAGCAAAGCAAGCAACTGCATTTAAAAGGCGTAGCATGGGAGTATTATGGATTACATGGCAATATCAATTTGGATTGGTTTAGTGGAGTTAGGAATTGGGTGTGCTTTTCATGGCTGGCATACACTTTTTATACATGGTCCGTGGGAACTTTTTTGGATTGGGTACAAGGACTGCTTTAATCATCCGCTGCATGTTTGTCGACGCCGACTTGGGCTCAAAGCTTGAATTATTGGACTGGAATTGTTCGAACAATCGTTTTATTAGCGTTGCATTGTTGTTTGGCCCTGATGATATGGGCAGAGTACGAATGGACTTGGCATGGGATGTGGCCTAGATGGCACATGCTTACACACATACACACATACTTAGGAGGTGATAATGGTATACTGAATGATGAAGATGAGATTGGAAATACTGAATTGAATTGAAGTGAAGTGAGCGTGAAGTGAGCGTGAAGTGAGTGTGGAACGTGATATGTGCTTTAACTTGTGTATATCTATCTATCTATGCCGACGCATCCTTCCAACTGATTAATTAATACATTAATACGAACACTCGTGTTTCACAAAGATTTTCCAAATTTGGATTTGGATTTGTTTCGGGTTTGTAGGTTTGTAGGTTTGTAGGTTGGTAGGTAAGTAGGTAATTTCCGGGGTTTTGGGTTTGGGTTTGGGTTTTTGATTTCTGTTTCTGTTTGTAAGGTTTTGTGGAAGTGGAAGTGGAAGTGGAAGTGGAAGTGGAAGTGGAAGTGGAAGTGGAAGTGGAAGGGAGGTAAGTATGAGTGTGGCTGACTGAGGTGGAGTGAAGTGGAGTGGATTTGGATTTTGATACGGGATTGAGATTGGGAATAAGGGAATAAATATTTTTGGTGGAATTGGAATTGGCATTGCAATGAATACGGAGTACGGATAGATTATTGCGGCAATACCTAGGTATGGAATGATTTTATGATTTTATGAAAGAATATATATAGTGGATTTGGATAGTTGTGCGAAGTAGGTACGTAGAGCTTGTCGTAGATACACTTAATCATTAGGTAAGATTTCGAATTAGAGGCTGTACCTAGGTACCGAATGTTCAGCCACATCGACCCTTGTTGCTGGTTGAAACCAAGAAGCGGAATCTGCCGCTCTTGACGCGAAACCCACTTTAGGAAGACGCGATGGCGATGGTTCGGCCAATTCGACGCGTTTCTTGAATTTGACAACTTTAACAACTTTTTACAATTTTAGTGGTTTGATGTGGGATTCGAGGTCGAAACACGGATTGTGAATTGCGGATTGCGAATTACGGATTGCGGAATAAGATAGAAGATATAAGAATAGATAAATTGCTACAGGGGGTTACGATACGATACGATACGATACAATACGATTCGATTCGATATTTGGTATTGCCTTTCGAAAAGGATAATACTTACACTTGCGCGGGGTCCGGCTTTGATTTTGTGGTTATTGTATTCAGAACGGGTTGTGTAGGTTGGAGGTATTGGGGGTCAGTTATTCACGAAAATACACTACACTACACTACACGCCGTGAACGGTTATCTGGACGAGGAATTGCACCAAGGATTGAAGAATCAAAATCATGGCAACAACGGAAGAGTCACCGAGATCGCAGAAGAGAGATTTTGCGGAATCTTTTGGTTTAATTGAACCTTTTCATGTTGATGAGAATGAGCGAGCTCATCTTGAAAATCCAAACACGCAAGCAGAACCCGACATTCCCCTTCCATCCAAAGAAACCGCAGATAAATCCGAATCAAAAACTACATCCGAATCTCTGCCCACACCACCTGTTAGCATACAATTGATCAAGCGCGAACGGGAAAGAGAAGTCTCGCCTGCTAGTAGTACGGCTAGTTCTTTGAGTGATTTGGGATCGAGGAGTACACCTAGTTTGAGAGGCGTTTCTCCAATGCTTGGCACGGCTTTTGCGGCTTTGAATGGAAATGGAGATGCGGGTAAGATGCCTCCGGCTAAGAAACGAGGTTGATTGAAGTTTGGGGAGAGAAAAAGGATAAGCAGGTTGAGATAGAGAGAAGGAAAAGAGGAAGAAGAGAAGAGAAAAAGGAAGGCTGCGAAGGAGGAAAAGAAGAGATTGAAGGATGAGGAGAAACGTAAAAGGATGAAGAGAAACAGAGAATCGGCGGCAAGTCAAAGATCTCTATTTCCTCTTCGACAAAGCTTCAAAGATGAAGTCTCAACAAGTCCTGCCTCATCAAGCCTTACCATGGCTGTACCTCCCACAACATCCGCACATTCGACTCCAAGTAAGAAGGAGATTTCACCATATGAAAAAATGTTTCCAGCTTTCTTCGTTCAAAATGGCGTTAGGTTGGCACCGATTAATCACTTTGAAAGAGATGATGAAGGATCACAAGCCTTACAATCTATAATTGATTCATACATTTCGGGTAATCAAAGTCCTGGAAGAAACCGAGATTTTGATGCTATGGAACTATTTCATCTCTCATCGAGCAACTCAATAAAGCGAGGAAAATCAATTGTTGCTGTACGAGAAATTATGGCGGAATTATCTGGCAATCCTTCAAAACCTATCGACCTCACAACTGACTCTCAAAACTCTCATATTAAACGCACAACAGCTCAGCTTAAGGATGTTCCGATGAAGTTTTTGAAGTTTCAGGAAGATGTTAGACCTCCATATCAAGGTACATACACACATACTCCTATGTACGGAATATCAAAATTAGCACGCAATCCCATGAGACGCGATCTTCCGAATACAAATTACGATTATGATAGTGAAGCGGAATGGATTGAAGATGAAGATGCGGAGGATTTGAATAGTGAAGGAGAGGAGGATGAAGAGGGTCTTGATGATGCTGAGGATATGGATGGATTTCTTGATGATGAGAATGATGACTTGTTGAATTCGAGACGTGCACTGGGAGGAATGCAGGGTGATTTAGAACCAGTTAGTACAGGGTTGTGTTGGGAGGATAGGAAGAAGAGGAGTACAAATGTTAAGATGATGCCATTTAGGATGGAGTTTATTATTGGTAAGTTTGTTGTTTCTTGAATTCTCACTGTTCTTCTTTTGGAGGTCTAAGGAAATAAGCTAACATAGAACTAGACCCGAAAACCAAATCTATGGATCCCTTCTCAACACAATACTGGGAACCAATCGCACCATCCTCCCAAACTGGAACAATGGATCCTCCCCGTCTCCCACTAAACTCCATGAAATCAACCAACGCTCTTCAAACATCCCCCTCTGCCTCAACCTCTAAATCCAGCAACAAAATCTCAAATCATAAAACCGTTCCACTTTCATTCTTTGGCTCTTCTTCTTCTCCTTCTCCTTCCATATCTTCATCTCTTCCTTTACATCCAGCCACAGGGGATAACAAACCTAAGAAATTCCTACCCGATTCCGATCTCCCTGCATTCAAAGAAGCTATTCAAGGAAGCGATTTGAGTAAAGTGGGATTGGTAGAAGTACTGAAGAAAAAGTTCCCGGGTAGGACTGCAGGCGCGATTAAGGCGACGTTGGATTTGGTGGCGAAGAGAGTGGGTGGAAAGGAATCCGAGAAGAGATGGGTGTTGGTTTGAGGGTGGGGCTAAGTAAGTAGGGTGTCTTTGCTAGGTGTCTGTAGATAGATGTGGCTACTCTGTCTTCATTACTTACCTTATCTTATCGTAAGAATAGATAGATTATGAGGAAAGGAAATTTGGAGCTGAGGGTACGGGGTGTTTTGGTGTGGGCTTAAAATAGATGGCTAAGTGCTGGCTGGTATTTGTTATATTGTGTTTTGGGACTGAATGGCTGGCTGGATGGCTGGATGGATTGGTTGGATTGACTGGTATGATGGGGATAAATAAATGATGTATGTGATGGATGGATGGATGGGCTTTAATATTATTATATTGGCTTGTTGATGCTGTATATATATTTACATTTAAATTGCATTATATTATATTGTGAGAGAGTTGGAATTATAAGCCAGATACATAAAGGTTTTCAACTAATCAATCATATAACCTTCTATAGTTAGATATAAAAGGAGAGCTTTTGCTTCTTCTTTCCAGAATAATCAGCCTTCTACATATATACATTTGAACCCATAGAACCTCAACCTCAAAACCATTATGAATCCTGTTTTCTTTATAAATGATATATTATGATATAATCTAATTCAGCTTTCTCTTTCCAATTCCCCTTTACAGTATACTATCGGGCCGCACGTATCTCGACTGACCACTTTTACACTATCATCGTCGGTGTCCTCCAAATCCTCAATTTGATCGTCCTCTTTCCACTAACAATAGAACTGCTCGATTTGAGTATCAAGCAATCAAGCGAGAGCTGAAGGATTAAGTTCAAAGATTACAGTCACGATAACGTCAACTGTGGACAAATCATGTGGAATATTGTCTCTTTTAACCGCGTCCCATAAGATTATGTGTGGGTTCCCCGAAGGAGCGTTAGCTGGAAGATTAATTTCAAATTTGTGATCCACGTCGACTCGCTTTACAGTCCTTTCTTCGACATTCGGGTGGGCCATTTTTGGATGGAAAGAATGGGGTGGAAATAATGGTAATAAAGTTGAAATTGTGGAAAATCGCAGACTGAAGCCTTGAGAGAAGAGAAAAAAGCATTTATTAGAGAAGGCAAACTGAGAATTCGGCTCCGGTTGTACCGTCCGCGCGGAAACGTGCTGAAGCATTTTTGATTTCTATCAAACGCAATGGCCAAATGACGAATGATTGGAGATCTGCGGTAGCCTGTCTCAAGAAAAGGAAATGGGATTTGCAGTATGCAGATAGTACAAAAAGTATCGTAGCTGCAGGAGCCTCGAAAAAGAAACTAATTCAGTGGGATTATCATAGGCGTCCATGTAGCCTCCCAGCCTTGATATGTACCTATCCGGCAAAGAAATCCAGTGATTTTCTATTTTCAGAAAATTTCAGGGAATGGGAATCGAGACATCCAATCCTTTGGTGTCTCAAGGTTGCTTAAATAGAAGCGTTTTTCGCACTTTGATTTCTCTTTTCTCCTCAAGGCTTCATATGAAAGGTGAAATCAGTCTACTTTCTGCCTTGATTTCATCGACGACTTCCAACGATGCCTGAAGAAAACATGTGGACTGAATTTTGTGAACGAATTGATCTCAATTTCAGCTTGCATCTGCAGGTAGATGCACCTCGAGGACATCCGCACCTCCTTAATATCAAAGGATACAAGCCGAAGGAGGCTAAGATCCCGGAAAATTTGTCTTTGATTGACGTCTTAGCAACTATAATTTTCGATTGGAACTCCGCAGCGCTCCATCACCTCCTCAATATGGAAAACGAAGAATTCTATTGTGATGCGGATTGGGAAGAAGATAGCTTGGACGATAGTACTCTCGAAAAGCCTGCCAAGTTCGTATACATACACCGCTTGGGTGAATACATTAGAGTTGCAGTGAGCTTCTTTTAAGGGAAATGTACAGTGAAAAGCTACTGACTGACCACACAATCAGATTGTGGGGACCAATTCGGACAGCGAGATTTCTTATCGAATTTGTAATGAAGGAAAATGGGAGATGAAAAGCGCTCAATATCGTCAACGTAGCGAGTGTAACGAATATTACATCACCGGGCTTCCTGAATATTTGGACGATTGTAAAGAAGTTGAAGAAGAAATGGCACAAGATATGGCTAAGAGGTTTTTGGTGGAGGGTATCCTAGCAGACACTCAATTTCCTGTATACAACTACATGCCTCAAGCTGAGAGTGCGAAGGAGAAGTCAGATGGATGGCGTTCAAATAAGACCAAAGATGTCAGACTAGAGTCAAGTGGTGGGAGTAGTCGTGTGAAAAGCTCCGACACTCTGCTGGAGGAAGAGTCAAATGTGAAGCTCACTAAGCGCAAAGCCCAAGTATTGGTGCCCCAAAACTCAACTCAAGAACGGGCAGGATCATCGAGAAAGAGAAATCGGGAGGATTGATGGCAAGGATATCATCTCAATTTACAGTGGAAACAAGTTGCGAATGTGATTTAATGGAATAAAGATCGAGCATTGACATGAAGTGAATAAGCATAACGCAGAAGACACAAATACTATCACTATGGTTTGTATGGATAGAACACGTTGGTGGTTGAAGCCTTGTTCAACACATTCGAACCATTCCAGTGGGAATATGAGTTGAGGTTTCTTGATACACTTGTGGGTTTCATTATCAAACGTTCTCGCAGGTTGATGCACCGAGAGTGAAGAACTCGGGGGTAGTATAGACAATCTCGAGGAAATTCTCAAGGATATGAAGTTCGACATAGATTCAGGGCATCACAATAGCAATCAAAGCCTTTTGACGATGGTGAAATAAAGAAGATAGTATTTGTGAAAATATGAAATTATATGATAAAATTCTATGAACAAAATATTAAACATCCAATCTATCTATCTAGTGGAGACTTCTCCGTCAAGTGATCTACTCTTGACCTTACTTGGTCCCTTTTTCATCTCCGTCCACGTGCCATCAGCATGCCAAATTCCTGCTTTTGTGTAATCCAAACTTCTAGATCCATACATATATCCAAATCTAAAGTATTCAGGCTGTAGCAAAGAAGAGTCTTTATACCAGACAAAATGTTTATCACTTGCGAATCCCTCATCCAAGTATCCTCTGAAACGTTCTACATCATTGACTAGCACACTGATGCCATCAAATGGTTCAGGTGGTGGGAGCCAAGAAAATGATATAGAAGAGACATTGCTGCCCATTACGATTTCCGGATATGAAATATGTGGTAGCGCGGAATTATGGTTCGCATCTCCTTGAAGTGCTGCGGGGGTCTGAAGCACAGGATCAAATCCCCATCGTGCAATGCCATTGATAAACAAGCCAACCAATAATCCTTGGTAGAGAAGTGCGGGTCTAGTTTGCATACCTGTACCCGGCAACAGCAGTAAGGCAAGAATATAGTGATGTATTCGAAGACTGAGGCCAGGGATTAGGAGAGATACGAGTATGACAGCAATAAATACCCCATATAACCCGAGAAAGCTAATTAGACGACCTTCCGTGCGGAAGAAGGTTGCTTGTTGCACGATAATAATGATAAGTACCATGATAATAAGCGCCAAAGCAAGTTTGGCACCTGGCTGTTGATTAATATCATGAGCATTCAACCGTTGGATAGGAATCCACTCAAAAGTATAATTTGACAGTGTGCCAACCCAAGCCGCCCCAAGCCATAAAATAGTCTTCTCAATTTGAGCTGTCAGCCCAAGCAAAGCACGTTCAACACCCATATATTTGTATATGACAAACGCACAGAATGCTGCAGGCAGGAATTTCCCTAATATGTTCGAGACCAATCCTGCCATGGTATCATGATTAGGTGGATCAGAGCCAAGACCAGTATGAGCAAATAGTCCGGTAAATATGGAAAAGAAAAACACACTCGGGGATGTAGTGAAGATTGATAGCAATACTGTGAACGTGACAGACACAAATAGTAGCGACCACCGCGAATCTTTAGCCTTGCAAGTGATTCCCTCTTGGAATGCAAATGAGGATGGAAAGGTTGAATCAAACCCAATGCTTTTGATACCATGCTTATTCGAACTCTGATAATTGTGGCGTTCCCCAACTAAATTCACAACTCCACAACCTCCTTTGGTATTGTCGATAACCCCAGCATGAATTGCGGATCCACAAATAAAGCTATCACTTCGATATACCGCAGTGGTATCGTTATCTGTAGGCCCACCAATGACGAAAGGCCTATAGATAATTTCCTGCGCTCCAACAGCTCGAGGATTAAGTACTTTTACGCTGGCGCAATTTGCGGGACAACGAAAGGCAAATCCACTTCCATTGAATGGGCGACAATCATTTCCATTTAGTCCACACCTATTCCCAGCTACCCAATATGCATTCCCGCATCCAATATTACCGGGCACCCCCCATTCCTCTATTTCTGTAGCGAATGTACCCTGGCGTAAGACAAGAGCAAAAGTTAGAATCCAACAAAAGTAAGATGCTATGAGGAGTGATATCCTATGCCTCCTCTTGGGTATGTATCGATCCAAAATTCGCAATGGAGCTTCCTGGAACCATGGAAACCATGGCTTGATAACATTTATGTGCGGGGGCTCTGGCCCTTTAGCCCAATGAACGGCCTGTTTACTGACACGTCTGATCGGAATTGGAACCCATTTCAGATATCGATAGGAAGACTGGTCTTGTAAGAAACGAGGGGTAGGAGAATCATCGTCCGAGATTTCGTTCATTGGCAAAAGTTGAGTAAGTGTAGGATCTTCAATTGGATCATCAGGATGGTTATTATCTGTGTAATGTTGCCTGCCATTGACGCGACCATTCTGATCTCCCATATTGTCAAGATTGAAATGGCTTTATTATCCGAGATTCCCGAATGCTGTGTCTGCTTCCCTGCTGATTTATCACCAATTGGGCATGTTACACCCGGATCCAAATGATATTTGAGTGTTTGCAGCGGATTCAAGTCCTCCAGAGATATCACAGAATGAAAGAGAAAAAAAGATAAATGTTTGGTAAAAGTGTTTGTGATATTGATAATTGAGAGTTTATCAAGGTAGTTTTACTCCTCCCTTCCGAAGTCAACGGATAAGGATAAGGATAAGCTATTTATTCACTGATGTAACCATTAATGGGCTAGCGTTTTAATGTCAACACGCTAATCCTGTTCGAGCCGTCAGCTTGCGGAAAAAATATACGGAGTAGCAGAGGTTGGATACGGTACGGTAGTCTGTTTTCCACGCCAAAGTACAGTTTTGGTCCAGAATCACAAAAATTTGAGATGTTTCTAAAGTCTGCAAGTGCTAATCTCATAAGTTTGGACGATCTGTATATGAATTGAGGGTTACTGGCCTGCAGAAATCTCAGTATCTTGGCGATTTATACTACATCGACCTCTTGTTTGACCTTCTTATTTCGCATAACAACATATCTGCCATCAATATGGCTCCCAAGAACTCTACGAGGTTCGGATTCCAGATCTTGAGTACTTTGGATCATAATACCTCTGGACCAAGACTCGGAAGAATCACCGTGGAAGGACGGAAAGATCTGGAAACCCCGGATTTCCTAGCCATTACCTCTCGGGGCGTTATACCTCATATGACACCAGATGTAATTGCAGCACATGCACGAGTACCAGGTGTTCATTTCGCTTTGGAAGACTGTAGGTTCCATATCCTCCCTTGTATCACGTGTTTATTCATGCTCGTTCTGTCCTGATCTTTTCTAGTCATAGAAAAGAGCAATAAAACAACCATTTCTCCTATCTTGAATTTCCCTGGAGCAGAGCCACCCCTTCATTCTTTCACAGGCTTGTCCAGATCAGCCATATCTCTTTTAGCACCGAGACGGACACCAGCTGTTGCAGCTCCTAATGGCAATAGCAACACTGCCATCTCTGTTTTTACATCGACAGGATTCCAACCTCTTTCTAATAAGTCATATGTTGATTCAATCGAAACTTTACGTCCAGATATAGCGATTGCGCTGGCTGATGTTCCTTATAGCACCATAGCTGGAGCAAAACGTACCGCCAAGATGGGCGATAGAAGCGGGCAGTGGCTGGCTCAGTTGTTGTCCGACAAAGTCAAGGAACAGCCTGTATTTGCACCTATATTACCTGTAGATTATCAAAGTCAATGGGAATATGTAAACCAGATATCCGATGAGCTCGTGGATGAGATCTCAGGTCTAGCATTCTATGACTCGAACCTTCTTCCCGAAATTCCAGAGACAACAGCGATGTCTTCACTCCCTCGCCTTTCTTTGGATGAACCTTCATCTCCTCATCATGTGCTTCGCCAAATCTCCCTCGGAATGGATATCTTCACCATCCCATTCATCAATTTCGCCACAGATGCTGGAATCGCACTGACCTTCGAATTCCCATCTGCAAGCACCTCTCAATCCTCAAACGAAGGTAGCTCAGTCCTTCCACTCGGTATTAACATGTGGACATCAGCCCACGCTACCTCCCTCCTCCCTCTCTCCCAATTTTGCAAATGCTATGCATGCACTTCCCACCACCGCGCATTCATCCAACATCTACTTTCCGCCAAAGAAATGCTCGGCTGGGTCTTACTCCAAGTCCACAATCATTATATCCTCTCGGAATTCTTCACCTCGATACGACAGAGTATAAAAGAAGGCACATTCGAGAAAGACTGCGAGAAATTCGCCAGAATATATGACAGCGAGCTTCCGGAAAAAAGTGGTCAAGGACCTAGAATGAGGGGTTATCAGTATAAAAGCGAAGGACGAGGCGAGAGAAAGAAGAATAAAGCTGCCTGGAATAATTTGGGAGCTGGGGCTAGTGGCACTGGGTCAGAAGTTGCGCTTGTGCTAGATGAGAACTCGAAAGAGCTTGAAGAGAAAGGTTTTACGGAGAAACTGGAAAATTAAATAATGAGGCATTGGTTACTATTATGTCATTATCATGTGTGAGAGGAGTAATAGATTTTCGAAGACAAGAAATGGCCATCTGTCTCCTCGACTCTGTCACAATTGTCATGTAATGATTCTCACATACACTTTACTTGAGACTTTAAAATACCACTGAGGCATCTCGATTAACTGAATGGTGAATCAAATACATCCAAATCATAAGTTTCAATATTATTGTGCTGCGTGCAAACACCCATGATTCTACGAATTGGTATGATCGATCAAATCTGTAGTCTCTCCATTAAAGCTACATATGAACATCTACTCAATAAGTAAGATTACAACACATCCAAACTCTAAACAAAGTTCTTCTTAGTAACATTTCCCGAAGTGCCCGCCCCCAACTTAGAACCCCCATGTTGTTTAAACCAATCTATAAATTGGAACATGCTAGCCTTAGGAGTACGTTCCAGAGAAGTCTGGTTTAGATACTGCAGACCAAATTTCACCTTAGTTCCGACGAACCACTCAAAATTATCGAAGATGGCCCATCCGAATGCTCCGGTAACATTCACACCTATCATCCATCACCGATTAGCACTGATTTCAGGATGTTTGCGAATGAATAAGGGAAACTTACCATCTACAACCTTCGCCTTGAGGATATTGTCCAAAAATCCTCTGTAGTAATCCGCTCGTCTCAAATCCCATAGGACCTCCCCGAGAGTACTCATCTCCCCTTCAAATGGCTCTGCGAATCCAAACTCGCTCACTACGATATCTCCCACTGTTGGGAACAACTGTTTCGTGATAACATTGAGGAACTCGCGAATTCCATATGGCGTACTAGCTAACCAGTTTACTCCCTCGTCGGCAGCTGGTCCTAGCGGGAAGCCATCAGCAGCTAGAGAAGTGGAACTTGCGCATTCGGGGTATGCGGGATGCGAGGAGTTGGAAGCGCAGGCTGCGGAGCCCCCGGCAATAGGGGTAGCGTAGTATCCGGTGTAGCCGTCTATGGCGAAGAAGTCGCAACTTCCCTTGATCAAGTCTTTTTCTTCCTGGGTGAATTCCGGGAGTAAAGACCCCAATGTTTCTTTCAACATGGAAGAGTAATCACCGTCGCGCCAACAGCCCTGAAACCAACCGAGTACAAACTCATAATTGCGGGCCACAGCGTCGACATCTGCTGAGGAGTTACTTAAGGGTGCGAAGTAGTTGCCGGAGTTTTTGAAACTGATGCGGCCTGCGCCGTGAAATTCTTCGTGGTACCACTTTGCTACTTTTGCATGAGCGAGAATGGTATAATGGGAACAGGCGATGCGAGCTGGTAGGCCACCAGTGATGTTGTGATAGGCGGGGTACATCCCTGCGGTGGTACCGGCGTGGTAAAGAGAGTATTGCCAGTTGCAGTATTGAGCTGTGAAGTGAGGTCAGTAAGAGAGACATTGTGTGGTAGGAGCTTCCATACGCTCGTTGAATGTATACCAAATCGGTACATATTTGTCATATCTGCTGATGACAAACTTGGCATAATTGAAGTAGTCATCCACAATTCGCTCATCGGTCCAGGCTCCATAGGAGTTGAATAGTGCGAGTGGTGTGTCTAAAACATATTAGCATATAACTAATCAACTACATGAATGATGAAGTACCCCAATGAAACAAGGTGACGACAGGTTTGATTCCATTAGCGACCATGCTAGCAATAACATCATCATAATGCTCGACACCCTGCTGGTTCACAGGTCCATTGCCGAATGGGAAAAATCTTGGCCTTGGTCCCGAAATATTAGCCATAGAATCCTCAATGAGACACATATGACACTTACCACGAAAATGATGGAGAGAAGTATGGAATCCCTAACTTAGCAAGACGAGCAAAGTCTTGCTTGTATAGCCAATAATGACTAGCTACGATGTCACCGGTCGAATCATCTGAGACAACATTACCTCGATGTGCAAGCAAATCCCAAATCGAAGGACCTTTGCCTTCGTCTTTCGCAGCTCCTTCTGTCTGATATGCGCTCGCTGCTAAGCCCCATACGAAATCATCGGGTAGAGTTTCGTTATTGAGGGAGGTATCGTAGGTTGGCACCTGCAAAAATCAGATACGCGATATTCAATGGTAGGATATTAACATACTAAAGGATGGAAGATTCCTGGGCGAGCATACGATGATGGTTCTGGCGTTGGCTCCACCGTCGCCGTAATCGGTCCTACTGCAATTGATCCCACCTGATTCCATAGCATCGCCAATTCCTCATTGGTGTACTGATAGCTCAATGTTGTCGTCGCAGCAGAGACATCGTAGACTTTGGTTGAATAGGTATCGGTAGCAGTAGGAATTGCAGAACTTGTACATTGTGCCAAGCGAACGAAGATATGAATGCCAAACAGGCAATTGATCTTGGATGAGGGCATCTTTCCAAAGGACCAGAAGCAGTACCTAGGTTGAGAAGCAAAGCCATTTTCTTTCGCAACTTGCGAGATTGGACTTTATAGTTTCTTCAATGTGCATGTTACGGGGCTCAGGATGATCTCTTCACCCGGCTAAAATCCTGAGCGGGGTTACAACGAGCTGTTAATTCGTTCGGGGACAAAAGCTGCATGTAAACCATGTAAAGACATATTAATTAATTGATCGATAACCGTCAAACTTAACTTGACTTAACTTAAGGCAGGAGACAAGCGCATTCGGAAAGGCGGAGGAAAAGCCCCCGAGGCCTCACCAGAATCATAGTCTCAGCCATTCAAACTTCAAAGGTTGCAGGCTTTGGCTCCCGTAAATCCCGCACACATCTTGGCATATGGAGAATTGTTTTTCCGAGATGTACTAGTCAAGGTCCGAATAGCTCTGCCATGTCATTTAAGAATGTGCACATTGACCGCAATTTGGAGATCTGATGTGGACATGAGCAGAGCAGGTGGCTGGACGTGAAGGGTGGCAGTCAATCAAATCAAAATCCTTCCCCAATGTATTTATATTAGATTATATATAGTAAAACCGGGCATGGGGGCTGCCGTAGATATGTTGCTCACGCCTGAATGCTTATAGTCACCAGCGTGAAGACTGGACGGGCAGATATAGATCATAAAATGAAACAACAACGAGATTAATTTCCTCGAGGTCGAGATTAACGACAGATCCTTCCTTCTCAGAACATATGGTATGACGATACCAATAGCATAACGCTATCAGCGTGTCATATCCCCTAGCGCTACCACTTTGAAGATCAAGCAGCGTCGTGGATTGATGCTCATGAAGAGGAAACAAAAACTTTTGACGCGAAAATTTCATTGATAAAGGACCCGAGTTTTTGAGTCACGTGTCGTATTTCCTTAGTCATTGCAGTCTTTGAAATTCTCGAGATTTGATTCGTTTATTTCCGTGAAGGACATAACCGAGGCGCCGGGAACCGATACCTTCCGCATCAACGACGATAATATCAAGATCTCTAGTGTCGTTGTAGCATTTGTGAAATTTCATCCCTTTCAATTGTTTTGCGAAAACGTCAGGCATATAATCGGCATAATCAAAATGTTTTCACAAAGAGCGACTCAACAATCGCTGCGCCGGCGTAAGTTCCCCCGCAATTCTGGAACCATCCCACCTCAAACCAAGAATCAATATTTCGCCCATTTACTAACAGTCTTTATAGTTGCTGCTGGTCAGCCATCACTCATCTCCCAATTAGCCATGAGGAGGCTCGCAGCCCCTGCAGCCATCGGCGCGTCAATGCAAACTAGGTTTGCCCCTCCAATGCCCGCAAGCTTGACAACAACTAACATTCTCCAAGACCAGTAACCACCCAAAAGTTAACTCCCAAAGATAGCTACAATATCCTAGTAGAACAACGTAAACTTCGACCTACCTCCCCGCATCTTACAATCTACCAACCTCAAATTCCCTGGATCATGTCCGGGCTGAACCGTATCACCGGCTGTGTTCTCTCGGGAGGTTTCTACATTTTCGGTGCTGCATATCTCGTTTCGCCTTTATTCGGATGGCACTTGGATACTGCCAGTATGGTTGCTGCATTCGGAGCTTGGCCTTTGGCTGCAAAGATTTTGGCTAAGTTCTCGCTGGCTTTACCATTCACATATCATTGTTTCAATGGATTAAGACATTTGTCTTGGGATATGGGAAAGACTTTCAAGAACGCTACGGTTGTTAAGACGGGATGGGCGGTTGTTGGTGTAAGTGTTGGTAGTGCTTTGGCTTTGGTTGCATTCTTGTAGGTTAAGGTCAGCTTGGGGTGGGCGGGGCAGCAGGGAGCGCTTGTTGGAAGAACAAATAAAGCATGGGCAACAATCATTTTTGTGAGGGGGCTTGAAGGATGCCACGGTGCCTAAATACGTAGGTAAAACATCAGTCGTATTATATGTACGTTGATCTTTGATTTTCCTGGTGGCATAAGTCATACAGGGTAAATTTTGCGCTGCATGAAAATATAAAATGCAAAAATACAAGACAGCACCATCGCCAGTAGCTCTTCAAACCACACCAGATTTGCACCAAAACAAAAAACAGAACCCGGTCATGGATCCGGCTCACTAGTTCATTATTAGACAATGATAATATTGTCGAGTGGCAACCCATTTGCAAATCATGTCTCCCAAAATTAATCTTTACACTAATGAATATTCACTCACCTTGAAAAACCACACTCTCAAGGCATTTGGCTAGAATGTTCTCTGCGTAGATAAATATTTTTGTCGCCTACGTTGGTAGCATTCCATTTTGGACCGGGATGACTAGTTGAATTACGGTGATTAATTATATTGTAAAAATGGTAGGTCGAGATACGTGCGTCCTGATAGCATGTTGTGAGAAGGGAATTGGAAGAGGAAGCTGAATTAGATTATATTGTAATACATCATTTATAGAGAAAACAGGTTTTATAATAGTTTTGGAATTGATACTATATAGGTTCAAATGTATATATATATAAAATTAATTATTATAAAAAGAAAAAATAAACGCTTTTTTTATATATTTAATTATAAAAGGTTATATAATTGATTAGTTAAAAACCTTTTATATATTTAGTTTATAATTTCAACTTTCTTATAATATTATAAGAAAATTGGAATTATAAGCCAAATACATAAAAAGTTTTTAATTAGTTAATTATATGATCTTTTGTAATTAGATATAAAAGAAGAGTCTTTTGTTTTTTCTTTTTATAATAATCAATTTTCTATATATATATATTTAAATTCATATAGCATCAATTCTAAAACCATTGTGAACTTTGTTTTATCTATAAATGATGTATTACAATGTAATCTAATTCAGCTTTCTCTTTCAATTCCCTCCTCACAATATACTATCAGGATGTATGTATCTCGACCTACCACTTTTACAATATAATATCGTGTCATAACTAGAATCACTTCCAGGATCAACTTTGAGGGTTCCCAACGGTATTCCCATCCTGACAGACCATGTTGCTTCATGTACATCAATTCCGCTTTGTACAGACCATCTGAGTTTAAAGATAGAGCCCAATCCAATCCCCTCAAGGGCGACTACTGTGTTAATGAAGTATTGGAGATATTGATTAAGCTTTCTATTATTCAGGCATTCATTCCAGAAGCCCAAGTTAACTATGATTCTGGATTTTGAAAAGTACTGAAGGCGCTGGAAGAATTGAAACCCACAGATGAGGTTGCATGCAGTCTCATGAAGACATCAGCAAGGGTTCTTGGGGAAATAGATCAGATTCATCATCAGCTTGGAAAAAATGGAAATATAAATGGTATCAGGGTGGAAAAACGAAGGATTCCGAAGCGATGAAGGGCTTAGAAATTTGATGATCGTCTTCGCATGCCGTATAATCATACTTTGATTTTGCTGTGTTGCCTTCTCTATCAAGAAAATACATAGATTCAAATTCCCCTTCTTTCTCCGTATATCCTACCTGTTCCTCTTATTTTGTTCCGTCTGCCATAGCTTCCTTATCTCTGTCTATCTAGTTTTCCGTCTCTATCCTTCGTTTAATAAGGAAAAACATAAGAAGCCAGGAATTTCATTATCTGGCCTTCTTAATACTATCAATGATGTCGGGGCAAAATAATGGGCGTATACTGATCATTACAACCAATGAACCGCAAATTTTGGACAATGCACTTCTCAGACATGAGTTTGGAAACCCCACTTCGAAAATATCGAATAGCTATTCTTGCTCATGTATGCGGCAGTTGGCTTGAAGGAATATGCTAAGCAGTTCGCCGACATAGTACCAGAGGGCAAGTACAGCTTAGGTGAGCTCCAGGGATTTATGCTTCAGTACAAGGAAAGACCTGCGGAAGCGTGTGCCAATGTTATGAAATGGATGCAATCAGAAGTGAAGGGTGTTTAGTGAGTGACGGAGAAGCTCTATCAGCAGTCTCAGTTTAGTGCTGTATCTTCCACTTCAGTAGCCTGCGGTCTTAGGGTGCTACACTTTCATATGGCTTTCACAACTCTCCAACTAAATAATTCCCAGCGCCAGCAATATTGTCAGATCAAGAGTTTGCCATCTATATTACCGTCATTATTATTTAATCTTGGAATAATATCAATGATAATAATATAATATCTTTATTTGAATTTATCAATAAAATCTTCCTAAAACTATAGAATAGATCTATATCTACATTTGTTTTGTTTGTAATTAAAAAGAGATTAAACAATTCAATCAATATTACTCCAAACAGTTCCTTAGCTTAATAGTCATGAGCGCGGGAGACTTTCCTGTATCACAACCAACAGAATCTTCCCCTTACAGCTATACTTTACCATTCAATATGAGCTCAAACAACACTCAACAACTTACAATCACATTAGAGATTCGTCTCTGAACAAAAAAGGGCTGGAAAACCTGGTTCTCTAACCTCAAAACCCTAGCCCAAGGTTCAGAGTCAGACGTATGGCAATGGGTCAACCCTGAGGATACAACCATAACAGGCCTACCGGCCGAACCAACAGCTCCCTACCGCAGAGATTTGGGTGCGAGGAGCAGAATCTGTGACGCAACTGGATTCCACACAACTAGCCATTTATGGCCAGCTATACCGGGAATACGAGTGCAATTTGGCTCAATTCGTACGATTACGACGCGACCAGAATAAGATCAGGGAGTTCATACTTCGAATGGTCGATCGAAGGAATCATATCTACATTACAAGCACTGATGGCATACCGAAGGAGATGCACTCAAAAACGCAATGTAAGATACTGGAATGGTGGACGTTCGCTGGATTCAAGTATAAAAGCAACACAGTAATAAGAAAAGACGTTCCTGACACCTCAAATTCGAATCTAGAACTGGCAAGCTTAGCTATCGACCTAGGGTCATTCAGCTCTGAAACGGAAAGGAATCATTTGCAGAACTGCTGGACGCTAGATAACGCCAATGACACCCATGTAACGAATTCTGCAGGTGGCTCCATCAAAACAAGAGACGGAACTGTAAACGATACTATCCTTGCAGGAGCAAACAGGTACCAGATCAGTGCCTTTGGCACAGTAATTTTGACCTTGAACAACAACAAAACTCCATTCCAAATCAAGCTGCTTGAGGTGCATACGTACCTGGTTTTATGACCAACATTGTTTCTCTACGACGTCTGCAACGTGGCGTAGTACACTGCTACTCTGAGTTCCCATTGCAGTTAACCCATAAAGGCAAGCTGTATGCCACACTGTATGAACAAGGCCGCCACTATGTACTGTCAAGAGACAAGCAGGTAGAGTATTCAATGCACAGCGCGCCGATGAGATCTGTCTCCAAAGCCTCAAACCTTTACTGCACATGAGCTCCATCTCGCATTAGGCCATCCGGGACCTGATATTATTGATCAAGTCAATCAGGCAGCGACAGGAATAGTGATCAATCACTGAGAACCAGCGCCATCAACTATCCAGTGCTCGTCGTGTAGTCTCGCGAAAGCAAAACAGATCATTTCCAGGTTTCCTGGGAAAAAGGATATGGAGAATTGGAGTATATTCGACCGTGTGACGTGGGATCTAATCGTAATAAAACCTGCGTATAATGGTGATCAGTATGCTAGCCATTTTCAGTGCACAACTTGCCGACTTCATATAGTCTACACACACCGCACGAAAGCAGAAAGCGTTGATCTGATCGAGCAATTCTTTGAGCTTGTCAAAACGCAATTCAAATCAAAGGTTAGGTTCTTCCATTGCGATGGAGAAACGACGTTGGGCAGACAGTTCGAAGAGATCTGCCAACGTCGGGGGGTGATTATTGAGAAAATAGCTTCCTATACACTAGCTCAAAACGGCGCTTTAAAAAGAGCAGATGCAATACTAGTCAGAAAAGCCAGAAGCATTTTAATTGGCGCAAAATTACCTGTAAGTCTGTGGAAGGAAGCTTTCAAGTGTGCAGCATATCTTGAGAACAGAATCCCAAAGAAGCAATTAATGTATCGCTCAGCACACGAAATGACTCGTGGTCAAGCTCCGTCATACGCTAACCTCCATCCATTTGGCTGTCAAGCCTATGTGCTCAACAAGAGTATTCCAAAGAAGGAAAATATGGAGCCACGAGCTCACATTGAGTATCTTGTTTGGTACGATTCATGCAACATCTGGAGAATCTGGGTTCCAATACTTCAAAAGGTGATCAAATCGAGAGATGTGACGTTCGATAGAACGAAATTCTATGAATCTAAAGCTCTAGACGTTGGGTTTACGCTAATAAAAAAAGCACGGTACAAGTCGTGGTTGAGATGCCGATTGAGTTGATTCAAAATGAAGACGATCAGTTACCGGAGGGTGATGCGATTATATTGGATTACCAAGGTGTGCCTACGTTCCGCTACCCGAGACACTAAACGACAATTCAACTAATCACGATTGATAGTTCTATCCTCTGGCGATATAAGGGCCGTTCCCACGATGATCAGGGTAAGGATTCGTCAGTTATTAATCATTGTATTAGTATGTGATCTGTAATATCATTTATTGATCTAGATAAATAATATAAATAGAATAAATGATTTTGAAGAATATTATTATTATCTATTATAATTCATCATAAGAAGAAAAATTCTTTTTTATAGATTCAAAACAGTTAAGATTGTTTATTAATTTTATAATTCAAAAATATATCAAGAACATCCGAGTCTTAAATTTATAAAAATCCAAACGACCCACTTACATAACGATTTGTAGCGGATCGACCAACCAATCAGAGTACAGAAAAACCAGATTACGAATTAAGCGAGAACATCCAGGACCCTACTGATAGGACTCATTCACCAACGACGTCATCGCCAAACATTGAAACAACGCCAAGAACAGCTACGCTGATACCTTCAAATACACGAAACACTGCAGAAAGAGCTGAAGAGATTTCTGGAAACCTATCATCAACCAATATTCTACCAAACATGACACTCACACCACGCACATGTGGTTGAAAGTTCAAATGAATACTATGCGGCATTTTCAATCTCAACAGCTAAACAACCAACATCTAGTCAAGCCCACAGGCTCAGAGTCAGCGACTTACCTCCTCCTCCCAAGTCATGGAAACACATGCTCAATCATCTATTTGCCAAGGAATTCAAGGAAGCTGCTAGGCAAGAAATTGACAACCTCAAGAAGATGAACGCCTTTGTCTATACGCACAAGTCCAAGAACACCTCAAATCAGAAGCCACTGCCATTAATGTGGGTTTTTATCTATGAAGCAGACGCAGATGACTATCTTGACAGGTTCAAGGCACGAATTTGTACTAGAGGTGATCTTCAAACTACTGACCAATAAGTCTAGTACCCCCTTTTTGGACCACCGAAAGCCAGCAGACCATCCAAAGAATCCAAAGCCTTCACACGCCAAAAGCGACCAGACGTTTCTTTCGCATTGGATCACATCGGTTTGGGGCAGCCTGGTGACTTCTGTGATTTTCGAGCTGCAAGCAGGTTTGGCCGAGACTCCATCTATTGCTGAGGATTGAATTACTTATATCTAGGTGCAATAGAGGTTTTAAACTTCTTAATTAAACTAATTATCTCTAGTATGAGGACTATTTTACTGTAGTTTTGTTTATTATATTAATACTTCTTTAATATGATATAATAATAATCAATATTGAACTTCAATATCAAAATTATTTTGATAATATTAATTAATTCTCAAAATCATCAAATTAAAAAATATACTTTTATTATAATATATTATTTAAGATTTTAAAATGATGAAGATAATTTATATAATATTGATATTCGTTTGAATAATATCGATAAATTTTAAATTAATATTTTTATATTTTTATTATTGTCGGCTTGCCGATATTAAAACCTTGCCGTACACAAGGTTTACTTAATGTAGATAATAGAAAGTAAAAAACTCATTTAAGTGAATCACGATCTTGAAAATTTAATTGGTCTAAAATACCCCGGTAAATAATTTAACAAAAAACTTGATATAAGCCTTATAACCTCAGACAAATCTGATTTTGAACTTTTTTTAATTCTATTGAAATCATTCAACTTTATTCATTTAATTTATCTTATTTAATTTATTTCATTCAATTTTAATAATAATAATAATAATAATAATAATAATAATAATAATAATAATAATAATAATAATAATAATAATAATAATAATAATAATAATAATAATAATAATAATAATAATAATAATAATAATAATAATAATAATAATAATAATCAATATTAATAAATCTACAATATTAATAAAAACAACAATAATATTATTATTATTTACTCAACACTCAAAACACACACAATCAAATACCCTTCAACAAATCCCGAATATACAAACAATAGACTCCAAGTACTAACTACACGCAAAACAAATCAAAAGCTCCAGCATGTAGCTTTCAAGTTCCAGCCCTTACCCCCTGGGACTTGCTTTAGTATGGTTACTTGTAGAAGAGGAGTTATGTGTACAGGATGATTGTTTATATACTCTTCGATTATTATTATTCGAGGTGGTATATTAAAGATGATGGGATTGTTGAGGAGTTTTAAAGTATTAATGAATTGTAATTATTAAAGAGGGGATAGTATAAGAGGTAGAATAAAGAATAGAAGGATATATTTTTGAGATTGATTTGAGATTCAATAATATATTTTTTTTTTGGTTAGAGATTAAATTTAAATATAAATATATTATGAGAAAGTTGGAATTATAAATCAGATATATAAAGGTTTTAATTAGTCAATTAGAATATTTATTTAGTTAATTTTATATCAAAGTAATAAAATATTATATTTTTAATATATTTATAATAATAATAAAAATAATAAAAAATAAAAAGATTAATAATATATAATAATATAAGAACTTAATAAGAATTTAAGAATTCAAAATATTAAAAATTATATATTTTATTATAATAAAATATAAATAAAATTATATATTAATTTTAATTTTTAATTTTAAATAGTTTATTAAGAGTTTTGATATAGAAAGTTTTTCTTTAAAAAAGAGTTTGTATTATATATTATTTTTGTTTTTTTTTGAAAAATAAAGAGAGAGAAAAAAAAATATAAAAGATTATTTATTAAAAATTGTAAGAATTCTGAAATCTACTCATCGCACACCATTCAAATTCGTGACAAAATCCCTACAAAAATCATATTTTCCTATATAAAATAAAATATCGAATAAATTTTTCAATATTGAATTAAATTAAATGAAATTTTCAAATATTATAATTAACTACAAAAGAATATCGAAAAATTTTATAATTTATTTTTAATTATTTTTGTTTTAAAGTTATATTTATTTAAATTTAAAAAATATCAAAATTTCATTTGTGTAACGCTTTTTTGAACTTTTCCCTATATAAAATAAATGATTTTTTTTAAACTTTTTTATTTTTTCAATCTTAAATATATATAACTTTGAAACCAAAATAATAAAAAATATTTCGTTAAATTTTTATTATATTTGAATCAATTATCTATATATGTGTCAATTTTTATATATTTATTTTATTATTTTATAAAGATAACAAGGGTTTAAAAAGTTGAAAAAATCGTTGATTTTGATGTGATTTCGCTTAGTGTACAGTGAGTAGATTCTAGAACTCTTAAGTTAATATTAATATTAATATTATTTATAAAGGACATTTATTCTATTTTATTGTTTCATCAAGAAATAATTATAATAAAAAATGTTATTTTTTTATTTAATAATATAAAAAAATTTAAGATTTCAAATATTTATATATATCTTTAATACTTATAAAGAAATATTAAAATTGTATAATATAATTAAAATATAAAAGAATTATTTATAAAACTTATATTATAAGAAAATTAAAACTATTAATTTTATAATTTTTTATAATTAAATATAAAAAAGGAAATTCTTTTTATTTCTTTATAAATAATTAATTATAATATAATCTATTTAATTTTTTATATAATTTTTTTTATAATATACTATCAAGATATATATATTTCAATCTCTCTCTTTTATAATATAAATCTTAATTGGATTAATTCTCAAATCAGTCAATTTATAAGATTATAAAGTTAAGAAAAGATAAATTAATATAAAGTAGAATGTGAATATAAGATTAGAATGTGAAGAAAGAACTTTTGGTTCGTAGACACTTCGTACACTCCTTGCTATCCCATCTAAGATTATTGAAAATTCAGTGGCGTTCTTGTTGGGATATATGATGATTTCCATCTGTCATGTCCAGGGGAATTTTGCTTGGTCGTCGGTGTTTATATAGGTCTTGTAAGTCTCTCACTTGAGAGTGTTAACAGATGCAGTACTCTATGATTGGTATTGTAACATATTTATTTTCTGCTATTTTGCTAAATCAATCCACCAAGTAACACCAAATATCGAAGAGAAATCATAAATTTGTAATCTTCGGGCATGTATGAATAAGATCCATAGATGAGACTTTCGGTTCAGATTCCCAAGATTTGGAAAGTATACGAGTAAAGATCCGAAGAAATCGATATCAAAAAGTGTTACAGTTTGAGTGCTCCCCCACTATAAATTAGTGTAAACATCCCTGACCTTATCTCGAATTGAAGATCATAATAAATTCATGAATCCTTTGAATTTCCCAATTTCTCCACAAAGCTTGATTTGACTCGATGAATTGAAATTTGGATATGGCATCAAGGTTAATGGTCTGCAAGTTTCCGGTCGTTTTGGGCTTTTATGGATAAGTATAAGCCGATTACTTTTGTTCCCGAAGTTTAGAAGACGAGGTTTCAGACGGATGGAATAACGGTCGGCTGTGGGGAATGAAATGTTTGGGGCTCTTGCTAATAAGCTTACTTTTGGTAGGATGGTTTGTTTCTAGTGGTAGGTAGTGAAGTCGAGTATAACAAGGTATGAATGATGTGAGGTCAATCAACGAGATTATGGATACTTATAAAAGACAAGGTAAGACGGCAAAAAGGCCTCCTCGATCATATCTTTTGATTCCACCGCCATAGCAATTCTGTTTCAAAATCCTAACACCAACAGTACAATGGTCATTTTCTTGTAAATCTCATCAAGCATTTCCTCCACATCGCGCTGTTTTCGTGGGGGATGAAACAAAAGTCTACGAATCCTTGCTGGGTATTTGATTCCCTAAAAAGGAAGAGGGCTTCCCGCTGCATTGTTCCGTGCTTGGAGGATATCTTTAGATTCGCTAATTAAATTGTGATATCTGATGGTATTTTGTTGTCAGTATATGCTTGTGACGGCGATGGCGTCGGAGGATACAGATTCAAAGGGTGCATGAATGTGAAGCCTTGGAAATCGCTGATGTTGATGTTTCCTCTGCTTGGTCGGTAGAAAGGAGGAGGAGGAGGAGGAGGAGGAGGAGGAGGAGAATGATTGTCAGTTGCGGTGTATGGAAAAGGACACAGGGAAAGGATAACTGCTGGTTTGGTTGGCGCCTGGGAAGATCGTTCCTCGAATTGAGGGCATGCATGTGCGAGGGTTATGAAATGAAGAGTGAAGATCTGACATGATTGAGATTCGAGAAAGAGACAGAATCAGAATTCATATAAAACTATAGGATGCTTTTCCTTACCATCAAGTCTTTGATCCATCTGGATCTACTAATTCTTAATTATACGTGGTTTATTAGTGACGGATGATGCTACTTTTCTTTCCTTGCACCTCCCCGGTAAAGTTGGCTATTAGAGTTAAAGTTGGAGTTTTCCCCACCACCAGAAATTGTAAGATTAGCTAGCTCTCCGTCGCTCTAGCCCTTCAAAGTTCAACAACAACAACATCGTCAATAACCTTGAACCTTCTGCCATCTACACCCATACCTACCTCCCTGCCCATTTTCATCAGCTCTTTCTTCCTGCCTTTCACCAGGTTCTTGCTTCTAACCAAACCTCGGCCTTCATTAGCTTCTACATGGGTTTCCGCTAGAACTAAGTTTCAGACGGGTATTGGCATACCTTGGATCTCCATACCTTTCGCTCGAGATCATTTGAATATTTACAACACCACACTCCATCACCCAAATCATCACACGCTGGCCGTACAGTCTCTTCAACATCATACCATTGTCGTTACCGCGGCACTTCAAACGGCAGTTAACATTGATCTTTTTCCAAATCTCCTTCTGGCTCTATTGCTTCTGCATCCAAAAATCAATTGAATCTCACGTATTACAATCAGCTCGTGCAGGGTTGGAAATCTGGTGGCGTCAAGTACATTCACTTCGGGGTGCATTTCCCCTGCAGGAGGTTGCGTCAACCCCGATATCGAAAATAGCCATTCGACCATTTGGAGGTACCACAATTGAGGAATACAGTGTACCACAGATCTGCAGTCAAAAGAACAAATACCATCCATCTATTTACAAAAGGAACATTCCAGCAATACATATTCTTCAATTTTCTATCATCTTGTCCGGCTTCACAACATCGAGGCTGCGGGGTCGTTTATGAGGTCATCATGTTAAGATCAATTCGAGGTTTACTTGCAGGATTGTTACCAAATACCAATGAATCAGACTACGAATTAATCCACACTTATGGAAATTCCTCACCAACATTAACAACTTGCACTACCAAGGATGATACATTCTCTCAATGGAGATTATCTTTCACCCGCTTCCTCTTCTTCCTTATACCTTCCCCTATACAACGACGACTTCAACCGGCTCATTTCAAGCCTCATCGGTTATACCCAACATCCTATCTCGATGGACTTCGTGGAGTTGCTTCTCTGTTTGTTTTCTTTTGCCATTACACCGAGGAAAATGTACAGTCCATGGTACCATCATATGGCTTGCCCATAGATGATCCTGTTCCATCTTCTTTCATGCAACTTCCTTTTTTTCGAGTAATTTACAGCGGACGACCCATGGTTCATATCTTCTTCGTCATATCTGGATTCGTTCTTTCTTTAAAGCCTTTGAAATTAGCTCGAGCACATAACTATGCGGATCTTCAAACAACTTTATCCTCATCTGTCTTTCGTCGGGGTATGCGACTTTTCTTACCCACGACCGCCTCTACGTTCATGGTTATGATATTCATTCGAATGCGCTGGGTCAGGGTTGAAGGACTAGAGACATTCTCAGTACAATTTATGGACTGGATGCATGCGATTTGGACGATAGGCTATTCTTGGGATTGGGATAAAATGTGGTGGCCAAAGTACGATGTTCATGTCTGGACTATTCCCATTGAGATGGCACAATCCATGCTTCTCTTTGTCAGTATTACCGGCTTAGCCAGATGCAAGGTTTGGATCCGTCTCTTCATGTTCGTGGTCATTATGTTTTATAGTTTGAAGTGTGGACGTTGGGCTGCATTCGAATTCATTGGTGGCGCGCTGGTGGCAGAAGTGGGACTTATTCAACAAGCGCGAGCTGAACAAGATCCCAACAAAGAGATGTCGGCCTCGGATGAAGAATCTTGTAATTCATGGAAAACATCAGCAGTCTATGCATTCTGGACTACGAACTTCATTTTTGCCATGTGGATTGCAGGATGGCCAAACCATGATGTACTGAAGACTCCCGGACTCAGTGAAGTCGCACTTTATACGATAGAGCCATACTGGTCTCGAAAACGAGAGGAGGAACAAGCATTCTCTTGGTTTGCATTGGGGGCCATGCAAGTTGTTTTTGCTTGTCAGCAACTTCCTCTACTGCAGAAGTTCTTCACGTCGGGCCCAGCGCAATACCTTGCCAACGTTTCATATGCATTATACCTTATGCACGGGCCTTTTCTCGACGTATTTGCTCATCGGTGGATGCCATATGTGTGGTGGGCTGTAGGTGGACGAGAAAATAGTGGTATGTGGTCACGAACGTTTGCTTGGTGGGGTGGGATGCTAGGGCTGGCAATACCCATCTTCTGGGCAGCAGATATTTTTTGGAGAGCCGTGGATATTCCCTCTGTAGAATTTGCAAAATGGTTAGAAGGGAAATGCATAGTGAAAGAGGATTGACGACATGATATGGAAGGGGATTGATTGAGGGTATATCTTGGGAGCATTTGCGAGGCGTTGATAGATATCTTGGGATGTAAAAGGCGTATGATGGATGAATGGGAAAATTCTAGGTATTTTTTTGGACGGAATAGAAGTTTAAAAATGGCCATGGTATTACATGTACAGTATATCCGTTAGCGGGAGTTAGATCGGCCATATTAAAAGAGATTGATTTGGATTCATAGATAGAAAAATGCCCTAGAGGAAAGCACCTAAAGCTTGCAAGAGAAGTTTTAGTGACGTGGTGAGACATGCATGTTTTTCTATTGATCAAATAGTACCGAGACTAATGGCATCAGCTGAGAATTACACGGTACAGAAAGAAGCTTATCTAGGTATCTAACACCTAACACCTAATACCTAACCTAATTTTGCTTCAATAGCTATCCTGCGTGACGACTAGTCTAGGTAGAGGACAGGGCAACAAAAAGCTAGAGCTGCGAACCCACCCAAGGATTAAGGTTACGTATGTAATATATATGCAGCGGGTGATGATGCGATTACCGACCAACACCAAGATCGATCATGAAGAATGAAGAAAGAATGATCACCTTACCTATCTACCTAAAGATTCGGAGATCTATTTTAGATTTACATGATTTGCACGCCACATAATTGTTATCCCGTGAACACGAGGTACAATATAATGTAATATAATACTATAGAATACTATAGAATATAGACTCGGGAGGCAGTATCATCATAAATAGCTGATGAGCTTAACCCTTTTGGGGGTGAGGTGTGAGTATTGGTTTAGTAAAGGAGTAATTGGAGTGAAAAGTCATGAAGTCATCGTATCAGCTGAGATGGGAGCCTCATATGCATGATTTCTTGGTTTGGGACGCGGGATTGAAGGGCGTGTGTGAAGATCGGAGTATGTAACCTGTGCTTGAGGTGTGAATACTGAACACTGGATTGAGATCGCCATTTGTGACATGTCGGTTTTTTTCTTTTTCTTTTTCTTTTTCGGTACCGGTGTGGTACACCAGTGCAATTGAGATACTGTAGATAGGCGGGGTAGGACAGGGCAATAGTGCAGGTCTGTGGCTTGTACTCCGTACGTGGTAGCTGTGTAGGTTATCGGGTGGGTTGGTGTTACATCGTATCGTATCGTATCATGTTTTTGAGTTTGTTTGTTTTTTCTGGGTTTTCTGGGTTTTCCTTGCGGACTACGGAGTGGTGGGTGTAGTGTTTCATGTTTTGTTGGGGGTGAAGTGGGATGAGATGGGATGAAAATGCGGCTTGAGTGATTGTCGAATCCAGATGCCTGATGGTTGATAGCTGAAAGTTTTAGGTCCGTGTTCGTGTTCATGGCGGAGGTGCGAGGTGTGATATCGATGGACGGACGATGAGCGATGGGTGCGGTGAAGGGCTGAGGTATCTAACCCCAGTAGGTCTTTTGTGTGCATCACGATACCTTGATCTCGGGTCATTCATTTTCACCTATAGGATTTCAAATTGGGTTTTTTATAGGATGCACCTTTCCACCCAGTGCGAGGTTATTTGGTAATGCGCCGGACGTTAATTACTTCTTGCATGTTTCCCGCAGCAACTCTCAAAATCTCGTGTAAGGCTGTACAGGATTGGATCCCTTGCTCGGTGTGGTGCACGAAGGGTAAGGTTACGGTGTCTCCGTCCCCATACAGGCGGAGTACAGGTACACGTTCACGTACGTTAGCACGGACTCGTATCGTTTATGTCATTGAGTGCCGAGGCGAATATAAATATGGATGCTTCAAATAGGAAGAATGGGGAAGTGGATGATAAAGCTTTCGTAAGAAATTTTGGGAAGCGATCGGTAACGGGAAAGAATAATCTGGTAACAAGATACCGAGATTATTTTACTGGAAAATTCCAAGACAAATTCAGGAAAAGTGATCGTCTGGATCAGAAACCTTTACAAGAGGAGAATATCAAGTCGAAATCAGAGCCAGTTTCAATACCTCAATCACAATCACAATATCAACCACCACCCAAAACCACCACCGAAATCATGTCTGCTGAATCATCCTCAACCCAGCCTGTCTGGACATCTGATACTTCCAAAACAAAACCAACAGTCATTTCTGACATCGAATCTGCAACTCATAGCATCCAAGCCATCTTCCGAGATCTCAAATCCATCAGCCCAGAGGATGCAAATACTCTTCTCCAACTCTTCTCTTCGGAGATCAAGGGTGTCCAAAATGACAATACGCTTCTTCTAGAGAGGACAGTACAATTACTATCTTCTCAACCGGAAACTTCAGGAATTGGAAAGAGTCTATCAGCAAGTTTTGTGAATACTCTTTGGGATGCTCTACCGCATCCACCTATGAGGAGTTTGGATAAGAAATATGTGTATAGGGATGCGGATGGTGGGAATAATAATATTCGCATGCCGGATTTAGGGAGAGCGGGGACGGCTTATGCAAAGAATGTTAATGCTGTGAGAATGAAGAAGAAGGATTTACCTGATCCGGGAGAGCTTTTTGATGGGTTGATGAAGAGAGGTGGAATAGATGGAGAAGAGGCGTTTAGAGGGAGTCCGACGGGTATTAGTAGTCAGATGTTTTATTTGGCTACTATTATTATTCATGATCTTTTTCTTACGGTAGGTGCATTTGTTTCGATGATCAATATCATCAGAGGAATTGAAGAAGCTAATGACTAGGGGATAGGATCATGAAGATATGACTAAGTCGAAGACGAGTAGTTATTTGGATCTCTCACCTCTCTATGGATGCAATCAAGAAGAACAAAATTCAATTCGAACATTCGAAGATGGTAAACTGAAACCAGATTGTTTCTCTTCAAAGAGAATCTTAGGATTCCCTCCTGGCGTGGGGGTTTTCTTAATTATGTTCAATCGATTCCATAATTATGTAGTGGAAATGCTTGCTCAGTTAGTATACCCATTTTCATTCTTCTATATTTGGATATCAAAGCTAATTAGGATGTCAGAATCAACGACAATGGTCGTTTCACGAAGCCAAAACCAGAGGCGGAAGAGTCCGCTTTTGATAAGTACGACAATGATCTCTTCCAAACAGGTAGGCTTGTTACTTGTGGCTTGTATGTCAATATCGTTTTGAAAGATTATGTTCGTACGATTTTAAATCTCAATCGTACAACTTCGAAGTGGGATTTAGATCCAAGAATTGAGGAGACTAAGAATCTTTTGAGTAATCCTGCTGCCGAGGGGGTGGGAAATCAAGTTTCCGCTGAATTTAATTTGAGTATGTTCCATTCACCTTATGCGTTAAATTTTACCATACAAATACTTATTTGATAAATAGTCTACCGTTGGCACTCAGCTATCTCTCAAAAAGATGCAGAGTGGACCAACGCAGAGTACGCCAGACTTTTCCCTAATAAAAATCCAGCTGATGTCACGCTTCCCGAACTTCTCAGAGGTCTTTATACAATGGAAGCGGAACTTCCTAGCGATCCTTCTCAACGCTCTTTTGCGAACCTTACTCGTCTTCCTGATGGATCATATGATGAAGGATCCCTCGTATCAATTTTCCAATCATCAGTGGAAGACCTTTCTGGTGCCTTTGGTGCCACAAACGTTCCACCTATCATGCGTTCCATCGAAATCCTTTCCATCATGCAAAGTCGTTCTTGGAATATGTGCACGTTAAATGAATTTCGTTCTTTCGTGGGATTGACACCTCATAAGTCATTTGCGGATATAAATCCGGATCCTATCATTGCAAAACGATTAAAGGAGTTTTATGGCACTCCTGATGATGTGGAATTATACCCTGGGGTTGTGGTTGAGAAGACTAAGCCCCCCGTGGTGCCCGGTAGTGGTTTGTGCACGGGGTATAGTATTAGTTATAGTATTTTGAGTGATGCCGTCGGATTGGTTAGGGGAGATAGGTTTTATACTGCGGATTATTCGCCGGGTACTCTTACTAATTGGGGGTTCGTTTATTTACTTTTTCCTCTGTTTTCATTGTCAATCTTCTCAATCTCAAAAGGTTACTAACATGGCCAATAGTTATAATGAGGTACAATTCGATACCAATGTCGATGATGGTGCTGTGCTTTACAAATTAATCCTTCGAGCTTTCCCGAATTATTTCGAGGGAAATTCCATATATGCACATTTTCCATTCACAACACCTCAAGTTAACCGTGAGATCCAAAAGAGTTTGGGAAGAGAGGGACTCTATAGCTGGGAAGTTCCAAAAAAGAAGGCAGCGCTGTCGAGCGTGCAGACCTGGAAAGAATGTAAGGGGATTTTGGAGGATTCGAATAATTGGAAGGTTAGTTTTTCTTTATTCCCAACTATGTGTAAAGGTCACTTTTTGGGGGAAGACAATCGAAAAGATACTAACTATGAATAATTTAGGTAACATGGGGTCCAACAATTTCTGTTTTAACTTCGCAGGAATCTAGCGATTCTTCAAAAACTGACACTTCACCGGCTGTTCTACCCTTCTGCCTCGCTGGTGATGCTCCTATAAATGCTACCTCTCGATCTCTTGTAATATCTTCTTTCTATGATCTTCCAACTAATCATGATCATAAAAATGATAAAGAACATCCGGATTGGTCATCTGCGCTCACTCAGTTCTTTACGGATAATACGGCGGATTTGTTGGAAAAACATAAAGTTCTTATTCCGACCCTTAGCAACTCCGCTTCTACCAATGAGAATGGCACAGTCCCCAAAACCTACAGAATCGACGTTGTGTCCGATATCTGTAACCGGGTCTTCACTCGTTTCGCAGCTGGTGTTTTCGATATCCCACTAAAACTCGGAATGGGAAACACAGTCGACGTAAACATAACTACAGACCCCGAAGAAGGATACACAGAAGAAGAATTATACCACTCACTTTCCATTGCATTCATATGTATTTTCAACAATCTCGATGTTACGAAATCTTTCGCAATAGATCAACAAGCTCGAGCTATAGCTAAGAAACTTGGGGATATATTGATGGAGAGGGCAAAGGAAGGAAAGATTGGAGAAGCTTTTGATGGGTTGAAGGAAAAGTTGCATAGTTTGGTTTTTGATGATAAGACTGAGAGACATGTTGAAGGTTGGGTTCAGAAGGAGAAGACGAGATTGGCGTTGAAGGGGTATGGGAAGGAAATGTTTGAGAGGTTTATAGAGGGGGGGAAGAAGGTGGGATGGGGTGTTAAGGAGGTGGTTTGGGAACAAATGTTTGTCTTTTTCTTTTTGTTCCATCATTTTTTCATTTGTCTCCCTTTTCTGAATATTTATTCAACTTTTTTGTTTTGGATTCTCGCTAACAAAAAAAATCAGTCTTCCAACTTCAGCAGCGGGAACGGCAAATCAATCTCAGCTTCTCTCTCAAGTTATAGATTATTATCTTAGTGATGCTGGATCATCACATTTACCGCAACTTTATACTCTTGCGCATGAAAATAGCAAAGAGGCTGATAATTTATTGTTACGATAGTATGTTCTCTCTCCTATCTCATCCCCGCACATAAGCCCAAAGGGAAATGGAAATGTAAATAACAAACTCAAACTAACATCTCAAAGTTTCCTCGAAGCAGCTCGAATCCACGGAAATGTCGCCTTACTCCGTGCTTACTCCCCATCTCAAACCACCTCTCAAACCCCAACCACCACATCCACATCCACAACCCCATCACCATCCACCCCCTACACCCCAGGAACCATCGTCCTCCTCAATCTCCCCGTCGCGCACCACGACCCTACCGCCTTCCCCAACCCGGAAACCGTCAAGCTAGATAGAAATCTAGATACCTATCTCACATTCGGACAGGGAAGACATGCATGTCTTGGGAAGAATGCGGCGTTGACGGGTATGTTGAGGGTTTTTAGGATTATTGTTGGACTTAGGAATTTGAGGCTTGAAGGAGGGAAGAAAGGGGGAATGAAGAGTGTGGGGCAGGGGTTGGAATTGGGGTATTTGAGTGAGGAGTGGGGGAATATAGGGCCGTTTCCGATGAGTTTGAGGGTGCTTTGGGATGAGTAGGGTCTGCGGGGGCGGGGGTTGAGTGGAGTTTTTGATGTTTGGTTTGGGTTTTGTTTTTGTTCTTTTTGTCTGGGTAGTTGCTAGTAAGTAGGATGGGTTTTTGGTTGCGGGGGATTGATTTGTTATAATGCCTTATTTACTTACTGATATATCAACAATCTTATACTATTTATAACAAATATTAAATGATACAATAAATATACTTCTCCAGTCTATTCCTATCCTCAAATCTAAGTTGAAATATTAAATTCTCTTCCACTCCACTCCACTCCACTCTACTCCACCTCATTTCATTTTATTCAATATCTCATTCTTACTTTTATATTCATTTATTTCTTAAACACCTATATATTGTAAAAGTGGTAGGTCGAGATACATGCATCCCGATAGCACGCTGTGAGGAGGGAATTAAAAGAGAAAGCTGATTAGATTAGATTATATATATCACTTATAAAGAAAGTAAGATTTATAGTAATTTTGGGATTGAAATTATATAGGTTCAAATATATATATATATAAAAGATTGATTATGATAAAAATAAAAAATAAAAATTTTTCTTTTATATTTAATTATAAAAGATTATATAATTAATTAATTTAAAAACCTTTATGTATATAATCTATAATTTTAACTTTCTTACATTATAAAAGATTATATAATTAATTAATTTAAAAACCTTTATGTATATAATCTATAATTTTAACTTTCTTATAATACCAACAAGTTTTTATATTTTAAATAGTTGATATAAGATGATAAAGTTTATAGATAATATATGACATTATACCCAATGACCAAGACCCCTTAAACACCTATCATTTAAATCACCACATTCTCCAAATTCCCCAAAAATCAATACCGCTATACACATACGCCTGAATGAACTTTTAGTCATGCCTCGTTATCCGTCGTCCATAAACCCCAATTTTTCCAATCCTATTTGCCTTAACCTATCCAAGTAACCGCTTCAACGCTAATACACAACATTCCATTTCCATCCACCACCAATTCCTCTCGCACAAAACATAGCTATTGCACTAGCACCATAACATAAGCCCGTAAACGTGATTACACCCCAATAAGACCCATTGCAAGCCTGAATCAAAGCTCCACCGATTGGAACACCGGTTAAACATCCAATGCTAACTACTGAATAACAAGTCGCATAATATCGACCATAATCTTTAGTATCGCACAATTGGCCTATGCAAACAGGTGTTAGACCAACGTTGCTACCGCTTGCGAAACCGAGTATTATGGCGGAACAAATTAGACCTGGTAAAGTGTTTCCGAATGGAAGCCAGACGACAAAACAGGCGAAGACGGTAAGGCAGAGTGCTATGAGAAGAGTGTTGAATCGACCAATGATATCTGCTAGATAGCCTGGTACGAAGCGGCCAACAACTGATGCACCACATAGGATAGGGAGAGATTGATAAGAAATTGCTGTAGGGAATCCTTCATAGAGAGCGTAAGATGTGATGTAGGTGACTGGCAGGAAAAATGCCCATTCGAGAAGGTATACACCCAAGACGGTTAAAGCGAACTCTGGCTTTTTGAAAATTTTAATATCTGGGTGAGGGCTTTGAGCGGTTCGGGTACGAGGAAGACGATTTTTGATGAGGAGGTTTGCCATAACGGTGACAAAAACGAAGATGAATCCCATTACTCGCATTGTCCATGAGAACTATATGAATTGTTTAGCAATGTACTGTGTAATATGGTGAAATCAAAAAGAGAGAATGCTTACACCAATCTTTGGGATGAGATTTTCCATGAGAAGGGGAAAGACAACGCCACCGCAAGCACCACCAGTAGCGGCAATTCCTGTCGCATTTCCACGCTTTTTATGGAACCAATGACCAATCGCCGCAACTGACGGCGTGAAGGTGAGTGAACTGGCGAAGCCACAAAGTACGCTGAACACAACAATCCAATGCCAGTATTCTGGAACAGTTAGCTTTGCAATATTGAATTTGAGGTTAGATAACCTACCAGTACACTCTCCAAACAAAAAGACTGAAAGAACGAGTAAAATGCTTCCTGGTAATACCAAGTATCTTGGTCCATAGACATCAAACGCGGGACCAATATAAATGCCACCAATGAACAAAATAAATGAGTACAAGGAGAATATCCATCCAATTTGCGAATCGGAATATGATGCTAACTGATTCGCAGCCAGGTAGGCTTGAAATGAACCTGTAGAATTCGCAATACCAAAACTGCAAAACATGCCACACCACGAACCAAGGACTACTAGCCAAGCTTGCAATCCACCTTCAGGATACTTATGCTCATCTTCAGAATCCGACTCGGATAGCTCATCTACGAGTGGATCGGAAACTGGAGTATAAGTTATAGTGACATCTTTCTCTTTCTCTTGTGGTAGAGCTCCAACTAAGGAGCCGTCATTCGCATTCTTTTCGAGATCAATTGGTGAAGAAGAGTGGTCCATAGTATGTTGAGTTCGAATAGTTGGTACGAGGTGTGTTTATTCGTTGAATTTGAAGAGCTCTGCACGTAGCGAGAGGAATCTCCTTCAACTTTCAAAACAGAGTGTAAAATGAGGGGTCAGAATTCGAGATAGTGTTAAACAATATGGAGTAGATCTTGATTCTAAGGGAGACTTATGTGCTTTCAATATGAATATAATGATTGCAGTAAAAATTGAACGGACAACCACCTCATATATTATAGATGCGCCAGAGAGCCTCAGCTTGAGGAAAAACTCTGTCTAGTCGCCAATGCCCAATGCTACGGTCCAGCATGACTGAACGTCAACCCCTTTTTGGAAATCTAGCCCTCTTTCTCAGAGTCGACAGCAAATATGCTCTTGCAATGTGATCACCGCGAAGCTCCATATCGCACACACTAATGACTTGACAATGCTAGCTTGTAAGTCTACGCAGTCCAAAAAAAAATTACCAACTCAAAATCTGGAACAAAATCCGCAGTAGGATTGCTTCGAACGCTCTGGAGCATAACATTGGGCTTATGCCACTCGTGATACCCAACATAACGAAAAAAGCAGATGGAATTGCGCAAAAGGGAAGAAAATTTGAAAGGGAGGAAAAAAAAAGAAATGATTCTCCACCATTTTGCGGTCAACGGGGAACCTTCCCAGCTCACCGCAAGCTTGTTAAGTTGTTAGGCTTTGCGGGGCGGAAAAGATTACCGAATCTGGAAATATAATGCACATTCAATATATCGATTCAGTCCTCGGTACCGACTTGTATCCATTTTCTCGTAGAGAAAGTTAACAATCTGATGTGATGGAGTGACAAATATGCTGTTGTTTGAGAATGAAGGGACATGTAGAAAGAATGAGAATGATTTGGCGACAGGCAAACGAGAAATTAGCGCGGAAACCCCGGTAAAAGTTTCTCCGAAGTGTCTTTTTTTTATATTTCCACACTCCACTCAACTCTTTTTCCAGCTCATCCTTCGTACTCTGTATCCCCCCCTCGTACTCTGTATCCCCCCCTCGTACTCTATACTCCCCCTTGTACTCCATACTCCGTACTCCTTGTATTCTGTACTCATCCTCCATACTCTGTAGCCGTCCTTCATCTACACCTCATCTTTTCACGCTTCCACCCTTCGAAGATCTTCATCTCGTACCATAAAACTTTGTTTGAATGGAAATTACCAACCTTCCGGCATTCCACATGATCTCGATCAAAGCTTGGAGGCTTGGACCTCTCTATGGCCCCTTCGTATATCAACGTGTTTGATAAATCACCACGCCGGGGAATAATGTTTTTCATGCAGTAGGTGCAGGGTCCTCAAACATTCGTTCTAGAATAATAGGATTGGGCTGGAAGACTTCTCTGCAGAAGAATTTAGAAGCTATTATCAATCGAATCCATCTTGTGAGGCGCTTAAGATGAATTCGGGTCGCGCACATACCATTTTGGTTGTGGGGATGAATGACAACCACGTTTGAATGCGCAGTCTTTGCCTTTCTCCACTTGTTTTCACTTAGCTCTGGGCACATCTTTCACCTCGAATGTGATTCGACATGTCTGAGAATGTTCACATGGCTCGCAATATCATGATCGGTGTGCCATTGCTTACCAGTGTAGGGTTAAAGTTTCTAGGTCCAGTGGGGAACTCTTTTTTTTACCAGCAGAGATTTTTACCCCTGGAGAAAAAACCCTTGCGAGGAATAAGCAAGAAAATATATCTTCCACTTTAGTGATTTTCTGCAGGTGCGTCGAAGGCGAGCTAATATCTAATCAATGCCCCTTTCAACTTCACTTCGGGATGGCAGGACCCAGCTGCGGATCCCAGCTTCCAAAATCTCACCCTATAGAGATATTTATACATTGGAGCTTGAGCTTGGGCCAAGCGAAATCAAATCCACGCTACTCACGGAAGGAAACTTAAACTCTGAGGTCTTGAAAATGTTGAACGTCTGAAAGTTGGATTTGAAGATGCGTTGTCAAACTTTCTTGGTGCACGGCTACACTATCAGACCTGTCTGTGCTTTGAATCTGGAGAGCCGACTGGAATGTCAACGAAGGTGTTTTGTTGCGCAATCCTAAAGTCAAGGCCAGCAGCATGCAGATCGCGTTTATTTAGGTATGTGTTACAACATATTAGACGAATAGTCCTGAATCGCGGGAATAGCGGAATTACCTTGAGTCCTATTAATCGTGCAAGATTTTTTACTTTGCGTTGCCCTTAAAACCTTGACCTTTTGCCTGATCTGCGGATGAGCAAGAGTTTTTTCTTCTTCGGACAATTCAAATTTCCCGTATTCTATTCTATCTACAAAGCGTAATAATTCTATCTACAAAGCGTAATATGTATTGACAAAGAAGAACAGGCACATTTGGCCGACTATGTACCGACAGCCAAAGGAACCAACGCTATGATAGAGCTATTGTGATAACACGAGGCAATGTAAAGAGGGGTTTTTTAAATTCAAAATTCATATTCATTTTTATATTTGCAAATCTATCATAGGATCAGTCAACTTCTTGAAATTTCAATCATAGCAAAACCAACAAAACTTCAAGGGTCTGCTCTCAGTCGTGTGAAGTTACTCTCCGAAGAGAGGAAGTAGAGACCGAGTGAGTCTCTCCATACATATTCAATGAATCAGTTACGATGGGCTAATCCTGCAGACCATGACTTTGTCGAATCTCTCTCGCCTACTGCTGAAGCTGCTAGCATGATTGTTCCTCGTATTCAACAATGAAACCGGCGGGTTATTTTAATCCTAGTGGACAAACACGTTACTTGATTCCGAGTCCCGTTTTACCCACCTCAAACAGCTCATAGAAAGGACTGCTCTTTTTGAGATTATCAAGAAGATGCCCGAGGGAGCAATCCTTCGTGCCCACCACTTTTCCTCGTGTCTCTTGATTTCACTAATGATAAAATTGGTCGAGATTCCGGGGATGTTTATTAGCGCTACAAACTCTTTGGATACGTATTGGGTTGGAAAAGAGAAGAAAATAAAAATGGAGTTTGTACACAACAATTCTCAGGTTCGTGAATGTTTCACGACCTCCTTCTACCAAACTAGGGAGCTTCTCCACCTAGACCAGAGATGAATGCAATCTGAGAATGATTACAGCAGAGCATACATAATCAACTCATGATGTGCAGGCACTGTGAATTTTGTATCTGAACTCCTTGTGTTGGTCCCGCCCTCATCCACCATTTACCTTACAGCATTTGAACAATGACCAGCCTGATTCCGTTCCAGAAGCGAATGTCCCGGGAAAGAGGCAAACTCAGGAAAAAGTGTTGAGGTAATTGCCTCTGTCTTTGATATACCCGCGACACTCGAATAACCCAAAGCACAGGATGGAGCAGAATCCACGAGTACCAGTATTTGATTTTAAGGAGTGTGAGATTCTCATAGAGCTTAATAAAGCATTGCTTTTGAAAAGAAATCCATTTTTAGCAAGACTCGAGCTTTGCTAAAGCAGAAAGTCGGTGAATTTGCAGATAGAACAGATCAAGCGCAGTATTATCAAGGATGACGCCGAAGACATCAGAGATTCGATGATAGGAAGAACTTGGAAATATACGTTTTATCAATATCTTATTCCTCAAATACTCACCTCGAAAATATGAGTCACTGCACTATGGACTTGCCTCTCGCTCTTACATGAGATTGTTTTTCAGCCACAGCAGCTTCAAGGAAAAGGATTGGAATGAAAGACGAAGAGCAGAGTGCTCAACATGTGCGGCGTCCTTAAGAGTCCTAAGAAATACCGCGTAATTTCGGAAAGTGTTCTTATCGAATAAGAACGCGCTGCTGAATGCGTACGCCGTATATTTTGAGCCCTCTTCATGGGAAAAATTTTCACTTGATGGAAATAGAGGACTTGAAATCCTTTTAGTGATGATAGCCGCTTACCATACGATTATGATGAAGGATCGCGAGGCAATGCGAAATTTATTTGGTTTGACGACCATGTGGCCGGATTCCATTTCTGTTATTGTTATGACTTACATTATGAGTTGGGATGGATCCATTGTTAGAGGATTCCGGCTATCAGGATGGGGTGGGGGATTATTCATGTCAAAGGGTCTTAACCCAGTTCTACAATGACTAGCGATGAGGTGATTACCATGAGTTTCACAATTCACTACAAATTAGCTAAACACATCAAACCTGTGCCTTCCGCACAACCTATATACTCTGCATCCAAATCCTTCGACTTCAAAACACACAGCTCCACAAACAAAACCGCCTTCCCCATCTCGAACTGACCTCCCGGCCCATAAAGACTCATAACCGTCTTCCTCAACTCTACATGGCCCTTATGCGAACGTCCAGCCTGCTCAAAATGCGCCAGGTCCAAAAAATAAGCAAGTTGATTCGTCTCAGCAATAGCCTCAGTATCAAGCTCCAAATCCGCCTTGGGGTCGAATTTCTCATTTAAAATTTCTGGTGCCAGATTCTCGTGTCCAATATGAGTGGTGAATGCTACCACACCATTTTTGTTGCGTTCAGTGTCCAAATGCGATATCCAGGATTGTGCGTGGGGATTTATCAGCTTCAGCCAGGCTTCGGTTTCCGCGGGAGGAATATGAGGTTGGCGCTGCCCTTCTCGTACAAAGATCAGGTTTTCGGGAGGGTCTGAGATGGTGACTCTTCCAAGTTTGATCTTGGAGCTACGGGAGCTGGGTATATCGATAATTTTTCTCTCTTCGTTGGGTTTCGCTTTGGTGGGAGTGATATAGGGTGAAGTGAATGTATCTGATGGGTCGGTGTGGGAATCTGGTGTCTCCGAAAGCCGATGACGATATACGCCCCAGTATCCTTCATCGTTACTTTGTTTGAGTGGAAGTAGTGTTCCCATAGCCGATGGGACGGGTTGACTAGAGGCGAACATGAAGCGGGATTTGGGAACCGTCATTACCTCGCGCCAGACGCCCGCGTCAGCAGGCAAGGAGGCCCAAAAGTCCTTGACAGGGGGTGATTCTTTCCATGATTCGTAGGAAGAGGAGGATAACCAGTATGCAACGAAAGTTGTGGATTTGGGCCCGTGGCGAGGAAGCCCGTGACTTTCGTCTTGGAGGTGGTCGATACGATTGGCGGATGAGGAGAGGAGTTTGTAGAGGGTGGAAATAGATTTTACTTTTTCTGGAGTAAGTTCTTCGTGTTGAACACCGAAGATTCCATAGGTAAAGACATAACCTTTCCCGTCTGTGTCAATTAAGAAGACCATAATGGGCAATGAATAATATGCAGTTGATATTGGTGGATGATGAGCCGACTGCACTTGTCTTTGAGTTTACATATATATATATATTAAGTCCTAGCAATGGAGCAAAGGGAAAGAAGTATTAATGTGAAAGTAATATGAATGGATGTTGGAAACTTTTTATATTGCTTCAATATATATGTTTGCGATATTTGGTTTCAAAATGACTCGCTTTTATTTTCATGTTGCGGATGTGATACCCGCATGATAACGCTGAATCTATGGGGTACTCTCAGATAGGCTTGTTGAAATTATGTACAGAGTAAATTCATAATCGGGTGGAGCACTTGGCTAAAACCTATTATCGTGCTCATTATTTCTTCGTTCATATATATTAGAGCAGAGCAGCCAAATAACGAAAAGAGATAAAAGGCTATAAAGTAGATTACAAGCCAAGCCGTCTTATAATTCAACACCTTATCAAAATTATAATATAGTAATATAATCATCAAAACTAAGATTTTATACTATTTTAATATTTGAAAGATTATACGAGTACTTAGAAGTTCAACTAGAATAATTAAAAATTAGATTTTTAACAAATCTTTGATTTTTAATAGATTTTGTCGTTGCAAGGGTGCACCAACGGACAACTGAAAAACAATTAGTTTCAAATATAGTGCTCACCTGTCACTTTCTTATGGACCATGGAAACTTTCCGCTGCAGATTCCGAATGTACCAGAAAAGTTTCATGTCGATTAGATCTGACTAATCTAGTAGCCTTTCATAGGAAGCCAAACATGACGTCTTGAGGAAATGATATCTCTTACTCCTACAGCTAGAAAGTATTTCATAGACTCATACATTCATGTTCTAGACTGATAAAACCTCCGATATTTACCATTGATCGGAGAATACGTTATCTACAAGATAGGAGCACTATTTTGAGTTTAAAGAACACGATGTTAACCTTATAACAAGACGTTATATAATGGCAATAGCTAGCGTTATATCAGGACGTCATAACATTTTCAAGCGGAATTAGTACCGCGAAAACTCTATTTTAACAGCCACATTAGGATTAGCCCTGGGACCAGAAGTATTAAAACTCCGAACATCTGTTAGGAATTAAGAAGGAAACCTCGAAGATGGAGCAGATGGAGCAGATGGAGCAGTCTGACCAATAAGAACGATTATGTCTTGGTTTCAGTATGTCGCAGATAAGGGTCAAGCCGCTCCCTTATCGGGTGAGCCTAATGAGTGCGGGGGACAGCTAAGACCTTACATAGCATCACAGTCAACTTCGAAAACCTCCCGTCTCCAATCTTGGAAAGCGATATTGCTCTGTACCTGATGTTATCTTTTCAATGATTAGATTGCGGAGTTCCGGAACTGCAAGATGCGGACTTGGAATAATACATAAGAACAGCAAAATGCTCATTGCAGGATTTACTCTGTCCATCATTTCATATCTTACATCCCCCTAACAACTACCTGTCGTTCATCGTTCCAGCAAGACCATGGCTAACCGAACCTCCTCAAAATATCGTGTTGCTGTTACTCAGCATGAGCCAGAATGGTTTGATCTACGGAAGTCGGTGGAAAAGACATGCCGTATTATCACAGAAGCTGCTGAAAATGGTGCGCAGTTAGTTACTTTTGCAGAAGCATTTATTCCAGGCTACCCTGCCTGGATATGGTGAGAAACTCCAGTGTTTAGGTCCAAATTTGTGATGTTAAGTGAACAGCAGGACTCGTCCAGTCGACCCGCTACTCTCTACTACCTACATTAAGAATTCACTAGTCGTCGATTCTGATGAGATGAGAACCATTCAAAACTGTGCGGCTAAGCATGGCATTGTCGTTTCTCTAGGCTTTTCCGAAAATGACAACAACTCGTTGTACATCGCACAAGCTATCATCGATGGCGATGGGTCGATAGTCATGAAAAGAAGGAAACTTAAAGCTACACATATGGAGCGTACAATCTTTGGAGATGCTTCTGGGGACAGTCTTTTGAATGTTGCTTCGACTCGTGTTGGAAAGGTTGGAGCTTTAGCTTGCTGGGAACATTGCCAACCGTTGCTTAAATATCATACTTTGCATCAGCAAGAGCAGATTCACTGCTCAGCCTGGCCACCCATTGTGAACCATACCGGTGGACCTGAGTTATGGTCCATGTCTTTGGAAGGTAAAATAAAGGACAATATCTCAACTGACAGTGTATCGCTAACATACATCCTCTAGGATGCCAGGCCCTTTCCCAAGTCTATGCGATAGAGTCCCAGACCTTTGTTCTTCACGCCACGACTGTCATGACAGAAAAGGGAGTTAAGGCCAATTCTTCAGAAGGGGGATTGCTTATGTCGGCACCTGGTGGAGGTGCTTCAGTCATCATCGGTCCGGATGGTCGGGTCATGTCGTCACCCCTTGAATCCAGAAGTGAAGGAATTGTCTATGGAGATATTGATCTAGATCAAGCCGTATTCGCGCGGAGTTTCTTGGATACCTGTGGACACTACAGTCGGCCTGATCTTTTGTGGCTTGGATGTGATACCCGTGGACGTAAGGTAAGAATTGAAGGCAAGTTGTAAGGAATGGGGAAATACCCTGAGTAAACTCTTTGTTGCAAATCTAGCTTCTATTGTTCTACTTCGGATCATAAAACCAGCATTCATTATTCAGATCCAGTTAAACAATCTCTCCAAACAAAAAAGACAATAGGTAGTAATTACATAGGAATTATTCTGCTCTTAGCTAATTTGATATGGAGTTAAAATAAAACACCAATCTAAGCACATAAAAGTTTCGGCATATTCCATCGAGTTTTGCATCTACATATTTGACACACAAGTTTTAAATACCCCCTCAACTCACTCCTGTATCTAGAGAACGATTTGCACGTATTTATATTTCATATTCATGTGGTAGTATTGCCAATAGATATGCGTCAGCACAATACGACTTTCTATTGCATCTCAATCGCAAGCTCTTTCAAGGGGGTAGGTCGAGGCTAAGGCTAAGCGACTTAGGGATTTCGGGCTGCGAAAATGGAAATGGATGTAATGATCAAATAGTTAATAGTATAGAATAAAAAGCTAACATCTAATATATAGCGTTCCGATGTATCTCCAAACATGGATAAGTTGATAATAGAAAAGTAGGGAAATGAACAACTAGTGCTGTGCTCCGATATCATTTATGGAAAGCAGTGTTCCCAAACTAGCCTATTTATGTGCGCTGTAACCCTTGTCTAATTGCTATATGGCACTGAAAATTCCAGGGGTTTTCGGGTGTTTAGGCTCACGATTTCAGCAAGCCACTAGCCTGTAAATTTAGCGACTAGTCTATCAGTAGCGTGTTAGTCGGTCCACAGCGTCGGGAGCGTGACTTCCTTCTCCATTACGTTGAATTTTATTTGGAAATACATTTCAGCTGTTAGCTGACAGCTCTACCTTCTTCCCTTAGTCAACTCTGACGATTTCATTCCACCATCCCGCCTTAAAGCAGTGCCAAACTCAGCCAGATGTTTCTGATCAATTAACTCCTCTGTGCGACGACGCCTCAAATGAGTAATGACGATCTCGTAGCAGGATAGCTGAGAATACGAATGGCTGGATGATGTTACATGATAATGTAACCAGCTCCCCATTTTGAGGTTGGAACAAGCCGACTGTGATGATGGCTTAAATGGATTATCCCTTACCATTGGTCGTTCGCCAATCTAATACCTTCATCAATCCCGGCGATCATATTCCCCTCGGTTTACGAGATCCCGAATATGTTGTGCACGCTGCAAAGTTCAAGCGACGATGCACTTGGCGATTGCTGCAATATATGCAGATGTTTCTCAATGAAGTAAAATTCACGACACAGATCGCCTTGTCCCGCCACTCCTTGCCAGCTTGATTGGGGAACCAATAATGTTGATGTCATGGCGCCGCTTACCTTCTCTTCATATAAACGATTTTTGCTCTTCTTGTCTTGCTTTTCTTCTTGTCTTTCTTTTTTTTCATGTGTTTCAGTTCTGTCTTCCTTTCGTTCTTTTTACTGGTCAATTGACCATCAATTCCCAAAATCATAATGTCTACCCAAAATCCCACCGAAGCTACACCATTAATCGATCCCGCATCAGAACCCCAATCCGAGATTCTCTATTCCAATGACGAGACCTCAGATTCCAATGCCTCTATCCCAGGCGAGCCTACCACACTCCAGGTGTGGATTCTCATGTTCGGGCCCTTTCTTTCCGCCTTTGTATCATCGGTTGATTCCTCCATGATTGCTACTCTCTCATCCCCCATAACCTCCTCCTTCGGCTCATTATCCCATCTTTCTTGGCTTGCCTCTGCGTATTTTATAGCCAATGCAGCCATCCAACCTTTATCCGGAAAGCTCACCGATATCTATGGCAGGCGAAATGGACTTGTGCTTGCTAATATCGTATTTTCATTGGGAAATTATATGTGCGCAAGCGCGGAATCCGAGTGGATTCTGATCGCGGGTAGGGTGGTAGCCGGACTAGGAGGGGGAGGAATCATGGCAATTACCACTTTTCTCTTATCTGATCTAGTTCCATTGAGAGAAAGAGGTGTATGGCAGGGTGTTGGGAATATGATATCAGGTGTAGGCTCCGGTATTGGAGGTGTTCTTGGAGGGTGGATTAATGATAGTTTTGGTTGGGAAGCTGCATTCTTCTTGCAGATTCCCATTACGCTTCTGGCTACAATATGGATGTGGTTCACGATACGCATCCCTGTTGTAGATGATGGGGAGGGAAAATCAAAACTCAAACGGATTGATTACTTGGGTTCAGTCAGTTTATTCATAACCCTAGTTATGTTACTTCTCGGCATGAGCGCCGGAGGCAATACCGTATCTTGGACCGATCCCATCGTCTTAATCAGTCTCCCCTTATCCTTCATATCCCTCATAGTTTTCATCGTCACGGAACTCAAATACGCCAAAGAGCCCATCATTCCCCTCCCTCTCCTCTGCGACCTATCCGTCGCCGGCGGCTGTCTCACAAATGCCTTCTCCTCCGCGTCGCGCTTCGCAGTAATATTCTACCTACCCCTCTTCCTCGAAGCTCAAGGCTACACGGCAACACAGATTGGTCTCCGTCTAATCCCCGGCTCACTTGGCACTGCCATCGCCTCCATGATGGCCGGCATCATCGTGAAAAGTACTGGAAGATTTTCCAAACTCGGTATCGTCTCTCAACTCATCTACCTGCTAGGCATGGTTTTCATCTGTACATTTACATTACACACATCTGCATGGCCACCTTATGTCTGGTTCTTCGTCATTAACATCGGATATGGCATCACGCTTACCACCACCATCCTGGCGCTATTATCATCGGTGAGAGCAAAGGATCAGGCTGTTATCTTATCCGCACTTTTTGCATTTCGGTCAACGGGAACTGTTTTAGGGATCTCGATTGCAGGACTCACATATCAAAACGTGTTAGGAAAACTACTATGGGAGAAACTTGGAGGAATAGATAATGCAGCAGAACGTATCCAAGAAATCATCGATGATTTCAGGGTGGTGAATAGACTCGAGGAAGGATTGAAGCAACTGGCTTTACAGGCCTATATTGGTGCTGTAAGGGCTGTATTCTTCGTATTGTTGGGCATGGGGTCTTTAGCTCTGGTTTCGACATTGCTGATTCGGGATCGTGAATTGTCTCGTAGAATGGCACGATAATTCTCACGACATACATAGGGGATGGAATCGTTTGATGTGCGGGGTATATATACAGATATCAACATTGCATCGCGGTGTCAGTGGCACCATTATCATTAGTCTGTGCTAGGAGACTCCGGAGTAGATTTCAAAAATTTCAATGTTCACAAGCTTAAAAGTTTATAGATGCATTGAATATTTCGGAATGGATTTGGTCATTTAGTTAACTTCAATGTCTAAATTGGATGGAATAATCAAGTAGTATGTCTTATTATCAATTGCAGTCCAGAGTAACCGAAAACACTATGAGCCACCTTTTAATCCACCCATAAACTCTCTATTAAACATCCAGCTGTATGCGTATGATCTGTGAGTCAATCTTGCATAATAATAAATGAAAATAATGAAACAATACTCATCAAAGCAAAACCAATAGTACCGAGACTCAGAAAGATATATCGATATTACACAACATAAATATGTCAAGGCCCACTATAGTAAGGGTTTGAACAAGCAAATCTAATACGCGAGAATTGAATGACAATTCGCCATTGTCTTGTGTAGTCACATTTTGCTTCTGGCGTTTTGGGGGTCGTTCATCTTCGGGCCCGGACTCCTCATCTGCGACTCGTTCTCCTTCCGTACCTATATTACCTTCCAGGTCTGCTTGTTCTCTGTGTATTTCAGTGGCTCTCGATACTTTTCCGCTGCGCGTCCAGCTCTAGTTAGCATAGTGGGTTGGACATTCACTGATTTTGCTCCATCGTCTATTTCTTTCCCTTTCGCAGCAATTGCGGCAGCATTCTTGCTTGGTCTGACTTTCTTTTTGGGGGCATTTTCTGTCAATACTGGTGACACTTCTTCGCTAATTGATGGCTGGGAGGTGGTTGAAGATGACGGGTGCTCCTTTCGCTCTTTGGGGCACGAGCCTTAATAGTTTTCGTCGTGTCTGATTAGCATGATCATATAAAACTATGATCAGCTAGCAAATTATGGAGTAAAGTAGTTTCTACCTGAGATTTGAAAGAACCAATTTGCGAGAGGGTCTGCTCTGTTTGTATAATTTTGGGAGAACACTGTTATGATGTGAGATAGTGAGAAATCAAGCATCACAAAATACTTGAAAATGTTCAATGAAGCTCACTCACAAACGAAGAGGGCAGAAAATAAGAATTTCAGGGCAGGAAGTAAGGGCTTGGACGATGCATAGAGCGGGGTAACTTCAATTCAGCCTAATAAAGTACTAAGTATGCAGATAGGGTTCATTGGACATCCTTCACAGAGCAGGGCGAGAGAGTGCGGGGTTAGACTAAGTATCCATGCTATGCATATGCACGAAATTCGTCGAAAGGGGGAACATCTGCCGAAAATTGCGGGAGTAAATAGTAAAATGATATGATTACCCTAAAGAAAATTGAAGTACTCCTATCGATTTTATACTAGCCTTCTATTAATAAGTCAAGGAATAATTAGCATGTGATGCTCTCATTACACCATACACATGCACTCCCTCTTATACATGTACCTATGCGATTGTATAATTGATTTTATATCCACAGAAAAGAAACAATAAATGCGATGTACATTGAAAGAGAGTGAACACACATCATGCTGCCGCGCGTTTAAAGAGTAAACATACTTCAAAAATTAGGGCGAAACTCATGCAGTAATATACACCGGCAGAAGATAAAATCAGCTCCCATTGGCTAATGCCAAAGAGTTCACCGTTATACCCAGCGAATTTCGATTCATAGAACTCTTCGCCTCACTCTACTCGCACTGAAGATAGATAATTTATATAAAACAGAGTATATTTAATTTAAAATTTAATAATAAAGTTTTTTCATTATATATTTTATTTCTTGATAGTGTTTTTTTAATTAATTAAAAATATAAATATTTACTTTAAAACAATTTTTTTTAAATTTAGTTGTTAAATTAATTAAAAGGATATTAAAACATTAATTAGAATACACAAAGCTATAACAAGCATGAACTGTCATTTGCATGTAAAGAATGTAAATTGATTTCCTAATTCGGTCACGCTCATGTCATAGATGCACTACATTCTTCATCGAAATATCCAACCACAAACCCAGTTCATCAACAGAACTTGCAGTTAAAGTTACACTTCTCGGCGGAAAAGATGCCACCGGCAAAACCTGCTTATCACACAGAACACAACATCCATATTCATTCACCCACGGACATGGCACGCCCACGAAGCCAGGTAAAGCCTGGTCTCTTTATACAATGCACATTAACTAAACTTTTAGCTAAGCTTCATGCGCCAAAACTACGAATTAGGTAGGCACCGATAAAACATAATCTATCCGAACAACCAAACTCTACTCATACCATGCATGCATTCCCTTATATCACCTACAGTTTCTTCCCAAAATAGCCACCTCCTAACCATATCCCCAGACGCTTCCGCTTATACAATACAATACACCTTTGATTCATCCCTTGTAAGGCGAATCTACATTATCCTAGAGTCTTCCATGATCGTCGAACAATGATCCACAAATCTAGGATATCAAAACGAAACAGAACTACTGCTAAATTTACCGCCTGAGCTTATTCCAGAACTTAAATCAAATGTGTTGCGCAAGAATTGCTTGTGGAAGTGCAAGGTCAAGTACTATTCTCCGTATATCAGCTTTGCATATACAGTATACACCAATCAAAGAATATCTCCATGTACCTGACCTGACACCGATTACTTCTGTAATAAAAAGCAGCAAAGAATAATGATCCTTGATAGCAATTCGCTCGTCATAACGCACGAGTTTTCTTTCCTTTCGAGAACGGTTCGTAAGGCAAGATACCGATGTAAACTTAACATGAAAAAGTACTCTTTCATCTTTCATCCTTTCATGAATATCCTAGAATCACACTCTCAGGGACATAACATCCGCCAACGATGTAGCCTTCGATGAGTCATAACGTGGTGTAACTCAGAATGGTAGGATACCTGCGAAGAGTCTCAGCAGGCATGCATTGAGGCAGCGAATAACAATTGGCAAATTCCGCAAATCTCATATCCGCCAGACAAATAAGAGGAGTAGTGCGGATTTCACTGCTAAGATTTGCAAACAAGTAAATTTTTGAGGAGGGAACCACTTAGTAATGTATGAAATGGCAAAGGTGGAATGAAAGTTTTTGTCCTATTCTGAAGTGCCCACCATGCTACATCCATAGCAACGTTCTAACCGCTTCATTATCATTATACATATTTCCAATGGTCTAAATAGTGATATTCACTGTAAACATATCACATACAACTATTGAGTATCCTCACCATAGGCTCCCTTATTGTGTTGCACACATGCTCGCCCTAGCGACGGCTCCGCTCATAAAATTCTACACGGTCTCAGAAACGCTATAACTATTGTGCAATATTAAGTAGGTATCTTCTATCCATCTGACCGGCCGTTTTTATGCCGCTTATTTTTAAATATATGTACCCTGGGACTCATCTCATACTCGAAGTCATCATCCGGTTCAAGTTGTGCCCCGTCCATCAATAATTGCCTTCGGGTTTCGGGCTCTAGCTCATTAAATCCAAAGGTCAGAGACAGATTACGCATATGAGCGACAAGATCTGAACTTTGCGTAAGTGTAGGAAGAATTGGAAGGGGATCAGTTGTCATGTTAATATGTATTTCATGCTGCTGCCGAGCCTGAAAATGAGGTACCAAGGCTTTCGTACCATCTTCATCTATATGGGCTTCAAAACGATAGAGACCAAACTCATGATAGTTTGGACCCTGGACTGCACCAATAGCCGGGTCTGGATTTATAGTTATATAGTTTTGTAGAACAAAGTGGTTGGAGATCTCAACGCCGGTGTCGAAATCTTGTATACTGTGGTCGTCCGGTGGGGCAGGCTCTGGATGGTGCTTGATCAACCGAGGTCCTCTGAGATGTGAAACACCACGATTTTGCTTTTTAGGTTGGATTCCTGATGGATTCTCAGACTCTTCCAAGTCTGAATCCTCTAGTTCGGGATCATCCTCACTTCGTGTTAATAGATGAACCTTTCCCGTTGCATCACCAATAATAAGTTTAGAAAAGTCTGAGGAGAAAGCTCCGGCGCCTATTCCACCAGAAGCAGCGAGCATCTCACGAACGAGTGCTTTTCCCCGCGGTCTCTGTATATCCCATGCCTTGACTTTACCATCAGAAGCACCTGTATAAAAGCGGTCAGATGTTTTTCCCCAAGCAGCAAATTTAACACCAGTGTCTGCAAGTTCACGAGGAAGGTCATGATAAAGATTGTCGAGTGATTCTTTTGTTCATTAGCATGGTAAACTATACGAAGGTGTAGCAAGTCTCACCTCCATGAGGAAGAACATGAATCGGTTCATCACCGATGGCTCCAGTATCCCAGACATAAGTATTCCCATCGGTGCAGCTTGCGGTTACATAGCACTGGAGAAGGCTGTTGGGCCTAGAACTACATCAGCAGGGGAATCAAAAAATTGAGGTGATTACTTACATAATCGTTAATTCGTTAATATCCATCGCCGGGCAATCAAGAACTCTAATTGGATAAAAAGCGGTGTAATTATCATTGTCGGTTCTTGCTGCAAACAACCTGATTTGCGTTTTTGCTTCGCTCTTGAAAACACCGCAAGGAGATGTAGCAGCAACGAAAGCTGGTTTATTTGGATGCCAAACAACTTCAAACACATTTTGGTTACGCGCAGACGCAATAGGAACCCTTGACCCATCGAGGGCATTCCACAAGCACAACTCTCCACTATTTCTCTTGTCTTCAGGAATGTCAACCTCATCATTGCTAACTGAACGTGGCGAGTAGCCAACGAGTAGTAGATGTGAGACACTTTCTGCTTTTCCCCATTGGATGGTCGCAGGATAGTATGCCCACACATCTCTACTGCGTAATTCCTGTGCTTGTTCGGCGGCTTTCTCGCCATTGTAGGTATCAAATGCTGATCCACCCAAATTGCTTTCATTAAGGCGATAGACACGGACGGCGTTGTTATAAACATCAGAAGCTGTAGCCACAAGACTATGATGCTCCGAGGTTGTCACGAAGTTGACCTTTCCTTCATGTTGCCAGGTCCCAAGAATATCCATTGAAGATCCAGTATCAGACGGCGACACCCTCCACACCTTCACCGTCCTATCAAAGCTTGCGGTGAAAGTGAGACCGCTATTTTGACTATGAGAAATTGCTGAGATGGATGTATAAAGCCAAGGATCTTGGGTTTGCCTCATAGAGTCAAGAGCATTCTCAGCATTCTCACTCGCATTCACAATTGGACGTACAACCCGGTGATCTGGTACTGCATCCAAAGACTCCTTGGAGACAGAACCAGCGACGAGATTACCGGGCTTGTTATATTGCATGTTATGGTTATCAGAATGTGCAGTAGCACCACATACAAAGGCATCATCATTTGTCCAACTGATAGCCCATATGTCACCGCAACAATCTGTCCATTCGACTTTTCGTTGTAATGAGTCCTCAAGCGCAGAGTTGATCTCTCGTGTGTATGATCTCTGACCACCGCATAATCGAACGGAGGCCATACCATGCATTTCACGTTGTCTTAAAAGTGCAGAAAACTGTCTCGGAGAGCGTTTTGGGCCTACCATAAGTGTTCTAGCACTCACCGATATTTCACCAGCAGCAGCATCTTTGAGGAAAGCAGTTAATGATTCTGGCCCACGACTATGAACAAGGTCCTCACTAAGATCTTCACAGTGCGCCTCACGATGTGACATCACCAACGAGACCAGTTCAGGCACTTGTAGCTTTTGCTTTTGCATGAGAAGTCTAATAGTTTGATTTCCTTTTTTTTGTGATTTTGTTTGCAGAACCTGGCGGACGATCGATAGCTCTTCCTCACAAAAGTCAATGTGATAGATATGCCCGAGAAGCATATCCCGTTCTCGATCGGAGACACTTAAAAGACCACGGCGGATTCTCTCTCGGCTTCTAGCGTCGATGTATGGTCGCAATTGTCCATGTATGGTTTGGCCAAGAACAGTCGTACTACGAGAAGACGTGTTGTCAATTAGATCCAGGTCTGGGTCAACGTGCATAGCATCGCCGCTAGTGTGCTGTAAGTCATCGAATTCACCATCTTCCCCCTCCTTAGGAGGGGCGTCATGTCGTGGGGACTGAGTATCTGTCGAGGAAACACTTAAAACATCTGCTTGAATATGTTGAGTTTGAGATCGCGTGCCTCTTCTTGGAGGAATACTGCTTGTTTTCTTTGTTTTTAGTTTATTCTTGCGAGGGCCAGGAGCGCCTGCAACTTCGGTGCCAAAAGACGTAGCTGGGGCTAGGCTGTATGCAACAAAATCGTCTACGTAGTGCCTGACTTTCTGTGATATCATGATCTCGTCCTCGCGCGAGACTTCATAACGATTGAAGCTTTCGAACATAGGGCTCTCAACTAGTACGCCAGCAACCGAGCTACCAATCTCCTGGAGCTTCGATGGTTTTATTGTTTGTTTATGACGAACCATCGCCGTATTCATGTGCATATAGACTTGGTTATAGATGTTCTCGGAAAAGATTCTAGCCTTGTCTTGAGATGATATAGGAGAGGTAGACTGGATGGCTGGAGAGTTTGATACCACGCTAAGGCTCGAGCTGGTTCGTTTAGGATGTAGAGTAGCTGAAAACGAGCCTCCTCGAGAAGCTACGAATTCTTCATTATCCTGAGCATGTCCACTAAGGTGCTGGGTAAAATCCTGCTCCGTCAAGCCTCTCGTCGACCGTCTTGTTTTCGGGCCATCTTCGATCGTGGGACGCAGCTCTAAAGGAGAGCCTTCGTTCATAGATTCTTCATTTTCTTGGGCTCGTCCATTCAAATGCTGGGCGGAATGCTGTCCATCCGTTCTCCTCATTGTCCGCCGCTTTGTGGTTTCACTGCCGATTTTGGACTGTAGCTCCTGAGGAGAGCTGGCGTCTATCATGTCGCTCGACGTTCGTCTTCTCTTCGAAGCACTCTCGGCCGCAGAGTGCGACCTCCAGTGAGGCCGTGGACTGGCATCTTTGTTTCCTTCCCGACTTCGTCTTTTCAACGCAGATGTATTAGGGAATAGTGCCACTTCTCTAGTCGCGACAGTAGCACGTGGTAATATTGGTGCATAATTGAATCTATTTTGGGTAGGCATCGCAGCTCGTTTTGATTGCGAGTTTCCTGGTAGGATTGGCGCAAAGTGATTGTCATGATATGAATTTATATATGTTTGAGGATTCCTTGCGAAAGGCGCTGGAAATGTCCCAGGAATTGTCAAACCATGATTCGACGGCGGCAGGAAAGGTCCACTATCAATCTCGTCGTCGTCTTCTTGTGTCAGATCAATCACCTCTTCGGATTGGTTCTCACTAATAGTTCGTAAGTCGCGTGTGCGAAGTGGAAAGGGAAGTAACTCACGGGTGTCGCGTCATGGGAGCCGGGGCCATGATCAAGTAAGAATCGAAACGCAGTGCAAGCGAGGAAAACAAGGTCCCATAATAAGTACAAGCAACGAAAACACACGAAAGAAATGGAGATCTAGAGTTGACGTCGAGTCCAAAGAGTGTTTGTAGAATGTTTACATAGTATGACAAGGCTAATGATATTAACTACAGTAATGTACGGGGTCGGTACCTTATCGTTATCGAGGAAACTGCGACGGATAAATGAAACTCCGGTGCTGGTAACGCATGCAAGGCTGAGACTTGGTCAATTTTCGCTACTTTATGATATTTTATGATCATTATTTAAAACTGTCAATCTAATAACATTCCAATGGCATTCTATGTTTGCTACAATTCTATCATGTGGTTCATGCAATGATCTATAAGTCATCACGTACTCATGTCTCATGAATTTTGAGCTTCCTGGCCTTATTTCCACGGAACACAAGCTCATTGCCAGAGATGGACAGAATAAAACAATCACAACCTAATATCCTCTTTTGCAGATGCGCCTGCAATCACAAATAGCATCTTTTAACTTGGAGATATATAGGCCATGTGTAGGTATATCATCGAGAGTCGAAACATTATAACCTCACAAAAACATCATAGCATTGCTTCACCAATTGGATCCTTTTAGTTCGAGACTGATGGTTGCAGAATCTGGCCATCCGAATGCTATTTTGCATTTACACTCATGCAGTAAATCCTCGTAGCTGGTGAGTTTTCTCTAGAGTACAAAAATCAATGGCGTGTCCAACTGTCGTTGTTCTTGTGTATGGAATTATGTTCTTTAAGCTGGAACCTCAACCTCCTTGCTGATATCTAACTCTTCATGTCTTCGGAGATCCATAGGTTTGCCGAGGAGTGGAACGACGTATGGGTCGAAGGTCTTCCAGTATGGGTTCTCGAGGTGATATTTTTGGCTCTGCATTGGTGACAAGCTTCAATTAGTATCATTCTGGTAGGGGATATAGCATGTGGGACATGAAGTGCACATACACTTTCTTGCTCGAATCGCTCTACAATGGTGAATGCTCTAGGATCATGTACATCTTGCATAACAATCCAATCGACAGTTTCCTTGTCCTGCTTGTAAACTCGGGACGCTTCAATGAGCTTGGCCTTGATGCGAGGTATGGATTCTGGATCCTCATTTGCGTAGAGGTGAACAGTTAAGGTGTAAACCATTTTGAAGTAGTTGTTGTTTCTTTTCAGGAGTTGTTTTCAGAGGATGGATGATATTGAGGAAAGAGAAGTTTTGGAGGGGCAGCATTGGTAGTGGGCTTGCAGCTTAAATGTGGAACTAAAAAGGAAGGGCCGATGAAATGGCAGACACTCATGTGACACATCTTGATTATTTATGTATTTAATCAGTACCCACTAGCATCCTTATAACTTAATATGATCTCAATCCCCAGAATCAGAACAATGACACTATTTTGAGTTGTGAAGTTTGCACACCCCGCACTGTGTCACAGCCTGCCGGGGTAATATCATCGTCACATGACTTGTGATTAGTAATCACAACCGTCATAGGCAAGTGCATTGTAGAAGTTAGTTTTAATTGGAATTATCATACTCTTTTGCTGCAACAGATATCCCGGATGTACCTCTAGCATGTACTTCTAACATACCTCGAAGCTTGTGTGAACCACATAGAAACACTGCAACAGACTCATTAGCTCCAATATGTCACAAGCACCAGAACTTCCTGGATACTATTATGGTAACTGCATCGAACATTCTGACATTGATCGGCCTTTGACTTACAGAAAATACCCTAGATAGTGAGAAGAAAAAGTATTTCAAAATACAGGCAAATGCACCATCAAGCTCCGCATACTCCTCCCAAGATGTCAAGAGACGCAAGATTGACGACGAGGATAACAAAGCCCAATCCTTGAAAGTTCAACGGAATGTTGGCCGTATCAAAAGAGCAAGGATTCTTGAAGCCCCTATTTCTGGTGGCTTTTTATCCAGAGAATTCGGACAGCCTTGCTTGAACACTGTTGTCGCCTCCTCTTATGCTCAGAATCTCATCAAAACAGGTGACACCGATCACTGGGGAACTCCAAATGATTCACAACTTTTTGCCGTGATACCCAAAGGCTCCAGTCCTTTCCTTTACTTTTCTATGGGTACGTTAAAGTACTATTCATTGCCCCAATTCGAATTTGACAATCAAATGATCTTTCAGGCTTGAATGCTTCTTCAAAATTCCAATTCAGATTTGGCAATCAATTGATTCTTTAGGTTTGCCTAGATGACCGTGGATGCTAAGGATCTTATCTTATTGTGTCATTGATTTTTTCCACCCCTTAGAGCTATTTATTCTACTTTCTTCATGATCTACTACTGACCATTGCTAAGTTATCAGTAATAATATCAGGCACCTATCATTCGACTGCAGAATGAAAACAAGCGAAGAACGAGTGACAAATGTATTCGAAAGTAATGCCAGAGTCGGGAGATATGTTCCAATTTTCCCTCCCCCTCGCTCGTATGCTGCTGCGCCACGACTCACTTCCAGTAAGTATATTTATTTAACCGCCAAGACTTCTTGATTTTTGCAGCTTATATTCAAACTCTCTCTGTACCTTCATCGAGCTCGTGCTAACCGACTTTCAGTCAGTGCCAACAAGACGATTGGATACCTTGCAACGACATGGTTAAACGCACCTACAGATAGGAGCATCATAATTAGTCCTTGTCCTTTGACCCCTGACAATATATGTAAGCCGTTTAGAACTTGTTTGTGCGAAGTAAATTCGATGGCAACTTTATGCATGATACGATTTCCTCTGCTCTACCAGACTTCTGTTGATGCTAATATAAATTGCATGTGAATATAGCTAACATGGTTTAAGATGATCTTCCTGTAAGAGCCGACATACATATCGGTCCAGGGACCACGCGAGGTAATGTGGATATACTTTCCTCGACTTCAGCACCACCAGGTTCACAAGATGCATTTGCCATGTAAGTTAATTTTTCCCTTTCTCATTCCAGCCTTAGGCATACTTCAGACAAGTCACAGAAATTTGTACACTCAGGCGTCTATGCCGTATCTAATCCTCACAAAACCAGCGGTGCGAGCAAAGGCATTCTTCGAATCGACAAAAATCTCGACATGTCCTGGATTCGAAGCACCCCTACAGAAAAACCCCACCACAGTCAACCTAGAGATGTATTTGCACTGCAATATTGTCCAAACCACAAGGATATTCTCCTGGCTGGTGAACGACGCGGGATCCTCAGCATTCTAGATCTCCGAACCCCTCAATTTGGGCCCCCGGCAGAAAAGATCCAACACACAAGCTGTATCACGCACATCAAATCACTGGATACTCATCGCGTGCTCGTCGCAGGCTGCGCATCCGATCTCCATCAATACGACAGACGATTCACCAAACCGAACACCCAACATACACCAAGAACCAACACTCCAAACACCACCTCCCCCACAACACCCTATCTAACCTACCCAGAATACCGCAACAAAGGCCGTATAGACATCGGAATAGACGTAGACCTCGAACTCGGCCTCGTTGCCGCAGCAGCAGCAGACAAAGAACCAAGAATCAAGCTCTTTTCCCTACACGGAGGACAAGTGCTAGGTGATGTTAATATTCCCGTCATCCGAGATCTGAATTGTTTCAAATTTGTTCAGGATACGGAGAATGGGCCTAAAAGTATCTGGGCGGCGTGTTCAGATAAAGTTGTGAGATTCTCCTTTGAGGGGGAATATACATAATCAATCCAATTGACTTTCTGGGAACCTTTGCGGCTTCCACCGACTTATACCCAACACTCTAGGACGACATTTATTGTCCGTTGATTGTTTGTTCACCCATTTATCCATTATAATAGGAACAGCACGAAGAGTAGAAATAAAAAATTACTCGCCCATATCGAGCGTAGAATTCAGATTGCACGGACAAATGGCAGACATGAGAGAGATTATGGCAATTTTGTAATCTCATCGTTTCCGAAACATTGCTGTTGCGCTTTTATTTCCATGCAAAAGCATAACTTTTGTACAAATTCTCACTGCCCCATACATGACACTCCATCGTGCCTTGCATCCATAATTACTTTTAATATTCCACTGCCGTCGCTGTTTCTTCTGTCTTTCATATCCATGCAGACATCCGTCCTTACAATGCAATCAACCAAACCACCACCAACGCCTGCTGTAGCCATCATACAAAACCCTGAAATTATTCAAGTTTCAAGATTCCTCCTGTTCCTACTCCTGTCCTATTTCCACTTTTACATATGCACAAGAAAGTCGAATCCAAAATAGATTGACATAACACGCTTCCAACACGCTTCCAACGCGCGAACCCCCAGTAAAATAATGGATAAATTTGAAATTCCAAGCAAACCAAAATCGGAGGGCATTGCATCCGTGGTACACCCACCCTGTCCAGTTTTGCATATACTATCAATATTCACGTCTATTGAAGACGCTTTCGCTTGCGGTCTTCTTCCCGAAGCATATCCTCCTCGTGTTCCTCTGCGCTTTCTGCCGTTTCTGCTGGATTTAAAATATGTGCCATGCTTCCTCGTCGGGTAGGAGGTCCAGAGCTGTCTCTAAAGATATTTGATAACCCTTTGTCCCTGGGTCCGCTCCACGACCAGTTGTTGAGATTTTCTGTTGCATTGCCGTTTGTATACGAAGGAGGGGTGGCTGGGCGGGACATGCTATGTCCATGCGTTGCCCCAGAGAGTGAATACATGCTGAAACTATCACGGATTCGCTGGTCCTCACTGGCCATGTGTGCTGCTGTTCTTTTGGGAGATGATGGATATTGTGATGATGATTGGCCGGACGCATAGGGAGAGGAACTGGGTTGCCATCCTCCTACATTACGAATATCAGCAGAAGTGTGGCGGCGTGACATATTTGGTGGTGATGATGAGTTAGCGAGTGGGTGGGGCGCGGGCGCGGGTTGTGGTGCCTGGGGTCTGAGTGAACTTGGCGACGATTGTCCTGTAGCTGCGCCTCCAATCGAACCGTATCCTCTACGAGCAGCGAGAGACAGATGAGATGGAATGGGAGGACGATGGAAATTCTGGCGAGGGGGAACTCCAAGAAATGATGAACGACGAGGTTCATCTTGGGGCATTTGTCGAGGTGATGGAGGATTATCCAACGTCAAGTTTGAGAAATATGGACGGCTACTTGAGAGAGGGGGCTCGTTTGGATCTTCCATGCATCTGGTGATGGTTTCCATGTGTCTTTGGATTTCCCCTTGTATAGCGACAACTATAATTTGTCAACAACCTAGATAGGGGCTTAGTAATTGCAGGGTACATACCATCACGATGAAGACCTGATTCTGGACTAGCTAAAGAGAGCATCATTCTGGACATTTCGAGATTCAACTACGCAAAATTAGTCACCGCCCATTCGGGTTTTAATGATGGAAGAGGTACCTGGAGGACACGAGCTAAAGTGTCCATCAAAACCTGGTGTCTAACGTGGAAAAAATGTTGACTCTCGGCATCTCTCGTGTTTTTAGCATGCATCTCAAATAGACCATGTTCCAAGTATGTTAATCTAGACTCTGTTGACTCCTGGATTGGTAGTATTGATTCGCCCGGAGTCCCAGGTTGCGAATGCGGTGGTTTTGGCGCAGAGTATGAATCTCGGTGAACGAGAGATTGTCGAGAAGCCCTTCGTCTGATTTCTCTTAAACCGACCACATCGCCGCGTTTGAAGCTGTTTTGCCCGTGCTTGAACTCCCAGAGCGGAGTCTCTGGCGCATTCTGGTGAAAGACGTCACTGACTGCATTGCTGTTAGCGATGATGACCAATATGCAAAATTGCAATAGTACTAACCTTTGTGAAATCCGTACATGTTCAATTGTCGTACAAATGAAGATATATTTGTATGTTTGAAGTATTGTCTACAACCTATGAGAAAAAGATGCCAATCGGGATGTTTTAACTTACGACAGGACTTTTGAGAAATCGCTAGAGGGAGACATTACAAAGCTGTCCTGGCTAGCCGACCAAGATATCAGATGTCGAATGTTGACATCTTCCAACATACTGGCATGCAATCAGTAAAAGAAATACTATGAACAGATTCTCATCAGCTCCAACCTGTATAATTTATGAATGAATGCAGTTTGCACCACTTTGGGTTGGATTCCTCCTCCAGCTGCAGCCGCGGCAGCTGCATTCGGCGTTGCCAAACTGCCCGAGCTTGGTTGATCTTCCCTCATATGATCGTGTGTGCCGTTTGCTTCGCTATCAGGACTTGTCCTTGAAGGAGGTCCCATCATCGCCGTACCAGGTGTAACGTCCATTGCGTCGCCAGATGGAGCAGAAGTTTGGATGGTAGGTTGTTGAATAATTGGGACTGTTCGAGCTGGATTTTGGGCTAGACTGGGCCCATTGATGTAAGAGTGCTGCTGCGCTCGATCATCCATAATGTCCATCTTCGCGCTACCTGGGTACTCAATGTATCTCGATCTTTTGTGCAATGTATAAGAATCAAGCTTCTAAGTTGGACTTGGTTAGACGCAGAAATCGAAGGCGGCGCAGATAAAAAGCGAAAGGGGTAAAACACACCTCATCGCATGCGAAAGTTGGTAGAGCTGTGAATTGCTAGAAATCCGGATGATGATACTCAGAATGCCTTCTTTGTCCGATGCTACTTGCTATCCTGCAACTTCCCGAGACACTTCAGCCTCGCTGCACACTTAAGATGTAGTAGATAATAGGAGAAATGATATGCGATAATATGCGAATCGTTATCGAAAAGATCTTGAGTAGCGATGATGATTATTAAAGATGTTGTCGAATTGATGTTAGAGATTTGACGTGTGAACGATCTCGTCTGGCGAGGTATCAGGAAGATCCGGTATGTATAGACTCTAGAGTGACGATTACAGATAACGATATCCGAAGGTCAGTGTGAAGTGAAGGGGCTTCTACCTCAATTAATTATTCGAGCTCTGATTTCAATTGAAGGATGGTTTGAGTGATGATGGTAAAGTAAGAAACATAGCATATAAAAAATAAAATACTACATACATAGAGAGAGAGAGAGAGAGAGAGATACTGTACAGAAATACCTAGATGAGATATTGGTCGGTAGAGTATGGTTGGTAGGTACGGTACGGTAATGGTACGGTACTTTCTTTGGCAAGTGAGTTAAATGTCAAATGTTCATATCGATCTGATTGATGGATGGCAAAGAACATTGAATGATGTTTAACTAGGATGAGCTATTCCGGATATGATTCGAAGCCCCGCTATGAATAAAAAAAACTAAAAACTTCCCGATATCGCCCTGGGTCATTCTGGGTATTAGATTTGGCAGAGATGACAGAAGCTAGTCATTTTCTAGTAATAAATCTCACATTATTCCGACAATTCGTATGGAGTAAATGAAAAGTAAAAAGGGGGGAAGAATCTCGGTCAAAAGATTCAAATCTTCCATATTTGAAAATTAAAGAGAGTGGAAGTGTAGGTATGTATGTATGTATGTATGTATGTATGTGCTCCGTATGTATACCTACTCCATCCGTATCCTCATTATGCTCATTAGTATGCAGTATGTAAGTATTATGTGTTGGTACAGTCTTCACCGTCAAATGTCAATGTGCAAGATACGTGGTTACGAGTCGCCGGTATTCTCTCTCATCGGATCGATCTGACATTCTATCTAAACATGCAAAGAATTTTCTTTCATTCTAGAAGCATTTGAATACAGTAGAATACTACGGTAGAAGCAGGACGGAAGAATGAGGATGCGGCGGTTAGTAGCAAAAGGCTAACGTTAACAGCACAGATGAAATAAGGGGGCGGCTGTTATTCCTGGCATGGATCATATTCTTGACAAGGAATTGGTTGGTGCCGGTATCCATAGAAAAGAATGGAGATTCCTTACCACACCTACTCTAGTTTTCCCGTAAGGACTCAGGAGTTGCGTGAGTAGCGTGAGTATGACTGCTGACCCATGGCTAAAGAAAAATAGGGGGATCTAATCCTTCAGTTTTCTGACCCCCAAACATACCGAGTACCTCGATCTTATTAGTACGAATGTACTGCAGTTGTCGTGCTGAGTGTGTGTGTTCCTACCACATATATATACTATATACATACACACACACATATATATATACATCATAATATACATCAACAATAAATTACTGCATGTAATATGAATAGATTAACCTTTCAGATCCGTTCGTCCTACACTCCAATCCCGAGTAGCGCATTGGTCATGAAACAGCTTGGGCACCACAAGCACGGTCATAGTAATGATTCCTGGAGACGAGGGTAGATGTGTGATAAAATTATGCCTCATCTGTAGTGACATTCAATGAACCTTATTTTTTTTAGCAAAAAAATAGAAAGAAAAAGACAAAAAATAGCTGGCAATTGTACTGACTGATAGATCTGAAAGCCTGATAGACTCCGGACCAACAATCTCATATTGCAGTGGACGCTGCAACTAGAACAAATTGAATTTCATTCGAGGTATCAACTTGGTTGCATGCGTGAAACGATATAGCTAGCTCATACATGCTGTGCTAAAACTTCTGCAGGTCCAGATAAAGACTCCGAAAGAGATCTATACCTATGAGAATACAATCTAATATACTGTAGCGTATGAGCCAACACATGCAAGCCTTGACTTCTCAGTCATAGAATTTTAAGAATATAGTATATTCTTCGGGAATACCAGAAGCCGTATTCAAGCTTCGATCAATACCTAGTGTAACATCTTTCTGATGTTGCAATAATATGTTGAGGATAATTCCCCCCGTCATCTAATCACCCATAAGGAGTTATTCGATTCTGCTGTTCTCGTTGGCTGTTTGATTTGATTCAGCTGCTTCCTGATATTATCAGTACTTCACATTTACGAAACCTGGCCAACTGGTCCTGGAAGCCTGTGATAATCTGTTTTCACTTGAACGAGAGCCCTGTCTTGTGTGCCAAGCACGGGTTGAAAGACATAATTGGCGTGATGTAGGTTGAAGTGTCAAAACCTCAAGAACATCCATCTACAAGAAGGTTCCGCCTGTGGCTTAAGATTAAGAAGGCTCAATCTGGAGGGGATTAATGTCAGCTGTAACAGGTACTTCAATAACGTATCCTCGATGTCAAAAAACCAACGCGAAGTTGCAGTATAATGGACTGGGATGCATCCAACCTAAAAGTCGGAGCGGAAGGAAAAGTTGTAGACATTCACGAAAACTGATCTCGGAATTGGTCGTGGCTTGTCGAGGGTACTAGTGTGGATGATCACGTGCCTTGGGTGGATGCACCTTCCTTCCCAGCACTGATCATGATCGACTTGGAAGTTCCATCATATTCACTTCTTCCTTTGATATTGATCTAAGATTAACATCCATCTAGTACCTAACCTAACTTTTTCAAAAACTGTAAGTCTAACATAACAACAACATATCACTCCAGTGGTGAGCAAAGTTGTATTATTACTTTTGAGTTGAATACACACCTCTTGTTATTAAACGATCATTAACAACATTGCTTTGGAATCTTTAAAATGGCAGCAGACTGTCTAAGTCAGATCCTTGAGGACATGAGACTCGAGGACGGCAGGCCGGATTACCAGTTGCGCAGGTTAGCGTAAGTCGAGCATTTCCTACCACCTCATGACACTCCATAGCTGGGAATGGCAGCACTTCAGATTCGTGATAGGGATAATATCTAAATCTACGTAGGATTCAACATCTACTCAGTAGTCCAACCTTGACATTCGGAGAAAAGCGCATATTCAACGACCATTTCAAAGGTATCGACTTTGTCCATGACATCATCGCCGAATTGCCAGTCGAGCTTCTTGCGCTCTTGGTAGAATATGTTGACCCCGAAGACTTTATGTCTATGCGTTCTGTTAACAGGGTCTGGAGAGCAAAATTATCCAATGAAAAGGTTTCCATGTCGATACTCCGGGTACACTTTCGTAGAACTTGGGAGGACCTTAAGTTACTTGGTGAAAAAGACAAGAAGTTAAGGCTTGATAGTTTTCCTCGGTTTTGTACGAGACGCCTTAAGAGATATCATCGCAAGTATCACCAAGTGTCGATTCTCCCAAGGCCACATGTTTTTAGTAATATTTCACACCAACACCGTCTACGTGGAAATAAAGGATTATTCCAGTATTGCAATGGAAGGGTGGCAATGATGATGGACTACGCTGACACCACCGCCATCCAAGTGGATAGTCTCTGGACATTTGCTGAAACTTACTACATGCATGAACAACGATGCAGTCCCGACCATTGGTTGCTCTCAAATCAAACCCTTGTAGCCTACTTTGATCATCCGTAAGTTACTTAGCCCCCTCAATAGCCGTGTTCGAACCATTTTCGAGACTTTAGCATCTACTTAGGCAGATATTGAGAGGATATACTGAAGTTTACGTGGACAGAAAGCCACATCTCAACATATGGTCACTCAATGAAAAATCTGACCCGGATGTCATTCGACTAGAGTGCCGCTACTCAATATTGGCCGCTCACAACAGACAGGTCGCGTTCTTGGCCGTCAAGCGCTTTAGTGTAGCGAGCGGCATTATCCACATCTGGAATGATGGTCGCATTCAAAAGCTTGCTGAGCCAAAGTTCGTGGACATATGCGCCCCTTGCGAAGCTCGTATAAGTGGCTTCGTCTTCCATCCCACTGAAGAAAACCATCAGTTCGTGTTTTATCAGCTTTTCTCTTCAAACTTGGGTTCTTTGGACTCGGACAGGACTGGTAAAGTGATTGTGCAAGAATACATCGCAGGAGTTCCACACAAAACATGGCGTCGGAATGTTCCTGGATCGCTCATTACGCAAGCGCTCAGAGTGGAGTCCATTGACGATGACGGCCTCGTTGCAATTCTACCAATTCCGCATGCCGAGGGAGACGGTTCAATTCTACACATTGAGCGCAATGAAAATACACTTGATTTTCCCCAACCTCTACCCTGTTGTAAACACGGTATATCATCGGCCACAGCGAGTGGACTTCCAAACTACTCGTTCGTAGCCTTCAATGTCTTTACCCAAAAATTTCAAGAAATCTCGAACCACCTCAAGGCTATCCCAGTGGATCCCTGCTGTGATAAGCCATTATTGTGGAGGGGTCAGAGCATTGTCCTATGTGGCAAGGGAGGTTTTGAGTCGATACTGAGTACACCTGATGACAAACCACTAAAAGCCCTGATATCCGCTAGTGTCTGTGATGAGAAGAGAAAGTCCAAGTGCGTGGGAGATCATGGTCTGCGTGATAATGTTAAAGCTGCTGCAACCTTCTGTTTCCTCATCGAAACACCATTGCAAACGCAGTCAGCAACTATATGGGGTGATGATAACTTTATAGTGTGTGGCTTTGACAGAGGATATATCGTATGGTCGTTTTGAAACAATAGCATTACCGAAGAGTTGAATCTTTGGTAGGTTTACGGATAGATGAAAAAGAAGTATGATTACAAAAATATATTATAATTATTTACTGCGTCTCCTGAATGTCTGATTTTAAACTTTGATGATGAAATTGTTCTACCTGGCCTGATTTTTACCTCATAGCACTCTATAGTTTTTGATTCGGTAATTGTAATTCATGAGTATAAGTATAAACACAATGTTCGATAATGAAATATAGTTTCTCCAAATTGAAGATCATTACGAGCTAGCTGGCGGACTAATTTTATAATTTTATTTTGTTTATTCCTTTTTTATCTATTATATTCTGTTTTATCCAAGTTCATACTCAAGTTTAAGTTCAAGTTCAGATTCCGAGTTTGGAGGTTAAGGGCTCGACATCGGAGAGAGGAAAAAGAAGGAAAGGGAATGGAAGGACAAAAGGTCTCTGATTATGTTGAGTTGGTTGGTTTGAGTGGATGGGGGTGGAGTGGGTTGGCTAGTTCTATGGTATCTTAATTCATTCTATTTTATTTCATTTTTGAGTCTGAGATTAATTTGGAATAATAGTTGATGTTGATATTGACAGTAGGAAGTTGATGGTTGTAGAACAATATGATCGGATCAATCCAAATGTGTTTCTTTTGATATTTTCGAAATAATAATATTAATAAAACCGTATAAGCTTCTAGACGGAAGAATAGAGTGCGGGACAGGTGGTATATAAATTTGCCTTCTAATTATACTCATTCTACTATTCATTCTTTCTACTCTTTGTTCTTCTCGTGCTCATCATACTCATACTCATAATCTAATATCTGTTTCTCTTCATTCCACCCAAAAATTCCCGCCCTCATCCCCATCCTCACCCTTCTTTTCTAATCTTACAATACAATACATAACCCATCATTCACGCCCTCGCCTTCGCCGTCTTTCAACTCCTACCAAATCCACAACACTCTCCTCCAAGTCCCAATAGCTAAACCTCAACCGCAAAACATCTACCGCCCTCCTATTATCACATCAAATTCTTTCTTGATGTCTATTACATTGAAGTTGAACTTTGACCTGCGTAGCAGACTTCCTTTAGTACAGTATCTTATTTGGCCAACGATCTCTCTCAACCTAAATTCACATGTACTCCATCCATATCAAAAAAGACATAAATTAACATACCAGAGTAGTAGTATGTACCACAGCCTCTAATTAATCCGTCATCACAGCTCTCAACACATTCATCGAAAGAATTTCCTTCGGCAATATCTTCTGTAATGGAAATGTCTAATTTGGAAGAGGGAACATTTCTGGGTGAGCGACTTTGATAGCGTGATATTGTATTGCGAGCAGACGATTGTGATTTGATGACTGCATTCCCACGAGAAAGGAGTATATCGAGCACATGAACAGCAATAAAGCCGAATCCATCTGAAGGAATAGTGTTAGTTATCGGAGTCTAGGAAGAAGAGGGTAGAGACCAGAGATGGCAAGTGCAGTAAGGGAAGATGGATGAATTGGAAGGTATTAAACAAAATTCCAACTCGAACGAAAAGCCAAAGCAAGTTTTCGAATAAGCATCCAATAGTTATTCCCGAAAACAAAATGCAAAATCTAAATAATCCATCAGTACAAGAACCCGTCGATAAACTAAGTCTTAAATAGCATTCGATCCCATCCTAACCCATTTTTATGATTAAAACCCCCAAATAAGATCTTACCAACCGGCGTACATCTACGTACACAGTACTTATTTACTTACCTGCTTACCAACGCAGCATATGCATTTACTTGATAAATAAAAGATAGTGAGTGGGTCTGAGGATTCGACGATGCTGGACTAACTCTACACGCTTTTTAATGCAATCAATTTTGCTGTTGTAATTCATGGGTTTGCAATAAGGAGCAAAGGGCTCTCAAGTATATGTACGATGCAATCAAGAGTGAGGAAATATGACTTTAAGAATCCAACGTGGTGTGTTCCGTAGACATTATCAGAGTACTCAAGTATTCGTTTCGCTTCCCTCCCTTATATCAGAATGTATAGATGCACAAATTTATTCTTAAGATTACAAGCGCATATCATATCAAATCAAACAATACCATAACACCACATGAGGATATTCTTTAAAAAAATTCATAGAGAGACTTTATCTATCTAGATTCCATCCATCCATCCATCCATTCGATCTCATCTCAATCCATTATTTGTACAGATGTAATTTGACATGCTATCTACTATACCCACTTAAATGAGCCATCGAGAAGAAATCCCGGGTGAGAAAAGAGGAGTTTGTGCAAGGAAATTGTAATATGGTATCTAAGGTTTGAAACTCTTGAAATGTATGAGTTGCTACCATGGCCGTATCCTCAACGCCAGCGCTCGAAAAATCAGAGGCATTACTAACGAGAATGAAATCGAAAAAAAAGGCAAAATCTTACATCATCAATCTCCAACACTCCACCGTATCATTTTTTTGTACCCCTGCAAGACCCGTAAGTCCGTAAGGATTTATTACTGTTGAAAAGCATGTCCTGACTTGCCTCTCCCAATGGTTTTGAAACTGCCACCTGATTCAATGATATCGAAACGGCTTATGCCCATAGCTTCGAGATCCGTCATTCCTGAGAAATAGAACCCAACGATGACGACTAAGTAGCTAAGTAGAAGGATAGAGCCTTTAAAGTAGTTACTCTTTCCTTCACCGTACATATAGCTAAGTAAGAACACACAAAGAATGACCGTCACCATATCCCACTGGGGGAATATGAGGCTGAACGACTTGTCGACGAGATCAGAGCCTTCTAACCATTGTCCATTGATGGCACTAAACAAAACGAGAGCTGGAATTTGAAGTAGACACACTTGGAGTGCGTAAGCAGATCCTATCTCCATAGATAATGCGATGTTGCCATTCATTGCGAATGAAATGGCATTCTACGAAATTGTGTTAGTCTTTTTTTGTACGTGATCGGGAGGGAAAGGGCTTACAAGAAACTCGGTGGTATTCGGAACAAGTGCGAATAATGTGATACCGAGGAACTTTTCATCAATGGCTACGTTTGAAAGAACTACGTCGACCGTGTTGACTAAAATCTCTGCAATGAGCGCGTAAAGAATAGTGGCACCACACAGAATCACCGAACTTTTCATCCGGCTCCAATTTGGCGCATCATGCCCACCACTTGAGGCATGACCCTCAGCGTGAGCAGCCTCTTCAGGCTCCGCATGTACAGCTGTTGTCCTCAAGGAAGGAAGCTTATGTGCATGGGTAGATGTTTTTCGATGAGGCGGCCGGGCTGCATCTCGAGCAGCGATTGTAGCAGCAGTCGCTGCCATTTCGGCCACTTCTCTAACAAATGTTGTGTTTTGGATATCTGTAAATCCCGGTATCTGATAATCAGACTTTATGCTATCTCCTGCAGCACTCTTGGGTGGAACTAGATGAGGCGTGTGTACTGAACCATTGTGAGTAACGTCCTCGGAAATGTTGTCCTTAGGATTCAGTCCGGCTTGCTTTAGTGACTGCCCAAGAATGCGCTTGTAAAGTTGAGAGTCACGAATTTCACTTCCACGAACATCCGATGCAGTCTGGGCATGTCGTTGTGCGCGGACTTGTAAAGCTCCGCCTGAAGCTTGTTGGGGACCAGCTCCACTGGGTTCTGGCTTTTGCTTCTCTTCTACTTCATTGTTCCATATCACCGCTGCGTGAGTTCGAAGTGTAAACCATAGCCCAATGACATAGGAAAGAAATAGGAGAACAGCAGCAAACCAGCAGTACGGTCGGACAGCCTCGAGGTAAAACCTGTCATTCAATGCTGGCGACTGGGAAAAATAGCAACGACGGCAATCGCGGCTTGCTGAATCATATGTGTCGGTGCATGAAAGGCAATTGAGTTCATGCTGTAACAGAAGTTAGCAAGGATTTCCACAATTATGATGAGATCCATAACTTACGGTTCCATATATTTGATAGAACAGAGTGGGACCGAATGCGGCAAGAACGGCGAAAAGTAGCATTGTCGAAGTCACGCCAGCAGACTTTACATTGAAACGTTGAGTCTTCCTTTTGATGGCACCAAAACACATGGATAATCCTGGTAGGAACAATATACCGGCGAAAATACTTCCAATGATACTACCTTCAACAAGTTGCCCTTTACCTTGGTTCAGTGCGATGCAATACAAGAAGACCTCTACTAATGTTGAGAAGAAGGCATTGATTGCAGCGCCAAGTCCCATGGACGATTGAGCTGAAATCGAAGCAACAGCTTGTCCTATGAAGTAGGCCAGAGGAATAATAGACAACAGGGCCATAATGAACAGGAACGCCGGGTGGGTGATGGAGATATTTAGATCGAGCATTTCTAAAAGAATCCAATAATCAAAGATGACAAACAGAACGACAGCCATAAGATTTATCAAGAAAATGTTTGTGCCGTCCACTGTGTATTTCCAATACTTGCTTCCCACGGCGCGGTATGTGCAAACGAGAATCGAAGAATTTGGAATAGATCCACGAGAATATGCAGAGTCGGATTGGAAGGATAAAGCTAGGGGATGTCGACGAAGATGGTCAAATAGTAGCATCGTAACTTTACCCATGGGAATCCAAAAGACGAGGAACCAACATATGCCGGAGGCAATAAAAAGTAAAGGCGTGATCAGCCCGTAAAAGAACAGGAAGAAGATAACCCGTCCAGTATTCCACTGGCCCCTTCCAAAAAGTCTTCTTTTGTTGGGGCGTGCTGAATCTTCTCGATGAGTACCACGTCTTGAACGACCAAGTAAACTATCCGTCTCGCTACCAAATGAGTCAATACTTCTCCTTGATCGGCCAACGATTGATCGTGGGTGATGAGGCCCAAAGAATAATCTCCCATCTTCAATGTCTCCACTTTGCCATTGTTCATATTCGGTGATGGTTCGACCTTCTCCTTGATCTTCCTGGGCATAAGCTTCGTCTTGTTCGAGCCGTACGAATTTCCCAAAGGGGTAGAAAATATAACCAGCCAATCCCCAAAGCACACGCCCATATTCAATGGCACTTGGTGCTGCTCCAAAGACGAAGCATACAAGTGCTCCAGTCAATGCTGCAAGTGCCAGCCACCAGCCAAAAACAAGTGTCCAGATGATGTTGAATAAAATCAACCATTTGTTGGCACGAGCGCCAGGAGATGAATGGATATCGCCTTCGGCTGTCTTTTGAACCGAACGGTTCTTTTTGTACAATGCAGGCTTCCAAATCCTTATACCGAAAGGATGCGTTTCGTTTATTGCTTGTTGACGGTCTTTTAGTGTAAAGCTCTCCGCATCACTTAAAGAATCTTCATCCTCTACCCCTGCGATAACGTCTTCCTCCTGCAAAGTCTCTTCACCGGATGTAGTCATATTATCATCTTTTGTCCTTTCACCAGCCGTAGAAACATCAACCTCAGCTTCAGCCTCGGCTTCCGCTTCTTCTTCGTGCGAAGAATCCAATCTAGGCAAAGTTGGCTGAGTTGGAGCAGGGCGCCTCCGCACAGTTCCAGGACCATGTCTTGAAGGTCCAAACCCCGATGCGATACCACCAATCCCAAGTCCAGCCTGTTGCCTGTTCATTTCTTCCTCCATCTCAGTCACATCATCGTCCACCGAGAACTCTTGACCCCTATGAGGCGCTTGTACGTTTGATGAAGCACGACGTGGCATGGGAGGTTTTTTCGGTCGCTGACCTGTTCGGCCCCGATCGGACGGTCCTAACATGGGAGATCTGGCTGGCTGGAATGATCGCGAAGAGTCCAAGTTGACAGGCTGAGATCGCTCACCGGTCATGGAAGATTCGCTATTTCTATGGTCGCCAGGCTGTGGAGTTTGAGGAGTAGATTGCATAGTTCCTATATCTGGCATTAGTAATTCTATATTTCGGAATTTTGCATTAACATGTGGCTGGTTGAATGACTGGGCTCGCGTGTAAATATAGAAAGCGTACCATATCCTCCTGTATTTTCTGGTCTCCGTCGCATTGTGTCGGTAGACTGGAAGCTTTCCGCCAGACCATCATTCTGCTGTGAGATAGACTCATATCTAGACAGTGGATGTCGCGTATCTGTTGGACTTGTTGGGGTTGACATGCCGGATGGGATTGGAGTTGGGTTTTGGGTATCTTTCCCAGAGGAAGACTCGCCGGGAGTTCGAGACATTTTGTAACTGGAACTTTGAAACCCGAACTAAGCTTTTATCTGCCAACCGGTTAAGAAGAGTGCTCTCAATAGTAGCACATCGGATTATGAAGACAAGCTTAAGATTTGGGTTAAGCTGAATTCTTTGATTAGTGTAATTAGTTCCCGTGTTTGTGGAAGCTTGAACATGCGAAGAACACAGCAGTGAGCAGATGATGCATTCGATAAGAGAGAGGTTTGACTGAATTTTCGAGATATGTTATTATTTTTACGGGTGTATGAGTTTTTATCTTCAACTAGGTACCTAAGTACTAGGTAGGTAGGTGATTAAAAAGAAATTCCAAAGAGAAGATGAAGGTATATGGAAATGATGAAAAGAAATCGGGATGTAAGAGATGCGAGATGTAAAGATATGATGTTGATTTTCTCAAGGTTGCGGCGCTTGGGTTGAGGTTACCTACCTAAGATAGCAACAATTTATTTGAATCATTCATCCTTCAGAAAAAAAGATCAGGCGCATACGGGAAAGCATGTTTGTCTCACAGATCTCTCATCGAATGGAATGCTGCTATTTCCATATTTTAGCCAAGTCTATGTGGAACCCGCTCATAAGCTTTAGACAATCAAGGTATCTTTGCGCATAAAGACAAGGAAAGACCAGGACGTTTTCATGTGCAATGATGGTATTTGTGTTTGTTCTTTAAAGCAAACAAGGTTAAAAGGTTGTCGTCCATTCAACATCGTTGATTTGGTAGTCGGTAATCGGTAGTCGTCAGCTGCATCATGATATATATATATCGTATGTATGGGGTGGAATCTAAACATCTATCTACAATATCGGCCGCCACCGTATCTATCGCTCTCAAGAGAATGGATCCTCGAGTCTGGAGTGCATGATTTAAGACTTGCTAGTTATTACTCGTACAGTGTGATGATTGATTGGTTTCCCGGCTTTTCATATCAACGGAAAAGTCCACCGACTATAGAATTGCTTACTAAAGGCAGTTACTTGATGATAACTCTATCTAGGTAGTAAGTATACTGTATCGTATCTTATTAGGAGCTTTTAGCCTAGCTTACCTAAGGCTCTGAAAAGGAAACGAGGAAACCCCGAACGAACGCGTTTACGTTTGCAACCTAAAAAAAGTGTAAGCCTTACGTGACCCGAGCGGAATTCCTAGCCTTGTGTACTTCTATACGCGGACCTGTGATACCTTAGGTACGCATCACCAAAAGATCAGCCTTGGAGAAACAAACAACAACAACATTCAAAGTTCAAGCCACCTACCTATATTTCCATCATAACTCGAAAGCCTATCCTGTTTTCTACCATCATCGCCATCTTTCAAATTCATCCATCATGGCGTTGGATAGCTTCTTTCATAATAAGATTGAGAGCATGAAGCTCGAGATCATCCAAGGTCAAGCTGTTCTACGAAGATTAGAAGCTCAGCGAAATGATTACAACTCAAGAGGTACTTTCGCAAATCATATGATGTATAAACAGACAACTGATTGCGATAGTGCGACTTTTAAGAGAAGAACTCGGATTATTACAACAACCAGGATCCTATGTTGGTGAGGTGGTAAAGGTAATGGGTACGAAAAAGGTGTTGGTTAAGGTGCATCCAGAAGGCAAATATGGTATGGAATCTATCGCATATGTATAATGTTTCCGTTACTAATTCTAGATGAAGTTGTCGATATCGCGGATAGTGTTGATATCTCAAAACTCACTGTGGGGAAGAGAGTAACTCTTCTGTCAGACTCCTATAAGCTCGAAAAGATGTTGCCATCATCCGTCGATCCTCTCGTCTCCCTCATGATGGTCGAAAAGGTTCCGGATAGTACATATGATATGATCGGTGGTTTAGATCAACAAGTAAAGGAAATTAAGGAGGTTATTGAGCTTGGTCTTAAGCATCCTGAACTGTTCGAATCTCTCGGTATAGCACAGCCCAAAGGTGTTCTTTTGTACGGACCTCCTGGAACAGGAAAGACGTTATTGGCAAGAGCTGTTGCACATCACACCGACTGCAGATTCATCCGAGTATCTGGCTCCGAGCTTGTCCAAAAATACATTGGCGAGGGTTCAAGAATGGTCAGAGAATTATTCGTCATGGCAAGAGAACATGCCCCTTCCATCATCTTCATGGACGAGATCGATTCTATTGGATCATCACGAGTGGAAGGGTCTTCGGGTGGTGATTCTGAGGTTCAAAGAACTATGTTGGAACTATTGAATCAATTGGATGGTTTTGAGCCAACTAAAGGAATTAAGGTTATCATGGCTACCAATCGTTTAGACATCTTGGATCCAGCACTTTTACGACCAGGGCGTATCGATAGAAAGATCGAGTTCCCACCGCCAACTGTTGAGGCCAGAGCTGATATTCTACGGATTCACAGCCGCAGCATGAACCTGACTCGTGGTATCAACTTGACTAAGATCGCGGAGAAGATGAACGGTTGCTCAGGGGCTGAATTGAAGGGTGTTTGCACGGAAGCTGGAATGTATGCATTGAGAGAACGCAGAGTCCATGTCACTCAGGAGGATTTTGACCTGGCGACGGCGAAGGTATTGAACAAGCACGACGACAAGGAAGTCAGTCTAGGGAAATTATGGAAGTAGGAGGCTGGGTAGTAGCCGGAACGGCATTTGTACAGTACAACAGCATGAGCAGCAAAGAGATATCGATCAATCATATTTGGTGTTTTCACAATCTGAAGCCGATACATAGTTTTCTGATTTTGGGCTCGATTTTCTCATAGGCCGAACAGCAGGAAGGCGGGTGAAACAGCCGAATACCGGACTTAACGGGCCATCACCACCCTGTTTTTCAGGCAATAAGCGCAGGATCTACTTTCCATGGCACTATTTCGCTCTGTTTTTGCCACTGGAGAACCAAAGGATTTGAAAATGCTGCACGAAGGGTGTAAAGATGTGGGTCTAGTGAAGCTCGTTTTGAGGTCATCGACAATCCGTTAACATGTTATGAAATTGAAGAAAATAGATATAAATATCAATGAAAATTAAAAACAATATGGTATAATAGTAATATTGCTCCTGGTTTGATGAGAACCCTATCTAGCCTTCTTTCCCAATCTTCAAAATCTAACGAAGCTTGAATACTAGCTAAGTCATAATCATTGTTCTAGAATACTGGTGAGAGACTGGCACAACTTCATCAAGGTTCGCGCAGATGATGGGACTTCAAGAGTGCCTCCTTGGGTAAGGGCCAAGTGCTCAACTACCTACTTGTAGTTAGCTACTATCATTCCGCACTCTATTTGGTAGATTTGCAGTTTTAAGTGGGGAAGGGTAGCAAAAGGTGGGGGCCTATGACGATGAAAAAGCTGGAGCTTTCAACAAGTCGAGCTCAAGTCTGCATCGTGAAGTACTTGTGCATACCTAGATTAAGGATTTTTTTCCTGTTTTCTCTCCTTCATCCTTCATTACCATAACATCTCAACTATTTCGCAGCGGCGACATCAAATTCAGTACTCTTCTTTTTATAAAATATACAGGACTAGATCTACTTTTTACCCTCCCAATTGTGTCAATAAGGTACGCATTTCCCGTCTTTACCCCGCCATGCCGCCCAGTTGTCACCAATATTGAAGAGTATTGGCATACACGGCATGCTATGCCAACCCAGTGGAATCAGTTACCACTACGTACATCTACAGGCTGTGTAAGATTTGCTAATTGGAATACAGAAACAAATAGACAAAGGAATTAATCCAAATACCGGCATCATGAATCACTCATTGCCTTTTCGTCAAAACTATAGAAAGTAAGCAGCCTTATATTTTTTTCTGTACCAGTTTTAACCTCAGTACTTCACGTATCTGCGCATAGTTAGATCTCTGTACTGACTATATATCCTACAGACCATCGCGTCAAGCGAGTATGGAGTGAGTACTTCTCTTCTCCTTTCATTCTCAAAAATTCCAATTCATCATGTTTGAATGTTCGCGCCGAACTCGGACATTGGGGTATGGTGGATGCCCAACACTCAAAACTTCGACTTTTCGGATTGAGCTCAGAAATCGTTTCGGAAATATAAACTCATTGAGTACCTCGAACTGGTTCGAAAATAAGAAGTTTTGGCGCCAAATAAAGGCCGATTGCTACTTCGGTAACAAGAATAAAAGGCACTTTATACTGATATGTCTATAGTCCACATAACGATTTGAACCCTCATGTAGATCATTTCAGTAAGCTTTGCTCCATTCCTTTCTTCAATTCGTGCTCTGGAAGGACTTGAGGAGACAATGCTACTAGTTCCAATAGTAGACATTTCTTTACCTGTGGATAATAGCTAATTCTCGTCATAAACAGTCGGAATAGATGTTGGAACTGGATCAGCAAGAGCGTGTATTATCGATGCTTCAGGAGATATTAAAGCTTGTGAGTTATACGTCCTTAATACCAAGTAACAAGCCCTAATACTTGATAGTGGCTACAGAGAACATTGGTCTATGGCAGCCAGAAGTCGGATACTATGAGCAGTCTACAACAGACATCTGGAGATGTATTTGCATGTGTGTGCAAAGAGCTCTCAGCCAACACAATATCGACCCTACAACAATCCGCGGTATCGGTTTTGATGCTACTTGTTCCTTGGCAGTATTTTCACAGGATACTGATGAACCAGTACCTGTCACCGGTCCCAACTTCGCAAATGATGGCAATGACCGTAACGTTATTTTATGGCTCGACCACAGACCAGTCGAAGAGGCAAAGAAAATTAATGCAACTGAACACAATCTGCTACGATACCTTGGAGGAAAGATGAGCATTGAGATGGAAATTCCCAAAGTCCTATGGCTGAAGAACAACATGCCACCCGAGCTCTTTGATCGTTGCAAGTTCTACGATTTGGCGGATGCTCTGACACATATTGCGACTGGCAATGAAAGCAGAAGCTTTTGTAGTACTGTCTGCAAGCAGGGGTATGTCCCAGTTGGTGTCGACGGAAGCGTAAAGGGATGGCAAGAGGACTTCTATGAAGCCATTGGCCTGGGTGATCTTACAAAAGATAACTTCAAACGGATGGGAGGAGTTGATGGAGTAGTAAGCCCGCTTCTAACTGCAAATTATGATTTTTAATCATCCGAGTGAATGCTAACATGATAATGCAGAATGGCAACTATCTCAGCGCGGGTGAACTTGTTGGTACTCTTAGCGAAAAGGCCGGCAATGAACTTGGACTTCCAGCCGGTATCGCTATAGGAAGTGGTGTTATTGACGCATATGCCGGATGGATTGGTACTGTTGGTGCAAAGGTCAACCTTGGAACAAATTATCTTGATACCGGAGCACCCAAGAATGACATCTCCCAAGCATTCAGTCGCCTTGCGGCTGTAGCTGGTACCTCCACCTGCCATTTGGCAATGTCACGCGAGCCTGTTTTCGTTGATGGAGTCTGGGGCCCTTACCGAGATGTTCTACTTCCCGGTTACTGGATGGCAGAAGGTGGTCAGTCGGCTACTGGTGAACTCCTCAAACACGTCTTGGAGACCCATCCAGCGTACAATGAGGCCATGTCCATGGCGGAGTCATTTAATACCAGTATTTACGATTACCTAAACTCTCATCTCGAGGAATTGATGGAGAAGGAGAACGCTCCAACCATCTCATACCTTGGACGTCACTTCTTCTTTTACGGTGATCTTTGGGGTAACCGTTCACCAATTGCCAATCCAAAGATGACTGGTTCAGTTATCGGTCTTACCAACGACCGTAGTATGGACGGTCTAGCCATTTATTACTATGCCACCATGGAATTTATCGCCATGCAAACTCGACAAATTGTTGAGACCATGAATAATGCTGGACACTCCATCACCTCTATCTTCATGTCCGGCTCACAATGCCAGAATAAAATCCTGATGGAACTTATGGCTACCACCTGCGCCATGCCAGTTCTGATTCCCAGATACGTACACGCAGCCGTTGTCCACGGTGCCGCCATGTTGGGTGCCAAAGCAGCTAGTGCAGATAAAGGAGGCAAGACAGAGGAGCTATGGAGTATTATGGATAGAATGAGCAAGCCAGGCAAGGTTACCAGACCAGGAAAGAACGCCGATGAAAAGAAACTGTTGGATGTTAAGTACAAGGTATTCCTTGAGCAGTGCAAGACTCAACAGGTATATAGAGATCAAGTCGATGAGGCGATAGAAGGCTGGGGACCGGAGTAAGTGGTTTTGAGTTAAGTAGACTACGACTTTTGACGAATGAACGAAACTTTTGGATGTATGAATGGATGGATTGAGCTAGATATTTTGATATTAAGGTAGTGTATCTCTTGCAAAAGTTTAGCAGGAATACAAATAGGACATTGGAATAAAAGGTTTCATTTTGAAGTTTCCTTTCCGATTACCGAATATCTAACATTATGTGATATGAGATATATAGAAATTGGAAGCAAAAGTGGAGGTAATTTAACTCCTCATCTTCATCTTATTGTTCTTTATAAATCCTTCGGTTTGATAACTTTGAGTTTATATTTTTATTCTCTTCATTTTATTCTCTTTTCTTCTCTCCTGATTTGCTGGTTTCCCGATAATATCCAAATCCAAATCCAAATCAGATTAATCTATATCTTTAACATATCTCCAGCGTACCAGTATGCATATAAATATATATATATATATGAATCTTCCTTTATTCCTTTATTCAAAAATATCTCATATCTATCTATCTATCTATCTATCTATCTATGAAGTTAGACGTAAGATTACCTACATACATGCGTATTCCCAAATTCATTTCCAACTCCCACTTCTAACTCCCAACTCCAAACTCCCAACTTCCAAGCTCCATGTATACATACCTCCTCATCCCATTCCATCTTATCCCGACCTTGATCTTGATTTGATCTTAGCCTCAAATCCCGTTTATAGATAATAAAATGAGCCCCTTTAAAAATCTTCATGATATAAATATAAATATAATACAATATAGTAAGTAGTAAGGTTAAACTGACGAGGAAGAAGTTTGTATTTCTTTGTAGTTTTTCATGTCTTTTCTTCCCTTGTATCCATTCCTCATACAAGCCAAATATATATATATAAATTTCCGGTATGATGTGAAAATTCATAATCTATGCATTTCATCACATCAACTCGATCTACCCCTTTTCCAACCCTAAATTTTATACAAGAAAATTCCTCCTGCGCCTTTTTTCCTCTACCGCCTATCCCCATCAATCTTAATGCGATACGTATCCCTTAACCCTGGAAACGCATTTGCAAATGCGGGTCCCAGGCTCCAATTCTCCAATCTCCTGAGATGTCTTTCGAAAACAGGATTGATCAGTAACTCTCCCTCCTCACTGAATCCTAAGCCCATTCCTCCTATACCACCTCCGGAGTTTAGAAGCGCGTCTGTAGGCTCATATGGCCAATTAAGACTTAATGTAGAAGTAAACGGGATGAAGAAGTTATCGAATAGATAATCACGAGGATTGTAATCGCGAACGAGGACATCACGCATTTTGGGCCAGGGAAGATGGTCGATCCATGCTGGGTGTGGAGTGAAAAGTTGACTGGGACGAGGAGTAATCCAGCTGGGAAGACGATCGTAGTTTGCTTGGCTAGGGTGAATTTGCCAGCGCATGAGAAGAAACATTATATAGAGGACAGCTACTCTTTCGGGTAAGGTAGAAAGGTCAGGGAATGTGGCGAGTATATCGGTGAAGACTTTTGAGACGGGATGTGAAGTGATTCCACGAGAAGGATTCAAGAGACTGGACACGGAAGGATAGGCTGGCCCTACGAGTTTTGGGGTAGGAAGGCCGTCGAATGCGGCGGCTTGACGCTCGTGGAGAAAGTCGAGGAGGAGGCTGTCTAAAGGACATGTAGGGGTTCCGTTTCGGATAGGAGCGGTATAACCATTCACTTCTGGGGTCGAGCCGGAAGCTGGATTTGGAGCATGATAACTTGTGGCACTACTAGCTATTGAATTGCTTCGATGATGTGTGTCCTTGGGACTCACACTTCCTATTGGTCTTTGTGCTTGTTGAAAGCCAAAAGTTTCTTGTGGGCCAGCAGGAGGAATAGGTATTTTAGGGCGTTGACCCTCTTCTAGAAGGAAATCCAGACCAAGTCTTTCGGGACCTATATCGAGGTTGTGTACCATATCGTGTCGTTGTTGTGCTAACTGCTGTGTTTGCTGTGTTTGAATGAACGTTCTGGAATCTTGGGTTGGGCCTATTGGCGCGGAAGTAGCTAGCCATGAAGTTCCAGCGACGGTGCCAGCCGAGGCTATACTATTTGGGGTTGATGCATTGAGATTTTTGGATTTTGGTTGATTGGGAAGAGGGTACGTTGGTTGTGGTGGTAGTTGAGGGATTTCGAGTCCTGCCTCGCCAAGTTAGCTATCAACTAAGCTGCCTCTGCGAATCCGCTGAGCCACAAACCCAATTACTGACCATGAGTACCAAGTACCGGTGTAATGAGTGTAATAATCTGTGATAACCTTCTCTTAATATCCAAGTTCTCGTGCTCCACCATTTCCTTCTGCCTTATTACATTTTGTAACTCCTGGTAAGGTTGCTGGCTAGTCAATTCCCTAATCTTCCTCTCATACCCCTCTATCTGATTCTTCGTCCTTTGCCTTATACTCCTCTGGGCCTCTCGATCATTTGCCCTCTTCTTCGCCAACTGCTCTGGCGTCAAATTAGCCACACCCCTTGCACCACTCCTCCTCTCATCCACCGGTGGAACTTTTCTCTTCCTAGAGGACTCCCCTCCGCTATTCGCATCTCCAGCCCCACTACCCTCCGCTTGGTCAGCATTCGGACTTCCTCCCTCCCCAACATCGCCCAGCGCATTTGAAGATTCTCCATCCTCGCGATCACCAGGTGTAGAATAGGCCACGCTCAGATGCCGCTGGTCGGACGATGGTGATGTAGATCCCTGCTGAGTTGCATTTGCATCAGGTGTCATACTGAATCTGCGAGAACCACGGGTCCTCGCATGCGGCCTGTCGCGGGGCTACGTCCTAATCTTTCTGGTACAGCACGATTTCGTCTTACTACCAATAGATAAGACACATCAAATGATTATTTGCGCTTTTGTTTTCGTGGATGCAATAGCATGGAGCAGAGGGATGGAGGGGTGCGGTGCTCTCATGTGTGTATCGTCATTTACTTCCAAATATGGGGTAACGCCCGAGTCATGTAAATCGACTTGGTATGGAGAAATATATAAAAGTTCGGGGAAATAATGGAGAAGAAGAAAGTGTCGGGATTTGAGGCCAAAATCTCGTTTGCTTTTTTAAGAGCTAAGATAAAATGTTAGTCGTGTCTGGATCAAAGCTCCGCTACCTACTTTGATACGAGTAAAGGTACACAAGCAAGTCAGACCTTTTTGGATATTAGCGGAGGCGTTGTAAGGTCTTATAGCATAGTTCTAGATTTCCATGGCTGGTGGGTTTCGATTATATGATTCGCTTGCATAAATTATTGACAGGGGTTTATTTATTTATAATTTATTAATAATATATTAATAATATATTATTGCTCTTCCGCCAATAATGCTTCTTCATTATACAAACACTAAAATAACCTTAACATCGTAAGTATCATTCCGCTGAAATATCCCCATATTACAGTCTCACAATCAGGGGACGGACAAATCCCATACTAGAGAAACGTTCCCGCACCCAGGTACCAATCAAAAGAAAGATGAGACATCACCCTGCTTGTGTAGTTGGGAGACAAAATCAAAACATTACTCTGTATATCTTCATTAACCACTCACTTACTAATTAATTATAATTAATCGTCTCAATGCCACATTTTAATTCCTCGTCTAAGCATTTGTCCACGATAAAAGTGTAAAAATCCACGACGAAGAAGTGGTAGACAGACCCAATGATTCATTTAATTCATTCCATCCAAATAACGGCTCAAATGCTCTTTTAATCTTCCCGTTGTGTGTGTTATCTTAATGTACACTTAAGCTCATTCGCTCATGTCATATTTTCATCTCCCCTACTCAGATTGAGCCCTTGCTAGAGCTTCGTGAAGAGAGGCTGGGAATCGGTATCTCAATTGACTGGTATATGTCGTCAAGTCCATGTTTTGTTGTTTCAATTGAGCAATCATCAAACGTCTCGTACCCTCATTTCCTCCATACTGTGCATTCATAAGAGAGGTTTTTTGGCTGTTGCAACACAAGATCGTCCACATCAATAGACTGGGTATAGTGTTTGCAACCTCTTGGGGGAGAGATGAGAATTTGGTGGCATAACTTCGTACTTCACTTGGATTGCCATCAGCGTTCAAGGGGAGAATATCAAGATTTCTCACAACCTGTAGTGAGTTTAATTAGCTTAAGGTCTGTGAAAATTCAAAGTTTAGAACTTACATCTAATGCTGACGCCCATTCTCTGTTCTCAACAAACTCCTTGGCACGACTGATATTCAATAAAGCTTCGCAAGCAGCACGGTTTTCCTGTTTGATTTTGTTGAGATACATGCGATTATTTGAGTAAAGATTCGTCATTATCGTAGCCAATTCGACCGGGTCATCAACTGAAGTAAGACTGAGACTGGTATGGGCGGGTTTTCCAGATCTATCCGCGGACCTTGGCTTGAGCGGTTGTAATCGCATGGGACTATGGCCTATGGGTACAGCAATAGCTTCGCTAAGGGCTCTGTTGAGGATATTAACAACATTGTCATACTCTTCTGCCAAGTGATAAAGCAAAACTGCATCAGTAGTCCGCCCATTATCATCAGCGACACTTCCTGCCTGTATCGTAACGGTTCTCATGAAATCATCCGCGCTGCTTAGATTGATCAATGCCAGGCGCTCTTCGATAACTCCTTGTATACGCTTTCCGTCTTGACGGATATCGCCAAGCAACAAAGCGAATTCTCTGCTTTCCAAAATCAGCTCCTGGAGAGCTTCGTGGCACAATGCAACCTGTTTTGAACCAGCGTCGCCTTTGAGATCACTATTAAGGCAGATCAGGGTAAGATAATCCACAGCAGCACTGACGTTCGCAGCCCTGAATTCTGCAGTGTAGAATCCAATCATTAACCCAAAGGCTATTTGGGGTTGTTGTCTTATAGTGTAACTTATGAATCCACCTTCTGCAACATCTGGATCTGAGACTCGAAGTAAACCGTAAAATGCAAGTGATGTCGCAAAATGAATACAATCGGAAATACTATGGCGATAAAGGAGATCAACTGCGTCTTCGAATAAGCCCGATAATACCAGGAGCACAAAGTAGACACTGAATGGGCCACTATTTTCATTGCCTTTGGAAAACATTCTGGCACCAATGTCCTTGAATGTCTTTTGTACGTTGACGAGTCCATATGCGTCGCCAGCGATCTCATCAACACGGTTTGCCTCACGCGCAAGGACAAATTGTATCCAGACAAAGTCATCCTGGTTCTGAACAATGTTCTGATCCAGAGCGCGAATATTGAGTTCGCAACGGCCGATCACCTTGTAGCATGCCATTCTGAAAGGATCGATGGAATTATCAGGAGCAATTCGATTTCGCTGGTTGTATTCATTATGAATACGATCTTGGAGATCATGCCGTAATTTTCTATCCGGACTATTGGCATAATCTGCGATATAAAACATAAAGTTGCGATCGATTACTCGGAATGCGTCGCGATTAGCTTGGACATAAGCATTGGCTTCTTCAACATGGCCAGATCTTAAAAGGTAAAAGATTACAGCCCACACATAATCATTCTCAAATATCTGAAGAGCGGAATTGTCTGTAACAAGATCTTTGCGAGCCGAACGAAGGCGTACATACCCCTTGATCTTCGTAAGAGGAGAAGGTCTACCGCCCACAAGTGCTTCCTTGGGATTTTTGGCAACCATGGCTTCAACGTTCTCGAAAAATTCCTTCTGGAGATATCGTAGTGATCCACTAAGTATTCGCTTTCTCAGATCTGCCGCTTGTGCGGAATTCGTATTATCGTCCAGATAAGCAGATGCGAACTGCCTCTGTTTGACCGCACCGGGAAGTTGTAGTCTATCCGAGTCAGGATCTTCACCAACAATTTCCATCAAGCATCGGTACGCTCTGTAAACGTCTGCGGAATGTTGTTCACCACCTTGACCTACCACAGCCGAGAATTCGTTGGCAATTGGGTAGTGAAGATTTTTCAACCTGGCACCATTGAGGTTTTGAACCTTTTCGATATATCGGGCCTGCTTCTCTCGAAGGAATCGATCACTAGGGCCTTGGGGCGACGCATTCGTGTCTATCTTCTCCATATCAGTAAATAGTGCTCGGTTCCCGGTTCCTCCTGGCGCAACAGCTCCAATGACAGATCTTTGCATGCTTGATTTTCCAAAAACACTAGCGCGTGGGATTCCAGGTCCTTTAGATGCTCCCGGAGCAAGTCCTTTACCCCGTCTTGATCGACCAAAACCACCCGTGGGTTCCTTAGTTGTAGCTGCAAAACTTGCTGCTGAAGGTCCTGCCCCTTGTTCTCTTCTGGGCTTAATGCCAAAATGCTCATATATTCTCTTGCGCTGTGCGCTCCATTCCATGGCAACATTTTCCTCCAGAAAGTCGTCGAAATCACGAATAGATCGTGCCAATCCTTCTGATATCATGCTCATTGTAGTTTGCGTTTCCAGTCGTGTCAGGTATGCCTCCACATCTGCGTCAACGGGTGGTTCTGGAGGTGGCGCCTTATCAAGTCTTCCTGTCGCAGCCGTAAACAAGTTTAAGTCCCTAAGCGCAGCGCCTGGATCCACGCCAGAAGCTGCTAATAAGTAATGAGCTCTTCCATCAACAGAGCTATCTTGGGTTGTAGGAGCCAGCCTCTTCATGCGCTGGCGTATATCCCCCAAGCCTAATTGTAAACCTAAAGAGTCCTCATCGTGGGCCCTCTTCCGACTCTTTTCCAATATGGCATCAAAATAGGCACCGCTCGTTCCATTTTGTTGCCGAGATTGTGAGAGAGGTTGAGGTTGTGGAGTAGGCGCGAACATTGATGCTGAAGGGTTGGTTTGTGTAGTTGTGTTTCCGAAAAGTCCACCAGTATTCTGTTGCGGCTGCTGGGGTTGAGCTAAAGAACCTCCAAAAAGACCTCCAGTTGTTCCGCTTCCCGTTTGGGGTTGTGCAGTTGCACCAAAAAGACCACTTGTTTGTTGCGATTGTGTTGCTGGAGTCGTTCCAAGTCCTCCAAATAAACCGCCGGATCCTGATCCTGATTGTTGTTGAGGTTTAGTTGTTGCTGTTCCAAATAAACCACCACTCGTTTGTGGTTGACTAGTAGCTCCCATTCCACCAAACATTCCTCCCGTACTTTGTGCCTGACTAGTAGCAGCACCTAGACCACCAAAAAGACCTCCTGTACTAGCTCCTGCTGTTTGCGGTGCTGTGTTCACATTACCAAAAAGTGATGGCTTGTTTTGATTTGTATTCCCGAAAAGCGACATTTTGAGGATTGTGAGGGGGAAAGAATTGAAAATAAGAAATAAAACTCTCAACAAGTAATAACAAATCAAGAAATGCGCTATGCAGCGCTTTTGGAAAAAGAAAAGTTAAAGCTTGGGAGAAGCTTATAACTTTTTTGTAAAGACGCGACTTTTCCGAAGCTGTCGACAAGAAATTAGGTTTAGCGCTAATGTTTACAGGCTCCATTTTCCGTGTTCGTCTACCCTGAAATCTTTGATTGGTTGTCGCTCAGGAAATTTCACTACGGTATAAATAAACATTCACAACTCGCAGACTTGGAAACGTGCCATTTAATGAGAAAGAACGCTCTCGGATTTCTAAATTCTGTCAAGCGATTCACAAAAATTAAGATTTCCACATTTCTTATGATTATTATCTACATTAAGAGGTATACATAACCAAGGACTATTTCTTCTTGACTCAACGAGACTGCCCAGCTCCAGTAAATTTACACCACAGCATGCCTATCTAGGTATCTAATACTCCATTTTTGCCACCCGCCAAAACGCCTGCTCGTGCTCTAGATCAGCCTGGTTTAGAAAATTTCCGTACCTACTGAGCTTCCGAACCATGTCCCAAGCTCATCCGTATCCTTATCTTTATCCGCACTGAAGAAATCCGTTAACCTGCTCGTCTCATCATCCTCCTCAATGGGCCAATCGACTTTAGCCGCAGCACCTTTTAAATCCAGCATATCTTTTGTCGTTCCCCAACTGAAACGGCATTCACTGCCCCATCCAAATACTGGATCCATGTTCCGCTTTAGCCATGCAGTCGCTCTCGCGTCTGAGGGATATCCAGAACCCCAGTTATCCTCAGCAACTTCCGTCCCGCCCATCTCCTGATCCCCGTCTTTGCTAACGTAGCTTTCGTACAATGCCTCCAGAGCAGCGTCTCTGGTAACCTTTGCACATACACTCGCCGCACTCACACATGGATACAGACTATCGGCCTTCTTCGCGACCGTAATTTGAGCTGTGGGAAAGATGCGTTCCAACTTCTTCTGATATGTAACTGTATTGCCCAACGCATCGATGTAAATCTCCTTCACATTGACACCTTTATCCATCACTCCCTGAATCAATGCGATAGTAGAATCCATAGCTTGTGCATTTAAGTTATAAGTGGCAGGCTTCATCATATTGGCACCGATATCTCTCGCCGACAGAACATCGACCGCCCAACCACATTGTGTATACAGATCTGAGTCTGGTGTGCAAAGTTTCTGCATGAGTTCTGAACGAACTGTCGGTGTAAGGACTTTACTGTCATCGAAATGATGTGTGTTTCGTAGGAGAGGATCGGAGAGAGGTAAAGGTAAATAAAATAGCCCGTAAACCATTGGACCAAGAACAGGACCGCGCCCAGCTTCATCGATTCCTAAAGCACATGCGGGACCAGGAATTGAAGACGCATCAGGTTTAGAAGCATCAGTATTTGGCTTAGGAAGAAGTGAAGGAGGAACATCTGAATAATGTCGATATGAATCACCGGTGAGTAGTAGAGATTGATTGATTGAGGGTGCTATGAAAACATCGGATGCTGGAGTCTCGAGGGCAACATCTACTTCCATCTGAGAGTCTGCCATATTTTGAAATTGATGCTGGTGAGATGCAAAAATCTATCGGTCTTTGGTGTTTGGCGTTCTTGTGATTGGGTTTTTGGGAAGACGCGTTCGCGACAGTTTCGCGTACATTACTTTCTTTCTTCCTCACCCAACTAATCACATGGGTTGCCCACCGAACAAAGTTTTCCAGCTCCCGGTGAACACCCTTCGATCAGGTTTTAAAATCATTTCGATGAATAGACACCCGACTACCGACCAATACCGACGGGGTGTTTCCACATTTGCTCTCAAAATAGTCATTATAAAGGTAGGAAAACAGTCAAGGGAAGAGATTCAAAGGTTGGATATAATCCATTCATACGCTACTTATGTCCTAGAGCATGGACACATTATTGTGCATTTTGACGTCGACATGAAACTGCCCGTCAATGAATGAGAAGCATGGTATCATCAAAAAACTTTCAACATTCAACTCCACAACCAAACGTGACAGCATGAACCCAATTTTCCTCCTTGCCGCGCCACAAATGTTAAGGCACAACCCCGAAAAACATGAGGAAAAATAGCAAAACACCAATTGCATTATCCATACATTATTGGCTTGCTGGTGGAACAACCCCGCCTTCCGAGTCCCCAATTTCACAACCTTGTGCAAAAAATATTCTCGCTGGTTTATCGTAGTCGTTGGTGATGCTGTAGAAATTGCCTGCTCTGGATTAGTATTCTAGTGAATGAAAGATTGATTAGTGTATATATTTTCTTACCTCGAGGAACTTGCCACATTCCACCTTTGCCAATTCTGAAGGTGGTTCCATTGACCGAGACTTCGACCCGGCCATAGAAGACGAAAAACACCATTTGCATCTTCCTCGAGTTTTTTGGCTTTTTAACAGCGCCTGGTTCCAGGTCGACCATACCTGAACCAAAAAATGGTAATGTGAGGGTTTTGGCGAATTTGAACGAAGCATTTGGAATATCCCGAGTCTTAATTGCAGCAGAGGAAAACGCAAGGTCTTCCAGTGTCTCTGCAGCATTTTCTCCAACCTGATCTTCTGGATCCCAGGTCCGTACTGAACCTTCAATACGACCAGGCTGGGATTCCCATTCCTCAGTTTCCGAATCTTCTTCGACCTCCTCTCGCGCCCTCTTCTTCACTTTACTTTTGGAAGTTTTTGAGGACCTCGATTTCGACTGTTTTTGTTGCTCGACTTCATCTGCACGAATAACTTCTTTGATGCTAGGCAACAGAATCTTGGCGCCGTGAGTCCCATCTGGTACCGTTTCATCATCGTCATACTCGACCCGCTCGCCTTTCCAAAACGCGAGTGGCTTGATCGAGTTTCGGCCAGCTCGCGTTCGTTGCATACCCGTGCCTGCCGTTGTCGTCTCGCGCCGAAGAATGTATAGGCCATTATTTCTAGGAATAGGAGGGCCACGATGAACTAAAGGCGAGTCGAGTTCAGGTATTGGAGCCATCTTCGGTCGACCTTGAGCTTTTGGTTTCGCCACTGGTTTAGATGCTGTGGCGGATTTTGTGGCATTGCTAGGTCTTCCAGGTCGACCCCTTGCAGGCTTTGGGGCTTCAACAGCTTCGTTGGAGCGTCGTACTTTCTTGGCAGGTCTTTCCTCTATTTCTTGCCCTTCTTCCTCCGCAGCTTCGACCGGAGGTGCGGAATTTTTCGGCTTCCTGCCTCTACGCTTCGGCACGGGCTGCTCTGGTTCTGGTTCCTCGATTACTCTACCTTTCCCCTTATTCTTGCTCGTGGTTTTGGCAGGTGGAGAAGGTTCCGGCTCTGGTTCCGGCTCTAGTTCCGGCTCATCTTCTTGTTCAGCCTCTTCTTCCCTTTCTTCCGCTTCCTCTCCTCCTTCCTCTTCTTCGTCTTCTTCTTCTATTTCCGAGTTCCCCTCAAGCGCATCGACCGGAGCATCATCATAATCGTCATCTGGGGCATTAAATTGAATCGAATCATCTTTGGGCTCCAATGCACTATCGTCTTGGTTTTCCACCGCATCACTACTCTGGTCGAAACTTGGTGGAGGACGTCTTCCAGGTGAAAGTCGAGTGCCATTCGTAAGGTTGCCCAGCGCTGGGCGCCCTGGTCTCCCTCGGCCTTTGGGAGCACGGGTACTAGCTGCCTGTTTCGTTTCGCTCTCTATATCTTCAGTCGAAAAATCCAACTTCCTTCGAACTGGGCTAGTGTCGTCGGCCTCACTGGATCCTCCTTTGGCTGGAGAAGATATGCCCAGTGATGGATGTCTGCGGGCTGGGGACTGTAAATGTGTTTTTAAGGGCGACCTCGATCTTGGTATAGGCATGGCTATTCGCGCATCTTGTCTCCGTTGACTCAGGACTTCAGCAGGTTCCAGAGCTGTGTCTAGAAATATGTCAATATTGCCCATCGCGCTTGCGGGTTTCTGATTGTGTAGACATACTCTCGCCATCCATATCCATGTCCTCCTCACTAGATATTGTCGCGTCTTCCATTGCGTTCCTTTGTGATCCATTTGCGCTTCTGCTCGTCTTAACACTTTCCGGTTTATCTGGAGAGAAAAGATCATCCATTGGCTCCAAACCATCTGCATCGCGAATTCCAGTATCCGGAAGTTCAACGCCAGTTTTCCTAATCATCTGTCAACAAAAGATAAGCAAAAAGGAACAGTCAGCAACGGACCTTCCCTTGACTCCCAAGTCAAATAAAAATTGATTCTCTCTGTTCGCACCCGTTCTTCGCCTCGCTGGCGGTGATGCGGATTGTTCGGGTGCCATGTTGAGATCAAAATCGAATTGCTACGCGTAAATAGATGAGAGGAAAGACGCGTTTGAGCTATTTCAAATATTAAGTGAATAATATGAAATGACTATAGAGCCATGCGCGACAACGTTCCTGTAGTGTATTCCCAAAACTCTAAACCTTTGAAGGATATGCGACGTGAAGTATTTTATTGATGAGGGGATTTGTAGATTTGGAGATATGCCAGATTCTTTATTAGTGCCCTTGAGGATTGAAAACCCTGGCTAAGTTAACACTGAAAGGTCCGAGCTCCTTCTACCCATCCATCTATACATTGGTAAGACAGGGAACATCCATTTCATAGATCATAGATCAAAAGTCTTGAAATATTCTGAAATATATAAATGAAGTTGTTTGATGGCAAACAATGGATAACACTAATTAGTAAGTGTATATTTCAAGAATATCAATCCAAAAACAGATTTATAACTTCCATTCTCGAGTTTCTTTTTTATTGTCCTTGTTCATATGTCTAGTTCATATATCTAATTCATATATTTAGTTTATATATCTAGTTTATATATCTAGGTCATATCTATCTCATACTCAACGATATCTCATTTGGGAATATAAAAAGTAGCTGCTAACACCAAAGTTTGAAGTGACAACTTTTAGATAAGAATACTCCGAAACACAAAGCGATCATTCAATACATTCAGACAATGATAGTGCACATTTTGAGTAGAAATCATTAAAAGTTGTAAAATCTTTAATGATGATCTATTGTTGTCCATATCAAGTTTCCTTTCCATACTTCTTCAGTAGCTTCCTCATGATACTCACAGCACCTCCTTTATACCCACCTCCAAACATCGAATAGTGATTCAAATGATGATACCTAAGCCATCAAGTCAACAAACATCTCACATATCCCCCTCAACCGACATATTAAGATTACGATGTAGTACTCACAACTCATACAACAAACACCTATCCCCCCATTCCTCCACCGGCTCATCCTTCGGCCTAACCGCATGATATTCCCTCCAAAAACTCTCTCCAAACCCACCAAACATGCTCATAATCCCGGCCTCAAACTCCGCATGAGCAAAACAAGAACTAGGATCGAAAACCACCTCTTCAACCCCTCCATACCCAATCCTCCCTCGACCATGATTCCCACTCCACAAATCCCCATGCACAACCACCGGCCTGATTTTGTCTCCATCCCGACCCTTCAAATGTTCATCCCCTAACAATCTCGGAACTATCACCTCCACCACGTCATCCACCAACCCCCTCAACTCCCAATCTGCACCATTGCTCGCCTCCGCTTTCTTAACTATACTCCGCAGCCTATTCTCCCCATAAAACTCCGCCCAACTCACCTTGAACCTATTATCTTGTGGTGTCACTCCACAACAAGTCGTAACAGGAAATCCAAATTGAGGTCCCTCATATCCCTCTGGAATGGGTGCCGGTGTACTATGCAGCTTCGCCAATTTCTTCGCCAAAGACTCTCCTGATCCAGGCTTTCCATCTCGTGGATTAAGATCTAAGAAATCCGTGGCTAGGAAGAATCCTCCAGATTCTAAGGGTCCATGTGCGTATGACTTGGGACAGAGGGTAGGCATGATGGAGTTGATGGCGTTGAGAGATGCGTGTTCTCCTATTGTGGTTATGGGTGAGCACGTGGTTGATATCATACTTGGATTGATAAAGAAGCTATACGATCCCAATAGAAAGTAAAGTGACCAAGTTGCATACCAGTAAACATATCCTCACTGTCCCTCCCTCCAGTCTTCACAAAGAAAAGCTTTTGCTTCCCATCGACTGTGCCATTTATTTTGAAGGTCTCAGCAAATCCACTTCCTCCATGCCTGGAAATTGTAGCTGTAGTAGGATCGAGGGAGAGAGCTTCTGAAATAGCAGGGTCGACTTTTGAAGGCATGATTGCATTGTTTTCTTGTGGTTCTTGATTGAATTAACCTTCGAAGTTCGTATGATATTGAGATCACATCATGTGAAAATGACGTAAGGGTCGTTCCTGGATCCGAATCTGGCAGACCTTTTACGTTCAAGTTTGTTGAGAAATAAACAATCTCAGATGACCCACGAGGGCTCTTACTAAACACATACTGCCATTCAGTCTTACTCTAAAGTCTATATTTCCACATGTACTTAAATCCTAAGTTCTAGCTCTCCTAGGATCCATCGCCTCGCCTTTCTTATAGTCTCTAACCTCCTTAGTCCCCATACTTCCCATGCCACCCTCAATTCTCCTCTCCCAGCCTCCAAGCCTAACGATCAAGCATGTTGCATTATCTCCTTCCTTGGTAACTTCTGTAGCAAAACCAACAACATCCTTGGCCCCTTGCTCTGGCGTTTTTGCCTCCTTTACTACATCCACAATTTCCTGGTCTGACAATGTGCCACTAACGCCATCAGACACCAAGACCAAGAAACTATATTCAGCTGGAGATATCTCTACACGTCTGATCTCTGGCTCGGCAGAAACGCCTATGCGCTTAGAGCGCATATCACCAAATGCTCTCGTGTTTGCTAATCCGGACATACGCTCCTCCCCAAAAGAATCAGTAACAAACGTCGCAGCATATCTTCTTAGTCTACCCCCTTCAACAGGCGAACTGGGATGATGATTGGTAGTCACAGGTTTGGCCAAGCCGGTCGCAGTCTCACAAAGTATTATACGAGTATCGCCAACGTGGGCGACCATCAGTGTCGAGGGAGAAGATGGATGCCAGAAAGGAGTCGGTGTGGGTGTAGATATCATAGCAATAGATGCCGTTGAACCTCCCATGAAGCGTGTAGGGCCACCAATGCGATGCGGTGAGAAATGTCGCGCAGGCTCTCCTAGAATTTCATTCGCGTTCAAGGGCGAGTCGGTGTTATTGTCATCCGGAGAGGGTTTGCGTGCCTGTGCTGATATAAAGTCAAAATCTGCTTTTAGGAAAGCATACATTAAGGCTGCTTCAACTGAGGTGGGTTTTCGTATTGGCTCTCCTTCCATAGATTCAGGCAGGTCAAAATATTCTGGTTTGAATCGGCGGAAATATCCACCAACTGTTAATTTCCAATCTGAAACAAGGGCCTTTTCCAACTCGATTGCTTTGATTTTACAAGAGATCTGCTGAGATATGGGTGTCCCTGATTCATCCTCCTGTCCTGCTCTACTAGACGTACCATAAGCATTGGTTTTCGCCTTCTTCTCCAGACTCGAGGGAACTTTGAAGGTTTCTGTTGACTCCTCAATATACGTGTGCAACTCTTCCCTCAAAAAATCACTACACTCGTTTCCGCCATGCCCATCAAAGACCCCAAAGTAGAACACTTGTGGATCTCCACTTGCACCATCTGCGGATGTACCAACACCTGTGGTAGTTTTGGAATCCGAGCGACTTAAACTTATAGGAGCCCGCTTTGCAAATGCTGGCACTTCTATTGTTCCCGCCTGAAATGCATCTTCGTTGTACGGTCTGGTACCCCGAGAGACAGAAACCCCAAAATGATGTTTCGCGCTTCGTAGAGGTATTCGCACAACTGTAAGTTCTCTGGATGCACCAATGGTTGGTGGAGCAGCTGCGGGAGAAGCTCCTGAACCGGGCGTATGTGGTGTCGAAGCGGACCGTGGCAATTTATGATGCGGGCCGCTCGACCGGGAATCAGGATGAAGAGACGAGGAAGGGAGATGCGTTGTAAAGTAGTCGTGGAACCATCTACTCTGTCCTTCCCGATATACACTTGTTTGTTTGCTTGATCTGCGAGTTTTGATACGATGCCTGGAAGACGAGTGTGACGTGCTGAATGCCAGCCTACCAGCTTGTGTCACCGAGCGAGGGTCCGAAATAAAGGCACGTCTACGAGTTACAGATCCGTTGAGAAAGGTAGATATGAAGCCTGTAGATGCATGTTAGATGTGATGATTGGGAATTCGTAGAACAGCAATGAACAAACGTACCATACGAGTCTGCCAAGGACCAAGGGCCGTGAGCAATTGGTTTCATTCTTCCCATGATCCACCGATATGTCCTTTCAAAGCCTCAACGACAGCTCGCACACAATTGATTGATTTTTGAAGCACTATTCCATCAGGTCAAACCAAACCAACGATGTCTCTTGTAAAACTAAAGGGGTGAAGCCGAGGTCGGTAAGATGAACATATTTAGGCTCAATTTAACTTTCCAAAATATAAGTGAGGTTTGAATAAGTAACCCAGAAAGAAAATTCTTAAGAAACTGGAATACTATATCGAAAATCTCGTCGACCTACTCAAATCATGATAGGGATCTTATCTAGCAAGTACCAATATCAGAATGTTCATTCATAATTCCTGTAGGTAAAGTTGTCCCCACAATTTTCGGGTAGATCAAGCTAGACAGGGGTCACGATAAGTAGAGCTTGCACTCTGTATGAATGTTTACTTGAAGTTCAACCATTCACTTGTTGTTTTGTTCAGACAAAGCCTTCAAATCTTGGAGTCCATCAAAATGAACAATATTAAAAAACTGTTTCTCCATCCAGAGCTTCAAATTGGCATTACGATGGCTAATTCATCAATCAACATTCATAGTTAGACATTACCACTTCTGGAGCTTTATTCCAAAGAGAATCCTGTACCTTCTTCCTCCTACTTCCTTCAACCTGGATTAACTGCTCCTCAAATTGTACTTTATAAAGACAAATCTTAGTAGGAATAAAAAGCCATGTTCGAAACAACTAATTGTCATTCCATCTTACATCTACAAGTGAGGACCCTGGTTCTCTTATTAATGTTCAATAGTAAGCTTACCACATAGTGCCTACACGAACCTACCCAGTACTTGGTATTCCTAGGAATGACATGAGGCTGAGGTCCCTTAATCTGCAGAAGTCTGCACTCTCCCCCAGTTTTGTCAAGGACCTTTCTTGTACAACTTCACCAACTTGGACTTTGCGATGAATGGAGGCAGTGTGTAATAAGCACAAAGTGGAGGCCAACACAATATATTTATCACTTTCCGCTATGTAACCAAGCACGTTATCCAAAGCAAATACATGCAGTGTACACGATAAAAACTATCATATGTTTCGCAAACCTCTCTGTCCAAAGTCACTTCCTTCGAGTAGGAAGCCGAGTATAATATTCAATCAGGGATCAGAATTTACAAAGCAAAGCAATTCAATCATTGGCCCCCGCAATCCTTCGCTCCTTCGCTATATTCACCAATCCCAAACCCCTACTACTCGTCCCCGAAATGAGAACGAGGCATTGCTTTCAGCCTTATTACACATTTCCAACCGTTATAATCTTTTTATAACTTCTTCCTTGCATGAGTGTAGCCTGGTAATCCAATGGAGATTTTCTTTTGCTCTAAAATTGAAATGTCAGGGCGTCAGCCATGTTGCATCTCCTTAGTGAATCCTTCCTGTGATACTTGCATGATATTAAAGCTACGAAAACTTCAAATATGACCCGTGGTCCGCTATCTTCAGCTTTCATTTCTCTCAATCAAGGATTTTCTTCGCTGTATATTGGTTTTGACTTTCTTTTAATTGCTCATTGATACCCCTTCTATAACTTTACATACAACTCGAAATTCTACTTCGACACTATAACTCCAATATAATCACCATGTCTACTGCATACAAGAACTCTTTCTGGGCCTGCTGCACCCCTTTTGATCTCTGTACGCTTCTCAATCTAAACCATTTCTCATTCCTCATCAATATACTAACAAGTCCCCATCAAGGCCTCAAAACATGCTGCTGCCCTTGCTTCGTCTCCGGTCGCAACCACCACCGCATTGAATATGGCAACGACAATGACTACTCTACCTGTAACGGATGGTGCTGCGGCTGGTACGGACTCGCCGCCTTCGGAGGATTCTCATTTGTACTGCAAATGCTTGATCGTCAGAAGATGCAGAAGCAACATGGTTAGTTCACTTCGTTCATTTCCCATCTCCCATATCACATCTTTTACTCTCCAAACCCTTCTCACCCTTCATAACCCATCACCCACCCGCCAATAAAAACTAACGCGCGATTCCCAGGACTCGAAGGAAACGCCTGCACTGGGTGCATGGGGTCGTACTGTTGTGCCTGCTGCGAATTAATGCAAACCAGCAAGGAACTCGATTATATTCTCCTTGAGCAGAATGCTGGAGCGAAGGGGTACCAAGCTCAGCCAGGAATGGTTGCTGGTCCTCAACCTGGCGGTTTTAGCTGAATTGTGTGATGGTTGAAATTATGAATGATTTTTGGGATATTTCTGCGGGCTGGCTTGTTTTTTGGACTGTGTCGATTTAGGGACAGTTGGTACGGGTGCTATTAAGGTTATAGTGGAGTTTGTTATACCATAATTTCACTACACTAGAGTTCAAACCTGTCTCATGTAAAGCACTGGCTGTTGATTAATTGAAGGGGGGATACTAACCTAGTCATAAATCAATGCAATATATTTGGATCATAAGGGTAAAAGCGTCTTTATGTATAGGGATAATTCTAACTGCAAAGAAGGCGAAATCAAGAAGTCTCGATACACCCAAGGAGTGAAGCCACCATGAACGTCGACCATCAGTTGTTCGTTCGAACCCACAGTCTCGGAAATATAGACAGACAAACTACGAAACTGCCGCAATTGGTTCATCATCGTCCAATGCTTTTCGTCTACGGACCTCGTTCTCCTCAACGCTAATCTTGACCTTGCCATTGGCACCAGTGCTCTTCATGGCAATCGCTTTGTCCTTTTGTCTGCCTTCCTTGGCCGGTTGGAATCTCTTTCTAACAGCTTCAATCATTTTTCCAAACCAGTAAAAGTTCAAGGTGTTGAGCACAAGATTGCTTCCTAAATACGTGAACCCTAGCCAGAGCGGGATGAACTCGTTATCGGCGAAGCGCATAATATCATTCTGGAGAGGGGCCGCACTACGCCCTGCTGCGGCATCAGCTGCAGAGGCGGTGCCATTTGCGAGAGCATCAATATTGATAGAAGCATAATTTGCAGGCTGGTTGTGCATTGACCTCCATACATCTTGATAAACACGAACTGACTGGTATGTTCCCCACACAAGTCGGCAGCAAAAGAAGGTAAAGAGGAGAGCAATTCCATTGTAAAGTTGGGGCTTAGATCCAGTCATATCGAGTTTGTCGAAGAACCAATGGAAGTTTAGAAAGGGCGAGGAAAGCTCGTAAAGAATAAATGTGCATCCATAGAAATTGACAAATGGTCTCTGGGGAGTAAATATTAGCAATGTTTAATTTTTGGAAGCACAAACACTCACAAAACCAAAAGAGAAAACCAACAGAGCACTGGTCGCGTGTGCCAACATGCCTATGCCAAAGACTCTGAGATTCTGTAGGGTAATCATCAAGTCCCAGAGGAAGTAGCCAGTCGCTAGACCTTGGATCATGCCAGCAGCTCCAGTATAACCATGGACACGCTCCTGTGCCGTCATGTTCTTGCGCTCTTCATCCGCGAACATAACCCATAAGGCGAGGATGTTGATAAGAGAACTTTGGCATAGTGAGACCACATGTACATCCCAATTAAGCTTTCGTTCTGCGGAGAATTTGGAGTACTTCTCAGGGAAAATGAGCATGGAAACCTGGGGCGCGACGACCTTGTTGATGAACGTATATGCCAAGAAAGACCCAAGAACTTCGTGTATATGGAGGGGTAAGGTCGTTAGGTGAAAATAGTCGGCGAACGGCTGAACGGTCTGGCTAAGCCATGGCGATGGTGGGATAGGAAATGGATCATGCATGTCGAATGTAGGGAATCTCTAAAGGGGACGACAAGATATTTATCTTCGTGTCGTAACACACCGAGTGTGCTTAAGTGAAAATATGCCTCTCTTCGTTGTAATGCAGATTTCGAGATATTTATGTATGTATGGTGAAGTTAGGCAGGTACTGTAGTGACCGACCGAGGGTGCCAAAAGAGTAAGGTTCTACTTCAAGTCCCAACAATTTAAGACTTAAGATGCGGGAGAAGTGGCCAATTACAGTTAGAGATTAGATCTAAGTCTCTTTAACCGAACAAATAAGTGGAACAGGGGTGATGTGTATGATACCTTTTGATATGTTCATGTATAACATGAGGGAGTATTGTATCAAAGTCGCAAGAATCAGATGGTATTTTAGTTATTTACATTAGTTATATAAATCTGGAGATTGTTATAACAGTTTAGATGGGCGGGTCATATTTCAATATGTTTTGTCCAGGCTTATGTGTTCTTGTCCCGGTTCTGATGACTTCTACAATAAATGTCTTGTATGGTTGCACGTGAATCAAATGGATGATAACTCTGCCACGTGGATTTGGGCGCACATGACATGATAATGACTTAAATGACCGGAAGATCATGAAGAGATGACCTCTTTTCCTTCGAAGATAGTCGTTCGTTCAACACCTGCATCATACACTAACTCCTGGATCGACTTCCTAGCTCTAAAGTTCTGAGCTCCGTTTGTACCGAAAATAACAAAACTCGCAGGACTTCCTATTTCTATTCTAAGATCACGCATGATATCAAGGCCGATTGCTGCTCTTGCTCTTGTAGATACACATTCCTGGGTGACTCGATTAGTGGTATTTCAAGTTCTATGCGGCCGAGATAAACTTACCAATAAGATCTCAGCGTCTGCCTTCGTGCCTGCTTGATAAACACCCATACCCAGACTTGTGAGACTCATAGGATCACAATTGCCATGGGGAGTAAAGGCATTACCAACATTGTTAATTCCTATGGTTGCATTGAAATCATATTTCTTGATCATTTCAATGACTTGGAGTGTAGCTCTGACTCTGCTACTGCCACCGGCTGCTTTTTCAGGCCGTCCCATCATAAACAAATCCGACGTAGGGAGTCCGACAAATGAGACAGGTAGGTTGCCAATTTCACGACGCAGGTTCTGCCAGGCATTGTTATCGAAAATCGTGAGTCGAGTGCAATGACCAAGTACCACTGTTCGAAAGCTCAAGCCTGCAATATCTCTGTCTATCGGCCACTGAGCCCTGTGAAGCCTTTTTATCACTAAATGAACAGCAGGTTGTTGGTGGACATCTAGATTATAGTCGAGGTGGAAATCTAAATGTAATTTGTACAATTTCGCCGTTTCAATAGTCCATTGGATATTTTCTTCTTGGAGCGCAAAACTCTTTTCGACGTACGGGGTGCTCCCAATCACCTCAACTCCGGGCCGTTTGATTGCCTGCTCGAGCAAATCTGTCATTGATGGAGATCCATATTCATAGCTGAAAATCGGGTCTTGTGCAAATACGCAGATTTGAATATAACACTTGTCATAAAATTCTCTTTTCAATGCCAATCCAGCATCCAAGCATTTCATTCCCACACCGAAGTCTACTTCAACAAAAGCTCTCATATGGGTAACACCGTATTGGATACTCTCTTCAACCAAGGCCCTTCCCCTTTCCATAAGGTCATCGTGTTCGAAACGTGACTTAGCTTCACCTAAACACACCTAGTTCTTAGAATGAATAAAAAAGCGTTATGATGTGAGATCAATTTGATAATCGACGAAGCATGTAGAGAAAGACGAACTGGTTAATTTCATTGCCTCGGAAAAGTCGCCCTCGTTGATCTCTAAATCTGCATATTTTGGATGTGATAACAAAAAACACTTATCGAGATGTATATGAGGATGACACAAGCCAGGAACTATTAAGCGATAGTCGCTTTGCTTTCCAACTGTGGTGATTGAACGAATGGTACCTCCCAAGCAATGAACATCATAACATGAGTCCGAAGGTCTTCCGGGAATGTGAACATTTCTGAAGCTTGAGATATCATTTTCCCGTGGCAACGTCGATTGATTACCATTAGGCATGGAAATCTCAGACATCCTGATATTCTTCAAAGTGATATTGTATATACTCGTGTGTACTTTATGAAGGTTGTGTGGGGAATCATGATGGAAATTGGGGGGTGCAGTAGCGCATTTTTGAAGCTCTTGGAGCTACCGTACATCAGCCATCCTAGCATCAGTATCCTTCTTATCATTTTCTTTCAACTCCAAAATATTACAACAGCATTATAAGAAATCCTCAATCAGTGCCGATATTTTGTGCCAAAATGGCCGATCCCCTGTATGAGCTCCTCATTCCATATTTCGATAAACCCTCTCCACGACCGGCACCACCGTCGACTGATCCTACAATTGCCACCTATTTGAATCGGCTCTTTACCCTTCCACTCTCTTCACTCAATACTTCCGAGCCCCAGTCGCTTTCTCAAGCATCCCACTCCCTTCTACTGTCCCTACAAGCTTTGTCCAAACGTTCCCATAAATCAGTCATCACGTCTTCTGACCATTTATCGACACTCACTACCACTCTTCCTACTTTAGCGAAAGCCACCGCCGACTTACGAGATGCTCTTCCCAAATTGGACGATGCAGCTATTCATTTCAGTGAGAATTACAACAATCGAATTGAAAACGCTGTCCTCGATCGTCGACGGAAAGCTCTTTTACTGTCACGAAACGTAGAGAGGCTCGCAGATGTTCTCGACTTGCCTACCCTACTTTCTACCGCGATATCCTCTTCGAACACAACTGCTATCAGTACCACCGGTAGAGAAAACAATACATTAAATTATGCCTCTGCATTAGACCTCAACGCGCATATAAGACGGCTGCACGCAATATATCCTACTTCTCCACTCATAATGAGCGTTTCCTTACAAGCGGAGGATAAAATGCAATCTATGGCCACAAACCTCATATACTCCTTGCGACAACCCTCTCTTAAGCTGGCAGCTGCTATGCGCACGATCTCCTGGCTACGGCGTGTTGCTCCCGAACTCGATCCTTCCACAACTACGTCTGGCTTCGCGCAAACCCGAGAAGGAGCATTGGGCTCCTTGTTTCTCGTCTGTCGCCTTGCCAGTCTCACAGCTATGCTTAATGCACTCAGCCCTCTGCGGGACCTCGCTGATCAGGAATCATTGCGGCTAATATCATCGATGGGGAAGACAGGAGGGAACAAATTCGAAGCGGGACAACAGACGGAGAAGTATTTAAAACGCTACATTGAGATATTCCGAGAGCAAAGTTTTGCAATTATTTCCATGTTCCGCTCTATATTCCCACCCCCAACAGCTCCTGTCACAATAGAGGGGCTCAAGAATAATACGAGGGACAAGGAGGATGACGATTTACTGGGCCCATTACCAAGTGCCCTAACTACTTTTCCTCTTCAATTAGTTGGGATGTTGGAGGAGACCCTGAAATTATATCTACCCAATGTGAGGGATAAAGGTGGTAGAGATAGTTTGCTTACTCAAGTTCTTTACTGTGCCGGTAGTTTGGGACGATTGGGAGGGGACTTTAGCCTCGTGCTTGCGAATCTGGGAAGAAGAGCCAGCCAGGAAGAAGGATTAAACGAAGGAGAGTCCGATGATGACGATGATGAGGAATGGGCAGAGGTTATCAAAAAGCATAGGGTACTGGCGGGAAAACTGGAGTCTATGGTGGGATCTAGAGGGGAATAACTGTCATGCGATATGGCTTGGATGGCGGGGTTAATTATTTTATATTATTTTTCAAGATACCCAATCAAGTTAAACTGTAGCTTTATTAGCATACATCATAATTCACAACATCAACTTGTTAAACCAGTACTTGGATGAGTATCGAAAATAATGACTATCACATCTACACAATTTATAATCCCCATAACTGGTCGGGGCCGAAATCACGCTAAGCATGGTCTTGACCAATAAGAGAATGCCTGATTGTCATCCCTCAACTCCAAACAACCAAAATTCTTTGCCTTGTTTAAAGTAAGTTGATCCTCTTTAATAATACCGCCTCCATTTCCCTCTTATTATTACTCAAGCTTATCATGATCCATAACATAGTCAACCATGACTTTTGAGAACCATTGGTCTCGAGATCAGGCTACATGCCATCTGGAAAAGACTCGAGGTGGGTCGTCTGGCTGTCCATTCACACCAACCAGCCATCACGGAGTTCCGAAATACTGGGTTCTCCGCCTGGACAACTATACTACGATATTAATACACGCCTACATGAATCGAGACTTCATGAATGATATCAGAAAGGCAAGCTGCGATGAGCGATGCTTCATACGCAGCATACGACGTCATGGAAAAATCAAAACATGTGTGACTAAGAGCTCCCATCTTGAGAACTTTAGTAATGCGTTCGCAATTTTGAGAAGTGAAACACGGAAGTGCTGATTCACACTTAGTTGACAGGATGGAGCTTGAGAAGGATAACATAGGCGGCGAGGTCCACTGCATACCTGGCACTCAAGCCCCAACGACTTTCAACAGGCCCGTTTACTCTCGTTATCTACAATACAAGCATTGCCTGGAGATTTCTTTCTCGTCATGTGGTATATTTCATCATCGCTAACTTTGGTTTATTACGTCATTATTATACTCAGTATCTGGCGGTGCAATAGTTTGCATTCGACAACTCAACGATTGCAAGTAATCCGGATTTCAGGCACCCTGTGGCTGTGACATTTCCTTCGAGACAATTTGTCCATTTAGTCCGAAATGGTATGTGCAGGTATCTCTCTTACGGTATCCATGGCCTTCTCGGAATCCTTAGCCACGGATGACGTTCCGGAATTGTTTCTTCCAAGTCTCTCATCGCTTACAGTGACCTCTCCGTCCTTGTAGATAGCGCGTTGTTTCATTCTTGCGATATGACCTTTCACAGCTGTAACCGGTGCGAGGTAAGGTTTGAGGGTCGGAGCAAGTGGGAGATGACCTTTCACTTCTTTGTTTCTCATTGCGAGAAATCCGATAATGACTACGAGCCAGTAGAGGTTGTATGAGATGACAGAGCCATAGGTTGCGGAATTCTGCCATCCAAGAATAGCATTGAAAATCCCCCACCCGCCACCGCCATTCAACTCAGGGTTACCAAACTGGAATTGTTAGAACATACTTGCGCTGATGTTTTAACTTGACTTACGTTAACATGCCAAACACTTTGTCTAATATCATAAGAACCTGGTCCTGACCCAGTCTCTGCTGCATCGCCTCCGGTGGCATTGTTCCAGTTTTGTGCCTGGAAGAACCAAATTGCTCTTGAGAAGAGACCGGCAGCTACCAGATATAGGAGACATGTAGATACGATCAAGAAGTATTGAAGCTTTGATGTCGCGCCACCTCTGTATCGGGTTAGTCTGACCAGGAAGAATTATCGAAGGCCACTTACTTGTAGATCACAAATCCTGCCGCAAGTCCAGCAATAAGTCCGATAATGACTGGGAGCGGGATACTCGTCGCTGGAGTAGAAAAGGAAACACCTGCTACGAAGACGACGGCTTCAAGTCCTTCTCTCAACACGGTGATGAAAGGAAGAACGAACATGAAGTGTTTCTCCCCCCATACCTTGAAGTCAAGCCAGCTAGCATACCATCTTCGCGTTCTTGTATCTTCCGATGGCTCCAAGTGTTGGCGAAGCTTAGCAGTCCACTTATCCTTCATTTTCGTCACGCGAAGCAGCGCAGCTCCCATCAAAGTGATTATGATGGAGGCAACAATGGCAAAAGAACCTTCCCAATAGTACTCAGCACTGGACCAGGCATCTTTACCAATTCCATAGAAAGCTCCAATTAAACCACCACCAATAATCAAACAGAGAAGAAGTCCTGAGAGCGCTCCGTATATGACCTAGAAGCTGTTCAGCAGAGAAGTGGAGGTATCAATTGCAGAACCATGAGATGTTCCTACCTGCCGAAAGAGCTTCTTGCGGAGTGTCGCATCTTTATCAGAGTCGCCCAAACTCTGCTTGATGAATGCGAGTAAAACTGAAACAATTACGACCGTCTCCAAAGACTCTCGAAATACGACGAAGAATACTGGCACCGAGAAGACACTGACAGTCATGTTTACTATAAGGCCTGATTTATTCTTTTGCGTGGGCTAATGAGATTGTAAATTTGCAATCGCACGCTGCAACGAAGGGAAAAGAAACCTAACTCTTAAAGAGGAATTTGAGTACTAGTAACGAGTACGGAAGTCTGGTGCATTTATCCAATTTTTTCAGCAAACTGAACAAGGAAAGAGTGGACCTAGATCTGATAAAAACAAACGAGGATCTGATTACAGCTAGACAGGACGGACCAGGTCTGACCGGTCAAGTGGAAAAATTGTTGGAGCTTAAGCTACCTCGCGGAGTCGTGGCCAAATGAATTAATTGCGTTAACCCTTGCTCAGAGAAATAGGGAAGTTTCCTGCAATAATACTTTTCAAAATCTCTGCCCTGTTATCGGTTGGTGATGCATGTTGGCATGACACTCGGAAATGTTGATTGGTCGATATGAAGAGGTCGGAAAGCACAAAACTTTCCAAAGTATTGATATCCTTGCCATTGATATGTGACCGAAAACGAGATCATTTGGTACACAGGGCGAGGGCATTTCATTATGAATCTTGTTCTACTCAAATATACATATAAGTCTGATATATGTTTAAATTGAAAGAGTTAAAGAGGCAGTTCTAAAGAGGTCTTTTAAATAATTCTCACTTTCTGAATCTTTGATGTTATGTTAGTTCTACGAGACCATTTGGGACATTTCTGTTCGAAAATTTAAGCTTTGCTAGTCCTCGTAACAAGCTGTTCGCAAGAATTGTGTGAGGGATTATTATTCGGGTCCCTAGTAAACATGAAAGCTTATATTCCAGTGGGCTTCTAGTTTCATGCTTATCCTCTAGCCTAACCCTTTGCTACTTAGTCTCACAAGCTAATTCGATTATTCGGTGAGATAAGCAGAGATAATTTATTATCAGATCATCAGATGGTCAAATTACTATGTATTCTTTTCATTTTGCCGTATTTGAGGCTTGAACATGTACGGTACAGTGTACTCGTGCGGCCAGAAAGTATGAAAATCTAAACGCCAGGGAAGAATTGTTCTTATTGATCAAACTGCCCCATTCTCAAGGGTTTCCCTTCTTTCTTCATAGTGGTTGACACTAACACTGATTTGACATCGGAGTTCTATACTTTGTGGCAGCACCGAGTACATGTACCATGTAGGCTTCATTCAAATTTTATTATTTTTGCTGCAGATCGCAAAAAGGTTCTTGCAATCAAGAGCTTATTGCATCTTTGCAATTTAAACAAGACTTTATTACTCTTGGCTATGTCCTCTACTAGGCCTCTAGATCGAATGTCGCTCCACACAGTCTCGCAGCTCGTCGGTCGTTGGTCCGGATTACGCTAGATATCTTATCAGATCATCTGATAATAAAAAATTTAGATCCCGTCACTCATCTACTTCGGTTTTCAGCAAAGTTTTCGAATATCCACTTTCCGACCTAATCGGCAGCTTTGGACGAGGTCGTTGATTTCTTTTCTCACGTGTTGACATAGCTCCCACCGTTTACCTACAAAAATAAACCCGTGTCTCAAGAGGTCTTTTCCAATCTTCCACCCTTTTTGGCTGATAATCTCGATCAGTAGGAAGATGGCGATTCCCCTATCACCCTTTCACATTTTATCGGCGCTGCTTCTGGCATTCTCACTTCTCACAGAAGCGGCAACTGTTACTTATGACTTCAATATCACTTGGGTTAGAGCAAACCCGGATGGCGCCTATGAACGTCCAACCATTGGCATCAATGGGAAATGGCCATTACCTGTCATGAGGGCAAACGTTGGTGACCAAGTAATTGTTAATGTTGACAATCAACTTGGCAACCAAACCACAACCCTTCATTTCCACGGTCTTTTCATGAATGGCACTAATCACATGGATGGTCCTGCACAAGTAACTCAATGCGGTATTCCATCTGGCTCAAGATTCGTCTACAATTTTACGGTAAGTCAATCGAAATGCCAATGACCATCCACTGAATCAATTTTAGGCTGACCAGCCTGGGACTTATTGGTACCATTCTCACGACAAGGGCCAATACCCAGATGGACTCAGAGCGCCATTCATAATCACGGATCCAGACTTTCCATATGCGGATGAGGTCGACGAGGAAGTCGTTCTCTCAGTCTCAGACTGGTACCACAAAGAGATGCAGGTATGGATTCCTAAGTTCCTTGGGGTTGAAAATCCAACCGGAGCAGAACCCGTCCCACAAGCTGTTCTTCTCAACGACACTCAAAACATCACTGTCTCAGTAAAACCTGGTACGACGTACCTTTTCCGCGTGGTCAACATTGGTGCTTTTGCTGGCCAGTACATCTGGTTCGAAGGCCATAACATAACTATCGTAGAAGTAGATGGCGTCTGGACTAAAAAGGCCGAGGCAGAATCTATCTATGTCGCTGCAGCTCAGCGATATAGCTTTTTGCTCACTACCAAGAATGACACCTCAGCGAATTTTGCTTTTGTTACAAGCATGGATACAGTAAGTAAAATCTATCTCAAGGGGAACATTTTTTACTGAAACATTTTAGTCCCTGTTTGACGTACTGCCTGACGACTTGAATTGGAATGGAACGGGGTGGCTCGTCTACGACGATACTAAAGCTCTACCAGACGCCGCATTTGTCGATGAATACAATGATTTTGACGATTTCAATCTCGTACCTTATGATGAAATGCCTTTACTTCAGGAACCTCATCAGACAATCAGTTTCGATGTGGTCATGGATGTGCTCGGAAATGGTAAACCATAGTAAGTGATACTTCCATATTGATACACCACAGTGCTGAGCCTTAGAAGTGCATTTTTCAACAACATTACATATGTCTCCCCAAAGGTCCCTACACTATACACAATTATGTCTGCCGGAGATAATGCTGCTGACGCTGCCGTTTATGGAGAGTTTACCCATTCTTTTGTTCTTGACTACGAGCAAACGATCGAAATCGTTGTAAATAATCTTGGTAAGCACAAATCTATAATCGTCGAAACCAACCACATAACCTCCGCCCTATTGCTACGAAATATACCCCTAAGATATTTTCTAACGCCCTCAGACTCTGGCAAGCATCCTTTCCATCTTCACGGCCATAACTTCCAGGTAATCCAGCGCTCCGACGAAGATGCGGGCATATTTGACTCCACCAACACCACCCAAACGACATACCCGTCCACTCCCATGCGCCGCGATACAGTCGTCCTTCGTCCATCTGGTCATCTCGTCCTCCGTTTCAAATCCGACAATCCGGGCGCCTGGCTCTTCCACTGCCACATTGAATGGCACGTCGACCAGGGACTCATAGCAACAATGATCGAGGCGCCTCTCCAACTCCAAAAATCTCTCACTATTCCCGCGAACCACATTGCTGCTTGCGAAGCCCGTGGCATACCATACACAGGTAACGCGGCGGCTAATACGGTGGATTTTTTGGATTTGAAGGGTGCTAATGTGGCGCCGAGACCGTTGCCCGCGGGTTTCACGGCGAGGGGTATCGTGGCCTTGTTGTTTAGTTGTCTGGCGGCATTGTTGGGATTGGCTACTATTACGTGGTATGGTTTGGCGGAGATGGGGGATGCGGATAAAGAGGCTGAGAAGAAGAGATTAGAAGGGGAAGGGAGTGGAAGTGGAAGTGGAAATCGTGAAGCGGTGTTTGTTCCGGAGGTTGTTCCTGTGAAGCAATAAGATGGCTGATGGAATTCTAACTGTCTTTTTATTTTCAAATGCGTGGAGAAGATGCTACATGCCTGATGCTGATATCGTGGAGGTTACGAGAAAACGAAGCGTAAAAAATACATATGATGAAATGATAATACCCCTGCTAATTTTAATGATGCTATAATGTATATCGAATTATTTTATGAGATGAAAAAAGGATCGAGAAGGGAAACGACAAACGACGATGAATTCGATAATAAGATTACAATAGTACTGATACGTATTATAGCTAATATCAAGCTCAAACCATTGTTAAAAACATCTAAGCTTACCTAGGTAGCTTTAGCTATTACATACCCATCCTATCAATCATGCTTGTAATTATAACATACGGTTCCTCCATCGAGGAAATAAGATTTGCCATTTCGTATGTATTCGAAGTGTATGCATTGTAGTCTATCACGATATTATCGGCAGCCATATGAAATCATCATAAGATTTTACATTACTTTTTATTTTGGGTTAATTAATAGCTACTTGCTTTTTATAAGATTTTTAAGGAAGGTGCTGGCGTAACATTAAATTTATGTAATTACTGGATGTTTAGGTATGTATGTACCTATCGGATCATAGATCGTAGGTTTGGATAATTATATTCAAGTTTACAAGTAAGTAAGTAGGAAGATATTTGGATGTTGATATAAACAATCGGTTTTCGAGGAATACATGGTTGACTTTCATCTATCATGCTTTTCATGCATTTACTGTCTCTGTTTGAAGACTCGGCAAAGGGATCTAGACTCATGTTGCGGACACTGTACTACACAAGTGCTGATAGCATGGGGAGTAAAAGATCTAGCAAAACTCACTACTGACTCGATCCCTATGTCCAGCCTATTCGTCCAAATTTTATCAAACTCTATTTAATTAGATCACTTTACAAAACAGATATAAGTATTCATAGATTTGGGTATTTGTATTAAGAAAGTAGTAGGAAGGTAGGATAGCTAGCTACAAAAATATGAAAGAAAAAAAGTTGATAAACGCAGGTGTACATGCGTAACGTGGAAGTCATCCAAACGATGCACTGCCCTATTTGTTGACTGCTATGCTGTGATCCTGTTTGCTCATGATTTTATGACACCGAATATTTTTTCCAGGTGGCAAACCAGGGCCATAATCGACGTACCTTGTACGCCTGAACACCACAAAAATGCGTCATATGAATCGTGTGAAGTAAAACGCCCCGACGGAATTATTGTACGAAATATTGACGAAGTGTTGAGCTGGATCATGTACCCGGTGGTGGTGGTGGCTGTTGACCAGGGAAGGCAAATCCAGGAGGGAACATTGGCAGCCCATTAGGAAGAGTCGGGAGAGGGTAAGGAAATGAGCCCAGCGGAAATGGTGGCATGACAGGTGGAACAGTGTTGGCGGGGAATTTGGGACCTTCGTCCCGACGATCATCCCGACGATCATCTCGATCACGACGATAACGAGGTCTCTCATCCTCCTCATATTCGCGACCAGATTTTGGACCATTCTTTCCACCATTGTCGGTTTGCATGCGACGACTGATTGCCTTGGACGAAACACCTTGACCAATTTCAATATCAGGCTCTTCGACAACCATGCCAGGTTCAATTTCTTGACCTCCACTGCCACCATATTCTGCATTGAGCATCCATTTTCGGTCCGCATCTGTAAGTTTGCTAATTGGGATGATGCTGATACCTGTTTGATAATCACTGCAGTCGCGTGGCCCAAAACCTACCCCCCAACGAGTCTAGAATTTAACGTTAGCAAAGAATTTGACGGAAGGTATTTATATGTGATGTACATACCCTCAACGAAGAGTCAGGACTTCGGTTCTTTTCCATGGCCTCCTTGGCATTGACAGCATGCTCGCGACTAACCATTTTAACAAAAGCGTGGCGCTTTTCCTTGTTGACAATACAAGTTTGCACATCGCCATATTGATTGAAGAGTGATTTCAATTCGTGTTCGGAAGAACTTTAAAAAGTCAGTATGGACAAATCAAATCTTCGAAAGACAACATTCGAAGTGATAAAGACTAGGCATTGACTTACGTAACTCCACCAACGAACAAGGTGCGACTGAGAACTGTACATTCTGTTAGAATTGTTTCGATCAAAAATACAAGAGAAATGATAACTTACCTTTGATATTTCCTTTACCAATTGATGCATCATGTCCAACCCATTTTGGTCCACCGGTACTTGATCTAGGAGGTGTATTGCTGCGACGGCGTTGGGGGCTGCGTTGCCGGTAATCATTACCTCGGCCACGTCCACCTCTACCGCGATCATCAGCACCTCTCAAACGTGCTGGAGATTCTCTATCAAAATCATCACGACGACGAGCATTAGGAGAATCACGGCCACCCCAACCACGTTGAGGAGATGGAGATCTAGAACGACGACGATAACGACCAGGTGGTGATCTCATAGAATCATGGAAACCATTTCGGTCACGTGCATCATCTCTGACACCCCAATTATTTTGAGTATGAGTATTTTGATTTTGAGCAAACGGAGGTGGCACGCCAGCTGCAGCTCCTTGATTACCCATAGCAGCTAAAATACCAGCGATTTGTTCAGCTGGAACACCAGTTGCCGCAAGTGCCTTGATTAAAGCTACCTGCTGTTGCGTAGCTGGATCGAGATTACCGGGAGGATTCATTGGTGGAGCACCTGGGAAAGGGTTTGGATTACTGGCAAAGTTCGGGATTCCATTACTTGGAACTTGACCATAAGCAGGCATCGAAGTAGCTGGGGCGTTTACAGGTTGAGGAGCAACCGAGAAGGGCAAACTCTGGTTTAATGCTTGAGGTGGTTGAGTAGGATTATTCTGCGCATGTGATACATTGTATGGATTAACAGGTGGGGCAGAAGCAACTGGAGTTGGAGTAGGATTTTGACGGGCAGTATTCGCCATAGTTGCAAGAGCTGCTAAAATCGATGATGTGTTAGGGGGCGCAGATGCTGTTTGTGGAGGTGCCATAGTCGAGGTTGATGAATTTGGTTGTAAACCCAAAGTTGCTTGAAGACTTGGAGGACTTCCTGTGGGTGTTGTACTTTCTACATGGTGGGTGAATTATGGTTAGATACACGACAACATGGTCTTCTATCAGGATCATATGTGACAATCTTACCATTTGTTGCATCCAACTTCTCTTTAAATCCATTCAACATTTGAGAAGGGAAGGTTTGTCCTTTTTCCCAGATATCAACTAATTTTCTAATCTTGTCCTACAATAACAAGAAATGTCAAGTAAGTAGGAATTCATATGGGGGAACAGTGAATAAAGAAGGTGCACAATGATATCTCGGTTGAGGAATATGTATGATATCTTGGAAGCAAATTTTCACGCAGACATAGGACATAGCTATGCTGGAAACTACTCAGTTCGAGCACTTTGAATATACTGGCGTACCTTTTGATCATTGGGAGCAGATTGGATTATGTCGTTCATAAAAGCGGGGAGCAATTCCTTTACTTTATGTACACCAGCAGCATATGTACCATCCGGAGCAGAACTATTTATGGTTTGTGAAGCAAGTTTGGCTTGTTCGGTCCATTTTCGAGTTACAGAGTCTACGACGTAGAGGGTGCCAAGTTTGTGTGTTCCGGGTGTCTTCTTAAAGTGAACATATAATTTCTGAACCAAGGCGGATTCTTGCTACAAAGAGAATAGGATATTAGCTACAGCTCGCAGATAAGGAGATGGAGAGAGATGGGAGAGCCGCGGTAGGGTGATGGTGGAGATGGAAGTTTGGGAACATTGGATCATTCGCATACCTGAATATTTTGGGTGCAGAGGTTTGTCAGGCTTTGAATTCGAGATCCTGATACACCAGGGGGTTTCAATTGTACCATGGCTTGAAGGCCAGCTTCTAATTCTGCTACTGGGGAAGACATATTGAATATGACTCCTCAACCACTGAAGATATGGACTCAGTTCTTCAAATCAACGCGACGAATTGTTATCGATGAGGTGACAATAAATCTAGATTACTCTCTATGATTTGATTCTTCACCAACTCGATTCCAGATACTGGGCTACGATGAAAGATTTGATGAACGGATCTATCGCGACTACGGATCTGCGACCGTCACGTAAAGTCTAGAGTTCTTACGAACCCCGATGATATTTTGGAGAAATATGTGGCAGAAGGTAGAAATCGCTACTAATGTAACGATGTTTTGATTACTTTTCTTTTCTGGTAGATTACCTCAGGTGCAAGTAGATGGAACCAAATAAGTTTGGGAAGATTGAAGTTGTTGACGTTGAAAAAAGGTTGGAGTTTTGTAATAACTTGTAGTAGCTTCGATGGCTCGATTAACCATTAAGTAAAAGGGAAGGGCTTGTTTTTCATGCCGCTAGTTAGTCATCCATGGACTCAACATCACGTGACTAATACAGAATAATCATCGATGGATGTTTGACTCAAACAACCGAGGTCAGGAAAGTGAATAAATAACATGAACGGTTGAATAGAAGAGTTGGACAGAAGAAGTTAAAAAATGTAAAAAAAATGAGACAAAACAAAGAATATGATTGGTTCAAGGCAAGATAATAGAATTGAAACGAAAAGAACGTATAATACCTACCTATTGAAGTTGGAATTTCTTTTCTACGTAATTAATATCTTGGTAGATACGGTATGGTATGACTTACTACTTACTCAATAATCATTCACTTTGCGGATTCTTTCGCTGTTTTATAATATAGCCAGCGCAAATTACTAAACTCACTCTGTCCCGCCATATCCATACGGTATTTCATTCAATCAACCAGTTGTGCGGAAAAGTCGTTCTCTATTCAAGGAACCAATTAAATTGAGGAAATTGCTTAATTTCTGCGATTTGTGGGGATTTCCGTCTCACATTTCGGAATAACTCGTGTTCATATAATATCAAAAGTTGACGTAGTTCATGCATATTGCATTGGTTTGGTCGGTCTTAACTCACGCTAGCGGATTTCCTAGCTTTTTCTCCGTCCACAAGCCGGAATCTGTTCTTAAATTTCTACTCCATCATACCTGCAATTTTGCATTTTTTATTGCAATTACCACAAATCTTTCAAGATGGCATCCCTTCGTATCGGTCAAGCTGCTCTTAGAGCATCCATTAGAGCTCCAAAATTCGGTGCAAAATCCGCTGCCTTTAATGGCTTGCGATGCTATTCATCGAAAACTCAGGTATACCCGAAACCTTTCGTCATGCGCACAAATCAATTTTTACTAATTATTCTTCACTCCTAGACTTTGAAGGAGCGTTTCGCCGAGCAACTCCCAGAGAAGATTGAGCAAATCAAAGCTCTCCGCAAGTAAGAAAAATCTATCTTATCGATGACCGAAAAACGGCACACATAGCATTTATACATACTTATACTCGCAGGGGTTATGGAAGCAAGGTCGTTGGCGAGGTTACTTTGGACCAAGTCTACGGTGGTGCTCGTGGTATCAAGTCATTAGTCTGGGAAGGGTCAGTTCTCGACTCCGAGGAGGGTATCCGTTTCAGAGGAAAGACTATTCCAGAGTGCCAAGAACTCCTCCCCAAAGCACCAGGTGGACAAGAGCCTTTGCCAGAAGGTAAGAAATTATATGACATCCATTTTCATGCGCAGTGGCTAATATAACCCGAGGTCTTTTCTGGCTCCTTTTGACCGGTGAAGTCCCAAGCGAGCAACAAGTTCGCGATCTTTCCGCTGAGTGGGCCGCTCGTTCCGACGTACCAAAATTCGTCGAAGAGCTCATCGACCGATGCCCAAGCGATCTCCACCCAATGGCACAATTCTCCCTCGCTGTCACTGCTCTTGAGCACGAGTCCGCATTCGCCAAGGCTTATGCTAAGGGAATGAAGAAGACCGAGTACTGGGGTCACACTTTCGAGGACTCAATGGATTTGATTGCCAAGCTCCCCACCATTGCCGCCAGAATCTATCAAAACGTCTTCAAGGGCGGAAAGGTCGCTGCTGTCCAAAAGGACAAGGATTACTCCTTCAACTTTGCCAACCAACTCGGATTTGGCGAGAACAAGGACTTCATTGAGTTGATGAGATTGTACCTCACCATCCACACCGATCACGAGGGTGGTAACGTCTCTGCCCACACCACTCACTTGGTTGGATCTGCTCTTAGCTCTCCAATGTTGTCCCTTGCTGCTGGTTTGAACGGTCTTGCTGGTCCTCTCCACGGACTCGCCAACCAGGAAGTCTTGAACTGGCTCACCAAGATGAAGGCTGCTATTGGTGATGACCTCAGTGATGAGGCCATCAAGAACTACTTGTGGTCTACTCTTAACGCCGGTCAAGTCGTTCCTGGTTACGGTCACGCCGTTCTCCGCAAGACCGATCCCCGCTACATGGCTCAGAGAGAATTTGCCGAGAAGCACTTACCATCGGGTAGGCCACAGTCGACCACGTGATTTGGCAATTTCGAACTAACAAACATTCACAGACCCTATGTACAAGCTTGTCAGCCAAGTTTACAAGATTGCTCCAGGTGTTCTCACTGAGCACGGAAAGAGTAAGTTCATTCTATATTTTGGATGGCACCCGAGGTTATGGAGGGGTGGATGGCCGCCCCGCATTTCCTTAACCCCTCCCTACCCCTGTCATACCCCCTCACATCCATTTGCCCCGACCAATTTTGGAATATCTTCACTGACTTTATATCCTTCTCCTTTACAGCCAAGAACCCATTCCCTAACGTGGATGCTGTAAGTTGACAACCATCCCCAAAGATCCATATGTAATAACTGACGTTTCCCTAGCACTCTGGTGTCTTGCTCCAATACTACGGTTTGACTGAGGCCAACTACTACACTGTTCTCTTCGGTGTATCCCGTGCTATTGGTGTCCTTCCACAATTGATTATTGACCGAGCTGTTGGATCCCCAATTGAGCGCCCCAAGTCCTTCTCCACCGAGAAGTGGGCCGAGATTGTTGGAGCCAAGTTGTAAAAAGGGTAGTAAAAGAATTGGAGGTTGAGGGGGAAGTAAAATTTCTGGTATAACATGGGCGCCCTGAATTAATGACCTAAAGGAGATGAGCGGCGCTGACTCGATAGAACCAACCATTGTAAAATTGTAGAACCGTTTTTTTTTTGTTTTTTTTTTCAAAAAGTTGAGTTGAAGGTGCCCTAGAGCAGGAACACGCACTTTTACTTATCCTCACGATGTTCCTGTGTACATTTCATCAGCCTGCTTTTACTCAATAATTGAACTCCACTATCAATTATTTACTTTATGTGTTACTGAAATATCCAGAGTTCGACAAAGACATGATACACCACAACTCTAAATGGAATTGGCTGTAGCGAACCCTTTCAGACATGCAACCTGATTTAGACATATGATTACTCTCCCAAAATGTCCCAAAATCCAGCACCAGCTTAAACATCTAAAACATTCCAAAGATCCAGCCCATTCCACACGCCTCGATTCACGTGTCGACATTAACTTGGTTATTTAAGATTAAGCTATCTAGAATAATTACCCATTTGAGTTTACTTATGGCTGTCGGTCTCAAAAACTCAACCTGAAATCGGCGACGGAACGGCATTCTGGATAGCCAACTGGGGTTGGAAGCCTTTTGCTGTCGTTAGGATATGTAGGTAGGACGATATCATGGTTCGGAAATCATTGTATTTTAGAAAAGTTTGGGGAATCTAAGATTGGGAGTATGTGGGCGATGGATCTGAGGATCAACGACGGAAGATGGGGAGCATTGTAGAATATTTGGTGATACAAGCAAGGGATTGGTTAATTGGAGAGAAGATATGATATCAGGCAAAGTTCGAAGATGACATGATTATCGGTGGGACAGATATGGAGATAGGGAGGGAAATGAGACGGAACTAAGGCAGCCAAGAAGATGCAATGTGAGAGGTCCTTGACTCTATTTTTGGAGGGCAATGATCTATATATTCATTCCTCAAAATAGAAAAAGATTGCCTTGGATTTTCAAAAGCGAAGCAGCATTGACTGCTATTCGGAGCGATTGTGAAGCAACTCTGAAGCAACTCTGAAGCAACTCTGAAGCTTCTAAAACCTAAATATATTGAGATAACTGACAGAGGTACCTTGGCGGCGCTTAGTAAGAGACGTTCGACTAAGTAACCTTTTTCTTGACTCTTGGAGGTGTGTTGTGTCTTCCATAGATGAAGGTTGTCTTGCAGTCGCAACAATGGTTGTTGGAAGGTATTTTGACCATAGAGGAGATATCCTCGAGCACTTGGGATACAAGGGAAGACTAATAACTCACATTAGTTCTTACGAGAAGTGAATGAATGAATTCGAAATCCAACTTTTGATCATAAATAGATCATCAACATTCTCATATCAATTCATAAATGCCGGAACCACACAGAATTACGGTGAAATCTCCAGGAATGCATATATCATTGGCAACGCGATGTTGTACGTGCCGATGACCTGCCGGGCAGCAAAGCACCTACTCAGTACGCTAATACTAATGGAAGATCTAACTTGACCAAAACTAATAGATACAGTAAGTAGGTACCTACTCGGCGGTATCTATCTATCTATGCAATGCATATGCCAGCAATCACATTCAAGACTTCTTGGAAGAAGCCAATGGTAAGACACAAAACAGAGATCAGTTGCTTCTTCCAATCCCGATATATTTCCTGAAACCCCGATCGCACATGTACGGGAGAAGAGCTGCAAATAAACCAAGTACCTAATAATAAATTCCAACCGGAGTTCCCCAAAGACATAAACACTGCTGTTAAGTCTATAATAAGGTGGTGATGAAGCAACACATGCAATTCGTTGAGCTTGAGCTTCTCAACAAATGGCCGAGGCTGTCAAGGTTGTTCCATTCTTTTCTTCTAGTGCCCGAGCAGCTGTCTTGGTAGGGTTAGGCTACCCAAACAAGGTTGCAAGGCGGGCAGAGAGGAAGGGCTCGGGGGCCCGAGTTGAAGTGAAGTTCAATATTTTATTCTAGCTTATTCTTCTGTTGTGGAGTTGAGAGAGGAGAGAGGAGAGAGGAGAGAGGAGAGAGGAGAGAGGTTTTTGGCAATAGAAGATTGTAGGTTGGAATGAAATGGCACAATGTCAACAACAAACTATAGACTTTTCTTTCAACAGAATTTCGTAGATATTTCCCTTCATTCAATTTCTTCTCGCATCCTCACATTCAACCCCCAAAGAAAAAGGTTACAGTAATCGCAATATCAACAATTCCGACACCCTGTATCTCTATCTTATCAGGGGCCACATACCGGCACCGGCCAAAAGTTAGGGTCCACCTGGTCTTTCACTGGCTTCTTAGCTTCTCATTTTCCCTACGCGTAGTAAAGTACGGAGTAGTACATAGATCTAAACACATCACCTATAACCTTTTCCCTCCCTCTTATTTACATTTCCAACAATCATCAATCTTTCTCTCCTCTTCCTTTCGAACAATCCGCTAACTCACCACCCCTTCACCGCGAAGAAGCAACCTATTCCCTTGGTCAGGGCCCCAATCAAAACAACATCTACCTTATCATGTCCGCCGTCACAGCCAACATGCCCATTGTCGGCAAGCCAGTTATCCCAGAGAAGAAGCCTGTCAAGTTCTCAAACTTGCTCTTGGGTGCTAGTTTGAATCTCTTCGAGGTGACGACCTTGGGCCAGCCATTGGAGGTTACGAAGACTACTATGGCTGCCAATAGAGGAGACTCTTTCGCCGGCGCGCTGGGTAGAATTTGGGGTAGAGGTGGTGTTCTTGGATGTATGTTCTTTTTTTTTTTCTTGTTTGTTTTTCTTTGATAGATTTCACGTTTATGCTGTGAGAGTAATTTATTCAAGCATTTTTCTTCATATTTCCAAGCTGCGAGAATTACAGCTGACAATAACCCCACCATAGTCTACCAAGGTCTCATTCCATGGGCCTGGATCGAAGCCTCCACCAAAGGTGCTGTCCTTCTCTTCGTCGCCTCCGAAGCCGAATGGTATGCCCGCTCTTTCGGTGCTGGTGAATTCACTGCCGGTATCACCGGAGGTGTGACTGGTGGTATCGCTCAAGCTTACGCCACCATGGGATTTTGCACCTGCATGAAAACAGTCGAAATCACCAAGACCAATATGGCGAAGGCCGGTGTGAAGCCCGATGGTACAATGACCACCTTCATGAACATCTACCGCAAGGAAGGTATCAAGGGAATTAACAAAGGTGTCAATGCCGTGGCCATTCGACAAATGACAAATTGGGGTAGTCGTTTCGGATTGAGTCGATTGGCGGAAAGTGGAATTCGGAAGGTGACTGGAAAAGGCGAGAATGGAAAGTTGAATGCTTGGGAGAAGATTTTGGCGAGTGGATTGGGTGGTGGTTTGAGTGCTTGGAACCAACCTATTGAGGTTATTCGTGTCGAGATGCAGAGTAAGACGGTGGATCCTAACCGTCCAGCTAAGATGACGGTCGGCAACACTTTCAAGTATATTTACGGTCAGAATGGGATTTCGGGTCTTTATCGTGGCGTTGTTCCTAGAATTGGTTTGGGCGTTTGGCAAACGATTTGTATGGTTGCTATGGGTGATATGTAAGTTCTTCCTCCTGGTCTTGCCTCTGACCCAAAAACATATACTAACACAAAACCAACAGGGCGAAAGCTTATGTCGAGAAAGTGACAGGTGAAACGGTCACCGCTAAGCATTAAGGCGTTTTGGGATGGAGCACACTCGATATACCTAGCATGCATGCACACACATCTTCCGGGTTTTCTGCAATGAATGGGATGGATGGATAAACTCTGGATCTTATAATGAACCAGAGATAAGAGGATATGATTATGATTTTGGTATGCGATGCAGTGCAAATGCAATGCAATACAATACAATTAATAGACAACTTTAGGTGTAGTAGATAAATGATGTAGGGTCAGCCCATGCGGACTAATACAGTACGATTGAATTGAAACGAGATGTTTAAAGATGAGTATGTGCCTTGCAGCTGCATGTACGATGTATTGATATTTGCCCTCGCCATTATCCCTCCCATCTTCCAATCCTATACTTTCTTTTCAACTCAGTGCATTGTTTATCCTACCCTCGTACGAGGTACATTTATATGCATAATATTGATTTATTTAAAACTCACTGCTTGTGTACCTTCCATACCGGTACTTGTACTCTTACCCTTTTGCAAGTATGTAGAGGCTTGTTTAATAATAAACGGGTCTCTAATTATAAAAATGGACATTTTGGATTTTTGATGTAATCATATGGATGAGAGAGGATGGGGTTGGGGTCGAGGAAAGGGGATTAGGCGAAAAGATGAGTAGAGATAATTTGTATTGTGAAAATATGTTTTTCTGGGGAACGGTGGGGGGATGTTTAGGAAAAGGAAAAGAAGGGGGAGGAGGAGGACGAGGTTAGGGGGAGAGGAAAACTTTTGTTTTTTGAAAAAGAAAAGAAAAATATATAAAAATTAATAAAATCGGTGAGGTGAGGTGAGGTGAGGTGGTATAGGTGTATAAGTATAAGTATAAGGATTGGTTGGGTTGGGTTGATGTGGAGATGGACATGGAGGAATAATGGGAAGAAGACGATGATATTATTGAATATCGAATATCGGATATTACTTTCGTAAGATAAGATTACTGGAGAGTTATGAGGAAGGAGGAGGAAGGAGGATATAGTTTTATGATTAGGATTTGAGGATTGAGATTCGAGTATCGTCTCGGTCTTGGTCTTTTGGAGTGGATTATGGGGTTATATATTGTGTTGTTTTATATTATGCTGTGTTATGTTATGTTATGTTATGTGAGTGACGTGACGTGAGTGGGTTAATGATCATTAGGTTATTTCAGTGGATAGGGAGAAATATGAGCTAGTTTGAGAGAGGGGGGTTGGAGGTGCGGGAAGCTTGGAGCTGTGATGTTGTGGTGGAATGGATGGTGGAATAGAATGGAGGGTGATGGATATTGGATTTATTGGATGGAATGGGATTTAGTTGTTTTCATGATGGATATTTATTGAAAAGGGAAGGGAAAAATATGGTTGGAATGTTGTGTTCATTGATGTTGAGAGGTAATGGAAATACATGAAGCAGGTAGGAAGTAGGAGTATTGGTGATGGTGATGGTGTAACGTATATATATGTTTGGGATGAAATAATACTCCATTCATTTTAGTATCTCAAAGGAGAGAAATATGACATGTTCTATAAGTTTTAACATCTCTCTATCTTATATATTGGACGAGGAGAGATTCAGATAACTTCAAGTGCATTCTAGAGCCAATTCCTAGTTTGACGACCGACGTAGAACGCCTAGGATGCTGAAGATTGCTGAGCAGATGGTTGGAGCTCAACCCACGATGCTTCGACAACTTCTACCATTCAAGTGCTAGCATAGGGTACACGTGGTGGTATAGCAGCAATAACAAGTTTTGCTCAGACAATGAATTTGCTGCTTTTTTGACTCGAGTTCAATTTATCCACACCAACACCAGAATCTTTCCTTTCATGCACTAGTATCACAACCGTTGCACACATCCTTCAATTGTTCAAACATGTCAAGCAAATAAACCATTCCTTGATTACCTTAGCACCTCGATAGATGAAAAGTAAAATCATTGCACTGTTCTCAGTCAATGCATCTTGAATCCTGGCACTACCATTTCATCGAGGTTGAAGCAAAATACATTTTGAAGAGGTATCGCCCATCCAACAAAATATCAAAATTGAAAAAGGAAAAAAACATACAACAGTAGGGATTCGCTGGTGGTCACCCACCCAACTACTAATCTACCGATCTGAAGCTTGTGTATGGCAGAGCGGACGGGATGCCCAATTCTCTTCAGTCTATGGTCGTATGTGACAGAGAGTCATTTACTAGTAACTATATTCCCTTTTGCTATGAATATCACGCTGTAGCAACAACTAAAACAAGCAGATACTGAGTAGGTAATCAAACATCATTTGCCCAAAGCCGAAAGATTCCAAATAATCGAAAACCTGGATCCTCAATCCGCATTTAGATTAATGCCGACTTCTATTACATACACGTTATGATATCAAGACATCTGAAAACAGGGTTAGTGAACTACTTTTCCATGATACGTATCGTATCATGCGAGACCACCTCCAGGTCAAGCTTCTTGCCCGAACGGCCAAGAATACCTTGTCTGGAAATGCTCCATAACTTATGCAGGCAGATAGGAAAACCTGGGGGTACTTTCATCCAAATTTGTATTAATGTTTTGAAATATTGAGGAGAGTTTGGTTGAAAGTTGAGAGATGACGGCGAGGCAGGTAAATATAGTGATCGACTATTATAAGCGCTGAAAAGGAGGAACTACACAGCCACGAGCGTTCGACTCAAAGGCAAGCATAAAAAGACTCCGGCATAGTAGCCAGACGCACGGCGCCTCTTTTTCAAAATCCGGAAGCCATTCGTCCTTCAGAGTCCTTTTATCATAAAGCTAACAGCGACCCAAACTGTTCTAGATTGCCTTGTCCATTCTAAGCATAGACCTAACGATTCTAAGCGCACTGAATTTCAGTTCAATTGCCGGCCTTTTTGGCATTTAACGATTTTGAAGCTTCCATTTCTAAGGAAGAGATCCATTTACAAACCTTCTGCCGTGCATCTGACTTTGAATCCATATACCTTATTTGACGATACTGTTATAGTCTCTGACGTTCAAGATCTGCCATATATTCGAAGCGCTTGAGGCCATTTGAGGGCGAAAAATTATGCTTCTTATAGAACTATTCTGGAATTAGTTCCATATAGTCCGTCCATATATGCTACATAAAAATGTCTGAGCTACAGGAACTAGCCCATTTTCTCTCCATCGGCGTCTTCAAGCCTTCTAACCACATCTGCAAGATCATTCAGTTGTCAAAATGTCAACTTTGAATACGTCCACATATCGGATTTTATCCAAGCAATAGTCTTAGCTGAGTCCAGCTAGTTTGGGTCCAGATGTAAACCACTAACACATCTCTAGATACGGGACTTCTCTCAACGGTCCTGTTTGACATGTGTCCGGGAGAAAACGGTGTCTACCATCCGGCCAAAATCCCACAGAAAAGGACACTCGTTTTCCAAGTGCATGAATCAGAAGAGATTTATCGGAGTACTTAGCGTAGAGACCAAACACGTAGAGGCAATATTGCTAGTCTAGACTTTGGCGTTACTCATCGAGACGACACTCTATTGCCGAGACTGAAGGAGTTGAATGGTGAAAATGCAACTTCCCAGCACATGTGTATATGGGGAGCGAGGAGCAAAAGACACCATAGCATGAATTGCATTCAAATTGATAAGAGATATAATCATATTTGGTGTCGATGAGCCGATAACACTTGAAGGCAGTGACAGGGATTCCAAATCTTCAGTGACCAGTGAGAGCTGCGATGAAAAGAAAGAAATGGAAATCAAACCGCGTCATCAAAGCTTAGAAACAGCTAAGGACATGGCATATATTTGAGTATTTAAGTTATTGTAACCAGGAGCCCTTCGGTCAATTCCACATCCTCGCCGAACTGATACTTTTATCCGATAATTTTCAAGATTCCAGATGTAAAGTCCGAAACGACAAGGGAAGATATACCCAGCATTGTAAGCACAAGGATGTATTTGTCTGCATCGACTGCATGATGCTAACATGGGCAACTCCTTTTGGACATGTTTGGCCGTGTTCTTGGTTGACCTCCATGGAAACATGGTAAATGGGGTAGACAGGATCGGAAATATTCTGGAACGTTGGATACAACGCCATCTAACGTTACCAACGTCTAGAACAATTGGGATGCAAACAGATGTAATTCTAATGAATATTTCAAGGCATATTCGTTATATATATAAAGGGAAAGAGAAAACTGTCTGGCCGCGCGGGGAATGAATCGGTCAATTTTATGTTTCAACAGACCGTTACTTTGTAATCTTACATTGTTGTTTATCAATTTATCAATCAGAGCGATAAAAAGTCCTAGCTCGCTAGAACCATAGTACCCCGTCTTCAATGGACCCTCATGGTTTCCATGCTTCAAATGCTTCAAATGATTACTTCAACGGAGACGGCCTTGAGTTACAGTTACCTCAACAACAACTGAACAATCATCCTATACAATCAGGACCAAGGTCTTACAAGTCGCGCAAGTATCGACCTTGTGATTTCTGCCGAGCCCGTCAAGTAAGATGCTCCATATCTTCTGCCCCGCCTTGTCAATTATGTACATCGCATGGAAAGAGTTGCACATTTGTAGACCGGCCAAAGAAGAAGAGGAGGCCAAATACTGCGACAGACAATGGTGATAAAAGTAGTGCATCTACAACAACTACCCGTATGTTATAACATTACACAATAAAGACAATGGTTTTCCTTTGGGGCAATTCGCTGACTTGGGCGTCCGTGAAGCTACTGCTCCATTGCAACAATATTGCTCCGCTGCTCAACTTAGTCCCAACTTTATCGCACAATATAGCGAGCACAGCTTTCAAAGTTTGACTGGCCACGATATCTTGACTGAATCAACCTCGTCTCCGGACCAACATATTCTTGTCCAAGATGGCTCGCATATATATCCTTTGGACCCTTATTTGGACATGATGCAAAGCACGCGAACAAGGCCCCTCAACTCACAGCATTCAAGATTTGCGAGATTCGTTGGGAAATCGGGTGAATCAAATCCATACCTGCTACGCCATTGTGGCTATAATGAAAACGATGAATGCACGATATCGAAGTTAACATACCGGCCAATCAAGAACTCCTCGACGCACAATGACTTTTCAAATCAGAGAGAGGAGCCGCCTGTGGTCTCCATGCTGGCAGATGATAGCTCTTCACAGAAGGGGGAGCCAAGGGTAAATGATGATGTTCTCGCTAGAGCAGAAGCAGATTTGGGGGGTATGTTCACGGAGCAGGAAGCGCTTCGTCTTATAGGCCTTTTCTTCCGATTTGTCTACCCCTATTTTCCTATTATATCTAAAAGCCAATCCTTCCAATCACCAGGTATACTCTCACCTACGGTTGTGCATACATTTCCATTTTCCTTATTGTCAGCAATGTACGCTACCGCCCTACCATTCATTCTATATGATGATATTCTCTCCACGACTCTTGTACATTCACCACCGTCAATTCATGAGTTGTTTCGCCTTTCCTGGCTCTTCGTTCAACAGGAGCTCCATGCCCCACGGCTTTCAACATTGCAAGCATGCCTCTTACTGCTACAGAGAGCTCCCACAAATCAATACACGACAGATACACCTTGGAAGACGAGCCTTGTGGGTTGGACAGTCAGTCTTGCTCAAACTCTGGGTCTGATGAAGGAATGCAGTGACTGGAGTAGTATACCAGCATGGGAAATGCATCTGCGGAAAAGACTATGGTACGGCGTTTTCATCGTGGACAAATGGGCATCTTTGAACGCCGGTACGCCCAGTCATATTCACGCTGATGATTTTGACGTCCTCCCACTTGAGGGTAACGACCTTAAAACATTTACTCCCGACCCTAATCAACCCATCACGGATTCAGAACCGACTTCAGAACACTTTCGGCTGCTGACCGAGCTGACCACCATACTCAGCGACATCGTTGATTCATACTATACTCTGAGAGCAACACAACGTACATCTAAGGATCTCTCGCTGTCACTCGAACTAGCAAGACCCCTTCGCTCACGCCTCAAGGCTTGGAACGATTCTTTACCTCCTTCTATGCCTCTAAGACAACATGAACATCTTGATTCACGTGGTGTAGCTCAATTAAGCGGAAATCCATCACTTTCACTAGCCTACATCATTACAACCATGACATTATTCCGGGCTCTCCTCCGACCCTTGGAAAATTCTACAGGTGTAGATGGAGATACTACAATCGGTAGCCGTTTAGCTGTTCGAGCCGGTGCTAGGGAATGTGCCAAAGAAGTCGTCGAATTTGTAGAAAATCTTGGCAGAGGAGCTTTGGATGCTTTTTGGCATTCCTGTAAGTTCTGATTACCTTCGTCCATTCATGGTCGCTAATATAATTCAGGGTCTCGTGAAAACTTCGCAATAGCCTCATCATTTCTCATGCAGCTCCTCGTTACATCCGAAAATGAAACCGAATCGGCAGAAATCAACGAATTGGTAACTCGTTGGAGGTGGGCCATGCGTATTAGTAGCAGCAGCGCTCGAAATGGACTCATGAGCTTGGGCTTACTGAGGTTGGATGGTTTATTAATGAGGAATGGTGGTGTGGAAGCAGGTGTATGAATACCGAGGACGATGTATTGATATTGCTTTGTGATTGAAATGCAAAATGCTCGGCACGTACAATTGTACCTTCGAGAAGGTCATAAATCACGCCACGGGCTAATGACAGAACGGGAACTTGCATGCTGATTTTGGAGTGCGGTGTTAGGCGAGATGTGAAAAAATGGAAAATTGCAAACAGAACTTGAAAAGGGGCGTGTTTCGGTCGAATGATAGGAATACTGGTGTATATTTGAGACGGATATCTTGATGATGCTGACCAAGAGGTAAATATTGATTCTTGATCCAAGCAGCATATATCGGAAGGAAATTAATATTGAGAATTTTAAAATGTTTATATCCACACCAAAATCAAGAGCGGAACTACCGACCCCCAAAACATCTACTCTTTCCTCTCTTTCTTGTTATCATGGCCATCTCCCTTCTTTGCCTCGTTTTCCTCTTCTTCCTTCTCCCACTTTCTCTTCTGTATGGCTTCCGGTGGACTATCCTCAATCAAATCACTCTGATCATTCAAACCCGTCCACTTCGGTAACCCATCCGGGAGATCTACCAAGCGCTGTGAATAAAACATATGGCATCTATAATCGAATTCCAACATATATTAGCAAATAATCTCAATTATCTCACCATAATATCTATTCAACAGAGATATAGAATCCAATCCAATGGATGAGGAAAAGGAAAAGGAAGAGGGCAAAAAGAAAAGAAAAGAAAAGAAATTACATACTCGGGATTAAATCTCTCCTTCTCTCCCTTATTCTTAAATTTTATCAAGCTGGGAAATAAAAGGATCATGTTTCGTCCTTCGTCCATGATGGGCGTGCGACAGTATGAACAGCTTACTTTGCAGGGGAGCTTGTGACGGGTGGTTTTTTCTTCGGATTCGTACCTAGTTTGGGGTTAGAATTGCTTGGGTTGGGATGGGTTCGGGCAATGGGGAAATCGGGCTGAATTGGATGGGTATAGTGATTGGGAGGCTTGGAAAAGATGGTTGGTTATATAGTAGAGAAGGGAGATTAAGACAAGGGATATAAAACAATATTAGTACGTACCAACCTAAATCATGATGACCATGGGTAAAATTAATATCTTCCTTGTGAAAAATCGCCGCCCATTGAAATGGTGCTCCTATCAAGTCCTCACATTAGCATACTAATCCTCATCCTCCTATTCTTACCCCTCGCCCCTTTCCCTTTCCATTTGCCTTTCCCCTTCCCATCCCGTTTCTCACCAAAATATAAAAAGTAAACCAACCAACTCACCATGCAAAACCTGACAAGTAGTACAATGACAAAACTTCGCACTCAAAGGCCTCTCCCTACTCAACTGATACTTCACCCTCCCACAATGACAAGCACCTTCATATAGAGTCTTGAATCCTACATCATTCTCATGGACTTTGTAAGGGACGCGAAATTTCCAATCGTTGTGTTCACCGTGGATATCGGAGTCTTTGTGGCCTTGGGAGATAGCGGCGTTTTTGGCATTGGTGGTGGAGTTGTTGTTTGAATGGGAGGAATTGGATGGGGACATTTTGGTGCGGAATTGAGTGTGGGAGAGGGGGTTGAAGGGGTTTATTGTGGCAGGCTGGGGTTGAGTGAGAGGGAGGAGTCTGGGGGATGGATATTGAGGTGGACGGGAGGAAGTTATTAGTCTTGATTGGAATTGGAGAGGGAGACGAGTGTTAGGTTTAGAATATAAAGCAAATAGGAAAGAAGAAACTGTGTTGATGTTACTTCTTTTCTCGAACATTGGTAGACGCTTGAAAGGAAGAAGCAACGCAAAGCAAATATGGTTGTGGGAATTGATATTTATTTACTCTCATCAACAAGCTCCTACCAGTAAAGCCAGCCGACTGCGAATTTTGAGGTACAAACTATTGAAGTTCCTAAGTTTCTTTTCTTTCCCTTGATATCGTCATCGGAATCTCTAAATATGCCAATCTATGGATGGATATTACTTCTATCATCTATGATGCGGGGACGTTCCTGAATAGTGAGTGAGCCAAGATGCGAAGTGCCAGAACCAGACACAACGGCTTGGCTTGGCTCATACATTATGACATCTGCTATTTTAGTCTCCCAACTATTTCATCAATCACGTGCCCATTCCTTAAGTCATCCACAATTTCATTTTGTGGCATATGGTGTCGCATACCTTAAGCCCTTAAGCTGAGTACCGCTAGGGCCACGTCGCTACTATTCGTGTTTTGATATTTAACTCATGGCGAAGTTTAATATATGTCTTTTACGCTACATCTCTATTCAGACCTCTAGCCACCTAGGTAGGACTTGACGCGGCTCACTCAGGAGGTCCCGTGGGTTGCCGGGTCTGAGGCAACTATTTTTTGACTAGTTTTAAGATCAAAACCCACAACATTTGTAAGGTAATCAAGCCTAATAAGTTGATTAGTGTTGGTAAACTATAATGCAGTCACAAACGATTGGAAACTGTGAAATATGATGCTTACCTGGCTTCAGCACCAAGCTGTTCTTTCAACCTTTGAAAGTTCTGCAAACATTCCTCCCATTTCACGGCACGCTTCTGGGGGTAAATAGTCTTGACAACCATGTTGAATAGTCCAGTTACTGGTCTATGATCAGACACACGTACCTCGTGTCGACGGTAATCGAGCTGCTCCACCCGATTATGTCCACGGTAAAGTAGGCGATCACACCAGGCGGGTGCTCTCTTCTTCTCACTTGTATCATAATTGTCCGTTCCTACGTCATATTTGTAGGTCGGCGCGAAAGTAATAGGTAGTTCGTGAAAAGCGCGCAATCTAAACCAAGGGTTTTTGCGTTTTGAGGCAAGCAGTTGGTCTCGCTCAAGAAGTTTTGCCAGGTTATTAGCCTTGACCGCATTAACCACGGTATCCCTGCCCATAGTATCGATACGGTAATTTAAGTCACCGTTTAAGATGCAAATCTCATGATCGAGGATCATTGTTCCATCACCACCTCCTACAAAAGTATCTATGCGAACACCGTGATCACGTTCTGCAGGCAAAACCTGGCTTTCAAGGATCATACTTATATCTGTGTTCCGATCTTTCGTTTGGGTTTGCCCAGCGGCAAGATGGCAGTTGATGAAGCACATCGACGTATCGTCCAACACAAATCGAAGAATTAATGCACCCTAATGTACGTTAGGAAACTCATGTTACTAGCAGAAATTTGCAACAATCCCTTACCTTGTTCCCGTGAAGCCCACCCATTCCCCTCTTGACTTCAGCGGCATTGATGTTTTTGATTCGGGGTAGAAGAGGCGATCTAACAAATACACACGTGAAAAGACCGACTAGATTTGCCGTGTGAAGCAAGTGGTATATCTCGCCCTGAACATAATCATCTAAGCATCTGATGAGGAAGTCTCGCCAATTTCGATATTGGTGACTCATATGTTCATGATCGGAATCTTTCTCCTTCTTCTTGGATTTGAAGAAGCTTTCTGCCAAATGGTTAAAAATAAGTCGTAGAGTTCGGCAGAGTACTTACTGGCAGTCGTCTTTTTATCTTCTAAATCAACCAATTCTTGGAATCCAAAGACTAATATATCTGGCCGGTCGCTGTCTTGCAGAAGTTGAGGCAAGAACCTTGAATCCTGATCGGATTGTTGAAGATGGTATGGCGTAGATGCGCCTGCGTTCCACGTCATAACCAAAGTCTTGATTGGTGTGAGCTTGCAAAAATCTGCTTCTTGCGATTGCATCCGTTGCTCCATCCAATCATCCTGGAGCATTCCATCCCATGCTCGTATCATATTGTCCTGGCCTAAGGAGATAACATGTTCCCGGTCAAGCATCCAAAAGCTGCTGCGATCGACGAATAGGCCAATGAGTGGATCATGGTGAGCACGCCAATCTTTCTTTGCAACCCATGGAGTATAAGTAGTGTCGTATACATATACCATACCGGTGCTAAAGCCAGCCCAAAGATAACTGCCTACACCTACAAGAGATGTGATTTTATAGACACTGATATTGATTATTCCTAAGCATGCATAATCATGCCGAGAATATATGCTTACTTTTCCATCAACATGACCGAAGTATATGCGGTCAGGCTGAGAATTTATGACAGCCCCCGATGTTATCTCGCCCGCATCTGGTTGATGAATGGGACGCTGTAACACTTGAAACTGAGCACTTCCATCCAGTGTTGGGATAAAAATCCGGATATCTTTGCCTGCTACATACCACAATTCGTCGTCGACAACCAGCGAGAATGTATGCCCTTTCGGAAGCCGATAGCTCTGGGATGGATTTGTCAGATTGGGTTCGCCACTATCGTCTGGAGCCCATAAATGCAGTGTTCCACCATCATCAAGCGTCCACAATTCCTTCGAATGTCGGTAAATCTTTATTATCTCACGCCGAGTATGGGCGTTTGACTTGCTTGTAACAATGCTTCCACTTGAGATATCAACCTCAATGAGGTCTCCAATATTGTTCCCCAACCACAGCCTCGAGCCCTCATTTTGCACTTCCGCAGCTGGCTTGAAAGCTACGGAAACAAACTTGATTCCTTCAGTATGGGGTAGGGTCATTAATGATCCACCATCTAACAAGCTCCAAACCCTGGTTATGTGACCAGTTGTGCACACATATTCTCCGCACACATCTAGAATGCGAGTATCGTACTTTGTCGGAATTTCGTACGTCCCTTTAGCGAAGTATGGAGGCCTACGGTTCGAGTGAGAGGTGTCAGGATACTCACCTGCCTTGAAAGACAGGCCTTCCCTAGTTACTGGAGTAGAAGGGACATCCATCGAAGGGCGAGGGTCAGTTCTAGTTGAAACAGAAACTATCGGAGTTCTAAACTCGGCTGGCGTCCTGTCGCTTGTCCTATCAACCGTCATGGATCTTCCATGAGATCTTGGTGGAGTTTGCAATTGTCCCGTAGGGTTCGAGAGAACTCTTTTTTGGGGAGTCGCCGAATTTAGTCCACCTTCAGTCAGCATAGCATTAGTCACGGGAGGTCTTGATCTGTCAACAGGAGGTCGAGGAGGTGGTGGTGGCATAGGCCGATTGCTGGAAATTTCTGGAGTCACATGGGCTCTGTTGGGTAACGCAGGTCTTCGGTCACCCCCTGTGAACTGTGCGGATATCAGACTACGCCCTAGACCATTCGCCTCCTGATCTCTCTGTCTATTTGAAATCCCATGGTGTCTAGGCGGAGGCTCGAAGGATCTCGATGAAGGAGTGTATGAGACTGGCCGTGGCCTATTCCGCGGCAAGGAAGGCGCTACCGGATATTCGTTTTCAAGGCTTCCTCCGCTACTTGGAGGGCTACTAAACGGCGACGTCTTTTCTATAGGTATTTGGACAGATATAGGAGCCAAGTTCACACTTTCTGCACTTGAACTGAAGCCTACTGGTTTACTCGATATCTTAGGTTTGTCGGCGCGATTAATCGGTGGAGGTCCTACTCTAAAAGAGGAATTCCTTCTCACTTCGCCCGATCGTCTAGGAGGAGGTGGCGAGGGTGGGAGCGAAGACGGATATGAGGATGAGTTTTTGGTATCTGACAAGGGTGTATTGGATCGACTAGGAATTCTGAACTGCCCTTGGGAGGAAGTATTGGACGAGGCTGAGAACGGCGCATCTGTAGATAAATATGCCGGGATGTTTGCCAATGAAACATTTGAACTTTGTATCTTTTGAGGTGACTGGGGTGGTTGAACAGTAACAGCGGGAGGAGCGGTTGATGTTGGCCTTGGAGAAATAACACGAGTGGGCGATGGGGATAACTTTCGACCGCCATTGGCACGCGGAGGCCGCAGTGTAACATCACTTGCTTCTGCATCACGACCTCTCGCAGCTTGAACTGAGTCCGCCAAATGCGATATTGTCTCTGGTCGATTTGGTATGGCTGGCGCTGCTCTGGCAGCATCCCCAGAATTTGCAATATTCCTGAAACCTTTTGGAGATACTCCTCTGGTTGCGGTGTTATTGGTCGGTTGGGCATTTGCCATTTGTTCGAAATGACACAGCAGAGATGAGACCGGTTTCTAGATAGTTCAAGTGTTAGCAGACTATTCATGACCTTCTAAATTATGTTCCTACTATGGACGAGCCATCCAGACTCTCTTGCTCTAGCTCCTCCATGATGTCTGCTTTGCAAACTGCAAACTAGAAACAGCAATGTCGCATGCGACTGAATGTGAGAACTCTATCCCCTTGCTCATAAGAGGGCCCTCTAATATCAGAGGATCAATGTTAAGCTCGCCGTCATTGGAAATGGCTCGTATGACCTATAAATGATAGCCTCGCAGGCCAGCCAGTTTTGTTGTGTGTGAGAGTCTAGGGGTTTCTCTAATTTCGTTATCATAAACATAAAAAGGAAAGATACTGTAGTAATTTTGTAAGTAAGAAAGTGAATGGACGTTTAAGAGAGTGTTGGGTTGGTTCCCTCGGGAGAAGTTAAATGTGATAGAGAGGGGTCAAATTATATTTGTTGTTGGTCTAAGGTTATTAGTAGTCATTCTGTGAATGATGCTGAGTTCAAATGTTTACTGCGTGCTTTCACTGTACATCCCATCCCTCATGTGGCTTCGCGGCATTAATTACAGGGGTCGGCCTGGATTGCTTGACTTGTTTTCGAAGATCCGCCAGATTGATAAAAGGTTTCAAGGCTATTTATAAAGGTTAATATGTACCGGAGGTGCGCAATTATCTGATATTGAAGGCGACAAGGCTAGCATTTCTAAGAACATAATCGTACCATTATGATGATGACTTAATAGAAAGTTTTTTGGTGAGATCTTATAATAAATAAAGCAATCCAAATTATTTAAACCACCTTGTTTCCTTTATTACAGCATTTTCAATACCCTCTCTTTTGGTGAAAGCATACTAGGATCCAAGTAGACCTCCAATATGAACACTGTAAGTGACTTAAACAATGAGCGAGCAATGAGTAATGAATGAATGATCGCTCTAAACGGAACTAGCTAACATAATCTAGGTAAAATCATTCTGGTACTGCCACGAATTTCACATCCGGATCTCCATCTATTGATAATAAATCTCGACTAACATGATGTATTCAGGGTTGGATGGGGCTCACTATGTGTCGGTATGCTTTGAAAGGTGGACAAAGTCATCTTTGACAATCAGGTACTAACAAAGGATTACAGCCGGCGGAACAGCATACTATTTCGCGAAGCAATCGATTAACGCAGATAGAGCTGCGCGATTCGAGGCAGATCAGAAACGCAAGAGGCAGCAGGAAGCTCTAGAATACTCTGGCGGAACAGGTGGTTACGCGGGGTCGGGAAGCAATGGTGGACCAGCCAAATCAGACAGTGCCGGTTCCCCAAGCCACGAAGTTTCGACAACTGAGCCTGCGCCGACAAGGCATGCACCAGAGAATGAGGGACAACGTGTAAGAGAGAAGAGCAAATTTGAGCCGACAGAACCATTTAGGTCGAGAAAGGGCGATCGATTCAGTTAAAATGAGCGACTCTTTTGTCGTCAAATAAAGCGATGATTATTACGGCAAATTGATTCGGTATTGGCGCGCTGGGTGCTCCTGTATAAATAAACATGTGGATAAGGTTAGAGTAATTCCACAGAACTCAACTCCTACCGATTTCGCAGATTATGTGAATCCTTAAACACACTGTTACTTTACTTTTCTTGCTTCGCTTTGCTGTCGTTGATATAACATTTACATGATACTTCTTCTCGTCAAACTATGAGCAAACACGAATCTTGATAAAATATATGTATAATAATCTTACTAGAGAATGCATCATTGATGTTGGATTTGTGAAGGTAAGATCTCATAATGCATCCTTTCATTAGCACGCTCTAGCGAATCTGGGCCTTTAATCGCGAAATCCTTGAGCTTCATTTGATCTCAGTTAACCATCCCACTTCAAAAAAAGTCGAACTCAATGCCGTTTGTAATCCCGTCTTAGAACAACTCTTCTCTTTAAATTCTATCAACTCTGTGGCAAATGTCAAAGTTCACAAATACATCTTGAGTCTTCTTTCAACAACCTATCAACAATGGCATCGCATCAGCTTGCCATAGCGAAAGCATCGTTTTCTGCAAGTCTCCTTCGACGCGATCCAACGCCAGTATCAAGAGAAGCTATCGCAGAATTTCATAGCCATTTGAACAGCGTCATATTGCAATGCTCGTCAATAAATGTCCAGGTTTGATCATACACTCTAATGGATATAACTATGCGATAACTAAATCGTGCTCGAGGATAGAAATGCAAGCAATGGATATTGGAGCACATTGTACAATCTACAGCAAGATTCACAGCACTGGGAAAATATTTAATCGTATTTGCGACATCATTCACAAAATCTTCAAACGGCGAACCTTCGATCAAGCGCAAGCGCATGCATATACTCTACCTTCTCAATGACATCCTTTACCATTGCAAATACCGAGCCAACGATGCATCTGTTTGTGGCAAGATCCAACCTGTATTGGTCAGTCTACTCGGAAGCACAGCATCGTTTAAAGATTGTCCGAAGCACCAGCAAAAGATTCAAGATTTACTTGATATATGGCAGGAAAAAGGATATTATTCCAACGAATACATCGGAAAGCTGCGTGAAGCTGCCAAAATCGCTTCAGAGGTCGGGCAATTCACCGAAGAATTGATTGGGTCTACGGAAAATGGAGAGCAAGGACTTGGACCGAAGTTAACCAAGACCGCACCATTTGTTATGCCAGCAATGCATGGAGAGGCATCGATGCCCTGGTTCGACTTGCCCGCTGGAAATTTGATGCCACATATCGTTCCAAACTCAACCAGACCAATAAATCCAGACATGGTCAAGCCATTACAGTTTGTTGCCGGACCCGCGGATGAAGAACTTGTCATCGCTGTGAAGGCTCTTCTAGATGATGTTCAAACTATCTTTGGTGCAGATCCTAGCCAAGATGAAAGAAATGTGTGTGATGTGGACGAACTCGGTCAGCCAATTATCCTGGACGAGATTACCGGCGAAATAATCGATGGAGAGGGTTACTATGGGTGGTCGAGAGTATTTTGTGAGAAGATGAAGAGACGGCGCAAGGGACTCGAACCTATTAGTGAGCGCGGCCAACGCAGTCAAAGTAGAAGCTTGAGTCCGCAGAGAAAACGGCGTCATAGTGAATCAGAGGGGTCCGAGGAAAGCTCCAGGAGTCGCCGGCGACGACGCTCATACAGCTCTTCGCGCTCGCCATCCCCTGATTACGAAAGAAATGCCAAGCACAATGAATACTCTAGATCAAATTCAACGGGCAGGCGACAAGATTATGGATCGGGCGACAATGGGAAAGATTATGGCGAAGACGACTCTCCCGATCGACCTACAGGAAACACAGACCTACAAATGCCTGAGACTTACAATGTGGCCGTACCTGCCCAACAGAGCGGTTTTCCCTCAAATCAAACATATACGAATCCACCACCAATGCCGTATCAGCCGTACCAGCAAGGCTTCATTCAAGCATTCCCTCCAAACCTTGCTCAATATCAAGGTTCAATGCCATGGCCACCGCCTCCTCCTCCAGGACATCCACCATTCCCAAACATGCCTTTCAACCCTGTTAATCCACAATGGCCTCCACCACCTCCTCCACCCAACTTTCCTTCAAATTACCAACAAACTGCGGGAGGCTATCCTGGGCCCACAGGTTGGCAACCGCCGGCACAGGGAGGTCAAGGAAGAGGCTACCACAGAGGATGGAACAGTTCCTATGGAGGGCAAGGCAGGGGTGGCAGAGGAAATTTTAGGGGAAGAGGTTGGTCATGAAGTTTACATACACGCATTCGGCGGTTTTTCTGTTGAGAGAAAGAATGTGGCTATATGAGTTCCCCCCACGCGTCGTCATAAAAAGCGGAGTATCTTGCCACAAAAATTAATAGCACTTATTAAAGTTATACGAAAAAAAAAAGAATATTGGTTGTATTTCCTCCTTGTGCAACCGCATCTAACCGGTGCAAAGGCAAATTTTTACGGCCCAATCTCCAAATTGTAAGAGTAGAATGCGAGAACTGACATGATAAACACCCAATGCGACTTATTCATGTTATCCAACATTTGATATGTTACATACTGACAGCTGACGGTGAGAAATCTGTCTGAACAAGCCTCAAGATAATGTAGACGGCGGCGATAACAACCATTTTAGGACGTGCGGTTTCACTCCCGGGCCAAATTTCAGGAGGACAAATTGAATCAACAATGCCTAGACCTACAAGCCCGTTTGCCCTATCTATCAGCGGGGCGGCAATTGCGGTGAAAGTGTCAGAAGTTCAAGTCATGATTTTCACAAGGATTCGACAATATCAAGACCAAATGATAGGTATGGAACGGTGTGTTGCAGTCAGGATCTTTGAATCTTAGCAATGGTTCGGACTCGAAATTTTCAATTACGATGTGTGCAATCGAGATTCATTTCATGGTGTCGATGGTGAGGATATATTTTGAGTCGTACAATCCTTATTCCACCAATGTATTATCCGAATATGTGTTGTGAGTGATATATATGGTAGTGATATTGTCCTAGAAGAAGGCAATAGAAACAAATTTGAGAATGAATGTCGTGATACCATGACTAGAAAGAATGTTTGGTCGTATCCTGTTACCTCTGCTCAAATAATGTGACAATTTAATCTATGCTGCGATTTGTACTCATGTACTCATGTACTTTCCCCTCCTGTAGCCACTATGATACTTTGAGATGGGCTTGCAGCTTATCCGTACATCATCTATTAATACTACCTATGGTGTACATCGCTGCGAAACATAATCCAACGGGTTTGAACCTTGAATGTCATCATTCTGCGTATCATGGTTGTGGTGTTTACATGAATTTCATGATGATATTTCTGTGGAAGGGTACGTATCAGGTAGGTACTTAGGTAGGTTAGGTGTCTTTGTCCTGGGATCTTTCGTCTCTCTTGTGATCTCTTACTTGCTGAATGGTAGAGGAGTCAAGTATCACGAGCTCAAGGTTCCTCATGATATTTTTGATGGAAAAGAAGAGAAGTTTTTCTGTATTGCGGATTAGTTCACCAGGTTCCAGAGTGATAAGAACTTCTTCCTAAGCTAAAGAAAGAAGAGAAGAGAGCAGAAAGCACGGGGTTACTAATGAACTGAACTAGGTCGCTTCTAGTAATCAGTAACAACTTTTGGTCTCATCTAATCATCTAATCATCTAATCATCTAATCATAATCTAATAACTAACCTAATCGTCCATTTCATCTTTAATCTCACTCAACCTCAATTCAACCAATCATCCCACTTTAGTGGTACAATCCGTGAATGGTTAGGAGATTCTTCGTCTCCACCACATGGAGATGCTATTCCATACCACACCAGCCAGAACGCTTCACTAATAAAGCCTTTCTGTATTACCTCTTCCTTATCAACAACCCAGGGGAAAAGAAGAAGAAGAAGAAAAAGAAAAAGAAAAGAGGCTATTGATTAGGTATGGATGGTCTCGGTCGTCGGCTCTTTACAATTTTGGTCCATTTGATAGTGTCCACGAAGATTGAAACAATGAGTCTTAGAGTTATCTGATGACTCGATGAGAACAAAGAGAATTGAGCTGAATTGAATTGAATTTACTTTACTTTACTTTACTTTCCTCACTTTACAATTTTACTTGTCAATTCATCTATCTCGATCCCTAGTTCTATCTCTATCTCTCTCTCTATATTAATTCTCCATTCCCATCTGAGCTGGCAATCGCTGCAGGAAAGCCAATATAACTTATTATACAAGGCACGAGTAACCTTGACAAGCCATCTTGCATATCCCGTCGCAATTCCAGTCCTCGGAACACACAATCACCAAAAAAGAAAAAGAAAGAGAAAAGAGAAGAACGACGTTATAGAATCCACACTTCAGTACCTTACCCATATATCCTAGGTATACAATCCGTCCACACATCATCTAACACATCCAGACCCGATACTACAATTCAAAGAAATTCTCCGCTCGGAAAAGCACCTCATAAGTCCCCGCCCCTCTTGTATGCAAGCAAGATTGGAACTTTCTTTCGCTTCCAACCACATCCATCCATACATCCCATACATCCCATACATCCCCATCCCATACATCCCATACATCCCATACACCCTATCCACGTCTTTTCACTGAACGACCCTTTTCATTTGCGTCGGTTCAGTGCAGGGTCCTGCAGCAAGAACGTGTAGAGAGAACCACTTCAACGAAATTTCATCACCCAAAGATAGCCAGGTACCCCCACATCATCCATTTTGTTGCGTCGTTTGTGGCTTATGCAAGAGATAGAACTTTCAGTTAAGAGCTTCCACTACTACCTAAGAGTTCCTGAACAATTGTTGCCTTTTTGCGAGGAGGATAAAAACTTCCACCAAGTCCCAGAGAGAGAAATTCAAGTTATTTTGGCCAACGATCGACTGAATTGAGACCAAGATTTCTGCTTTTGTCTTATTGCGCGTGGGATTTCAACTTCATGCGTTTGTGGACGGATCATCTGAGTCGTTGAAAGTTCTCAATTGGTTTTGAGATTACCCTGCTGTTGATGCTTAGGGAAAGCTCCTCCTTTGTTCATCTTGTTTTTCTTCTTCGAGGAACTCGCATTCAAATTCGAACATTAAATACGCCAACCCAATTGACTTGACATTGTCAACTCGACTTCTCTCAACTGAAGATAGGTTTCTTACAGAACTCCAAGACTTCCAAGTCTTGTTATCCCGCTTTGGTTCTCTTACTTCGGGTAACTGCAAGGTACTATATCCCAGGAGGGTCATCTTGCATATATCCCTGACACTGTGCCGTTGGCAAGGAAAGCCAAAAACTGGGGAAACCAGGAGCATTATGAATGCTCAAATATCATTCATTGTGAGTAAATTTTAATTCAATTAATTGTTGAAGAGTCAGGACAGTGTGTGAATTAAGATGTTGTTGTCGGGTTGTCACTTGGATAAGGGCTGGAAGATGGACACATCTGAATGGTGTCTTGATCCGAAAACTATAATGTCTACTCTGGACCATTCATCACCCAGTTCCCGAATCCATATCTTTTAGGGAAGAGTGATTGTCATTTTTCCCTTCAAACATGTGAATAAGTCTCCTGGAGATCGATGCCGAGATCAACTTCAGACAACAACAACGTTCCTAGATGACTACTTTCTTGCTTTCAATCCCTTCACAGTTACTTCTCTCAACTAAATTAGCTATCATGGATTTGTTCAAAATCTACAACAATGACACTCTTGATAACCTACATACACTTCAAACAATTACTAATCGATCTCAGGAAGGCGAGTTCAGCCTGATTCACATACCATTGCCTCTATACTCTTTGCTACTGCAGCCAATCTTGAGAGTCCTGTTACCATACAAAGAAGCAGGCCCATCGGATGAGAATGAAGATGAGGAAAATAGTCTTATGTTCGACCAAGAGCATGGTTTTCTCAATATCAGTGTAACTCCAATTGAATGCTCAGTTGTCTGTCATAAATCTTGGGCTGAGACTGTCTTTCAACCAATTATCAATACACTTGCCAAAGATGAGAACAACAAAGTTCAAATATCAACTGATAGCTACATTGTTTTCTCTGTTGATAGTACTGGCACTGATGCAGGTCAGAGAGTCATGGATCTCACCTCACCTCTCGCGATGGCTGGCGTCCCTATCTTCTTCATCACGACCTACTACACTGATTTCATCCTCGTTCCATCCAAAGATCGTCATACGGTGGGCCAGACTCTCATATCCCGCGGCTTCGAATTCTCCGAAGAAGATTCCGCCTACGTCGTTCCAACGCCCTCCCATTCTCGCGGCCCCAGTTCCAACTCCAATTGCAATCCTCCTTCCACTCCACCTCCATCCAATATCGCCGAACTCCAAGCACGCACTTTCAAACATCTCAAACGTCGCAATGTGAAGCCTTTCGTACAGCCAGGTTTACGCTTGGTTCAATGTTCGGGTCGAGATCGTATGATTGAAGAACGAGCAATTTCCAATGGCAATGGCAACGGTGTACATACCTCCTCTCCCCTCGATGCAATCAACACTCGCCTCTACATGTCCATCGTCTCGGCACTTATCAACCAACCTACTTTCCTCTCTCTCACCATCTCTCTCGAAGAAGGCTCTTCTCTTCTCCTTGACAAAACTCTCCTCCCTCTATTTGGTTCTTCGATTCAAGGTGATACCGATGGAGATCTAGTACCGATCTTCCTTGACCTAGTAGATTTACCACTGGAGAGTACAGGAATTGTTTGTGGGGTAGCAGGAAAATTGGTGGATGAGATGAGGTTGAATGATAAACCGAAGGAAGAGGGTGGTAATGCTTTTGGACAGGAATTATCATACTTGAGTACTGCGAGAGCTGGAGCAGTTGTGTTGAGTGGAGAAGGAAGTGAAAGGGCATTGGAGATGTTGGGTGGATTACTGGATCAGGAAGGAGAATAAGAAGTTTTGAATACCTGAAGGGGTTTGTCATGGGCGTGATATAATGGATACATATGGGGATGGAAAATGGAAAGCTGGATGGAAGCCAAAGACAAAACTCGGAAATCGAGAAGTGAATAAGTGCATTTGGTGGATAGCGAGTCTTTTACGAGGGTGGCCAGCTTACTTACATGTTGGTATCGCTTGCATACACAAAAGGGGTTTCGTTTTAATTTATTTCTTGGATTATTTGAATGGATTGGGATTAGGGTCGGGATCGGGATCGGGATTGGGAGTGGGAGTGGGAGTGGGAGTGGGAGGGGAGTGTGGAATGGCGGTATGGATATCAAAAGCAAAGATGGGACGGAGTGGGATTTTAACATTAGGTTTTGGGTGGATGCTATTATGGAAATTTGGAGAGGTTTTTTGAAAAGCTTCTATATATAGTATAGTATAGCATAGTAGGTAGGTAACTAGGTACATAGGAAAGATGAAAACTCATCTCAATTATTTTTTAGTCTTTAGATGGGAAGGTTATGGTGATTGTAGTAATTGTTCGATTTTTTTTTTTTTTCGTTTCTTTAGTTCTGTTTAACACATCTATTCATTTATCCATCCATACAAATACCATCTAACCCACCTATCTACCATCTAATAGGTATCTACCTAGCCCTAACCATAGCCACCTAATGATCCCCGTCCACAGTGCGTCTAATCAATATCGATATCATCCCATCTCTTCCCATCTCTTCCCTTCTGCTCCTTAATAATAACACCCCCTCCATCTCTTCCCTTCTAATCCTAATAACACCCCTCCCTCTCCATCAATCAAACCTTCTCCTCCTTCAAAATCCCATTCTAACGAACCTCTCTTTTCTCTCCAATATCTCCCCAGTATATTGTTTTTAATTAAATCCATCACATCTATCAAACCCCACCCCACTCAATCCAATCCAATCCAATCCAATCCAATCCAATCCAATCCTTCGTTTAACTATCTCTCTTTTTCCCTTTCTTTCTTTCTTCGCTTCTTTTTCATTTTTTTCATCTTATTCTTATATATATATACTCACCCCAAGCCTTACAAAAATATCATTCACACTTCTACAAATTAATATTATTCAATAAAGATATGAAATATAAAACTTTATTAATTATATGTTAATTAATCTATAATATATAATATATAATCATTATATATATATATATAATGTATATATAATGATTATTAAAAAGAATATATACATATCTTTTTTAAATGATATTATTTATAGAGTTTCTAAAGAAGTAATCATATATATTGTTTATTGAGTATATTTATTATTCATTCATTCATACTTGAATATCTAATATAAGAGGATATTCGGATTAGATTAAGTTTGAGAAGTCTATACATCTCCACTTTATAAGTAATTCCATCCTCGAGGTCTGGATTGTTGTAAATCTAGGGACCTGGTGTTTTAAGGTAATTTAGTGGTCGTTTAGACATGAGAATACTGTCTGGTTAGATTCAACTAAGGATCTTTATCCTCGGTATTCGAGAGCTTCGACATTATAGAACTACCACCTTTAAAACACTATCGGAAAGATAGAATCATGAAATGTTGGATTGAGGAGGTGGATAGTGTGAGGTGATTATCTAATATATCACACAACTTCAAGACCAATTTCTTCCATAGTAATGTCAGACACTTATGTACTACAAATTGTCTAATTTAATGTATAGATGTGCAGGAAGTGTTTGTGGAAATCCATTGTTGTGCGTTGCACTAATGAGGCACATAATTATCATCACTTTCAACGCATTATTATGATTATGATATACCGTACACTGAGAAGAGTGAGAAGATAATATTGGAGCAGACAGTTGTGGATGGGTATAAGTGGGTAAAGTCACGAAGAACAAGAAGTATTGTATCAAATGCAACGTGACTTGGGAAGATCCGCGAGTTCTATAGAATGCCGTCAACCCGTCCCCGAGACTGGACTGCCAGCTACAGACATGGAATATATCAGATACAAAATAGCACCAGATAAATCGATACAATCGACATAATCTCAGCTCACCTCACACAATGCAATGCAATTCAATCACGCCACTCCACCCAGAGGCTGTACATCGTTGAACCATGGCTGGCGGATGTGATCAGAATAGACATGATATTCGACTTAGCAAGACTTATGTTTCTGAGAATTACCCCCTACACTAATTTGTATCGAATGAATACAAGACGGGTACCGTATCAAATGTAATTGATAGACAGGAAGTGTTCAGGAGCAAAACATCGATTTCACCTTGAATTGCAATGGATAACCCTTATAATGGATAACCCTTATAATTTATAATAGTGCGGCATGTCCGGATTGCATTCGTTTTTATTTTGAGCTTCCGTGCCAAGCGATCGGAGTTACTACTCCGGCCGCGTGCGTATATATTGTAGTGCCTACCCAGTGATACTCGAAAATTGAATAGGAAAAAGTTGCTACGAGGAAGAAAGATGAAAGAAGGAGAGCTCGGTCAGGTGATATAAGCCAAAAAGGTGAAGCTGACCAAGTGATGAGCTAATAAGCTGATGAGCGATAAGCAACTCCACAGTACACACATTTCCTGTTTGAAAATTTGATCGATCTTCATGGGTTTCTTCGATTTGCCATGATGGTAAAAGTGGGGAGGAAGGTACGCCGTAAAGAGGATTCTGGGGAAGGGAAGGGATGAGCTGGAGCGACTGAGCTAATCCTTGTATTACTTTGTAAGGTTACGCTGTACGCTGTACGCTGTACGCTGTACGGACGCTCTGTACTTCTTTGGCCTTGGACAAATGTAGAAGTCATTGCATGATGCATGACATAGAGGTATCTGTGCAGGCTGTTCATAAAGTTTTGTGCTATTATTTGGGAGCAGAGGGGATGAAGGCAGAGGAAGATGAATGCTACCAATATGATCATCTCGGGTAGTGAGTGGCCTATCTCATTGTATCTTTTCATCTCATATTCATCATTTTGAATCAATTGTGGAATTAATATCCTTAATTAATATATCCTTAATGAGGCAATCATATCCCTAATTTAGGTGATACTAATATACCGATAAATAACTTCACTTCATAAACAAATGTCTCCGAGTTCTCCCCAAGAAGCTTGGACCTCAACACTAAACTTTCATCAGATCATCAGCCAATCAACAACAAAGACATCTAGACATCTCCTCACTTTTCATATTTCGATGACATCAACATCAAATCATCCCTGTCGATTCCCACATCAGGAAAAGAAGCTCCTCAAAGGTTTTGTAGCAGCGAGCAGATCGAATCTCAGTATCTTTGATGCCTACCATTTTCATTCTGAATGAGGAGATGCAATCAATCAATGCGAGAGAAAGCAGCGGAAGTAAAAGTGGCAAAAGAGGCAAAAGAGGCAAAAGAGGCAAAAGAAAAGACGTGAGGAATTCTGTTTTGCAATCAAGGTTTTTCTTCATGTGAGTGGCTGAGATGAAAATGTTTGAATACGGGCTTGGGGGGTATGAGGCTATGAAGTACTGCACATTCTATTTGATACCGCTCCAAACCATCTAGGTGATGTGCATATGCTGGTTGCTGCTTTACGACTCGGCGCTCGATGCTTATTATTTCGAGCTTGTTCCCTCATTTTCCCTGGAATTCCGTAACATGATTTGATGATGTGGAAAGCAAGTCTGGATCATGCCTTCCCGCTTATGCCTCCAGGGGCCCAGCTTCTAATAGGTATCAAGTTAAAACTCTTCAAATGTCCCAATTCAGGTTTAACAACCAAATTGGCCTCTTAGGTCATCCTTTGTGATGTGTGCGTGACGCGTGACCTAACCTACCCTCCCTATCTAGTCTTCCTCTTCCTCTCCCTCTTCTCTTTCCTTCTTCTTTCTATTCTTCTCTCCATCTTCTCTCCTCTTTCTCCTCTCCGTCTTTCATCGTCAAATCAACTTCAATTCTTTGACTTCACTACATACACTTGGTTTCTTGATTTTAATTAACATTCATCTACGAGATTCAAATCATCCATCAACCTTCACTCAACATGATTGATCCTATGCAAGCTTTCGATATGGAGCCTCTGAGGGGAAGAACCTCTTCTCTTCTGGTTCCGACAAGCACACCCAGTCCATCCGCTACGCCATCCGTTGCCCCAATTCCAAGTGTCGTTCCTAATGTTCCAACATATGAGACCATGGGTCATACAGGACAGACGACGCTATGGGTAAGTGACCCCAATTCCAACAAATTTGCTACTTGCTAATTTGCTGATTTCCAGGTCGTCTTCGCGATCATGTTTGTCTCAACTCTTATCTTTACCTATTTGGCTTGGAGACAACCAGTTGTAAGTGTTTGGCACATTGCCTCTTCGTCAATTTATCCAGGTGCTAACCTATTCGTTCCATAGCAAAAACGTCTCTTCCATGTTATTACCGCATTCATCACCCTTTTCGCCACTCTCTCATACTATGCAATGGCAATTGGTGATGGAAACGCACTTACACACATCGTTCATCGAGAATCACACAACCATACCCCAGATACTTTCGAACATATCTACCGACAAGTTTTCTGGGCTCGTTACGTTGATTGGAGTTTGACCACTCCTCTTCTCCTTCTCGACCTTGCATTCCTTGCCGGTCTCAATGGTGCCAATATTCTTGTTGCCATCGTTGCCGATCTCGTCATGGTTTTGACTGGTCTCTTTGCCGCTTACCACAATGACGGAGCTGCTAAGTGGGGTTGGTATGCTATGGGATGCGTTGCTTTCTTGGCAATCATCTATCAACTTGTCATCCCTGGTCGCCGTGCTGTCTCAAGCAGAGATGCTAAGACCTCGAAGCTTTTTACTGCCATTGCAGCTTACACTTTGATTATCTGGACTCTTTACCCAATTGTCTGGGGTATTGGTGATGGATCTCGCACTTGGTCAGTTGATGCTGAGATCATTGCTTATGCTGTCCTTGATGTCTTGGCCAAGCCCGTCTTTGGTCTCTGGCTCTTGTTTGCTCATGATAGTGCCGCTACATCTGTTGATGGATGGTGGAGCCATGGCTTGGCTAGCGAGGGTTCCATCCGCATTGATGATGACGAGGGTGCTTAAGTTTAGTAACGTATATTAACCTGTACGATACTAATCACGAATGATGTGGTAATGATGTGTCGGAGGGAATGAAACAAATTGTTACAATTGATGGGAAAGGAATGGAGAGGATGTTGCCATGGCATGAAAGAAATGAGTTATGAGATGGCTGGAATAGGAGCTCGTACTGGCTTATTTGTTTACAATTCAATGGGCATTCCGCACTGGGGCATTTGTTATTTGAGCATGGAAAACGTCTTGTGGTATCAACTGCAGTATGGAGGATAATTATGAATCAAGATACTTTATAAATTTTTTGATCTCTGAAGTGTTCATCGTGTTGACCTTTGGTGAGACGAGGTGATGTAATGGTATGTTCTCCATTTGTATATTTAGGCGTCAGTAGCAGCAAGAGATCTAGATCGAGACCTAGATCGAGAGCTTGAAAGAAGGGTGAGGTGAGGGTAGTTGGAGATATGTACGTATTTAGTAACTATATGATTTTGATAACGAAAAGAAGATAAAGAAAAGAGCATATACATATATATATAGAGAAATTTAGATCACCTACCTGGCACTCTAATATAACCCAATCATCTCGCCTCATAAATATAAATACCTAAAGGGAAATAGAAAATAGCAAAAAAGAGAAAGAAAAAGAAGTAAAGAGAACACCCCCTCGTTAAAATATACGCCCCGCTAAAAGCACCATCTAAAATTTAAACCCTCCATCTGGTAACCCAATCAAGCCAATCCCAACCACTTAAGCGCCTTCCTACTATTCCCCTTAGCCCTCGCCTTCACGTCTTCCTTCGCACTCCCACTCCCACCTCCGCCATAAGCCCCAAATCTCGTCTGAAGAAACATGCTCCTCCTCCTCGCACCCATGGGCGAATAACATCCCATAACCATGCGATCGTACGCGTCATCTTCGCTATCTACTTCGACTTCGAGATCGACTTCGGAGACATTCACACTGATTTCATCTGAGTGGGTGCGATCAAGCTGGGGGACTGAGGCGGAGCTTGTGGTGCTGTGGGAGTAGGTGTATACTGCTTGTTGTTCTTGGTTGTGAGTTTGGGTTTGAGTTGTTTGCGGTGGTGGGAAGAGTTGATCGTGGGGACGTATGGTGTCGCGGGATGTAGATTGTCGTTCGATAGCTATGGGAATGTGACGGATGGTGGAGCCGCTTGCACTATACGAAGATGAGCGGGGAGGAGTAGCAGGCGGTGGGGATATTGGACGACTGGTTGCTCGGCTAATGGCTGGGAAGTAAGATGGGCGGCTGGATAGATGTGTAGGTAAGCGTAGGATTTCGACCTCTGATAAATCGTCATCGTATACCGAGGAAGTTATTAATGAACCTTGTTCGGGAATAAATTGTAACATGTCTGTGTCAGAATCTGCACGCAAGAGCTCTTCCGTGGATGTCGATGCATCTTTCATGATGACTGTTTGGCTCAGTATTGGGAGAGGCCGGAGGAAGACCTGTTCAATATTATACCAGGATAATCTCTCGACTATGTTTTTGCGGATTAAAGTTAAGAAGTTTTGAATCTCGGGGCCTGAAGCAGTAGATGGTAAGTGGTAGTCGGCTTTGATGAACAGGGAGAAGCATGATGAAGATCTATTGAGTATCGTTTCTGGGTCGGCATCTCTCAGGGCATCAGGAGAGGATTTGAGAGGGTATCCCTGAGAATTTTCGGTACGCTTGAAAAGGTCGGTAGCGACAGCGGCGTCAAATGAATGATGCGAAGAATGAAATTTAGGAAGTGGAGGTTTAGCAAATGAAGGAGGATCTGAAGAAAGGGTATCTAAAACTCCGGCAACTTTCACAAGATCTGAACCTAGAAGGCTCCGAAGAGCGATGACGGTCGCAATTTGGTCAAATGGGAAGCTGAGGACTAGAAATCGAACCATAGAATTGGTAGCAAGGTATGTTTCGAGATGTGGAACAATTAGATCGGCGAGCAATCTTGGGTCGGTCATGGGATCTAAATCTTTGCGAGCAAGTAGCGGTTGAGACATGAAAGTTTGCATAGCACATGCGATTAGGAATCTAATTATTGTTAATAAATTATAACAATCACAAAATTGAAGTCCAAATACCTAAGATCAAGTCGACCACTTCGACTCTCACCACTTTTCTTGACGCCGATGTTTTCGACCTGCCTAAGAAGCTGAGTGCAGAAATCATCGCTTATTCCCTTTTCACATCCAACTGCTATGATTTGATCCACAGCAGGTCCATCGCAAGATGTTGAGCTACCATTGCTGAACATATCTTTCCAAAATGCACCTGACCCAAACATTACCGAAATTTGATATTGGTTGAGCGCCTTAGCCTCTTCTGAGAAATGAAAATTCAAAAAAGAGCGGAATTCATTTTGGATGTCAATTGACTTATTGCTGTATGCACCTGAAAATTCGAGGAACTTTTCCACCGCGCCTTTGTTAATAGGGAAGATAGCTGATGCGGATGTTGATAGGGGCCTTTTAAATGCCTTCTGCCGCTCCATCTCTTCCTGGGTTGGCGGGTGGCTGAAATAAGAATTAGCTTCAGTGCTTTTTTGGTAATCGCAGTGAGTTCTAGGTCTCCATTGATTTACCGATTGTCCTGAATTCAAAGATTCAGTTGCCATAGGCGCTGTAGTAGGAGGAGTTGGGAGTGGCCGCGGTAAAAGTGGTGAAGAGACTGGAAAATTACCACTCCTGTACTCTGATATTGATCGACTAATTTCTATTGGCGAGTTATCTGTGAAATGAATGATTAAATCCTCAGCGATATCAAATACCGGCTTAGTCAAATCGAGATCATCCTCAATTCCAGCACCACAGCCCTTGAATGCATGAGGCACACTCTTTGAGTTTGATCGTATCGAGTCTCTAAAGTTCGGAGTGTTTGGAGTCAAAGACCTCCTAATGGTCGTTTTCGACGCCTTGACAAATGCTGCTTTTGGCAATTGCTCAAAAGTTGAATCCTTCATAAAACTCCTTCTGGGTATATTGAAGGAACTCCTGAGATCGCTTGTCGAGGCAGCATGTTTGAAATAGAAGGAGGTTTTCGTATCATCATGAAGTAACAGATCTCCGATAGACTTGGTCCAGCTCGGCGTTGTCGGTGTTGGTAAAGCAGATTGCATATCCACAACACATGCTTCACCATAAACAACGTTAGGTGAAGAAAATAAGTTGTCATCATCTTGTGAAATGTACTCAAAGTAATCTTCATCTTCGTCAATATCCGTAGTTGGTTGTGTTGAATATCTGCTTCTAGGTACGGAAAAAGATGGCTTTGAGCTTGATGATGGCCGGGGTCCGAATGTACCACTATACTGGCTCAGCCGACAACGTGTTCCATTGATTTGACTTATCCTTGGCTCAGAAGGTATAGAAACGACTGTTGTCACGATATCGCTTCCATGCTGAGATTCCCGCACCGATCGTCTTGATGTGATTGTCCGAGATTCTCCGGGAATGTGTATAATTTGAGGACCACTATCAGCCATGCTTCGCCTCAGATTTCGAGCTCCAGATGTACCACTTCCTTCAATGTCGATCTCACATTCTGGCAGGTCTTTTTCACTTAATGTCGTTGCGCTCTTTGTACTTCTTAAATCCAACTTCTTTGGTAGCTTTGCGCGAGGTTTCGCTGTTACGTTTGACGGCTCTGGAATAGGCATAGTTTTCGAGGATGGGGATGAAGGCTTGGTACCTTCAAAAAGGCCTGCTACTCCATCCTTGACAATATCAAGGAAGATTGTCTCGGCTTCTGCGAGATTTCCATACGTGAGCCTTTGAGATATTTTCGCAACGCAGATTGCTCGCGCACTAACACTACCGCCATTCAAAAAAGCCAATTTTGATTGAGACGATGATCGTAAAAATGACCTCGCTACTTCGTTTCGTCGCGTGAGCGCAATATGAACATCGCGAACGAATGCCCGAGCCTCAAATGGTTCTCTTTTGTGGTCTTCACCTAAATAATGGTCGAGCGGCGCAAGAATAAGAATCATATGCGAATGTGGAAGGAGTCGTAGTTGAGTTGTGATAGTGTTTATGTTTCCTTCTAATGCAACCAGCTTTCCAACACCATGAGCTTCGTCCGCAACTATCGGCGTCATTTTGAGAATCGAGTTATAATCTAAAACTTGGGATTGGTTTCCTTCTTGGCTAATGTTTGCCAAATATTGGGTCATGAAAGTCTGAAGTGCAAAACAGTGCTGGGCATAAGAAACAAGAATTGTGTATGATATTTACAAATCGCAATGAAAAATGGTGGTCTATAAGCTGAACAGGTAAGAAATGATCGGAAAATGCTTGAAATGAAATTGGAAGTCCTGAGCCCAAGCATCTCTTACCACTGCCGCTATCTGAGGATTGATACTAGACCACTTACAAGAAAGTGTAGGGAACCTGCTTCTAAAATGGCGTAAGTGAGTGTGGGTGATACCGAGAAAAATAGATTTTGAGTCCATTTTCGTACAGATCTTCGCCAGGATGTAAATTAAGGTTTATCATTTTGAGTGAACATTGGCCAACCAATCAATATATTTTCACACACAGTCCACCACCAGCACTTACAAATGGAGAGCAACACAAAACTAAAACCTACCTAGCTGGGACGAACCGCATCAGTGGAACGACAAAGCCATGAAGCACGAGATGTTTGCTTGTTGCTAATGTTTTATCCGGTAGAAATATACTCAGTAGTAACTTACTTGATAGTTGACAGATGTTGGCTAAGGGGTGAGCTCTAAACTTTTGAGTTTATTGAAGAATCTCATTAGAACATTCAACCGAAGTTCATAGCATACCTCTCCATGTATATAATTACCTAGACAAAGGGTGGCTAGGGGAGGGCAAAGCTGTGAACTAACACGAATTGAAATATTTTCGGTCGTGCGTAAATGTCTAAAGTTGTGATGCTACGATGATCAGAGACACTAATATGACCTCGAGCTCTTTTTAGGTCAACACGGGGAAGGTTCTCCTTAGGTAGGACCAAAATTGACTGACCAAATGGGAACGATCTAATCTTAGCTCATTCTATTGATTTGTTTGACGCTCTGGCACAGAAAAGGATGCAAGGGTTGTGAATCCGGTGTAAACTCCATCAATACACACATATTTTAGCCTGGTTTTTGCAGGTCGCAATGCAGGGGAGTGTACTTTGAGGCTATATTCCGTGCAAAGCTATAAGTAACAGTCGTGATTCTATAGGGATAAAAAGCTTGATAAACAGTGTTGACATCTTGGAGTTGATAAATCAAAGCATGTCACAACAAAAATTGTAGGAAGAATCTTGCATCTGCTACGTCAGAGTCCATATCAAATATATATCTCTTTGAAGTAATTGTTTCGTCTCATGAAGCTGTTGATCAAAGAGTGCCTGTCAAATCGCCCGGAATCAACTTTTTCAGCCTTGGGCTCGAAAACATGGTACATCCTGCCTTCAGCTTATAGCTTCAGCGAGCTGCACTATTTCGCGTGCTCCTAAAAAATATCTTTCATAAATAATAAGTAGACAGAGATTCGAGAACAAAGAGCTTTGCATGCTATATTGGCGCAGTTATGCTGTATTTAGTCGTCGTCAGAGTCCAGTAGCTCCGCTAACTCTGCCTCTTCTTCCGCAGTCATTAGACCCTTTTTAGGCTCAACTTTTTCCTCCTTCACAATTCCTTTCGCCTTCTCCTCATTTTCGAGACGTGATTTTTCGAGCTCCGCCTTACCAAGTCCCCAAATCCTCACGGTCCCGTCTATACTGATGCTAATGACCTGTTTCCCCCCTTGAAGAATCGTCAGGCCGGTGACCTCCTCGTAATGTCCGTCATAAACATGCCATAATTTGCCAGTGGCCTTGTCCCAAACCTTCACATCTTCGTCCCTACCTGCGGTCACAACCCACGTATCCGTGACAGCTACAGTGCGGACGTAATCTCCATGCTCGTATGTTTCTTCTGCGCTCCAGTGCTTTGCTCTTGATAAACATTTAGCTGTACCATCAGCACTTGCTGTCCATAAATCCGTTTCTTCTTCGTCGCCAGCAAATAGGACTTGGTAGACGCTTGTTTCATGCTCAAGAATCGTATCTCTTATGGCCTTGCTCTGTTCCGAAATTTCTTCAGTAGCATCAAGTATTTGAGATGCTGATGAGAGACTAACGCGCCATCTCCGGATATGAGGGTCACTACTCGAGGAAACGAGAACGATTTCGGTGTTCGTTGAATCTTCGGGATCTAGAGCGAGGTGTTGCACAGCCATCATAGATTCACTCTTGTCTCGAAGAGTATGCAAGCGTTCGCCGGTAGTGGTGTCCCATACCATTATCTTCGCGTCGGCACCACCAGATATTAAACACTTAAAAATGCATCAGTAAGGCCTACATCCAACCAAAGCGGAAGAGCTTACGTCAGTTCCCCCAATGTTTACGCAGACAATAGCTTTGACAAAGTCAGAATGTCCCTTAAACCTTTTGCCCAGGACTTTGCTTTCTCTATCCCAGCTCCAAATTTGTTTGTCCCAGCATCCTGCAAACACTGTATTACCACCATGCCCACCAATGGCTACTGAAGTAACTGGTGCCGTTGGGCCTCTATAAATCGGTTTTGTATTTCTAGTCTAGGAATACTGTTAGATGGCATCTAGGACACGGCATAAACTTAGATAATTATCGTACCTACTTCGATATTGACCCTTCGTACGCATCCAGCACTCTCTGCGATGTAAACGCATTGCGTCGAAAATGGGTCTGGAATCAAGCTCAGGAGCTTTGATTGTAAAATTATAGGGTTTCCATTTTTGTTGCCGGATTTTGCAGCTCTACGGGCTCGTGTAGACTCGGATGCATCAGTTTGAAAGAAGTGTCCTGGATCTGTTGACCGAGACATGATTGATATTAATGTAGGTAGTGAAGTAGAGAGGTTTCCAGTGATTGTGATTGTGTATCGGGCACAGGTAGTGGGGTTTATTATCACTACCAATTCACCAAGTTACAGGGGAGAGACGCGTAAAGTGGAAATTCGCGAAGATACGCGATTTCGTTATCTAAGTCGCGTAATCTATCTCAACTATTTACAACTTCCATGACAGATATTTTGTAGACCATCCTGCCGCAGCAACTCAACTGCAATGGCTTTTACAACTCAAATCAATCTGCGACCCAGGCCCGCCCATACTTCTGGGCCGACTTATCTATCGTATACTCCAGATGGCTCAAAATTGGTCACAGTCGGGTCAAATAACACAACCCGAGTATACAAGACTGGATCCGATGGAGAACCTACGAATATTGATGATTGCCAAGAGCAGAATATGGGAGTTGATTCTACAGTAGGTATCCGGTTATCTGGATGAAATATGCTAAAATTATTTGAAGAATGACTTTTTCGTCGCTGGTTCCGAAGATGGAACTGTTAGCAAATATTCTTTCGATACGATGTCATTTGACAAATTCCTTATGCGCTGTTCATTACCAGTTCGAGACGTTGCGATATCACCAAATGGTAGATGGTGTGCTGTTGCCAGTGATGAACTCACCGTCAAAATCGTAGACACAAACGATGTAAACCATATGATGTACCTCAGAGATCAGCAGAAACCTGTGAAGCATTTATCCTTCGATCCAAGCAACAAATTCATAGCTTTATCATGTACGGATGGTATGATATACGTATATTCGTTGTTGGATGAGGAACCAGAACTTGTGAGGACAATTGATGGAATGATTAGAGCTGTAGAGACGGATGATGAGATTAGCTCGAAAGTCGTGTGGCACCCGGATGGTAGAGCATTTGCAGCACCAACTGCCACAAGAGATATCCAAGCCATGTCCCGAAGTGATTGGGAGAAACAGCGTGTCTTTGCGAACGGCCATACCGGGGATATCACAGCATTGGCGTGGTCGCCAAATGGAGCGATGCTGGCGTCAGCTGGGAAGGATAGAAAGATCTTGCTCTGGGAGACCAAAACACAAAAGATCATTGCTACTTACGACCATGCAAATGTCATGGACTTGGCCTGGCACCCTACCGATAATTTGCTTTCATTTACCAATTTGGATGGAGAGGTTTATATTTTTCAGAATTTTGTACCCGATGAGCATGCTCACCTGGTCAAATTGGGGCGGCAACCAGCTCCTTTTGTGCATGATCCGTTGTCAGAAATCTCAAATAATGCACGACGGCCGACCACAAATGGTACAAAAGGTATGCCAGTCCGAGGAGTTCGGCGTGGCTCCCCTGACAGTTTGGATGACATCCTTGGATCTGATATAATGGGAGATGAAGATGACTTTGTCATTGATGATGATGGCGCTGGCTATGCACTCGGATTAAATGGCAATGGCAAGAGACCTGCGGACGATGTGGATCCTTATGGGATGTCCAGGAGTAAAAGGCAAGCGCAATCATGGGAGCCACAATATCACGAATCCTTTCAGCCAGGTAGCACACCCTGGCGAGGAGACCGGAAGTATCTTTGTCTCAATTTAATTGGATTTGTGTGGACCATTGACCAGGGCGATTATCACCAAGTCACGGCAGAATTCTATGATCGCGAAACCTACCGCGATTTTCGCTTCACAGATCATTTACTATATGATAAAGCCTGTCTCAACGAAAACGGCTCTCTTTATTCCTGTCCTTCCGGCAACGGTCATCCAGCAACAATCTTATACCGTCCCCATGAATCTTGGACAAGCGGTACAAATCGTGTAGAATGGCACACTGAGTTACCTAAAGGTGAGGAGGTGAGTGCCATTGCACTCAGTGAGTCTTTCGTCACAGTCACTACTACCGCAAATTATGTTCGTATATACACACTTTTCGGGATACCGTTCAGGGTATATAGGCAGAAAAGTAGTCCCATTGTTACTTGCGCGAGTTGGAGGGATTACGTCCTTACTCTAGGAAATGGTCCCGTGGGCGCGGATGGAAATACAAAACTGCTGTATACAATACAAAACATCAAAAGGGATGAAATCTGTCAAAACGAGGATGTAGTAGCTTTACCGGATGGCGAAACGGTCAAAAGCGTCTTCTTTTCAGATAACGGTGTAAGCACATATCCTGGTTTAGGACTCTTCATGTTCGCTTAACTGACTCTAACCCTTAGGACCCATGCATTTATGACTCTACTGGAACACTCCTTACTCTTGTTCACTGGCGTGAGCCATCTCAGGCAAGCTGGGTTCCTCTTCTCGATACTAAACTTCTCTCTCGTCTCGCGAGTGGGCGTAAAACAGAAACATATTTTCCCGTGGCGGTGTCAGACAATAAATTCCACTGCATCATCTTGAAAGGTGGTGACAAATATCCCTATTTCCCCCGTCCACTGCTCACCGAGTTTGATTTCCAAATACCTATTTCCTCACAGTCAAAACCTGATAGTGGTGACGATGGTAACGAGACTGGTGGAGATGAAATGAAGAAATTGGAAGGAGAATTCGCCCTCAAGAGTATTCTTTCAATACTCAAGTCGGACCTTGTCAAGTCTACTGCAAGTACAGAAAGTGAACGGCAGGAATTACTAACGATGGATGTCGAGATCGATAAGAGCCTACTGAGGATGATGATGGCTGAATGTATAGAAGGAGAGGAAAGAGGTATGAGGGCATTGGAGATGGTGCAATTAATGAAAGATAGGACGGGGAAATTTATCGAGGCAGCGGGTCAAATAGCGGATAAGTACGATAGGGTAATTTTAGGAGAAAAAATAAGGGAATTGGGTGAGGAGAGATTGCTGGAGATGGATGAGGACTAAATAACTAATGTATTTATGAATGTATCATGAAATGACGTTTGTGTAAATTGTAAGATATGAAACTGGTTGGCTACTAGGTATTTAGGAATCTTGATGGATGTATGCATTCTTGGTGTGCTGCTGAAACGATGGTCGTCAAAACTTAGATGTCTTTGATATGCCAAAGGTAAAGCAGGACAGCAAGTTGGGGCAAGCTCGTCCAGAACCAATACCCGAATCACACTCCGATGCTTTAAAACTAATTAAAAAGTGCCAATAGTTCAATTTAAAAGGATGCGTCGGAATCTAGAATGAAAAGATATAATGCTTGGGTCATCGTATGTGTGAATTGACTGTTCCTTGACGTCAAATCGGGGCAATGAACTCCTGAGCTCACAAGTCGAAAATTAAACGAATATTCAATCAAAACGGCACCATGATAAATCAGCTTCATAAACGCGGACATTTCTTCCCTTTTTTTTACAGCTTTGATCCCAGTGCCATGAAAGGTCATCCATTTGCGATATTACCATGCCGTACTCAAATCTTGGATGGGAATGTATCCATTTCATGCGGTCTTTGCGAGCGCACTTGGAAGCCCCTCCTCGTTACATGCATGAGCCCCGTGAGAATACGATGGCCTTACGAGTAGCATAGAGCCTTTCGTGCTCGTGTAACAGATCACAGATTAGTAGATATGTTCTGTGAATTGAACTGCAGAGTTGTAGGCTGGATGAATATCTGGCGACCGGTGACTCTATATTTAGCTGGTCACGCCCAAACTCACACTCGCCTCAACCAGTCAGCCAGCCAACGTCAGAATTTAACCAGTGTTCATTGGATGAATTTAGGTCCGTTAAAGATCGATGTTCTCTGGGGCGTGGACCCGCGAACTCACGCATACAACCGTACCACTGCATCCATCCTTAAATGCGGCTCCGCGTCCTTTGTAGCACTTTTCATTATTCTTTTAGAGATATTCTCATGCATAAATATATTTTGGGGAAACCAAGGTGGAGTCATGTGAGGCCTTATCGTATACATTCATAGGGTGGGGAACTGGTGAGACGGGGTTGATGGTGATATGGTATTGGATCGACTAGACCTTTCATAAAAAGACAGCAAAGCATAAGAAAAAGGTACCCGAGTACGAGAAATTTTGGACAAAAAACTTGCATTAGCCATTCTTAATGAAAAGTCGTGATATTTAATACAGTATGCAGTAATCCACCTTCCCATTCATTCATTATCTGGCATGGTGTCTGTGAATAAATAGTTTTAAAAGATCAGACGAAATAGAGGGGTTTTTGACATCTTATTCGTAGATTGGAGAGGAAACTTTTAGAAGAAGATTAAGGCAATGATTTGCTTTGCTTTGCTTTGCTTTGCTTCAAATGAAATATTGATCATGAATGAAAGAAAGAATGAAAGGAATGAAATAGCATAACGGCGACGTGCCTTGTGGCGTAGGAACCAATAACGCCACACAACATGTGGCTAAAAAGTAGCCGTAGTTGTTATTTTCACATCGATAAATGCAACTTCATTACCTTGGTAAATTATAGAGTGAAATAAACCCGGGAATGTGTAAAATAAAATCTATTTTCCACCCACCGAGACAGCTGCAACTTTCCTTGCTATTGGGTTTGTCCTTGTTTTAGATATTATCATCAGCCGCCAGACTCAGATATCCATCTCTCTATCTTGTGATCGTCAACGTCGACGCGCCATTCTCAAAAACCTAGCTTCAATATCTTTCCACTCTAGCGCACATTTTGGTTGCCCCTCAACAACAACAACAACAACACAATGGCCGCTCTTGGTGAGGATTTACTTGGGATAGTTAACAAGCTGCAAGATCTTGTCTTTAATACTATTGGCAATGATAGCTTGGATCTGCCACAGATTGTATGGTATTCTTCTCCACGAGTTGCCAAACCTGGCACTGATATCATTTTTAGGTAGTCGTTGGTTCTCAATCTTCTGGAAAATCCTCTGTACTCGAGAATATTGTCGGTCGAGATTTTCTTCCCCGTGGCAGTGGGATCGTTACCCGCAGACCCCTCATTCTGCAACTCATCAATGTACCATCAGAGGACGAAGATGCACCGGAAGCACATACAGCAGCCAGTGTAGCTACACAACCAGAATGGGCCGAGTTCCATCATATTCCCAATCGAAGATTTACAGAATTTCAAGATGTGAAAAGGGAAATCGAGAACGAAACGGCGAGAATAGCAGGAAATAACAAGGGGATCAACAGATCGCCTATCAACCTTAAGATTTACTCGCCGCACGTTCTAAGCTTGACCTTGGTGGATCTGCCAGGTCTAACCAAGGTAAGTCGCCGTCATCCTGTGTGTGAGAGGAAGATAAGATTTTGACTTTTTTTTGCAGGTTCCTATCGGAGATCAACCCACAGATATTGAAAAGCAGACCCGAAATCTGATATCGGAATATATTGCGAAGCCAAACAGTATCATTTTAGCTGTATCCCCAGCAAATGTCGATATCGTGAACTCTGAGGCTCTAAAACTTGCCAGACATGTCGATCCTCTTGGCCGAAGAACTATTGGAGTTCTTACAAAAATAGACCTTATGGACCATGGCACGAATGCTATGGATATTCTGTCAGGAAGGGTATATCCTCTAAAGTTGGGTTTCATTGGTGTTGTCAACCGGTCACAACAAGATATCCAAGGCAATAAGAGTCTTTCCGAGGCATTGAAGTCAGAAGCGGACTTTTTCAAACACCACCCTGCATACCGAAATATGGCTAACCGATGCGGAACCCAATTCCTGGCGAAAAGTCTTAACACTACTTTGATGGCACATATCCGAGAAAGATTACCAGACATCAAGGCTCGGTTGAATACTCTCATGGGACAAACACAACAAGAGCTTGCTAGTTATGGGGACATGCACTTCAGCGGCAAGGAGCATAAAGGTGCATTGATTCTGCAATTGATGACTAGATTCGCATCTTCTTTCATCGCATCCATTGATGGTACCTCGACGGAGATCTCGACTAAGGAGTTATGTGGAGGAGCCAGGATATACTACATCTTCAATTCTGTATTTGGAAACTCATTAGAGACTATAGATCCAACGACAAATCTTTCCGCGCTAGACATTCGAACAGCCATACGAAATTCGACCGGTCCACGACCTAGCTTATTTGTACCCGAGCTCGCATTTGATCTTTTGGTCAAGCCACAAATCAAGTTACTCGAAGTTCCTAGTCAAAGATGCGTGGAACTTGTCTACGAAGAGCTCATTAAGATATGCCACACCTGTGGCTCGACCGAACTTACCAGATTTCCCAGACTCCAGACCAAGCTCATCGAAGTGGTTTCTGACTTGCTACGAGAGCGTCTTGGCCCGGCATCTCAATATGTGGAGTCTCTTATTTCCATTCAAAGAGCATACATCAACACAAATCATCCAAATTTCCTAGGCGCAGCTACAGCCATGAGTAATGTTGTTTCTAACAAACAGGAAAAGGAGAGAAGGAAGCTGATACAAGAAGAAAAGGAGAGAAAGGAGCACAGACGCCGAAAAGAGCTCGAGGCTGTGAATGGAGGTGATACCCTGGAAGAAGGAGAAGATGCTGTTCCAGAGAAGCTTGAGAACTTACCGCAGCGGAAACATCTTCAGAAAACTTCTCGAAGCATGTCACCTGCAATCCGTGAAAACGGTACAAGCGCGATGGTATCATCAATGAACGGCCTACGTGGAGGATCACCGCCCAGGTTCAATGGTCAAGCGGCTGGCGGTGCCCGTGATTCGTTCTTGAATTACTTCTTTGGCAAAGATGGCGGTTTACCAGGTGGAGCAGGCATTCCACAAGCAGCTTCATCTGCGCAAATGATGGGTAACCCTAACCTTGGTAGACACGTGAGCCAAAGCGCGGAACCAAGTATCACACAAAGTATTAGGCGGCAGGAGGAACGTCCTGTACAAAGAACACCTGCCCAGCAAGCTCGTGAAGATGATTACGAGCTTGGTCGTGCACAAAGAGATTACAACTATGATTCTCCATTCGTAAGTTTCCATTCATTCTCCAATCCCCACACATACTATAAATCCGAACTAACACTATCCCTAGGGTAATAACTCGGAACCAGCACTTACAGAACGCGAAGCGATGGAGACTGAACTCATCCGCGCTCTTATATCCTCATACTTTAACATCGTTCGCGAATCAATAGCAGACCAAGTTCCAAAAGCCGTTATGCATCTACTAGTCAATCACTCCAAAGATGTAGTGCAAAATCGTCTGGTTAGTGAATTGTACCGCGAAGATCTATTCAGCGAATTACTTTACGAAGATGATGCCATCAAGAAAGAGAGAGAAAAGTGCGAAAAGTTGTTGAGAACGTATAAGGAAGCTGCGAAGATTGTAGGAGAAGTGGGAATGTAAAGCGTTTGGGAAAGAGCAATGAGAGCACGAAATAAAATGGATTTAGATGGATGTGACGATGACACGCAATGCAATTTCATGACCTGCTCATGATGGTTTTGGTGGATGGGCACAAAAGGGGTAGGTGATAGGATAGGTGATGGATATGTAAAGAAACGCCACGAGATTCAAACTTGTAGATTACACTGCTCCGACACAGCCTGCGCGTCGCACCTTCTGGACCTTCTGGAATGAAGAACGAACTGTAATTTTCTTTCCTTCTTCATCGCTATCTCTACATCACTGTACTCTATGCCAATCAGCCGTTAGTTACTTGGCGAGTGGACGGACCCCTTGATCTTCTTCCTGATTATACACCGTATACACTGTATGCATGCATATATTCATATGACAAATACTTATTATTACTTATTTACTTTGCTCCCTTTTTTCGACTTTGAATACCTATTGAATTCATCATCGATTATTGATATTTTATTTTGGTATTTAGTTAGTTATATTATATTGTTTTGTCTTGTCTTGTGTTATGTTTTATGATTTGATTTGATTGAATTTGATTTGTTATATTAATATATTTTATTATAAGAGTTTTATTATATTATATAATATATATTATTTTAATTTAAGAGTTTAATTTATTTCCTCTACAAGTAGTATATAAATAAATAATATTAAATTAAAGAATAAATAAATCAAAGAATAAAAAATAAAAAATGAATAAAAGTTTTTGAATATATTTTATATTTTATATATTGATTTTGAAAAGTGGTTTCTTTTTAAAGAGAAAGAGATTTTAGATATTTTATTTTGTTTGTTTATCTTTTTGTCTTTTAATTAGAAGTATTATTATGCATATAGATGGAATTGAATAGATAACTAAAAATTTAAAATGTTGAAAGATACTTGTGGACGCTGTGGGTTATAAACGTAGAGATAGTTAATTGTAGTTCTATTTTTTTGATTGCTAAGACAAGTAACTAAAAAAAAGCATTGATGAAAAGATGATATAAAATCTTTTGTTATGTAGAGATGGTATTGCAATTGAAGAGGAATGGTTTGGGATAAGGAATAGAGAGAGGGAAATAGGGTATCTGAAAAGATTTTGTTTGTGTATACGTCTTATTCTATATATTTATAAGATATATAGATATCCGATATAGTGCCTACCTGTATACCTTGGTGATGAGGTGATAAGGAGATGGATCAAGGAGTAAGTTAGAAGTTCAACAGCCCTGCAATGAGTCACAAATCACAATCACTATACCCATCGACACTAAAAAGTCAATGACCTTTAGATAAATCTAGTAAAGAGGCCGCGCACGATATGCATTACCGCCATCTAGAATCTCTAAAGATAATCACCAACTACCTCCAAGCTTGCAGAAAATTCAAAACTCCGCCGCATAAGTATGTAGATGAAGTATACATCCTGAGAGATGATGCATAATCGACCTGGATATGCAGGAAATCGTGAAACCATAAGGGCAGCCATGTAGTAGTATCTTGAGTCATTATCGTCGGAAAATAGTATTTATCGTCAATCACAAAACCAAAACGGCACAAAGAGTGCTGCATAAACCGAGGCCTTGCCCTACTAAAAGTTTTGTGGGAGTTCCCTGGAACAAGTCAGCCATAATGGACAAGTAGTACAGGACATTCGCTCCACACCTCTGGCAAAGTTGCAGCACATACAATAGCAGGTTTGAAACTTGCGAATCTATACTTCTAGATACCACGAGCCCATTCATGGTCACTATAACCACCATAAGCAACACTAAAGTAGGAGTTTTCGGAACGATCAAGTAGTTCTAGACGTAACTCAATTGTGGTTTCCTTAATACGCTACACATAATCAGTTGAATATCACACGGCAATGATAGCATATTTTAAGCTCACATGACGACAGAGCTCTGGGAACCGCTTTAATATGAAGGTAGTAATTTCACGAGTGGTGTATCTTGGTTGAAGTGCCTCTTGTCTAGGGACCTTTCCTTGGACTAATGGAGCGTGTGTGGACAGGTAGGCGATGCAACGATCATGTTTGTCAGACCATCCAGATGGAAGGCCACAGCTGGGAACGCTTTTATTAACAAGTTCTGGTCCAGGAATACGGTAATGGGTAAGTAGATTGTATGCCTTATCCTAAACAGATAAAATTATTAGCCTGGATCACCATGACAATAAATGGGTTGCCGACTTACTTCTGTCGGTTGCAATTTAAAACCTGGTCCAAGGGAGATTGCAGGATTCTGAAGAAGTCTCTGACGAGCCTCACCAGCGCTGGCTCCATTATAGGTAGCTTGGAGAGCACGTCTACGGTCTTCTGACAAGACGGCAGCGGCAGCAGCAGCTGCTTCACGCTGCTTTTTTCTGCTCGGAGGACGAGGAGGAGTACCGTTCTCATCTTCTGTGGTAACGTCAGACTTTATCTTTTGTATTTCCAAAATTGGAACTGATTTGAAATATTGCTGTGGTAGATAAAGGGTGATGAAATACTGACGGTCAAAGTGAGTTAGCTGTATAAAATGTTAGCAAATTTCGTGAAATTCTATGGAAAATAGAGGGTCACAAACCGGCATCATTACTTGCGCCATGATGAAAACTTGAAGTTTTGTGGTATTGGCCTAACAGACTACGACAATATGAGCTCTAGTTTACGCGAAGTTTCAATGGCTGATGAATTTGAAACCGAGAAGGAGCTCACATACCGAGCGTATTTGAAATTGGGTTGGCCAGAAACTATGATCTGAAGAAAAGCTTTAGTATGACGGATCAGTGTGTAGTTGTGGTAATTTAGACGATGGACGAACACACTAACATGCGTATATTCAAGCTGCTACTGTGCTTTACACAGATTGAACTGTCGTTGTGATTAGAAGCTAAAATGTGAATTTTGAATGAAGCCAGAGGCCAGGAGAAGACTCACACTCTTCGAGATATGCTTGAAATACTCTCTAGAGGAAAGCTGTAAGCTTTTGACAGTAGACAAGAAGATATACCAAGGAAGGTTCAATTGAAAAGAACTGGTCGTAATCCACAAAATTGTTGCGGGAGAACGAATCCTCTCCCTCTTCCTCTTGTCGAAGTTGAATATTTCGAGAGATGAATTCGGATGTGAGGGAAAGGAAGCTAGACCGTGTTATTACCATACACGGCAAGAATTCCGGGTATCGGGCCGACAGATCAAGTGTGAGTTAAGGGAAAGTAAAGTAAAGTGTAAAGGTTGGTAGAGGTTGAATGGACGTTTAAAGTTGGATAAAAACAAGAAGGATTTGAATTGGGAAGTCTCCAAATTCTCTGTTACAGTCCACTGCTATCAATAATCAGATTGTGCTTGATGTAATATTTGGAAACCAAATAGATTGGGGGAAGGCAAGGAGGTTTCATGTTGTGGATAGAAAACAAGGGGAAGTGGGAGGTAGATGGGAAGTAAATGGGAAGTAAATGGGAAGTAAATGGGAAGTAGACGGAAAAAAGGTCATTCGAATCTCAAGGGCGATGGAGAAGAAAGGTTTCTCAACATACCGGGTCTATGACATACACACACCAGATAGCTTGATAACCAAACCGACGATCTCTTAAAAGTAAATATAGAATGATCTTCTGTCTAACAACAACGAAGGAAGTCAGTATCAGTCTTTGATCCCATGGTAGTGTCCTTGAGAATAACTTTGGTAGAAGATAGAAGATTTCGATGCAGAATTCATGAATTCAGAAGGATTGTAATAACTGAAATGAAGAAGGCGAGAAGTCGATGGAACGGGAAGCTATTGTAGATCAGGTATCAAAGATCGATGAGCCTATCAAATTTAGATCCGTCCCAAGTTTGGAACTCTTCCTACTCGACCTGCTGAAGTGGGAAAGCACCATCCCACTGGTAGTTTAGAGTTGTCTTTCCCAAATGGGTAACCACATGGTCCAATGAACTTGACAGACGAATGGCCCATTAGCTTTTCAGGGTAAAGCTTTAAGAGTGGGCAAACTAATATTCATATCCATGTCCATTTCTTTACGGAGTTCTGACTTCTCTACAAAGAGTAGGACCTAATATCATCGGTGCTTCTGGTGAACTCGGACATAACCAATATTTTCTCTACGAAAGAACATAGCATACCTCATACATATGATGTAACTCCTCGTGCATATCCCCCCACCACAACAGACCTCTTCTCCTTTCTATATTCAAGCATTGTCAGCCAATCTCCAGTCTTCTAAGGTATACCTATTTTCATCGTTGGGAAAGCAATAGAGATACAGATTATCTCTCATATCAAAAGAAAACATACACACCGTCGGCTTTCTCAATCTCAGGCACTCCTGCTTCAAACTCCCAGACCGATCGACCACAAAAGGACACGGGGCAGACGGCGAACAAGGACTGAATGAATCCTTCTTTTCTTCCAAAGATCTCCTTTCTTTACCGAGTAATCCTTAAAAATAACTCAATGCTTTTTCTCACATAAAACAATGATATTGTACAAGAACTGCTGACATGACCATATATATTGCATTGCTTCGCTTTTTTCACATCTAGACAATTATCTTTCCTTAAACACTCCCGCCATGCATCATGATCAGGTGAAAAACACGAAGAAAATCTGTTTGGAGCTACACATGTATCCCACGGGTCCATGCAGACGTAACACTCATCTATCGGCGGATGCAACCCGATTTTAACCATCCAACCATTTCCCATGCCCTTCCTTATGCTGAGGAACCGTGGGATTTTTGCCATTTACTTTGGGGGAAATAACATAGGGCGCTTCGGGAATTGTGACCAATGCATGGCAAACAAAATTGTAAAATGTAAGGATTCTTTGGCTGTCTTGTTCTGAGAAAATCATCAATTGGCTTCATTCAATTTGAGCACTTTCTAATGTTCTTGATGTGCAAGAAAACGTAGTGCATATATTACACAGAGCCTCTAAATTGGCATGCCCTCCATGTATAGCTTTGGTTGTACAAACGCCTCCCTTCCAGAAAGATTGCACTTATGCCTACTAACTTAAATGCAATTACAACTTTTTAAAAACTCTACGCAAAGCTAGCCTATCACTTCCATTTCCAATATCTTTCTAGGAGCGACCGGTAATTTTGCTAAGCAACGAACCACTAGGAGCCTTTTGTTTATCGAATACACCTAAAAGTGATTTCCAAACGGCTCCGGGTTCTTGCGATGCGTCAATACCACTCCAGATGCCGGTCTTTTGGTAATAACCAACGACAGGGGCAGTTTGATCGTGGTAGGTAACAAGTCTCCTCTTCAAAGCCTCGGCATTATCGTCGGATCTTGATACCAATGGTTCACCGGTGATATCGTCCTTCATTTCTGCCTTAGGTGGGTTGAATACTCTGTGATACGATCGGCCTGAAGCGGGGTGCACCAAACGACCAGTAATGCGGGATACAAGGAGACTATCGTCAATTTGAAGCTCGACTGCGTGTTGTAGCTTTTGGTTGCGCGCCGAAAGCATGGCATCCAAGCGCTCTGCTTGCACAACTGTACGTGGGAAACCATCAAGAATGAATCTATGTTTCACGTCAGAATGAGCTTTCCTCATTTGTATTCTCCGCCAGCACTTACCCTCCCTTGCACTCTTGATTGGCCTCAAGTTCGGCCTTGATCATGCCGATGACGATCTCATCACTAACAAGGCCACCTTGATCCATAATCTTCTTAGCTTCCCGACCCAATGGTGTCTTCTTCGCAACTTGTGATCGCAACATGTCTCCAGTAGCCTAAATTGATCATTAGAAGAGCTTTTTCACAAAACTAAAATGACTTACCAAATGACAGCATGAGAATTTCTCCTTGATCTTAGGAGCTTGAGTTCCCTTGCCTATACGAAGCACTTAGCTGATGACCCCCATGTGTATTCAAAACACGATCGCAAGCCAGGAAATCATAAACACATACCAGCACCTGGAGGACCCATAAGGATCATTCTGATGCCCTGGGAGCTGGATGGCGCAGGCCCACCAGCAGCATGCGCAAGCTTATCTTCGAGCTCCTTGACCCTCGACTCGAGTTTGTTGACTAGGTCATGGAGGGCCTGCGTGGCATCGTCGCCAATTGGTGCCATTTCGAATTGATAGGTGAAGAAAACCGGACCAAGGTATGGAATGAATCCAAAATATACAGATTGTAGAGAGGAGAGTGGAGAGAGTTAAGGGAAAAAGATTCGCAAGTCTTTGAGCGTGAGGGAATTGGAATGGAATCGGGACAATGAATGTAGAGCACAGTAAATCTAACTTGTTCTGCCGAGCGGCAACCGGAGGGACGGAAAAAATTCACCGGGATGTCCCCTCAATATATTATTAGGACTTCACTCAACGAGAAGAAAAGAAGAAGAGGATATATAAACATTCTAAGTTGGGGAAATTGACCATCATTTATATCATCAAGGGACCCGAGTGAGATCTTATCTTCAAAGTGGCTACGCGGAAATATAAATGTATGTTTAGTTGAGTATTTTACCGGACCTTTGCAAAGTTATGGTCATGGTAATACAATCTTGAGGTTCATGCTCCTGGAACTCCTTCTGTATCTACAAAGTCAAGTCCGAGGTCTGGATGTCAGACGTTTGGGAAACTATTTCCACATCACCAAGTAAAATCTACGTAAGTGTATCCTAGGCTATACAATTAAACCTTGCGGCCATCGGTGTTCTACATCCGTTCTATCCTTCCTGTCTCCAATTTGACTTTACCTCATACCTTTCCCGCCCTTCCGCCCGCCGCCAGATTACCTGCCCGCCAAATACCACGTGATAACGTCTCGATTGGGTTTGGAGCTAAGCACCAGGCAAGCTCTTGCCGCGAATACCTTAGAATATCAGCCTTGTCAACAATTGTTCCATAACGACAAAACTCCATAACTCAAAATTCATCATGCCTGCTACCACGGCAGAAACTCTCTCCCTCGTTACGAGAAATGTATCAGTTGCACCACTGGTATTACTTTCAGCAGCAGATCATTACGGACGACAAGCGAAAGGCACGCGCAGACGTGTAGTTGGAGTCCTGTTAGGACAGAATGATGGAAAGAATGTACGGGTATCAAACAGTTTTGCTGGTAAGTTGGTTCTTTGGCAGCTTGTATTTAGTGCTGGTTGTAGTTTTTTAAATCATACTAATAGCAACTTCCAATAGTCCCATTCGAAGAAGATGAGAAAGACCCATCAGTATGGTTTTTGGATCACAATTACGTCGAATCGATGAATGATATGTTTAAGAAAATCAATGCGAGAGAAAAGCTAATAGGATGGTATCATACTGGGCCTAAACTGAGAGCTTCAGATTTGGAGATCAATGAGTTGTTTAAGAGATATACTCCCAACCCGTTACTTGTGATTATCGATGTTCAACCAAAGGAGGCTGGCGTACCAACAGATGCTTATTTTGCGGTAGAGGAGATTAAGGATGTAAGTTTGTTCTACTGATGAAGCGAGTGGATGAACACTAATGAAATTTAAGGACGGCACAACTACATCCAAGACTTTCGTACATACACCATCGATCATCGAGGCTGAGGAGGCTGAGGAAATCGGAGTTGAACATTTACTTAGAGATATCAGAGATGTGGCAGTTGGAACCCTTTCGACACGAATCACAAATCAAGTACAATCATTGCAAGGGCTACACGCACGATTACGAGACATTAGCCAATATTTACAAAACGTTCTCGATGGAACTTTACCAGTCAACCATGCCATTCTAGGCAATCTTCAAGATGTTTTCAACCTCCTCCCTAATTTATCTACACCCAAAGCTTCCTCTCACATTCCTAACGGCATCGACGCACCTGTTGAGAATAACAGCGAATTAGCACATGCTATGAGCATAAAGACCAATGATCAATTGATGGCTATCTACTTAAGTAGTTTGATCCGCGCCATTACCGCCTTCCACGACCTTATCGAAAACAAAATTCAAAATAGACAACAGCAAGAGGAGAAGGAAGCCAAGAAGGAAGAAGCCAAAGATGAGAAAGACAAGAAGACTGATGGGGTTGAAGGTGTGAATGGAGATGGAAAAGAGAGCAAGGAAGCGGAAAAGGAGAAAGAGGATAAGGAAAAGAAGAAGTGATGATGGAATGACAGATGGAGTTGGTGAATATCTTTGGGTGTTTAATGAGGTATGGGCATTCAGAACAGGGCATGACATATGGCATTTGAGATGAGGTTGAAAATGATATGTCATTGTATCATAAATTCATAGCTTGCGAATAATAGCAGCTATGCAAAGTTTTAAATGTGACTTTAACACTCTATACGTGCTCGTTTATTTTATTCCTTAACTCCACAAGCAAGCAAGCTTTCCTTTCCCTTACTCTCAACATGGACTCCATACTCAGATCGAGGTACATTCATCAATTCCCTCTTCACATGCGCCAACCAACAAACTCCAATACCATACAATAAACACACCTAGCTCCGTGCGCACACCCTCCTCCAACCTCCTCCTTCCCTGTATTGCCTTACATCCACTATACATACCTCTCCTTACCCCCTCCCCGCAAGCGGAAAACTCCCTACAATCCTCAAACCCCCAACCCACCCATTTCCTCCCTTCCCACAGTCCTCTCCTCAACATAAACCCCTAATACATCACCCCATCGCTCGGCTAAGAGACATGCTAATATGTGTTTACAGATGGGTATTGGGGAGTCTTGGATTTGAGAGCCTCCGTATTGCCAGGTCGTTGTTTTTGCTGAGGCTTCGGAATTTTGCTGTGGTGGTTGTGAGGGGAGATTGTTTGGGGCGTTGGGGAAGAGAGGGGAGGTGGAGGTGAAACATGGGAAGGATGAGGATGAGGAGGATGAAGCGGGGAAGGATGAATAGGTAAAGGCGGCGCAGGTGCAGTTCCAGGCATTCAGGTGGACGGTATGTGGATTTTCTGATGCTGGTATTTTGACTCTGGTTCCGCTTCCTGATTTAGATCTAGAGTGAGCATGGGAGTAATTAGAATTCCATTTTGGGGGTTGCGAGGAGCGGACTTGGTAGATTGTTATTTTGTTATTTTTTGGCTTTGGCTTTGGCTTTGGTTTTGGTTTGGAGAATGTTGCGTCGGGTAGATGTGGATGGTTGTGTGATTGGGGAGGAACTAGATTCCTCCTTGCGTCTTCACATATCTCGTCTTTTTCATCGTGGATCATGTCTTCTCCCAAACTCTCACTATTCGCCGCGTCATCCACAGGTTTTCTTTCAACTCTTGTACCTTCTACCCTCCTACCCTTTCCACTCTCCTCCTCTTCCCCTCGATCTCTACCACCGCTAACATGCATCCCAACGCCCTCCTCAAAACCTCCACATCCACTTCCATCTCCATCTCCATCTCCATCTCCATCTCCATCTCCACCTCCATCTCCATCTCCACCTTCACCCCATCCCCCGCCCACCACCCTCCCCTTCATAAACAACCCTCCCCACCCCCCCTCTATCCAACAAATCCAATGCCTGCAAAAGTACCGGCGGAGGAAAAATAACATGCAACGACATCAAAAGCGCTTTCTTCTCACTTCCTATCCCTTTTAACGGATTTGAATTTTCCGTTTCCTTTGCATTTGAGATTCTTTGTGAGGTTGAACTTATATTTATATTTGTATTTGAGGTGGAATTTAGGGGTGTAGAAGTCGTTGTAGTTGTTGTAATAGAGGGAGAAGAAGAAGAAGTAGTAGTAAGACTATTGAAAAGAGAAGTCATGAAAGTACGAGGTGAGGGTAGGGTGGGAGAGTGAGTGGTGGGCATTTTAGTGTGGTGTAGTGTGATTAGTGGGTGATTTAGAATGGATGGATGTGAAGATGTAATTAATTGGAAAATCCTATGATAGGAAGGAAGTATGTGGGATTTTAAACAGAAATTGTTGGTGGTAGGATGATAGGGTTTTCATTCAAGTTTGAATGAGGAAATGGTGGTGAGGTGGGATGTTGAAGTGTGCTGGAGATGAATGGACGCTACTGGGAGATAGAATAGGAGGGGAAGAGAGATCTCGCTTGCTGGGTTGTTTGCCTAGAACAAACTTTCGATCATTTCACATCTCACTTTGGACATTATATATGATACTAATTGATGGCATTTATTTTTATTCTTTTCTTTTGTATAATAAATACATTTCTAAATCATTTATACGGCTAAAGGCTATCATCTCGCTCGCCATTCTATTCCCTTCTCTAATATCTAAACCCATTCCCTAGGTTCCCTCAAAACATCCACCAATCTCTGTTCCCTACTTCCCTTCTCTGGTTCGTACATATACCTCCAACTAGCTGTCAAAGGTAAACTCATCAAAATACTCTCTACTCTCGCGCTTGGTGTATTTAAACCAAATGCCGTTCCTCTATCATGTACCAGGTTGAATTCCACATATCGACCCCTCCTAATTTGTTGCCACTCCTTTTCCTTTTCGGTAAATGGCATGTCTTTCCTCTTGTTGATGATGGGAAGATACGAGGGAAGGAAAGCTTTTAAACAACTTTGCGCAAATGCAAATAAGTTTTCCTGATCCTTTCCTTCTTCCAAATCATCAAAGAAAATTCCTCCAACGCCCCGCGTTTCCCCTCGATGTTTGTTGGAGAAATAGTTATCGCACCACTTCTTAAATCGAGGATAATATTCTTTATCATGATTGTCGCATGCTTCTTTAATCGTCTTATGGAAATGAATAGCATCTTCGTCAAATAGGTAACTAGGTGTAAGGTCCGTCCCTCCGCCAAACCACCATGCGGCAGGTGAACCATCCGAGTTTTCAGTCTCGAAATATCGATAATTAAGGTGGACCGTTGGCGCCATAGGGTTGACCGGATGCAGAACCATACTTAATCCTGCTGCGAAAAAGTCGAGGGATTGGACATCAGGAGCGATGGACTTGTGGTTGGCTCGCATTTTATCAATTGCAGCTCGAGGTAACGTTCCATATACCACACTGATATTCACTCCTGCCTTTTCGAAAACATTGCCGTCTTGCAATACGGAAGAGATCCCTCCTCCGCCATGTTCCCGGTTCCATGTATCAACTCGAAACTTCTTGCCGTCAACCTGTTCCAATTCATGAACAATTTCCTTTTGCTGTTGTTTAATGAATTCTTCCATTCGCAATCGCATAGGTGAGTTCTCGGTAACGCCGGATTCACGTTTAGTGAGAGTATCCCGTTCTGCAATGGTAGGGGCGTCCAATTTGGCCGGTTCTTCTGTTGCCTGTTGAGGTGTAAGTGAAGCTCGAGGCTTGAGCATTGATCGAATGTTCCATACCATATTGTAGATTAGAGCACCAATAAAGACAATGCCCACAGCAATTCTAGTTTTTGGTGCCCAAACAGTAGGACGCCCAGTTCCTGGTCTTGGAGGGTTTTGATGGCCTGCGAAAGTTCTTCGAGCATATGAGGGCATGGGACGTGTAGAGAAAGAAGTTCTTCCCAAGCTCGAGAATCGAGCTCTTCTTATGGGGAGAGACATTGTGAAAGAAAGGAAATGGTAAGGCTAGAAATAAAGAAGAATCGAACGCTATAATGGGAGAAACATGCCACAAATAAGGAGATGTTGTTGGTGGAAGGATGGTCCAGGGAATGATTTGGAGAATAGGATTTGTTGATGTAAATTTTCGTCCTTTGCCGTGGTACGATTTCTATGATTCCCTACCTAGTCCAGTACATACCTATAACGATGATGAATGGGTCGAGGTCCAAAAGAAGCACTGGCCATCAGGAATTCAGGCAAGAATCACAACGCACAAGCAAAGCAACTTGTGCTTCAATGTTGGGGCAAGGACTTATCAGATGGATTTGAGGGTGTTACGAAAAGGAGGTTCAAAATAGAAAGAAGATATGAGATGGTACCCTGATATGTAGGGGGATTTTAGCATACGGGATCCCGTGAAAATCAACATACTACCTTGGTACCTACGTACTCTGTATCCCGGATATGGTATGATGATGGTTGAGTGTAGGAGCACTGTAAGACTTATCACACTACCGATTACTCCTCATACTTAAATAACTACACCACCTAGCACATGCACTCCATGATAGGGGAACACTATGCCTACTCGAGTGATGATCCTGATATATGTCTTGTTCTCCGGCTAAGGACGGTGACTGTCCAGGTTCTCCTCCAATATTCCATTCCGTACCCATATATCATATCGATTGGAATAAGTTCTCCAGCCTCTTTTGTCAAGTGGGGTTGCTGCCTGTGGTTAGTTTCTAGAAGTGTGTTGGATGGGAGCGACGGTCAAAGAGAAGAGGAACGTGTAAAAGAAAATGACAAAGAAACAGGAATCACCTAGGTAGCAAATGAATGAAGAATGTGATGGGATGTTGATAATCATGTGCCTCTGTAAACAAGTCATTGTCATTTCACCCATTCCTCCCTCATCAGCTGCTATGTACAAACCATACAACTCTCATACCCGGACAATACAATTTACTCATCAGCACAACACCAGCAACCCAGCATTCGGCAGAAGTGTGATTCGTGATTTGTGATTCACAATCAACCCAACCTTTCACCGCTTACGCTACTAAGCTATTACCTAGTACTTAGCCACTTAGGCAGTCAGTCTTGATACTTAGTCTGTCCATCAACCCAACCTACTCTGTACAACTCCAATACCCTTTCCCCTCTATCCATCCATCCATCCATCCATCCTCCATCACAACATCAAGACAACCTCCTCTCGCCAACCATCTACACATACACAACAACTCTACGCTTTTTACCAACGAAACATTTAATAGCTCATTTCACGATGCGATCCAAGTTTAAGGACGAGCATCCCTTCGAGAAGCGCAAGGCTGAAGCAGAACGCATCGTAAGTCGCATTCCAGTCCCTCAACATGCACCTCCTCTTCCCCACCATCCCGATCGCATCTCCAAAACCCTCATTACGAATCATTTCAATCAACTAACTTATATCCCCAGCGCCAAAAATACTCCGACCGTATCCCCGTAATCTGCGAGAAGGTTGAGAAATCGGATATTGCCACTATCGACAAGAAGAAGTATCTCGTTCCCAGCGATCTCACCGTCGGCCAATTTGTCTATGTCATCCGCAAACGTATCAAGCTTTCTCCCGAAAAGGCAATCTTCATTTTCGTCGATGAGGTCTTACCGCCTACTGCCGCTTTGATGAGCTCCATCTACGAGGAACACAAAGATGAGGATGGGTATGTCTTCCACTATCTGCTTTTCATAACGTCATACCGCCCTATCATCACCGTTATCGTGGTTATCGCGATCGGATCAATTTCCAACCCAACGCCATCTATCCACGAACAGAAACAAAGAAAACCCAAAAGAGGCCAGCCATGATCTAAATGCTAACATCATCATCAAATAGATTCCTATACATCTCCTACTCGGGCGAAAACACCTTCGGTGAAGCCTTAGAAGAAGCCAACTAATTCCCTCCTCCGCGTGAACCACTTCAGTATAACACAACATCATTCAGGCGTTTATAAGGCGAGGCGGATGATGGATAGGCAGGGCAGTGTGACTCTACATTACAACCTAAGGCAGTTTTTCTTTCCTCACCATCGACCTCTTCCATGTTTCCCCTTTCCGAAATCTTTACAGTGTATCAACCAACCAGCTCTCATCTGCCTTCAATTATCCTAAGCGACGTCTCCTTACGGTAATGCAGCGAAGGGACCAGCAAGAAAGCAAGGAAGGATGATTATTCTGTACATGGGGCCGTTATCTGTGTCGCTTGCGAGTGGGAACTTGGGGATTCGACGTTGTGAATTATTCATAGGGGTTGTTTCTTTTCCTTGTTTCGTCCTATTAGGGGGTGGGGTTTCTTGGGAATAGGTGCAATATGATACGATGCTTTCTGCCAACACATGCATGGTATGACCGTATGACAACTACAAGTGAAGTTATTTGATTCGTGATCTGTTGTGATTCTGATGATTTCTCCTATACTAATTTAATTTAAACGAATGTGCAATTATCCCTCCAAAAGCCCAGAGAGCTCTGTAATGACTTGAAGCTATTTGATGTAATAGCCCTATACTCGAACACTTAAAAATATTGATAATAATCCCCTCCGCCGTCAATACCTCGATCCATAATCATCCATTTCCGAATCGTGCGTGAATGTTCCACCGAATAAGCACATTTCAAAACCACCCTACCCCATACACGCACAGCATATAAACCATTCCAAAAACGAAACAATGCCACGAGGAATAGAGGGAATCAAAGGGATAAAGTCTGAAGGGAAGCACGCAACAAAAGCATCAACACTTAATCAAACATTACGTTTTCCCGATCTTCCAATGGTCCCAAAGACCGAACTCAGCTTCTTTTTCAACGACTTTGGTGATTCTCCCAACTTCTTACTGATGCTACCAAGCTTTGCACTTGTTCCGCTCATACCACTCATGCCGCTTCCTTCCGTCTTGCTGGATTTTTGGCTTTGGCCACCATTGCTTCTGCTCTTCGTCATGTAGGCACCGCTACCGCCACTACCGTCAAGACTGGAACCATAAGAGGACGAACTATCGGAAGGATGACTAGCTGAAGCAGGGCGAGCGGATCGAGTAGGAGATAGTGGAGGAGGATCTTGGAGGGAGAAGACGACGCGAGTATTCGGATCCTTGGGCGGATCATGAGAGGAGATGTGAGTACAGGGGCTAGAAGCCTCATGTTGTGGGCATTGAGCTAATCTCAAGCGGACGTTTCCGTGGATCTGGGTGACCTGATGGACATCGATGGAGTCTTCAAGGACTTGACTATTTTTGCTGTGCTCGAAGATTTGTTTGGATGGATCGGTGTCAGTGGAAGATGCACCCATGAGTGCTCCAAGGCATTTCGCAATGAACGCTTCATTGTCGTCTGTAGGAGGCTGATCTGTGTTTTGGATGGGCGTACTGCCTAATGAAGCAGGAGCCTTCTTGAAATCATTGTCCCGGAACTGGTTTTCGAATTCTTCGAGGGTGATTTCTTCCGCCATGTAAGATTCGTCAGAGTCAGAGGAATAGTCTCTTGGAATGCAAGACCCATCGACCAACTTCGTATGTGACTTTCCAATAAGCTTCTCCTCATCCTTAGGAGCGAAATCGTCAATGTCTTCGATTCTCATCGAAAGACCTTGTTTTTGAAAGGCGACTTGTAACTGCAACTTCTGCATAGTCTTAACAAAATTATCTTGCTCAATCTTATCCATCCATTCAAAGGCCTCCAAATATTCTTGGGTTAGTTCGAAAGGAGATATACCGGCATTGGTGAGTTTTTGACGGGCGGCGGCTGCTTTTTGGAGCGCTCTTCTGTGCAGAATTGGAATGTGGATATCCATCCACGTGGTCGTGTCATTGCCTTGGCTCAACACCAATTTCACAAACTCACCCTCTGTAAGGTATGACGGATGAAGACCTTTGGGCACGAGGATTTCCCACGCACAGTCCCACAACGGTCCTTTACGTGTACCGTATTCATGTACCGCCGAGTTTGAATTAACAGTAGTGATAAGCTGACTGTAATATACGTGCTGGTCAGCGTAGTCGAACTCATCGACTTCAGTGGAAGGAGGTGTGTCGAATGTGACAGAAGTGAATGGTTTCTTGAGCCTTATTGGCAACACAATCATATCCTCAAAATTGAATCGGAAGTCCGACGACTGTCTACGAAGGTTGTAATCCTCGCATTGGAAATCCGTGTCGGGGTCTTGCTCGTAAAGGTCGAAGGCCATGCAATCATCAAGGTTAGATGGTGAGCCGCTTTGTCCAACTGCCGGGGGAAGACTTTGAGGACGAACGTTTGGCGTAGGCAAGCTTTTGGTATTGGCGCTGGCCTGCTTTGGAACGTAGCTAGACGGCATTTTGCCAGGAAAAGTTTCCGAATTGGTGCACTCATAGAGAGCCTTTGAACGGCTTTTCATATAAAGGTACGAATCTTCGCTGCCTTCTGCCATTGTAGCGTGCGAATATTAGGATCGTATTAATATTGTAAAAGTCTCTCACTATCCAATTCAAAAGACCGCGTGAAAGATAGGAGATGGAGTGAGATTAAAGTGTTGAGAGTACACTGCTGCTTTGACAAGGATGCAAATTTGTGAAATACTTGTTATTGTACAGTCGAAATTTCTTCCAAACAGCAAGGATATAGATGGAGAGCATGACATGCGCCTTCCTTGAAGTATTCCGTCCATGCTGGCCACGCTCCTTCCACAACTTTCAATTCTTCTTCGCCAAAGGATCATTCGAGCGAGGAAAGCCAATTCTTCTACATGATGTAAGTCAATATGAAGCCAGGCAAGATGTACTTTTAAAATGCATACCTGAATGCAGCATCAATTGTTTGCTGCGAGGTATGTCCTTGTTCCTTTTCCTCTCTGTTGATACGAGTCACTGTTGCCCCTACCCCGATGAACAGAGCAAAGATAGGATCGCCAACCCTGGATATTAGATAGACTGGGGAAGGCATGATGATGATTTCACGTGTGTGGACTATTATTTGTGTTTTGTTGAAAGACTCAAGCTTTGGAAAATTGATGCTCAAATAATAAATACCTAGTAACAAGTTGAAAATTGTGGATACGAAAATTCCCGGATTTTGGTTTTGCCGAGATGCCATAGCTCCATGGAGGGGTAATTGAATTATTATTATTAACCATTACCATAAATACCAACTACTCTACATCAATCAAATATAACCTTACACATAATGATTCACAACTGCATACATCATAATGACTTAAGTATCTATGCCATTTATCATTGTGATTGCCATTTGAGTCGAGTGCTTTGCCCTCCCTTCCATATTCGACTCCAAGCTATTTACAAGGAGGGTACAATTTATCGTTTTATATCATTGAACTCCAGTTTTCCTTACCATCCATTCTCAGTATTATTACATCATGATGCTCAATCGCCTACCAGTATCCTATTTGGAAAGAGCGATATCAAAAGCAGGAATTAAAGTTTGTGCAAGCCAGAAAGAGAACACTAATTTTGGTCCGGTCATCAATAGCTGTTAGATGTTAGTGCTATGCTTTTTCTTTTGATGTTCCGAGAAACAGCATACCTTTGGTGTTAAACCCTTGAAGAAACTTGTCATGCCCTCGTTCTTCATCATGCTTGACACGATCCTGAAGCCACTTTCTGGATTCTCGAAGTTACGGTTTTGAATACGGGTCTTGATAACATCGAGGGGTGCAGAGACGACGAGGGATGCAGAAGCACCAGCGATAGAAGCTACAAAGTTCTCGAACCAGGTGGCTTTGTTGTAATCGTTCAAATTGAAAATATATCCTTTGGCAAAGGCAGATCCTCCGAAGAGCTTTCAAAATGTTAGTAGCCATTCAGGTTAATAATAGTGGAACTTACAGCAAATGATCCAGGTGCATTTCTTGCAGCAGTCCATTGCCAACCTCTGTACAATCCAAAACCCTCATCTCTAACGATTCTGACAACTCCTCGTCCTCTGAAAGCCTCAGGGTTTGTCTGTCGCTTGATCTTGAGAACGTCAAGGGGGAGGAGTACAATCTCTCCAATTCCAACAAGACTTCCTGCTACTGAACTCATCATTGCCTTTCCAGTCTTTGCGCCAAATGTGTTATCGAATGTGCTACCGTGGTTCTTGGCAAGGTAATCACGAACAAATGGCTGTCCGCCATACTTGTAGACTCTTTGAAGGACTTTGTATCCTGCAGCATATCCCAGACCTGGGAAGAGGGAAAAGAACTTGGTGCCGATTGGAGCTGTTGCCTTATCCTTGAAGATAACCTCTGCTAATTTGCCCTTGGTCTGCAAAAGAAGTAATTAGCGCTACATGGCAGAAAGAAAAGGTTCAATATTTGGGGGCTGTACCGATCCATGATTGCTCATCAATCTCTTTGCAATTGTGTCGACCTTCCATGGGTCAGTATATTCATTCTCAGTGGAAATTTGTGGTGATCCCATACAGGGTGGAAGACGGCAAGCTCAGCAATACCAGCAGATCCTATAGAGTTTAAGTAAGATATCCCATAACAAACTAGGTTGAGGAATCTAACCCGAGCCCAACAATCTTGCCAATGTAGATTCTGACTTGTAATTTTTGGAAGCCGATGACGGCGCGACTGCAATTGGAGACATTCTTATGGTGAACAAAGTAAATCACAAATAGAAAAAGGTTTAAAATAAACTAAATGAATGGAGTATCGAAAACCGCCACGACGCCGCAAATTGCTTTATTCTGTAAAGAAGGATGGTGGAAAATAGAGAAACAATATTTCGTCTGGTGTTATTCCCAAACTTTTTTTTTCTTTCGACCTTTAGAAAGCCTTGTATGTTGTCCGTGCGCTACCAGGTACATAGCACGAAGCAGTTCGATGTGGGGTGTCACAACTGATAACGGGCGGAAAGTTGCATTATGAATAGAGTAATACTTTCTCATTCTAAAACCATTGATTACTACCTACTAGGTAGATAGATACCTGGGTATTCAACCATTTGTTAAGTGTTAAGTGTTAGTATCTTCGAATCTTGAATGGATTGAATAATGAAAACAAAACGTTCATTCATGTATTGGTCTTCAATGGGTTCAATTAGCCAGGGGGATGAAGCGAAACATCTGCCATTCCTCAGTACATGCAGCATACATTTTGCAAGTTTTTAGTATTTACCTAGGCAACTCATATAGCCTGTGAAGTGATCTTATGATATCTGAAAGTCATGAGTCGACTGGAAATATTCAGTGCTGTTCGACTATACTAGAACGCCTTTCTTATGCAGTAGAATGGCGCCGCCCAATGTGAAAGAAATTAAGAACGCTCAAGTGCCAAACCAAACCCACTATCATGGTTAATAATCCTGAAATACGCCTACCAAATCATCGAGTCTACCAATCTGCCCTAAAAGATCTTCTTCCTTCCTTCGGATCTCACGCAACTGATTCATCTGTTCTGGTCGAAGTATAGCCTCCTCTTGACCTTGAACATCTGTACGCTCTGACAATGCAATAATATCTGCTTTGCGCCGCTTCTCCACGTCAAGTCGTTGGAGACATCTTGCCATGGCCTTGTAAGTTCGATCCAATAATAGGGAGGAAACCCGGTCTTGATCGCAGAACCACAAAAATATAGTACGCACAATCATGCGGCCGGCATCCCTGGGAACTTCCTGAACATCAACCATGCCATGCATTTGCATTTCCACAAGTTTAGTCCGGGAGTCCTGCTGTTTAACCAACGCTACTTTGGCAATATGCTTTTCCTCAAGCTTTCCCATCTTCCTCATAACTCGTATAAGCCGATGACCAATCTGGCCAAAATTCTCATGTATAATCGAGTCTATTTCTAATTCTCGAAGCCGCTCAAACACACGCTCAAAATCGACTGTCCACTCGCCCATTTGTCGGCTGCCGCACTTTCGCAGTAGATGGCAATCATCAGCAGCTAATAACTGAAGATGACTCATCACATGCATCATTCGGGCTTGCCGGCTCTCGGTTGGTGGAGGGGCCCTGTCTTGGTCCTGGAAAGTGACGGCACGTTTGCTTGTGTTGACCCTGGGTTGATCAGCGAAGGGATCATCGTCAATGTCCATCGCATGCCCGTTTCCATTAACGAAGGACCTGTGGTCACCCTCTGACTCCTCATCTGAACTCCCATCATCTTCTACCTCTCGCGCTTTTCTCTTTCGGCCATTCTGGAGCTTGTCAAGTTTGGAAGTATCATTATTTTCGCTGGTAGCTTTGCCAATCCCCGTAGATACGTTGATTGTTTTACTTAGAGCATCGGTTAATTCTTGGGTTGTTATTATAATTGAAGGCCCATCGAGGTCATCTACAACATCATCAATCTTCGGATCGCGTCGACATCTAGGAATTTGTTCTGCCATAAGTCGGAGGAGTTCCGCATAAATATACGATGTAGTTACGCCAATCCGGTTGTTTGCAAGCTCAACAAGCCGTCGATTTCTCAAGAAGACGGTACATTTCTCGTGGTTGATGCGTAAAACTAAATTTCGCTTGTGATAGGTTAGCATGCGATCAGAGTTAGCTATAATGAATGCAGGAAACCTACATCAAGCCTGTTAGTTTCATCATCGCCAAAATCATATCCATTAGAAGCAGTGCCATTGTGGGAGAGCCTCCTTCGTTTTGGAGCAATGTCGTTCAAGCGACCATTGGCAGAAGGCCTGTTGTAACCAACTGGCTTCCAATTTGGAACCTCAGCTCTCAAGTCTTGTAGTCGTTGTCGAATTCTGGACCTTAACTCTTCCTTTTGCTTCGTTCCTCTCGTGGCTCCTCCGTAATCCTCATGAAGAAGGGCCTTCTCAGCCGCATTGTAGCTATCCGTCGGGCTTCGAAACATATTCCGGCCAACAGGTTGAATAAATCCTTCTTCTAGCAACTGAATCAAAATGTGGTTCAATTGACCCGAGTGATATGGATGAACGCCATTGCCATTTGTGGCGCCATTGATTCCGTTGCCATTGGCGCGTGTATCGTGGCTCTTATTCAACTCTGCGATTATGTCGGATACCTTGGCATGGCCCAAGAGCACCAACTGTCCCATGATGTCGGCCGCAACAGATCCAAAGCGTTCTTCTGCAATTTCCAAGATTTTGCCAGACCTAACTAGCGCATATGCGGCATCGATGTTTGCTTCGTAATTGGTGTCAGCCCCTTCGTCTGAGTTATGGTAAACTAGATTTTGTCGAACGAGGACCGTTAAACCGAGTTTCAATTGTCGCGTTGTGAGTTGGGTGTGTCGTTTGAGCGCAATCATAGATAGTCTTCCTCTGCGAAGTAAAATAGTGAAAATGCGCTACATGATGTCAGATTTGATAGAGCAGAGATGATTTCTTCAGCCTTGTCATTTTCATACACGCAAGGCTGGTCGAAATAGTTTCCAGATATAATGGAGAGGAGGATGGACTTACAGAGGACAGTTCGCCGTAAATATCATCGACGAGCAGAGAGCATAGCTCAACTGCATGCTTTGACTATTCATTGAGTCAGCTGGTTGCAAAGGCTTCGCAGTATCGCAATAACTCGATGAGAAAAAGAAGTGACAGTAACGATTCTGACCTGGAAGCAATTGAACATACTCTAGACATGATTTTTATTGCTGCTACTAGAGGATTATCTCAATATCCCTAGAGCTTCCACAACTACTACCGTTGTTTCATTGACAAAAATGAAAATATTAGGTGAAATTATTAACTGGGTAGAAATTCTAGATTATCAAAATACTTAGATATCACTTAGAAATTTTGAGGTGGGGGACCAATGGTCGGATGGGCAAATCAAAATTTGAGAGGATCGAATTACACAAATGACTAAACCTTATAAAGACTAGCGTCATTGTTCCGAGATCTTCCAGCGAAAAGAACTGTAGGATATTGGTATTGAACGTCTTGACATTTTAAGAATACCGAGTCTCCCCTCCTCAACGAATATATCCCAACAATGATCTCACGGTCGGCGATTGGACGACACGCACAGCTTGCTGTCCGCAGGCAATGCTGTGCTCAGCCAGCTAATCGTCGTGGCCTTGCTGCTGTTTCCTCCGGATCAACCTCATTCTCATACGAATCATCTGATGTTGCTGGAGTTAAGGTTGCAAGCAGAGATGTTGCTGGAGCCACCACAAAGCTTGCTGTCGTTGCTAAGGCCGGAACAAGATATCAGACTGCACCAGGTTTAACATCAGGATTAGAGCGATTTGCATTCAAGGTAAACTCATCACAAGAAACCACATTCGAGTAATCGTATATATTTTTGGACATTAACTTATATTTTACGACTTAGAACACCTTTAAACGATCAGCTCTCCGTATCTGCAGAGAATCCGAGCTTCTAGGCGCACAATTGAACGCTTACCACACCCGCGAAGCACTCGTCGTGGAAGCCAAGTTCCTTCGGGAAGACTTACCTTACTTTACCGAGCTCCTTGGTGAAGTTATCTCAGCCACAAAGTATACTCGTAAGTCCAGAGCAGGCAACGTCCATTGAGGGTGTCAACTAACTGATCACAACAGCCCACGAATACCACGAAGAAGTCGAGCACCAGATTAAGTTGCTCCAGAAGAAGCTCCTTGGAAGTGTATCAGACCTTGCTATCAACTCAGCACACGGCGTCGCATTCCATAGAGGACTTGGAACGCCTCTCTTCCCATCTTCGTCTACCCCTCTTACGAAATATCTGAATCCGGACTCCATCGGTGAATTCTCAACCCAAGCATACTCGAAGCCGAATATCGCCGTTGTCGCAAATGGTGCAAGTCAAGCAGAGTTGTCGAAGTGGGTTGGAGAGTTCTTTACCGGCGCTCATAGTGGACAAGCTCTCTCTGGTCCTGGAGCAACCAAGTACTATGGTGGTGAAGAACGCATTGCCCATGATTCTGGTAATTCGTTCGTTCTTGCTTTCCCTGGATCTAGTTCTTTCACAGCAGGAGGTTCATACAAGCCTGAATTCTCTGTCCTTGCCTCTCTTCTCGGTGGAAAATCCAGCATTAAGTGGTCCACTGGATTCTCTCTCTTATCCAAGGCTGCATCTTCATTCCCAGGAGCCAGCGCCACGGCTACTAATTTTGCTTACTCTGATGCTGGACTTTTGGTACTTCAATTCAATGGTTCTGCGTCGGCTGTTAGATCGGCTGCGATTGAGGCTGTCAAAGCCCTGAAGGCAATTTCTGAAGGTTCCATTAGTCAAGAAGATTTCACAAAGGCAGTCGCAAATGCTAAATTCAACGCATTGGAGGAAGGCCAAAACGTTGAGGCTGGACTTGTCACGACGGGCTCTGGACTGGTTCACGGCGGTAAGGCATTCCAGATCGATGAAGTCGGCAAGAGCGTAGAATCGGTTAGCATTGAGAAGTTGAAATCGGTATGTATCTCTTCATTCTTCACATGGCGCAATACTGATATTTCTTATAGGCTGCAAAGGCAATTTTGGAGGGCAAAGCTACCGTTTCAGCAGTCGGTGATCTTTACGTTCTTCCTTATGCAGAGGAGCTTGGTCTTTCAGTGTAAAGCTAGATTTCCAAGATGGGATAACGGTGTGTATTATCAAAAACTCTTAGAGTATATTATAGATGTGATGCTCGCTGTGAATATATGATTGATTTCCTTAAATGTGGATGGTTCAGATTTGAGGCACCATTAAGTAAATATATAATGCTAGATGTAGGCAATATTATAGGATGATCAGCCTGCCTACTAATTATCAGCAAAGAAGTCGGGGTCGGAATATTTTGTTCACGTGACTCGGAAATTTCTCCAGTTTCTTCCCGCGCTCCACCGAAGGTCAACAAGGCACGGCAGCAACCTTTCTTCAAATAACATCGTCCCGATTTACATATCCCCCCATCATACACAATGGCGTTTGCGTGGAAAGCCTCAGGTCTCACGTATGTAATCCTGGTTCTGCAATCAACTTGTAACTCTCTTGCCCGGCGCGATGAAGGCACTGAGCGCTGTGCTCGGGGAAGACTTTTACTGATTTAGTTTTCTTACCTATAGCTATAACAAATACTTGTCCGTCGCTGCACGAACTCTTCGAAGAAGTTTGAAAGATGACAAACGATTGGCTGCTGAGCGTAGAGGGGAGATGGAGTTGAGATTCGCCAAGTGGACTGTGGGTGACTCCTAGAGACTCTCGGAACAAATTGAGGCAGATTTGGCTAACGAGAATGCTGGAACAGAATGGCAAGCAAGGCGATGTGAAGAACGTATCGGAGGCCAACGCGGCATCGATGGCAGAAGCTGCTTCATCATCATCATCTTAAATATGGAAAATGACACTTTTGACGGCTAGGGATGTGGGCAGGAAAGAGCTGTGCGATGAATGAATGGCAGCGCGGACTTGTAAATTTTTAGCATTCGAGACTTTGGGGCCAAGAGAATGGAGAATTCATATCATTCTCGCCACCTTTTCCGGGACTTCATCTTATATTCTGAGTGGCACTATCTGGATGACTTGACGGTCCCAAGGAAAGTCTACAATAACCTTGTTCGTGTATTCCTACATTGAAATGTCCAAACTCCCATAAAAATCTTTCAGCGATATCAGTAGATGGCAAATTATATGATTTGAGGCTTAGAATGTACTCGTCCTTGATAAAAGTTGTAGCACACATAACACACCACTTTAATGTTAAAGCTTATCATCACGCAGTACAGAGAACGAGATTGAATGGTGGAACAAGGTCAAAAAGTCTGATCTATAGAAAACAGATATTGCCTCGATACAATGTAAACAGTCTACCAACTACCAGTGATTAAAAGATTTTTCTGTGATTTGCAAAATGAAATATTGCACTTATGCCACTTTCCATTACAAGCGAGAACTTTATCTTCCCTACAACGTCAAAGCAAAGGTTATGTATTCGGATGCTTTAAGCGATATATCACAGTAGTTGCAGCATAGCCATGCATAATAACGGCGTAGCTGCTATCGCGCAGCGTCAGTATTCTCAGTCTTCTATAGCACTTATCACTGACAGCGAAATTTGCAGAAGTCTCAGACCTTGAGATCGATGAAGGTCCCAGTGACCCGGCGGCAATGATGGCAACGCTCAATCTGGAACGGCCACCCGCTCCCAAGTTGTACAGCGAGGGCGTCATGATCACGAATATTACTCAAAGCTTCACAAATGCTGCCCACCGTGTGTTACCAGTCACAAACCCAAAAGACTTGTGGCATCGATCACGTGCTAACGACTTGCTTGTAGAGCTCAAACTAGGGGATCTCGTCAAGGATCCTTTTTTTACGCTGTTTGATGCTGTTGCTGCACTAGAGGTTCGTATCCTATATTTACAAGCGGCTGGGCTGATCTTCAAGTATAGATTATGGATCCTAAAATGGATAGTGGGTATCTCGCTCCTGGCGAGACCATGGAGGACGATTATGATTTTACCCAGACACTACTTCCAGAGGAAGTCTTGGGTATCATTGATCAGCTTCTCTGCCATGAGGTATGATGGAACTTGATACGGCCCAAAATGCACGCAGTCTGACTATGTGTAGATGGCCTGGCACATGGGACACCCGCTTGCTCAAACAATCTTTACCAGTTTATACATTGATCGAATCCTGTATCCCTCTCCTTCGAGTCTCGAAGAGACCTTCTTTGATAAAAGCGAGAGCTGCTCGGAAAACGAACCTCTCATGTTGCAAATTTTGAGAGCGTACTGTCTGGGTTTGATAAAAACTTGTTGGTATGTCAACAATCGAGTCAGGTCGGAACATTTCTACGAGGTATTTCCCATTTCTCACATATATTTGCATGAAAGCTTATACTCGTGTAGGAGGAAGATTTTGCCACCCACACTTTCCACAGAAATCTTCTCGAGGGTATAGAACATAGTGAAATTCTCGATTTTATCAAGGAGACTAGGGAATTAGTTTTGCGGGTGGACAACATACCCGACGATATGAAGGAAGCTCTGAAGGTTCGTCTTAGTTTCCGACACGCTTTTCTGGAGGCCGTCGATATAGCAGATTCAAGATCTCCAGATGCGAAAGTATTCTGGCGTGCGACGCTTTCGTTCATACCCGAGTTGAGATTATCCAGCAAACTTGCAAAATCTGTTCCTCAGTCATTCAGTGTGAAGTTACAAAGGAAGCTCGCAAGTACAGTACCTCCACGTCCAATTGTTATGATGGGACAAGAGAGTGCCTACGAACATCTGGAGAGGATGTGTAAGGATGGCGAAAACGCAGTTGATATACTTGATTATGCTGATAGTCACAGTCTCATGGTGAGTTCAATATTGATGTTGGAGGTTATCTAGAGTCGTTGGCTGACTATGCATTTACAAGACTTTCGTTTCATTATTCCAAGCACAGAAACCTCAACCAACTGTCTACATTCGGACTTTACTTCAATACTATATGTTTGCAGATATGGTAGTCCTAGGCAAAATGTCTATTCGGAAAGTACTCGATGACGATCTAGCAAGTCTTACCTTGCCAGCAAACCAGCTCCTGGACAGTAACAACGATGAAATTGAAGTCACTCATGATCCAAGATTCCATATGGCTCAAAGAATGGAGATATTTCGATCACGCGCCGCCAACACATACATTGACATCATGCGCACCATGTGCCAGAACCGATGTCGCATGCGTAGAACACTTTGTCACACTATAGTTGATTGGGATAACCTTCAGCTTGATGGTGAGGAAATCGACCAGGAATTAAGAGAATTCACGAAAGAAGAACAATTCATAGATCTGAAAATATCTAATGATCCCATCTACGCTTTCCCTTTATCATCTTGGGCATACTATTACAAGCTTCGCCAGATGGAGTGGATAGTACAATTAGGCTTTGAGCTTCAGGTTTACCAACCAGATGAGTTGTCGGGAATGTACTACTATCTAAATCATCTTTGCAAAACAAGGAGTCGTCATCTTGAGCGAATTCGAAGCGAAGTCATGCGATCTTACTCTACACGTCGCAAAGCATCGCTGCTAGACGCTAGCCAGCAAAAGGAATTTGCCAATGCAATTTCTTTCATTAACTTCTCCATGTTAGAAGTCACTTCGACGTATGGTTTTGCGGATGCATTATCTTCACTACTTGAGGCCCTTCGCCGGCTGGATCTCATACCCATACCTCCAAGACCATACGGCAACGACATCATGCGTTACGAAGTCCGCATGAAGCCATTCTCTACGATTGGCCTTCCTGAACCCATGCCATTCGAGACCTTCACATACAACGTTACGCAGCCGAAAGAATCTACGCTCGATTTACTTTTGATCGCTGCAGAGGCCACTGCTGCAGCCAAGAAAGGATTCGAGATCCTCAGTAAACTCAACCCCAAAGATGCCTATTGTCGCGGATCTCATGAGAGCTGGGTGAAAGATATCAAGAATTGTTTGAAAGCATGCATCTTCACGGGAATCTCGGTTGCAGCTGTGAAGAAAGCCATTGAAGCTGCGGGTGACAGTAAAGTGGAGATCCAGGTAGAAATCCCAACGACGGGCAAAGGGTATCATGATTGGTGGATCGTGCCCAAAGTTCTCGCCGACCAGAAAAGGTAATGATGCATCATCGATTTTTATGTTGGGGACCTGGGCTGTAGTTCGCAAAATGGCTCAAAATGACATCTATGGAATTCGGAGGGGAAGGGGTTCCTCCGAAACCTCCTCGCAGATATACGCTGTGCTTTCCGAAGCTGTTGCATCCTAGTGTGTAGGCGTGCGTAAACTTGTCGGACTGAATCTCCGCGTCTTCTCTCTCTCGGCATCAAGGGGTTTAGGGAAAACCCTCAGATTAGAAAGAAAGTCGCGTCACAGAAAGGCAGGTAATACAACCCTTTTGTACCTGAATATTCCAGACATGTGATTTCTAAACACTTTGAATTCCATATTAAACGTGACCACATACATCTCTGTACCCAAATCTCAATATTGATGATCAAATCTTATCTCCACAACCTCCAAAATATTACACACAAAAAAGATGCTAAAAATAAATTGGCATCCGAAACATGGAAATTTCCCTCAGATTTCGATGTCCCCCAACAATCTCCATGATCCCATAAAGGTTAAATAAACAATCTAATAAACCGATAAACAATCTTTAACAAGACAAAGAATATTAAACAAGAGTAAAACGTTCCCTCACAGTGCACACACACACAACATAACCAAAAAAGTACATACTCCCCGAACTCAACCCAACAAAATATTAAAAAGAATTGAACATCACGACCCTCCACCAATCCCTCCCCAAAATCCCACAAAATACCTTCCCATCCATCACCTTTTTTTTTGTTGCACATCTCAATTTCCATCGGACAACTCGCCGACGGGCAGACTCTCCTCGATGCACTTCCGTAAGCTTTGCAAAATTGGAAACTTGTCGTTCATCGTCGATGCGGTTTTCCTCTGATTATCGCTTGACGGATGCGGACAAATGCGCCGTGAGACCTTTGAGATGTTGCTGATGGGTTTTCTTTTTGCTCTCTCTAAGCGATGGTCCGGGAATCAAATCATTTTACGCTGTGCTGGGTTAAATTCATTTGCGTTTCGTTTCCTCTTGCAGAGACCTGGCGCTGCACGGAGGGATCATGGGCTGAGATGAGATGTTACTGTATGATGCCTAGGTTTGTTTGGCTTTTAGGAATGCCATGGAAAATGATGAATTGATATTTCGGACATCTCTATCGGAAACAGAGGAAAAAGATTCGGCAACATTGAAATCCACTGATTGGTATCATGTCATATAAAAAAGGTGGATAGACATGGACAACAGTGTGGTGTCATTTTCACATCGGTTATGTAGGATGAACCCGTTTAAGCGATGTACATATATGCATTTGTGATATAGGGTACTACTCAACTTTCTGTCAAAAACCATAACTTCGTATGAGATAAAAGAAGGGGAGGGTATACGCAAAAGTCCCAACTAAAGAGAATCGCTCGAATATTCATCCTTAATCAATCTGCAGCCCCAATCTTAGACATCTCTATCCACATATCCATAAAATGCTGCCAACTCGTCAATGTCCCAGCTTTGTCCTAAACTTTCAAAGTGCGTCCTGACCACTCTACTAAACCCCTGATGCATACGAAATACTCAGACCATGAATTCGTTCTTCTCATCCAATGCCGCGCCAAAAATGCAAATTTATGCTACCCGTCCAACCAATTTCTTTTTATAATGTTCCCTATCTAGGCATACCGCTACCATCTTGCATGTCGCATATATCGAATTCAGCGTCTTGGGCCCGAGTTCACGAGTTGTCGTTGTTTGTTAAGCCAACTCTTTGGCGCATCCTGTCTACGCTGTAGCACCACATGATTACTTTGTAAACGGCTCGTGAGATCGTACCAAGCCGTGGCTATCAGGGTATTTTCGCGAGTGAGGTTCTTCACCAAAACATCATTTGCAGCCTTCACATAGAATTGGATCAGTTGTCTGCACTCATTCTTCACATCATAATATGACTCTGAATGTGGACACAAATATTGATTGGAACAGAGATAAAATATCATTGACAATGGTGCTTGAAAGAGAAAAATTCGATACGGTACCTTCTGCGCTTCTGGATCTTCTGCCAGGACGAGTCTTCGTTGGAGCTCTTGAATGGTTGATTCTTTCTTTTGAAGTTGCTGGAAAATTTATCAGTCGATGCCTCTTTTTTATTTTGGTGAAAGTGGAGAGAATGGTGAATTTGCTTGAGAGAAAGACGATGGTGGCAGTTATGCTACTGGCAGAACACCAAATGCTGCCTGTTCCCTGGCAAGTTCTTCATCTTGTTGATCATGATCTGCGGCGTTTCTTTTGGAGTCCTGATATTTTTTGCTACCGAACAATGTTCCGATTCGCTTGATTGCGGATTGTTTCTTTGGTGAAGTTGGTGAAGATGGTTTTGATGTAGAAATATTGTCTACTTGACTTACCTCTTTCAATGCATCAAGTGCTGTTACAGGCTCAGGATTCTCGCCCGTCTCTTCGTTAGAACTAGATGGCTTTTGAAAGATGGTCTTCACTTGTTCCGAGAGCTTATCCTTGGACTTTAGAGCTGCAAGAAGGTGAGACTGCTGGTCAATGAATTCTGCTCTCAAATCATTATGCTGTGCCTGGAGGAGTGCCAGATCCTTTTCATATGAAGATGCTACTAATTCGTTTGCTTCTTTGAGCTGTTCTAATGCAGTGATCTCATCGGAGTCCATAGCACTCACTACCTTCGGTTAGCTGATATACCACGCATATAAAAATTTGATGACCCACAATCTGCGCGTGCTCTCAACAGATCTCGCTCGCTGCTGGTAAGCTTCGCGCTAAGTTCGTTTATTGCCTGGTTCAATCTCTTGATCTCTTGGGTGGCGTCGCTGTATAATGATTGTCCGGCGGACTTCGCTCGTTCTCTGTGATAATCGTCGAGTGTCAGTTGAAAAGGCCCAATAGTCATCATTTTGTCGACTGCTAAAACTAACGCTTCGTCTGTTGATAGTAAGGACCTGTCGCCCATAATCGTTGCAAGTTGATCTTGAGTGACTGCGTGAGCCTCTTTCAACTCTTGAGTTTTCTCGCGAAGTCTGCGGACTTCCATTTCTGATTTCTGCAGCTCGCTTCGAAGTTCAGCATTAGCTTTGCCACCCTCATTACTCTTGAGGACCTGTAACTCTGCTCTAAGTCTTGATATCTCAAGCTGTGGGTTCGGCCCATTCGGACTATCGCTTCGATTCAGTTCATCTTCGAGACTGAATCCACCCGATGGCTCTTCTGGTGATTGTGAGTCTATACGTTCTTGAAGCTCACTGATATACCTCTCATCATGTCGTTGCCTTTCAAGATGTACTTCTATCTCCTCCAATCGCAATCTAAGCTCCTCTTCTAGGCGCATACCTTTACTCCTAAGATCGGTTATGGTGTGCTCCTGCGTTTCGAGTACTTTCATATATTCACCACGGGTCGTTTTGAGTAGTTCATTCTCCAAATGAACCTTGTCATAATCCTTTTGGTTCTCTTGTAGCACGTCTAGCTGCTCACGCAGCCTCGCATTTTCCTTTTCAATGGCGTTTTGCTGGGCAAGTTTCTTTTCATAATGCTCGACCTTATTTGCTCTCTTCAACAAAGCAGAATTCTCGACTTCGAGTTCTTTGAATCTATCCTGAACCTCCAAATCCCGACTGTTTTTAACCGACACCAACTCTTTATTCTTTAGTTCTCTATTTACTCGGGCGTCTTCAAGCTGCTGCTCCTGCGTAGCAATTAGTTGTTCCGAATCTTCGAGTCTCTTTTCAAGTCTCAAAATGTGCTCGTTCTGGCCTCCATGATTAATCATTTCCTGCAGCTGTTTAATTAGGATGTCTTGTTCTTTGTTCTCATCTAGTAAGTGATCTCGGCTTTCCGACAAATTTTCCAATCGTGTAATCAGGTCAGCATTGCGTTTTTTCAAAGCTGCGTGGTCATTAACTACGACAGAAAACTTCTCTTCCAGATCCAGTGCGTCGTATGGCTTGGTGAGACGATTGAGCTCCAAGGTTGGCAAGGCGACTGCGAGATCTTTCTCTATCTAGAGCCACGTTCAGCGCCCTTTCAATAGACTGTACGACTAAATTGACTTACTGTTTCAACATGGACCGCGATGACTGATTGCGCAGACACGCCTAGCTTCGTTCGGACACGATCGATATATCTCATCTGATTAGGACCTTTCAGGGCGACTAACATGAATATGGTGATAAGCTGAAATACTCTGTTAGTTATGGCGATGTTGGGTCTCGTTCTGACTTTTCCTACTACCTTTGTCGATTCGACGGGATCTGAGTATTGTGCCAAAGCATTGAAATCGATAGGATATTCGACAACGGCCGCCTTCACCCAGTTATTACAGTGCTCGTGAACATATCTGAGAAGAGATTTGTAGACGGCCTCCAGGGTTTGTTTGGCGATAACCCATTTTGTAGAACTCGTTGTTTGCGGAATATCTTTGATGGCATATGCGGGGTCGAAGTCCTCTAGATTATATAAATCAGCATCCAAATTGAAGGCTCAAATAGGATGATGAAGACTCCAAAACGTACCCAGCATGTCCGAAAATACAAGACCATCCGTCAAGTCTTCTATTGCCTTGATCTTGCTCAACGTGGCAGGAAAGGTATTGATCTAATTGAAAGGGAATGTCAGTATTGAAAAAAAGGAGCGCGTAAAGGATAGAATGGAATCACATACCCATGCCAATAAAACTGCCCTCGTGGTGTCATTAGGAGGCTCCAAGCTGGAGGGCATTTTTCCTCTGTTGACAATAATCCGTTATGTGGTGGATTTCGGCGGTGTAAAGAAGATGCGAAGAACTGAGTGATGTTTGAAGTCTTATCGTGCAGCTGCAGAATGCAAATGCAAGTGAATTTCTAGATTGGTGATTACAGTACACGGGATTGTGGTTTAGTGATGGACCCCTGAGAGGCCGGAAGTTTTTGGAAAAGTTTTGCTTCGTTGGCTCATATAATGTTAAATTATTAACATCTGGAAAGGAAGTTCTTATTTCATTTTATGCCATTTCATCTATTATCATTATCATGTTTCATTGTCTTTCAATGTACCCAAGTCTTACCTTTCATTCATTGATTATTGATTATTGATTGCACTTTCTTCGTGTCACCGTACCAAACAAATAAACCCTGGTGCTATAGCCTATCAGTCAGTCAAAGCTAAAGTCCAGGCTCGAGTCCCCTGTTGAACATCTCTTTCACATTGTGGGGTCGGCGCACAATTGATTTGTGGGGGAGAGCATACGGACTGAAAGTGCTTCTTCAAAGGTCCAAAGGAATTCCTTTGAGGACATGCTAGTATCGAGGAAGAATTACAGCTAGGACACCGTTTGCAGCTCAATACACCGGAGGACAAAAGGATCGGTGATATCTAAGCAGTTTTCCGGATGTGCTCTGGTTCGAGGAAAGATATGTTAAGGGGGAATCCATGATATTATTAGTCTGGTGGTCCCATAAGTGTGACTGACCATGGGAATCTGAATTGGCCATTCATCGCCTTGAGCAATAAAGCACTTTAACATCTATGAAGAATTCAATCCCGCCCGAACGAAGAAAATGAAATATGCAGCATCTCCACTGCGAACGGAAAAGTGTGTATGATAAATCGAGAGAATTGTATTGTTATAAAAGAGTGTGTAAAGACAATTCAATTCAGCTCAATCGAAAATGAAAGCCCGCATATACGTGTGGGAAACATGTAAGCTGCAAGACTATAAGATCGTTCTGTGGTGCCAATCGAATTGTCAGTCCTGATCCTCGAGCATGCTGACGAGACCGATCACCATTATTCTAATCATTCTAAACAATGTCCCGAGACCACCAACTCCAGTTTCCCAATGCCTTCATGTACGCCGATCCTGCAATCCAGAGTCAACATTTGATCCCTCGTCAATGCCTGGTATCTCTTTCAAACGTCAGATATTCCGCCATCGACAAATAAAAGCTCCTGAACAGGCCAATTTTCAATATTATCTCATTTTCGAGATCAATTTTCAGTTATTAGCGCTAACGATTTGATCCTCTTCGATAACAGCATGATAATCATTTCCCAACGATTGAATAGTGGCAAGGACCTGAGCTGGAGCTTTGGCTGCAAACCCTCTGTCAAAACAGTTAGATATATACGCAGATAGTTGTGTTAAGCATACTTACTTGATAAGTTTGTACTCATGTGTAATTATGCCCCCGGCAGCCTTGATCGCATCCATAGCCTTTTGTACCTCCTCATTTGGGGTATTGTCAGGATATGAGACAATGACTGCCTTTTGGGGCAATATTGTGCTTAAAGCAGCTGTTACAAATATGAAGGTAGAGAATAGAGTGAGCTTCATGTTGTTGGAAATTGTTTAAATGTTGATGTTTCAATAGAGAAAATGAATTGACTTGTTGATTGATGATTAAAACTAGAAAACAAAGAACGTTGACCATATGACGATAAGTGAGCAGGGTTGGACGCTAGCGGTAAGAATAATTGTGATTAGGTAACTGAATATCTGTTAGTGCCTCAGCCATCCATTATTAGTTTGATCTAGTTAAACTTTCAGGTACAGTAAACATGAAGTTGATCAACATCGTCGCATTTCTACAAACGAACATCTTTGAATTTCAACTTCAAAGCAAATTGAACCCTTCAAGAGTATCAAAAGTTCAGTAACCTACGCGTCGAACTTTCACGAAGTCTGCACAGACAACTACAGCGGAACTAATAAACTTGCGGGAGATCTGACTTTGGAGTTTGGGAAGGAGGATAAAGGCGTGGGGCATCAGGCAACCTGTAAGGACTGGGCCTCAATAGGAAGAAGGAATTGAATACAGAGAATTGAGAGTTACAGAAGGATTTCGGAAGCATTGGCAGTCATCAAAATACACACTTCTAGTTCTTCTCGAGTTGAATACTTTTGCATGGTACTAGTTAGCTGTTGTTTAAAATCTCCTCCTTGTTTAATCGAGTCTGTGGAGATTGGTGGTTTTTCACGACAAAGACCTTTTTTTTTTCTGTGGCTGTCTTTCATCATCAAGATCATCATTACAAGCTCTCACAATCTTTGCAACCTTGCAAGCTTTCGCGGCTTCCCTCTAGCCCATCATGTCATTTGGAGTCCCTTCTGATGAGGTAGCGGAGGACTACAAAAAAGCCCTTGAAGATTTGACTATGAATTCGAGATATGAGATCAGCAATCTAACCGTTATAGCAAAAGAAAACACAGAACATGCTTTGGCCATTTCAGAGGCATTGAAGAACCATATAAAACAGGTAGGATAAATATTCTCATTTTTGTAATACTAGCAAAGCCTAGTAATGATAGTTGTGCTTTGCTTTGTGCCTACACTCTACTTCCATTACTTACGAGTTAATGACAGACTTCTCCGCAAAAGAAATTACCTGCTTTCTACGTCCTCGATTCCGTTGTCAAAAATGTTGGAACACCTTATACCCTATTCTTCGGTCGGCAACTCTATTCAACTTTCATGGAGGCATATGCTTTGGTTTCTCATGACGTGCGGAGGAAAATGGATGAGATGCTGAAGACTTGGAAAGAGCCCGTGCCTGGCTCTATAGACACGCGCCCAGTATTCCCTCCAGAAGTAACTCGACCCATTGAAAATGCTCTTATAAAAGCCAGGACCTCTGCTCTCCAGCAAGAGCAATTGAGAAGCCAACAGCAGCTCATGAATCGAGGTCGATCCGCAGTAGGTCAGGCTCCCTATCGCAATACGCCGACTCCTCCAAATGCATCACGTCAGCCTCTTTATCCATCCCCTGGGCATCCTGGATATCCTCAACAATACCCTCCGCCGATAAATGGCCAATATAACAACCAAGTCAATGGCCATATGCAGCATGGGCTTCCTCAGGTGTGTGAAGCATCCCAAACGTTCCAGCTTGATACTAACGCTTTCAAGCGGCCACCTCCAATTCAACAGTATCCTCAGCAGTCCGGCGGCTCGACATCGTGGCAGCAGTCGCAGCCTCAGGGATACCAATCACCAGAGGCAAGTGTAGATGCATTGAACAGGGATATCTCCTACCTCATCACTTCTTCAAAGGCAGAATTTACCCAGAGCCCGTATGATGGTAGTATACAAACAAGACTCAAAGCCTTACTTGATTTACAAACCATTCTACAAACCCAAAGGCTCCCGCCTGATCAAATAGCAATGATAAAAGACCAAGTTGCGCAACTATCTGGTCAATCCCAGCCCGTCCTCAAAATCCCATCCCCGAGGCCGGCACCTGTAGCTACGCCAGCATCCCAACCTCAACCGCAGCCAACTTTAAGCTCTTTGCTGGGCCCCGGTGGGCTGGCTGCTCTGTTAGCCCGACAGTCCGCAACACCACAGATACCCACGCCTCCACCCACTCAAGCCGCTGTCGCAATCCAATCTCCTCAACCACAACATACACTGCCCTTGCAATTGCCCTTCCAACCAGCTTCCTCAACACCTGTTCCAGCATCCGTGCCGACACCCGTAGCAGATCCCAACTCCCTTCTGGAGAGACTTCGAGCTGCTGGCATGCTGCCTTCAGTACCAGCAGTAGCCAGCACACCTATTCAACCACCAAGTGTTCTAGGCGGCACTATGCCCGCCGGGTTCCCCCCATCCCTGCCCTTCATAAGTGCACCCCCCGTTTCGAGGACACCCGTTTTTGAAATTCCTAATGATGTCGTTCTGAAGCCAGCATCGTTGAAAATGTGGGAACACTCATGTAGTCAAACTTTCATTCTCTGCTAACAATCCCAGGTTCCGTCCCCATCTCATCTCCAGTCTCTACGAAAAGCTTGGCGCGCCTTGTACCCAATGTGGACGGCGTTTCCAGTCGGACGCAGAGGGCCGAAAGAAGAAGACTGCTCACATGGATTGGCACTTCCGTGTCCACCAACGAATGGCTGAAGCCGAGAAGAGGGGCCAACATCGAAGTTGGTATGTCGATGAGATGGTAAGTAACCATGCTACTGTTTCTCTTTCAAATTCTAATACAACACACAGGACTGGATAAAATCGCAAGAACCAGAAGATGATCCAGTAAACGATATGTCGGATAATACTCATGGTGTTGCCAGCTCTTCTTCCGCTGCGGATGCTAAGCCAAAACTTCAATATCTAGCGGTGCCAGATGATCCTGCTCTTGCTGGCAGTGTTTGTCCTATATGTCAAGAGAAGTTTGAGATGAAATGGCTAGATGATGCGCAAGAGTTCGTGTGGATGGATGCCAAGAAAGTGGGCGATCGTATTTACCATGGTAGTTGTTACGCAGAAGCCACAAAAGACAGGGGGACGCCTGATCCAACGATTTTGGGCAAACGGAAGGCAGAGGTGAGTTACCCATACAATCATTTAGAGCGTCAACCATGTGTGATTATAATAACCTATTACAGGATCAAGAGCCCATATTACGAACAAGAATCAAGACGGAGGCATAGTGAATGAATAGTGGTGACTATTGACCACTGTACTTTTCGACTTCTTTTACTTGAACCAGCCACAGGCGCAAAATAGGGACGGAGGTCTTTTTCTTGCATTACTCGAAGACTATTAGAATGATGCATGTGCACAAACATCATGCGAAGTGGGACATTGGCTTACGAAAGGAATTTGCATGCTTTCTGAAATTCATAAACATTGCCATTTGCAGATGGAAGCAGCATAGATACCATGAAAATAAATTACAGTTAATATACAAAACCCAAACCATCATTATTCAAATATATATGTGATGCTGTTAATCTTGCTTATGAAAAATCATCAGGTGTTGGTGCAATGCCATTGCATTTATAGTTCCCCTATGTGAAGATTAATTTAACAGACAATGTGATGTGCGTCGTAGCAGACGAAATCATAGAGCTCAATACATTTCAATGTCTTAATCTTAATTCGAGAATCGAACGATCTCTCAGGCTTTAATGCCTCATGGAGCTTTCCAAGATCTAGATCTAGGTCCGATTGTGGAATAGACTTAAATTGGTATGTTTTTTATTGTTGTCTATCATGCTCCTCTCCCATCTTTTCTTCAGTAGCATGCATACCTTCAATGCTTTTTTTTATATGACTGCGGGTCTTTCCGTCGTCGATACTTGTATTGGAATCTAGAACATCTGCTACCTTGTTTATTTTGGGTGGGCTAAATACTCGTGCGGTGTCGTTTGCTGGAGGGAAGACTTTGCGATGGTCATTTTTGAGATGTGGGAGTGGCTTGGGAAGAGTGAGGAGTAACGACTGAGGAGGAGGTTGATATATGAAAAAAAGGGTATATGGCAATGGTTTTGCAATGGATTCATAGTTGAAAGTTGAATTATGTGAAAAATTAACGTCAAAACTGCAGCATTCGAACATCGACAAGTAGTCACCTTTGCACAAGGTAAGCATTTAACGTATTCACAAGGCCCGCATATCCACTGGTGACAAAATGAAGCATTTTTTAAGCCCCGCGATGTGTTCGGTTTCCCTGGGGCATCATGGAACGAACCAGTCAGTCAGAAAGCTGATTGGTGGCTGCGCCGTTATGATGTCCATAGGTATTCAAGCCAACTTATTTGATGGTCCACCATTACGAATATGGACTACAAACATCGAAGATGATGCATCGTCGCTGTTCAACAACAGAATTCTATCAGCAATGACGAGAAAACAGCATACATAAAATGCATCTTTTTTAGGCCCAGACTTCTGGGTATATAAGGACAGGAAATTCTTCAAAAAAGGAGGTAACATTAAACCTTCCGCTTCTCATGAGGTTGTGAATACTGTTTGGGACGCTGCGCGACACAGTATTATGCACTGCAAGAATTCATACGAAAGTCTCATTGTGTCAGCATGAGGCACACAAAACAACGTTGATGTATTCGTTTGTTACATAAACTTCTGTTTAGGTAAGTAAGTGCCTCCCATTTTTGTACCATTCCTGAATCCAAGCTAAATGAGGTTGGTAAACAAATTCGACATTAGTAACAGTAGAGAGATAAGTATAACGACCCAAACTCCAAAATAGCACCGCGTATATCCCACGGGACGATTTGTCATTACCATTGCTACAATCCACTCGTCTTCAGCCAATCGCCAAAACTTTGAAGTCCCGCATGCTCCCTCCTCAGAGCATCGATATTGGCGCCATAACCCCTCTCTTCGAACCAAGTGAACATCAATCCAAAATCCTTTACAGCCCAAAGAAGAGTTGACCCAAGGAAACTAAATGTTTTCGGAATATCTTTCCCAAGTCTCGACTGAAATATCTCATTCGCTTCCCCGAATGTCAATTCATCGCCCGCTAGACTGATGGCACGCCCATTATATTCCTTTGGCTTGAGCAATGCCTGAGCCGCAAAATATCCAATATCGGCAGTGGCGACGAGCTGGAGTTTTGTTGTTGGAGCTAGAGCAGCACACCAAGCGGTTGTGAAAACCTTGCCAGCGAATCCAGGAGCGAAGTTCTCCATAAATGCCACAGGTCGCAGAATGGTCCATGACATCTGCGTCCCTGCACTTTTCTCCTTCAAATATTTCTCGATATTGGCCTTGCTGATAAAATGAGAAATATTGGTAGGATCATTATCGGAATCATCGCCGTGACGATCCACAGATGTGAATACGAAGTGTTCTACGCCATGCTTTAATGATGCGTCGATAAGAGCTTTACCTTTTTCTTCTTCGCTCGCGCCCGTGTTACCAAAACCGATGTTGGGCATGGTAACGCAAAAAACACGCTTGATTGGCTGAGGGGCCGCTTCGAAGATCGCTGGGCAGTCATCTAAATCACCTTGAAGGAGCTTGATCTTGTCGGATTTCTTAGACAACTTCTCTGCCGCTGCCGATTCTACATTGCGAGTTAAAGCAAATATAGTAATATCAGACGAGCCAGGAGCAGAGAGAAGAGCATCAATCGCGGCTCCCCCCTGCTTACCTGTCGCTCCTGTGATGAGAAAAGTGTTTGACATTATTTTTGATTTTGTTGATTTGATGATTGAGAGATACTTCACCAAGAGTTTTGTTGATGTTTAGTTTTTGCTTGTTTGTTTTCACGCACGTTTGTTTGTCTTGCTTTATGTATTAGTTTGGTTGCTTTGGTAATGTTGCTTTGTGTCACATCTGCAACACGGAACTCCTTCAAAAATTCATGGCTTTATCGCTTGACAGCCATTAGCTCATAACTTACCTATTCCACCAATCGTGTATCACTTTTATCCTTATTACGAAAACAGCAGCTGATTTACCATTACTCTTTTCGACTCCTTTGATTCTGATTAACTTCTCATTAGCACTCAGATATAACTCTCGATCAGCATCAGTATTCCGTTTACAACCACACATACGAACTGCCCGGATGCCACTCCTAAAACAGCCCAGTGCAACATTCTTCCCATGGTCTCGGATGCGGGGTATCACGTGTGACACATGTCTTCGGAGTCACAGAGTTATTGGTAGCCACTCACGGCTATAACTTCAGCTCAAATCCGAAGGCTTGCAGGAAGGCCTCCTATCAGCCTTGGCATTAATCAGAAGGCAGAAATAATCGAGTGATATGTCTGTTTTGCTATTTTGGAGTTGATGAGTCTAGAGCTTCTAACCAGCCATCTTTTTCGAAAGACGGAAACGGAAATGAATACGCTTCTCCAATGAATCCGGCCAGGTCCGCTCCTATTCTGCCCATGGAACAACCTCATATCAAAACTCCACTGAAGGCCGAGGGGACGTTAGATCGTCGAATTTCAATTTAGATATTGAAGATTGTTGAATATGAGTTGGAATACTGAAGAGCATTTTGGAGTATGTGGTTGTGGAATATCAATTTAGATATTGAAAAACTAATATCGCTCATGATGAAGTGTCATTGGCTGTTTTCACTGAAATCTCCGCGCAATCAACGAAAGTTTCATCCAAGTGATTTAAGGGTTGCCGCCTAGTGTTAACCGATGGCGTTGGGTTTTTACCCCTTTCATTTTACAACGGGTCATGATTCGCGCCCAGCAGGCCCCGTATCAGCAGAGGCTCAATATATGTAAAAAAAGACCTTGCCAAAGACAAACGATTTGCTGTGTTACTTCAGCTGTGCTTTCCAAATTATGAATCGAGATTGATGCTTCGCCTCCACTTCTAACACTGCCGTGTCAAGAGAAATTGACAGCAGGCATAAGAGCTATGATATTGGAGGCTTAAGGCATGGAAGTGTGCTGTATAAGTAGGGAGGAGTAGTCATGCTTTGATATCTTTCAACATCACTTCCAGAATCTCATTCTATCGTGATCTATCATCAAAGCATATTTCCTTGTCACATCCGCATGAAATCGCCAGAGTTTTCACATCTCAAAATGCATTTCAATACTCTCCTCACAGCTTCCATTCTGGTGGCCTCTGCATTGGCAACAACTCCAGAGGTTTTGCCCTACAAGTTAGCAGCAAAGTCGCTCAATCCAGCATATGGTCTTACTAAGCGTCAATCGGGCTATCAACCCTCTCAAACTTTCTGCAGTGGTACCGGCACTTGCGCAGAGGCATGCGGAAAGGGTTATGAGACCTGTGCTTCAACTGATGGAGATCTTCATTGTTTTGATCCTACTGCTAAGGAGACCTGTTGCCCAACTGGAACTGGTGGTATGTTTCCTCCTGATAGTCACATATACCTATCTATTTCGTAAGGCATAAGCAAAAACTAACATTCAATAAAGACTCCTGCTCCGAGGGCTACTACTGCACGCAAGCTACTGACCTCACTGTCTGGTGCTGCCCAGATGGCATGGATCTTACTGCCTGCGCAGCTATCTACTCTTTAACCGGTGTCCTTCAATCCGTCGCACCCTCATCCATCGCGTCTGCAACTAGATCAGCCATCCCAACCGTACTTGCAAGTCCCACAACGAGTGATACTCTTAGTTCTCCAGTTTTTACAACCACTACTACACCGCCGGTGGGATCGCATGGTGCCACGAAGACGATTGGAGGGAGCAATGGTACCTTTACGGGAAGTACCACGGCAACGGCTTCTCTACCGGCATTTACAGGTATGGCTGGCAAGATGGACAATTGGGTTGGAGGAAGTGTATTGGTTGCGGCGATTGGAATGGGGTTGTTGTTGTAGAGTTTTAATTGGTGCTCTAGCACAGATGGGGAAGGTGGAGTTTAATGGACTGATGGAGCAAGGGGAAGTGTGATTACAGGATTATTTTGAGTACGGCTTGTGGGACATATATAATCCGATGAGTGATGTCTGTTGAAATGGTGGTAGCTAGGTTACTTTCGGCTGGATGATAATGTTTTATGGTTCATATTGGATGATTAGTTAGAATTATACTGTTTTCACTTCATTCATGGAAACTCGTGCTCTCTTTCATTTACGGAAAACTATGCATCACTTGGCTGTTGCAATGGAGGCTCTTCAACGAATCGGATTTCGGTAACATATCTGGGATAGCTTTCAAACTATCTTACGTGGCAAAAGTGAACAAATTGCTTTGGATAATCAACTGACTAGAGGGATGATTGTGCACGCACATATACTAACAATAGCTAATAACGAAATGACAGCCTCGGCATTTGGATGTCCTGACTGACTTTCAAGGTAGGACTTTTTGGTTTAAAAGGCGGGCCGGTTGCGTACTTGGGTTTAAGTATGTACTAGGTGCTTGAGGCTTGAGACCTAGATGCGGGAAGAGGTATCATATGTCGAATATGAAAGCGATAGTCTGTCACATTTGATTTGGACCTTTGCAGATGTTACCGGTGCTTGTATTACTCGGAGATAGATAGGAGGGAGTTAGAAATAGTACGTAGACAACCGAGGAAAACGTACATTCCGGCATTCCTCCCATGTGCTCGAGGGCTCTTTGTTTGCTTCAACATTATGACATCAGTCGAGAACAGTAAGTAATCATGAACACGTATTGCTATTGAATATTCATCAACATAGGCGTTGATACTATTCGCACTAAGCTATTTTGGATTTCCTTATCCGATCATTTTCTGGAATGAAATTTCGAGGCTTATTTTGGCCAAGAAATCACCAAGGAAAGCCAATACAGTCACGTGTAGATAATCAATCTTACATCGGACGAATGGAAAGTGTTGGTTGGTCACCTGGGTGAGATCATCTTCCAAAATAAACATCGAGTGGTGAATAAAAGAATCTCCGTCTCATTTGATGCCTTGCAAATAATGCAAATCGTTTTTCAAATACTCCCTTTCCGAGAAGCAAAGCTATAGAGAAATCACTCGATCTCTTATCAGAATACTCTTGATACCTACATACTTTCCTGCAAACGAAGGCTTCAGCCCTTTGGAGATCCGCTTTCCAAATCCCAGCGTCTATCCTACCCGAGCATCTCCATCGATCCGCAAGAACGGGGAAACCTGCATTGCCTTGATGCAACATACCCTGGGCATCTTTAAACCAACGAACCGCACATAATCTTTCACATCCGCTTGACCGAAGGAACAGAACGCTTTGGGCTGCTTGCATTTTGGAATTCGTTTCAGGAGACTGATCTAATCACACCCAACTTTTTCGCTGGAATATTGTAATATTCATACTCGCGTCTCTTTCACATGTGAAGACGTGGACGACGAGATTGATCAGGCCTGCTTCCGTGGCTGGGAGACAAGGTGGTTTTCACGTAGATTTATATTCTTACAACTCCAGCATCTTCTAACGAGCACATCTTTCTTATTCATCGAAGCCTTCCTACCCCTGGAGAAGTTTCTAGAAATAGATATCCTCACTAAAAAAAAGGAAATCAAAGTTTAAAGGTATGCAAAAGCTTTACTGTTACTGTGCTGTCCTCGTTTGTTTCAGTGTCATTTGACTCTGATTGCTCAGGTATCAGAGCTTCGGCGTTGCGGATATCATATAAACTCGGAATATCACCCTAACTAGTGTACGGGAGTGGAGACCTGTATCGTGCATGGCCCATATGGCCGGATCCAGTTATCCAATGGTAGGTACACTGCTTGAGCCGATGCAGAAGGGCCAGTTGCGGGGACATGGGGATTCCGATTATCGCTTCATGAATCTGTGCTGCCTCGAGACATAACCAAGGCTGTCGGATGCTGTTTACCGTGAGCAGCTTACCGTGAGCAAAGTGTTTTCCTCATAAGACAGACTAATTTCCCCGAGAAGACATTGTTGTATCTAGTCTAATGCCAACTATTATCTTCACGCTTGTCATTACTTCTACCGCACACCATTGCGAGGATTGAATATCTGCACTTTTATCTCTCCATTATACGCATAACCATAAGGTTTCAAGCTGACCAAAATGGCTACCACAACAACAGTTATCCGCACATTTAGGATGCCCAGATCCTTAAATGATACCTTGATTACACCAGCTCTATCCCTTGTAGCAGACGACGATCGATCAATGGAGGAAGCAAAGAAAATTAACGATGGCTACTCGAAGGATCAGAGGTCACCTGTCTCCAGTAATCCGCCGAAACATGAGCAAGGCATCACTTTCGCTGCACAGGACAAGTTGCCAAAACTACCAATACCAGAGCTAGACAGTACCTTGACGAAATACCTGGCAGCATTAAAACCATTACAGTCACCAAGAGAACATGCAGAAACCAAGCAGGCAGTGGAAGAGTTCTCGAAGAACGATGGACCTGAACTTCACGAGAGGTTGAAGAAGTATGCAAGCGGGAAGACCAGTTATATTGAGCAGTTTTGTAAGTTATCCCCCGAAGAATATTTTATAATGTTCGTACTAATATTAAACCCAGGGTATGACTCTTATCTCAATTACGACAACCCGGTCGTCCTAAACCTCAATCCCTTCTTCCTACTCGAGGATGATCCAACACCTGCAAGAAACAACCAAGTCACTCGCGCAGCCTCACTGGTAGTATCCGCATTATCTTTCGTGCGTGCAGTCAGAAGGGAAGAGTTACCTCCCGATACAGTAAGAGGTACACCTCTTTGCATGTACCAATACTCTCGATTATTCGGCACTGCAAGGGTACCTACCGAGAATGGATGTCACATCGGACAAGATCCCGAATCGAAACATCTCGTCGTACTTTGCCATGGACAGTTCTACTGGTTCGATGTTCTCGATGATAATTCGGATTTGATCATGACTGAAAAAGACATCTCGATTAACCTACAATCAATCGTTGATGATGCACAACAAACCCCGATACAAGATGCCGCTAAAGGTGCCCTTGGAGTACTCAGTACCGAAAATCGCAAGACCTGGTCAGGTCTAAGAGATATTATGACTAGAGAAGAAGGGTCAAACAATGCAGATTGTCTTGGAATAGTCGATTCTGCGTTATTTATCCTCTGTCTTGACTACACAGAGCCCAGCTCCCAAGCAGATTTATGTCAGAACATGCTCTGCGGAACCAGTCAAGTTGAAAAGGGTGTTCAGATCGGAACATGCACCAATCGTTGGTACGATAAGCTACAAATCATCGTCTGTAAGAATGGAAGCGCGGGTATCAATTTCGAACATACTGGAGTAGATGGACATACTGTTCTTAGATTTGCCAGCGATCTGTATACAGATACAATTCTCCGCTTCGCCCGCACAATTAATGGACAGGCGCCCAGTCTTTGGGCATCTACCAGCCCGGATCCCGCCAAACGCGACCCCGCTAGTTTCGGGGATGTGAGCACTACTCCACATAAACTAGAATGGGACATGATACCCGAACTCAGCATTGCTGTTCGTTTTGCCGAAACGCGTCTCGCCGATCTCATTCAACAAAACGAATTTGAAACCCTCGATTTCGCAGCCTATGGAAAGAACTTCATAACTTCGATGGGATTTTCTCCAGATGCCTTCGTGCAGATGGCATTTCAGGCGGCATATTATGGATTATATGGTAGATTGGAGTGTACATATGAGCCAGCGATGACGAAAGTATTTCTTCATGGGAGGACTGAGGCTATACGATCTGTGACGCCTGAATCACTAGATTTCGTACAAACGTTTTGGGCCGAAAATCCTGCGGAACAAAAGGTTGAGGCACTGAAGAAAGCATGTCAGAAACATACAGCTAATACGAAGGACTGCGCAAAAGCGCAAGGATGTGATCGCCACTTATATGCTTTGTTCAGCTTATGGCAAAAAGCAGTTGAAGATGATGCTGAGGCTGCTAGTAGTACCGGATTGAGCAGTAACGGATATTCAAGTCCCGTTGATACGAGTTCATCTCGAGATCCGTCTGTAGTCGGTAGTTCAGGCCGAAATTCACTTCTCAGCAATGGCGATGAAGTCGAGCGTCGCTCAATTCGCTCAACTCGTCCTCGAGGTAATTCCTCCCTCAGTTCGCAACAACATTCCATGCCTCTCATTTTCGCAGACAGTGGTTGGGATAAACTCAATACAACTATCCTCTCAACATCCAACTGCGGTAATCCTTCCCTTCGCCAATTTGGATTCGGTCCTACTTCAGGTGATGGATTCGGAATCGGATACATCATTAAGGATGAAGGGATTAGCATATGTGCCAGTAGTAAACATCGCCAAACGAAAAGATTTGTAGATGCCATAGAAAGTTATCTCTTGGAGATTAGGAGGGTGTTGAAGGCCACTCAAAAGAGAGGCGTGAGTCCGAAGTCGAGTCGAGCTAGAGAGGCAAATGCTCATAGGCCGACTGCGGGTCATAGGCTGAAGAGCAGAGGAAGAGTTATTAGAGCGGCGGAGGCGCCCGGAACGATGACACCGGCGGATGAGAGTGATGATGAGGGATTGGGTGGATGTATGTATTTTTTGTTCCTTCCTCATCTATCGCCTTATTTTTCTACAAAGGACACAAACTAACATATTAATTTACAGATGGATTCTTCGACGCAGGTATGCTTCTGCAAGCTTCGAAAGGTAGAGGCGACGGCCCAGACGACTCAAAAACGAGAGCCAATGCTCATGCTAGAAGAAGAGAAATTGGCAAGAAATTAAGGTTGAGCGAGTATTAGGTTATGACACGGAGTACTGGTTATGGGTGGGTGGGAATATACCGATAGATAAGAGGGGATGGGGTGGGAGGAGGACTTTTGTGCATTTTAGAATCTGGCGTTAATATTGATATCGATATTGTCTATTGTTTTATCAACCAGTTTGAGTATGCGACAAGAGATAAGAGTGAGATGAAATTTGTAAGGTGAGGAAGTAAATATTCTTGATCCTTCTTTGGATGTTGATGTGAATACCAGTGGGTGGGTGCATGGATTCAGAAATTGTTTCCGAGAAAAGGATAATTATTTCAATCTAATAAGATTCTGAAGTCGATTGATTGGGATTGTAGATTCTCATGGTGGGATATGCATGGAATGACTCGGAGGGCTCTGTCGCGAACAAATAAGACTTGCATTAGCATCAAAATAGATATAAAAAATCTATTTATAAAAAAAAGAACAGTAATCTTATAATATTGGTAAAATAAAACAAGCTAGATTATTGTACTTTGGATTCGAATAGAGTAGAGAGTAGAGAGTAGTTGCAAGAATCGCATCCCTTAAATATCTACAACATGTACATTCCATGTTTATATCTCGAATCCGCTTTCTTCAAGAGATTTCCCCAAGGAGAAACCTTGCCTCGCTTCGTTTTCCAAAATTGGTAAGATTACCTCCAAGCCGGACATGACGCGAGTCCAACCCTTGGCCTTGGCGATCATCACATCAATGGGGAGACGTATCCGAGCGGAGAATTCGGATGAACCTTTTTAAAACGTCAATTATCCACATCATTGATTGAAATCTCAATTGTTCCGAAGCAGGGACGGACGATTCTTTGAAAATGCAATGGAAAGTTAAGACGTAATGATTTCTAGAATCGCAAATCGTTTTCATTCTCAAATAAGGTAATTGAAAACGAGATCAGAGATCCGGGGTTGCTGCTGCTGTTGCTGTTGCTGTTGCCGTTGCTGTTGCCGTTGCTGTTGCCGTTGCTAATTGACCATTGATCTATTTTTGGACAACTGCACTCCATGGTTACTCCATGAATGAAAGACTTGTCAAATTTCCCACCTGCTCCACCAAACAAAGTATATACCTTACGAAATATGGCTTGTCTAAGTGGGCAGGTGCGATCAGTTTTCGTATTTGTATTTACTATCCCCAAGCTCTTTTTCGTGTTCCACTTCCACTCCGTATCTCTTTTTTCCCAAACATCTTATCTTGTCTCTCGTTTCCGGGAATTTTTGGCATCAAAACCATTACTTTCGTTTATATAATACGGTTCTTCTTGTCAAAATGAGGACTTCTTTTCCTTCTATCATTAATTTGAGTCTCGTGGCTTTGATCGCTGCTCATGGCTCGAGTGCCAAAAGCACATCTTGTGTCTCTTCTTATCAACAGTGTTTAGACGACGGCGGAGCTGATAACACATGCCAATCTATTAATGCCAAGTGCAAGAACTCATGTGCTGATAGCTATGGATCGTGCCTTTCGTCGTCCGATACATCATCATGCATGAATTCGTACAATATTTGCTTGGATGACTTTACCATATTCACCACCACCCAGGATTCGGCAGGAAAAGACTGTGCATCTCTTTTCTCGGCCTGTCATGATGCGGGAACCCCTGACAATACTTGCAACAGTTATGCAGCTCAATGTAGGCATAGCCTTCTGCTACCGGTGTTGATTAAAGCATATCACTGACGAGACCAGGCAAGGACAAATGCAGCACGATTTATGCCACGGCTCTCACGAGTGGATCTCCAGATACATCAGCAGCTAAGACACAATACAATAATTGTTTAGATTCCCTCAGCGTCTTTTCGACTAGGGAGTCCTCCTCTAGTCGCGATTGGTCAGTTTAAATAGCTCATAAATCTCATGGTTCTCGGAAGCGGGCTCTATTCCCCAACTTCAAAGCCTATTTGTGTCTTACAGTTCACATCTCTTCTTCTCACTTTCCAAAATGAGTTAATTCATTGGCTTCCCCAAAAACTTTCCATTACAAGACTAATTCTAACTTTCTGAACTTAGTGTCTCCCAATTTTCAGCCTGCAGAGCCAACGGCACCGATGATAACACATGCAACTCATACACAGCGCAGTGTAAAGTGAGTGCAATAGTTTCTTTATTATCGAGCCCCGTATCAAAAACTCCTGCTTCCTTCGATCTTGTAAATTCTCAGGCGCATGGAACTCTCATCTTCGAACCATGCGGATCTTATCATCATCCCCATTTTTGCTTCATCATCTCATCTAGGGATCATTCTCCAACTTCTACTATTTGTCATTTTGTCCTGCCGAAATCTAAATCACATGGAAACTTCACCGAGTTGACGAGTTAAGGATTTGACAATATTTGAAAAGTGGCAAGAAGCTAGAATGCCATTCTCTTTCCAAAGAAATATGGAACAGCTTCGTATTGAAAAATGCCGTAAGCTACAAGGTACTTCGAGGTGAAAGTTCACGTGGCGGATAGACACAAGCGTTCCTAATTCACCACTTCATCCATCATGCCTACCGTTCAAGTCGGCGGAATCCAAACCCATGCCCGGATAGTTTGAGGGTGTTACAGACCCATAGTACTATACTTTCCTTTTGCTTCCCATTTTCCTTGAAAAGGTTTCTTCAATGGGCGATAGCTGACTTGGACGATTTTACAGGATAAATGTAGTGCGATTTACGGCATTTGTCTGAGCAGCGGCAGCGCAGATGACTCCTTATGTATGAATCAATATAACAATTGCTTAGATTCCTTCACGGTTTCGACTTCATTGGATTGCGTTAGCAGTTTCACTTGTAAGTTAATCCATTCACTACTCTCTTGATACGCCAATCAATCTTCATTCCTGAATTCCATCATCCATTTGATGTCATATATCGCATAAGATTTCTAATACCTGATATCGCCTTGTCTTCGCCTTACTCAAAAGCTCCCCCAGTTAGGCTATTGCTAACTCCAGAATTTTATAGCATGTAGAAATGAAGGCGGCGAATCGAATACTTGTGCTTCTGAATCTGCCACTTGCAAGAACGACGCTAGCATCAATTATAGCACTTGTCTTTCTAGCGGAAATGCTGATGGAACAGCATGTCTTGAACAATATAATTCAGCCCTCGTCCAATTCAATACTACCACCTTGTTGAACAATACCAGCTGTGTTTCGAGATTCACAAAGTGCAAAAACGAGGGAAAGGAAGACAGCTTATGTCAAAGCCTTAATGCCGACTGCAAGGTTCGTAAACCGTTCAAAAGCGCTTCTACTTTCTACACCTCATTCTGTACTCCAACACGAAACCCCCAGTTTACAGTCCTTTAAACACACACTCTGTATGTCTTAATCGCTGACTCACCGACTTAATTTAGACCGATTGTTCTACTTCGTACTCCACCTGTCTCAGTTCCGGTGATCCAGCTCTTTCATCGCGTTGTCTTGAACAGTATAACTTCTGTCTCGTGACATTTGCCTGGGACACTACAGCTGCCATTACCGGGCAAGATTGTGTATCTGAGTACATGTCGTCTACCGGAGAGGATAATGCACGCAATTATAAGGCGGCTCACTGCAAGTCGTAAGTCAAATCACTTTTTCATACAACAACCCCTGCTTTTAAAGGTCTATGTGGAAAGTTTTATATCTTGGGACCTTTCCATCTTCTTCCATAACTTTGGTGTCTCCTGGCCTTGGAGCTTTATTTGGTAGCCAATTACTGACTTCCCGATCCTTTAGTGGGTGTTCCACTAGTTATAGCACCTGTTTAAGTTCAGGCGACAAATCTCTCGAGGCGCCTTGTCTTACGCAGTATAACTTATGTCTCGTAGACTTCAAATCCTCGATCACGAAAGCCGACTGCGCCTCCAGTCTTCTCCTTTGTGACGAAGAGTCAAATTCTTGTGCTGCTAATGTAGCCAGTTGTAAGAATACGTGCTCCGTGGCCCTAGATATTTGCCAAAGTTCAGGGGATCCAGCCCTCACTGCACCATGCCAAAAGCAATACCAGTCCTGTCTTGTTTCGTTCAACGCCGCTACGGCTGCTCTTAAAGGAGATTGCGTGGCGTCATTCCTGTCTTGCAGAAATAATGGCGGTGCAGATAATGCATGTTCTTCGGTGAGACTCCCTGAATTTTTCATGAACAATTTTGAACCACCAACGACTAACATCACAATCTTCATTAGGATATGGCCAGTTGCAAGAACAAATGCAGCTCTGTCTACGATATCTCCAGCACCTCTGCCGATAACTCAACCATCGCAGTATCCCAAGCTCTCCGTCTGTACGACAATTGTCTTGTGTCTTTCTCCATGAATGACACCATTCCCACCGGCAAAGACTGCTCCTCCAAATACTACGCCTGTTCTCTCGCTGGCCTCCAAGCTCCCAATGCCTGTGACAGCGATCACGCCACCTGTAAAAACGATTGTGCAGTGATCCTTGACGCATGCCGAAGTTCTGGGGATGAAAGTCTCATCAGTATGTGTGATAGTTTGTACAACGGTTGTTTGGATCCGGTTCTGAATAGCAATATAACGACGAAGGAGAAAGCTAAGATTAATGATACCGCGACTTATGTTTTGCCCACGAAACCTGCTTTCTTCAACTTAACTGGGGCGTATTCAAGCATTGTGGGCGACGCAGTTCCTTCGGCCGCTTCGATATATATTAGCGGTGTTCCAGCAACATCCACAAATGGGACGGGATACTACGGACAAGCTACTTCGATTTCGAAAGCAGCATCTGCGACAGGTAATGTTGAGATTTCTGGCTCAGCACTTCCTTCTGCTATCGTGGCGCCTGTCTATTCAAATGGTACATCTGCAAGCCAAGCATCCAGTACCAGTACTGCCGCTACAGCCAGCTCTGGATACTCTCTTCCGGTTGTTACAGCTTCCGCTAGTTACTCATTGACCAATACGACTTCAACGTCTGCGATCATAATTCCTACAACCAGTACACTTGCGTCTGCTGCTATGATCGAGATTAAGAATTCTGCTGGAGTTGATAGATCAGTCGCTGATGGTACCAGCGATATCGATGAGGAAGAAGAAGATGACGATGCCTGCGAAATTTAAGTTCGCAGAATAATCGTTGAAGTTAGCTCATGGTTAATTATATAATAACTAGCGTGTGTGACAAATTGTCATGAGGATAATAATAACTTTTGCTTATACTTGTTGATATGTTTCTTACTGGTGACTCTATTACGACGATATGCGTTGAAACTTGGTTATGGATGTTATTAGACTTCCGCAGTATGAGCTTGCATGCGTTTACTAACGTGCTGTAGTCAATGTAGAGGCAATTTTCCGGATTGTTGGAGTGCAGTATATATAAAATAATCTGTCCCATTTATTTATCTATTATATTCTTCAAAGGCCTTAGTAGGATTAGCGCTAGGCAACTGGTAGATTACCTGCCGATACCTTTATTATATGCATTTTAATATCTCGAAATCGATACCATACTCGTATACTAATTAAAAGTCACGGAAATAAAAATAAAATAAAATAAAATAAAATAAAATAAAGATAAAATAAAAAATTCTTTGGTAGCTTGTAATTAAGATATATTTCATCATCGTCATAAATAGGAATAACTCCTTTATATCCGGCTCGGCCCGGCCTTCTAAGTCGCTAGCTCCACTTTCGATATCCTAATAATGCGTGCCCTCTGAGCTTCAAAATCTGAACTTGGAATTCTGAGCTTGAAAATTAAACTCTGATTCTTCTTTTGTTGTTATCGTATATTGCGATGGTTTTACTTTTTTTTTTTTCTTTCCATTTTTGTAGAGTCGTGTACGGGATTAATATTGTTCTTCGTAGGTTTAATGCAATGAATGGGTTTTTGGGTTTAAAGTCTGTAAGATTATTTTGGATTTGCGATTTTGACCTGTAAGTGCTGTGGTAGAGAAGATGTGGTGTGGCTTGGAGAGGTTCGTTCGGTCCGGAAGATTGCTTTCTGGATGGGAATTTCGGATGTGAGGTTCATGTTAATGACGCCTTGGTGATGTCTAGAAGTTATGTAGATTGTTGTGCCAGTTAGCTAATCCTAAGCTTACTCATTGTGTTGCAATAGCTAGTATAGTGTACATACAGTCTGCTCAAGAATTCGCTCCGAAATCACCGTGGCACTTTGGAGCGCTTCTGATTCCTCGATACTAGTAGGTATTGGTATGTTACAGGTTTCAGGCATCTTTGGCCATATTTCTATTCTTCCGACTTACTGCAAAGGAAGCGAGATTTTGCAATGATGGTTCGCTGGAGCAATATAGTGAATGTTGAGTTATAAGATTGGGATATTTTTTAAATTTGTTGGTAATTTTACATTTTCAAAGTTCTATGGAGTGGAAAGATCATGAGTTGTTCACAAAGCTCAAAAATAGTGAGGTCTAGGGGGAAGAGTCGGAAGACCTCAATCTAGTTATACATACACTTATTTTTTGTGGAAATCAATTGGTAGAAGATGTCATTTTGAGGTTTTTAAATTTATGACATCAGCTGCTGTGTCATTGAATACAATCCTGCGATGAAAATTGTCAATGTAAGATTGTATGTGTGGGCGCTTTATTGGCTAGTAAGAGTTCTGGTCATTACTCATTGCACCCCCTTTAAATTTCACCTACACTTTTGAAAATTTAATATTAAATCAATATTACAATATTTTTTATTGAAAATCTGATAATATATTAATGAATAATAATTAATCCTTTTATTTCAATTATATCCTTTAATTTACAAATCAATCTCTTAATATATAATCTGAAATTTAAGGGATCAAATATCTTTTATAATCTTTTGAACTCCTTTTTCAATTTCTCAATAAAAGTAGATACAAATAATAGTTTTTTTAGCTCTTTCTTTATTCAATATTATACCTTTTCAATTGGATTGAGATCTGAAGAAAAGGGGGGCTATTGAAAGTTTTTAATATTATACTCTAATTGAACTAGTTTAGTATACTTCAAATGAATTTTTGTATTATCCTTTATAAATATATATTCAGATTCTAATTTATCAAATAAAAGGAATACAATAGAAATAAGGATCTGATTCTGATATACTATTGAATTTATCTTTTTATTATTAGAATTCTTCTTCAAAAAGATTAATAGAGATTTATAATTTCAATTAAAAGCCTTTTATATCATTACAAAGATCCTGTAATGATCTGATTAAGTGTCACGAAATCATTTTATAGAGTGTCACGAGGTAACAGTCAACCTGTCTCTATGAGCTTTGACCTTGTTGAAAAGCAAAGCAACTTGTATACAAATTTGTATAGCAATCGCTTCGTATGATCTCCCCACCTTCAGCAAGCTCGGACATATGGTCTGATCCTAATCATGTGATAAAGCCTCCAGAAGTATAGGCTCCTGTAGGCTCCTTGGAGCCCTTAGAAATATAGGCTTTTGGAAGCTCCCAAAATGGATTAGTATATAATCAGAATAATTTCATAATTTAGGAATTTCATATTCAATTTAATTATCAATTAGTTTACCTATATTCCAATTGATCTAATAATATATTCATCTTCGAATAGATAATCAATGATTATTAACTTTAATCTATAATTACCAATTATACAAAAACTTGAGACAACTATTGCCTCGATCAAATCGTTACACTTTGAATATCGTTATAATTAAGCTATATATAATACAATAACTTTCAATTAGCAATTTATCGAATCGTCTTTATTCAACCCAATCGAAGCCCCTGTTCAAATTATCGCTATTATAGAATACAGACAAACGATTCAGATATTCATCTTTAATTTATTCTATAAAGATTGTAGCAAATATTAAACTTTTGTTGTACAAACTGATTTCTATTATACTTTTAATAGACAACTTTTCTTGACTCTTATACAAAAAATCTTGTAATTGATCTTCTTTTTCCGAAGAATTATATTCAATTGAATTAAATTATTCTTCAATAATCTAATAATCAAGATTATCAATAATCAGCTAAACAAAAATATAAAATCTGAGATTTATCGTTTATTCCTCAATTATGAATTGTTTAGATAGGGATTTGATAAGGTATTCGAGAAAGTAAATCTTGATTATATAATTGAAAGAGCATTATAATAACTCAGGCAGACCAAATCAATTACAATCTACATTGCCAAATTTCAATAATACATTAAATATATTATCTGGGATGATGATTATCTAAAATCACAATTTTATAAAGGATTGAAAGATATTATCAAGAACGAATTAATAAAAGCTCCAAAACTATCTAACCTTTCTAAATTAATCAAAACTTTTATTTTTATTGATAATCGATTCTATAAACAATGAATAAAGAAAAAAGGAATCATTTAAAAAAACAAGAAATTCCAAAAACCTTATTGTCAGAATAGATATTATAATATCAACAATTCAATGGAATTGGATAATACCAAACAATATCATATAAAATTAAGCAATTTAAATATTAATGAAAAAAAAAGATATAAAAAGAATAATTTATATTTTATTTGCAAAAAAAACAGATATATATTCTGAGATTATTCTCAAAAAAAGAAATCATTTATTATAAAAGACAGAAAATAAATAAGATTTGGAAATAAAAGATAAAGTTCTCGAAAAATAGAGATTTTGAAAGAAAGTTTGAGGGAAATAAGATTATTGGAAAAAGATTTATTTCAATCCAATTTTGAATAATTAAAGGAATTGAATATCAATAATCAAAACTCTAGAATTAGTATTGAGAATAATATCGATTATAAGGGAGAACCCTTAAAAGATTTCGAATCAAGAGACGAGGAATCAATCGAAGAATTCGAAGAGGATTAACGATCAATTGAGTCCTGTTATTTGCTTCAGGAAAATGAGTTATAATATCTAATCAATTATCTAAATAAGAAATGAATATAATACTATTATAAAAAGAAGAAACCTAATTTTATCAAGAAATATAGAATCTATAATTATCTTACTTTGTTAATATTCTATATAGTAATATACAATGATATTTATCGTATAATATTTAAGAAAAATATTGAGGCAAACGATATCAAAAGGTATATTGCAGATATAGATTCTTCATCCTTCAATAAAATATAGGAATACAATAAATATAATTTGGAAATTGAGAATATATAAAAGATCTTATTATAAATCGGGATTTGTTATATTTAACAAAGGATCGATAAAGATAACGAAAAAACATCAAATTAAGATTATTATCGAGATTTCCAAATAGAATCAATAAGATTATTATTTATTATATCTTATCGATTATTGAATATAAACAAATATCAATATAAATAACTGAATCTTTTTATTAAAGAATAAATTGTTGAATTATTATTATTAGAATTAAATAATATTATAGGAATCGAACAACTAATTGTAAAAATCAAATTAAAGAATTAATAAATCAATACTTTGATTGATTTTGAAGTTATAAATATATTTATAGATTCCAATTTCGTAAGAAAAAATAGAATTTCTATAGAATTAAAACAGAATCCTTATCAATTGATATTATTAAAAGGAAAGAAAACTGAAATTAATAATTAAGTATATAAAGAAATCAATACTATCAAAATAATTATATCAAATAAACATATCAAATAGATCAAGATAGATTTAGTACTATTAAACAAATATACAATTGTCCTCAGTACTTTATAAATTAAGAAATATAATTCAAATATCGATTGAATAAAAGATATCTTAATATTCGATCATTGCAATTACAATAACAAATGATTATATAGTTCAAAAGAACAGATTTTCTGGAAGATCGGATATTGTATTATAATAATAACAAATCCTTCATTAATCGATAAAACCAATAAAAAAGAAATTCTAATATAATATAAAAGATTCATTAAGCTTTTCGAAGACCTTTAAGATTTGAAGGTTTTATTAGAATATAAGTTTTAGGATTATAAAATCAACTTCAAAAAGGGATTTGTATCCCCTATTAAAAAGTTGAGACTATATAACCTTAATATTATATAAATATAAGAAGAATATAAAATCAAAACTAAAAAGAAAGGATAAATTAAGAAATCCAAATCTCTTTATATATCCAATATATTATTAATATTTAAGAAAGACGATTTAGATGATTAGTCTTGTAAAGATTATCATCGAAATAACGATGAAATAATCAAAGATATATATTTAATACCAAAAGTTTAAGAATTCAAAGATAAATTGAA